CTGACTTCCTCGGCGCCATTCACCAGGTTATCGGCATTCGCAAGTTCTGCAAAGCGTCCAACAAGATCTTTCTCAAGGTTATGCGTGTCGAACTTCTCAAGCTCAAGAACATTGAGAACTGGGAAGACTATCTTGGACAAGTGCTCTACGACTTACATGGCCTTAAGCTTGGGGCAGGTGTTTGGGAAGTCCAGGATCATGCTTGTCCTCCCGAGAAGCTTGAGAAGCGACAGACCATGCAACTCGTGGAGAGGGTTACTATTCTTGCAAACCGCATGCCCATGAAAGATCTCCTCAAGTCAGATCTCAAGACGACAATTGACCACATGCAGCAGACTCTTGGCCAAGCAAAGTCAACGTCTCAGATGTATCACAATCTCCGCAACTTTACCGAATACTTGAAGAGGCCTATACACCCACTGCGTCTGTACAGAGCCCTTACTGGGGAAGTCTCAGTCGATGCTGTGTCTGTTAACACGCCAGAGACCATCCTTGCCACTCATGGCTGGTTCTTTTTGCTCGGCATGATGGCTCTCACCAAGTTCAAGGGCGTCGACTTGAATCGTAGACAGACCCCTGGTGCAACCGACGATTTGCGTATTGGTGCGACTTTCTTACGACTCCAACTTCAATTCACTGCAGACAGATGGGATGCCTGGTTCCGGTTGGCAGAATGCTTTGACTACGAACTGGATGAGGCAGTTCTTTGGACTGCTGACAAGATGAACAAGGACCGACCTGAGCTGGTCAAGTTCCAGCGAAATGCTATCCATTGCTATACCCTTGCGCTTTCACACTCCCGTAACGTGGAAGTTGAAACGCACGATGGAGACCCTTTGCATGACTTGTATCACAAATTTGCTATGCGAATGTATGCTTCAAGCCGTGAGCCGTTCGCTATGGAACCTTTCCATCACTCTGATCAAGAACGGTACTTTATCGAGGACATGGGAGCTGGAACCTTCAAGAAGATATTGCATCCGCAAATGAACGAGTATAAAGTCTGGAAGTTCGCAGCCAAGCTGTTCAGGATGGCTATGCAACGAAAGCCAAACGATTGGAAGTAAGTTGAAGTTCCCGAGTGTGTATGCCGAGTCTAACAGTGATAGGAACCCGTACATGCTCTCCAAGTGCTACTGGAAGATGTACCAGACCCCTGATGACGAACTTGACGTCAAGGACATGAAGTCCAAGATCAGCCTTGAACTACTGATCGATACACTCAAGAAAGCAGTCAAGGTAGCACACAATGCTCGACGGGGTAGGAACAGCGACCCTATCCTCGAGCCACATTACAAGATAGTTTCGATCCTACACAAGCTGGTGATTCAAGGAGACTTACCATCCAAGGACGCCGCTGCGATCTTAGCTGAGCAGCCATTTGGTCTAGCTGTCAACCCTGATGACCACTTTGCTTCCTTCACAGAGCCTGAAGATTGGGAGGAGTACATCATTCGCAATCTCTCCAAGCTTAGAGACAAGGATAAGTCTAACTGGCAACATCGCATCATCATCAGGCACGCTAGAATACTGTTTGATGAGGCCAATGAGGCGCAGGGCAGCGATAGATATGTGGAAGCAAAGGCTGCATTTGGCATTCTTCGGGACAGCATGGTCACCAAAACGATGGTTATGAACGTCTGGAAGTGCGATGCGGAGCGACCCGGTCGGCACCACGTTTACACAGAGCAATACGTCCGCTTCATGACCAAGCTATTGGTCATTATGTCAGACCGTAATAATCTGGAGCAGCTTTTGAGACGCCTTCGAAAGAAGGGTGCCGACTATTACCATTTCAGCGATTTATGGCAGTCTTGCTGCATGGCTTACCTCAAGCTCTTGCGAGAGGGTTACCATGTGTCGCCCGTCTCAGACGACGTGTTCAAGTCTCTTTCAAGCGAGGAGTTCGAGGTTATTGGCGAGAGAATCGCGGACTGGGCTGCAAGCGATGGTGCTGACATTCCACTGTTCAACTGCATGAAGGAAACCATCGAGCTGAAGAAACTCAATGCTAATCTTATGAAAGTGGCACCCATCGATGATCTTCTCAACGATTGTTACTCAAGGATCTACTCTGAGATAGCGAAGACACTGCCTGGCCCAGACCCCAGCAAGGTTGTGGAGGAGCGCCACCATGCTAAAGAGGTTGCGGCCCAGCTCGAAGCAGCGCAAGCGGAGGCAAAAGCCACCAGCTCGCTCGCCAACATTCTCAATGCGCCCAATGGACAGGAGAGCATCACGGGTACAGCAACTCCCATGGAGACAGAGAAGCATGAGGCTGCACCACGGGCAAGAAAGGTCGGCGTCAGACGACCTGATGTCTTGCGCAAGGCTGAGCAAGCAGTCGTCCGAGCTCTGGAGGCGCCCAAGTCAAGCAAGAGCAGAGTTGGCAGTGTCTCGAGCGGTAAGCGTGGTAGCCACACGCCTATTCAGCATGCAAGCGATGCAGGCAGCGACGAGGAAGCTGATGCTCAGATTCGGCGGGAAGCTGGCCACGACGTCGATGTTGATATGAAGGATGCAGGAGATGAGCATGAAGAAGAGCATGAAGAGGATCACGAAGACCATGAGGAAGAGCATGATGAGGATCATGAAGATGGAGCAGATGATGACAACGGCGAAGAGCATGCTGAGGAAAAGGCCGAGAGCGAGCCAGGCAGCATTCACGACTCAGCTGATGATGAGAGTGACCTTAGCGATGTCCCTGAGGATTACGATGAGGAGGTCCCTCCTGGGCTTATCTTTCCCAATCTCAGACAACATACTGATGAGTCCAGTGGCGAAGACGCTGATAGTGAAAGCGAGGGAGACGACGAAGCCGAGGAGAGTGATGGTGAAGAAGAGGCTGAGGAGGTAGCCGAGGAAGAAGATGAACACGACGATAGTCGCGAGGACGGTGAAGAGACTCTGGGCAACGAGGATACAGAGTTGGCGGATGGTGAAGAGGAAGAAGATGAGGTTGACGGCGATGAACGACAAGAGAATTGGGACGCAGACGATTCCGTGAGGGCTGAAGCGTGGTGAATATGTTTAATCTACGGCGAATCGGCGTCTTGAGGCAGTTTTACTGGGTATCATTATAGGTAAAGGCTGGGATTAGGATAACTATCTGCTGTATCATTATTACATTTAGAATTACCAAAGAAATGATTCGTTATTGTCAAGATAATGTCCTCGAAGAATGCCGTCACACACTGTAATTTTATAAGACAGACGGGGACTCGACGAGCATATGATGAAGAATACAATTTATAGCCAATGGTCAGACCATACGGATAATAGAAGAGAAAGTCAGTCCTTCCAGAAGGACTTGATCACTACTCGTACAATGATCTGCTCCCCAATCTATTCATCGACAAAGATGTCGTCCTGAGCACCATCCATGAACCCCATTCGCTGGTTGTAAGTAGGAGTCTTGCCATTGGGAGGGTTGACGTTGTTGCCTTCGGCCTCTGCACGATATCAGTCACTGACAGTCACAAACTTGATGAAGATCAACTTACGGTTCCATGCCATCATCTGCTTTGGTCCAGGGACACACTTGGTAGGGTTGTCGCGGCAGTAGACAGGAGGCTTAGGCTTGCCGAGCTTCTTGGTGGAAGTGCTTCCAGTGACTTTGCAGCGATGGTTCTGCATGTACATGTTTGGCTGGCCACCTTCTCAGGGCATTAGTAATGCTTTTGTATAAGAGAGGATAAACTTACAGCCATCGGGGATCCAAAGCCATGCGCAGTAGCAGCCTTCTTCGGGGCATGCAGGCATATCGGCTGGGACGTCGTACCAAGTCTCGCGAAAGAAAGGAGAGCTGTTTCGTCAGGTTGGACCACGAGTCTTAGACGAGAGTCTTACTAGTACCGCACAGAGAAAACAACAAGGTTATCCATGGTAACCTTGCTGATATCACTCTCGTACGAGATAGCCCAGGCTGTTCCACCAGTTGACTCAATGTTCTTGGTGTGCAACTCTCCACCCGAGCCATCACCACCGTCCATGAGACAACCGCCCTCAGGACCTCTCCACGGCATGGAGCGGTTCTTACCATCCTGCCACTCCGTAGTCAACTCGCCCTTGTAAGAGAGTGTAGTGAACGCACGGTTGTTGGCAAGCTCGGTCATGAAGGATTTACCAGCTGGAAGCTCGAGAAACTCGCCCTTGGGAGGAGGCACGGCATCGCAGCCACGATCGGCTTGCATCCACCATTTGGACTTGGGGAGATCGTAGAGAGGGTTCACGGCGAGGTTGGTGTTGGCATTGTCGATAGAAGAGTCATTGCCACCCTAAAGAGTCAGAATTGGATGATGATTTGCTGGGGGAGGTTTACTTTGCAGTACATGCCCTTGTTCCAAGAAGCAATGTGAGCGCTCGCAGAAGCTACGAGGGTGAGAAGAAGAGTAGAAGTATACATGATGAAAAGAATGTGGTTATCAATGAATGGACAGTGTAATCAATACACCTACAACGAACGAAACTACAGATCGAAAGTATTCCTCATTCTACTCTTGATCAGCTTATATATATACAGCTTTGCTATACGAACCAATTACACCAGAGCTCCTTTCATCTCAAGATGGTGCAACTTCTGGGAGCGGCCGCCTTTAAAACAACAGGGATGAGAGGTGTACATTGGCGCTGGCGAAACAAAAGCTGACATGCGCGAAGCCATTCGGGGTTAAAGCACGAGCGTTGAAACTTGTGAAGATCTTCGTGATCCCTGCAGAAGGCGGCCGCTTTACTGGGACGGGGTTGTTTCAGACTTTGCTTGGCTGGGGAAGTACCGGATGATTTTATCGATGATTCGTAAGGCTGAAGAACAAAAGATCAGAATCAGAATTGAAGCCGTTAATGATCGAGGGCTGAAGTTACTGAGAGGTTGCCTAAAGTATAGTCAGTTGGACTTGGTCGGGTTGATTCTCATGATCTTTGAAGTTTTGACAAGCAGAATGTAAGCGGGCTTGGCAAGGCTGGTCTGATGAACTGTGATTAAAGTGGGAGAGCTGAGTGCAACTTTGAAACACGAAATATCTTTAGTGATAGTGAGTAAATAAATTAAATAGCCATCTAAATTAGAGGATCCTTCGTCGATGCACTCGTCGTATAACCTCAAGCAGCCTACAGCCACTATAGGCAACAAATGAGCAATCCACATCTCCTGGCCAAGATAGACATTGAAACACTGAAGCAAGCCTCGAAGAACCCTTCGACTTTGACACTTTTCCCTCAACCAAAACAACGCCGAACTGCCGAAACTCCAGTCCAGGCACAAGCTCTTAACCCTCCTCCCTGTCCATGTCGTCTCTCCCCCGCTTGCCGCCCTTCTTGCCGCGTCCGCCTTTCAATGTGCTGCCCTTCTTGCCTCTCTCCTCGGTGAAAGACTTCATCTCGACTCTGGCGTGGCGTTGGGCTTCTTCGACACGGGTCTGGAAAGTGAAGACCTCCTCCTTCTCGGTGGGATACTCCGTGAGCTTCTTGCCAAGGGCAGCCTCGATTCGTGTGAAGATCTCGACATCGTACTGCGTCACCACGCTAATGGCGATACCAGACTTACCAGCACGGGCTGTTCGTCCAACTCGGTGGATGTATGTCTTGGAGTCCTGGGGGAGATCGTAGTTGAGAACAACGTCGACCGAGGGGATATCCAGACCACGGGCGGCGACATCGGTAGCGACGAGGATATCTCGTGTACCAGAGCGGAACTTGTTCAAAGCGCCCAGACGGGAAGTCTGAGAGAGCTGGCCGTGCAGAGGAATGGCGCCAAATCCAAGGGCCCTTAGCAGGATGGAGATACGCTGTGTCTCCCAGACTGTTCGAGTGAAGATGATTGTGGACTTTCCAGCATGCTCGTTAATCAGGTAGATAAGATAAACGTCCTTCCGGACATGAGGAATAAAGATGTAGTGCTGGAGCAGAGTCGAGACGGTCTGGTACTTGTTGGAGCTGATGCTCACACGAACGGGATCTCTCAAACTGGCACGCTGCAGACTCTCAATCTTGGAGCTGATTGTCGCAGAGAAAAGATATGTACGTCGCTCGCGGGGAATGAACTTGAGAATCTTATCGATGCTAGGTCCAAAGTCCATATCCAGAAGTCGATCGGCCTCGTCCATGATCAAGTACTTGAGCGTTCGCAGCGAAAAGCCCTTGGTCTTCTCAAGATGGTCCACGAGACGACCGGGTGTCGCAACAATGATATGAGGCTTCTTTCCGAGGGCAATGGACTGAGGAACCATATCAAGACCACCAACGATCACAGCACATCGTAGAGAAATGAGCGATCCGAGGGCTTCGAAGGCTTGGCCGATCTGGGTTGCCAGTTCACGAGTCGGGGCGAGGACGAGACCAAATAGAGGCTGAGGCTTGTCGAGAAGAGCCTGGAGGACGGGGAGAGCAAACGCAGCTGTCTTTCCACTACCTGTTTCGGCGAGACCGATAATGTCACGGCCTTCGAGAGCGACGGGGATGGACTTTTCTTGGATGGGCGTGGGGTACTTGTAGTTGAGCTTTTCGCAAGCTTCGCACAGAGCGTCGACGATGCCCTGACAATTGTTAGATACCGAAAGTCAATTAGTAGTTATTAGGACATACGAGATCCTTGAAAGTTTTCTTGGGGGCATCATCAACTGCTTCCTCAGCAGAAGGCTCCTCTAGAGTAGAAGACTCCTCCTCAGATTGCTCGTCGTCAGAAGGCTCAGGCTCAGTTCGAGCAGGTTTCTCTGCAACAACCGATTTCTTCTTCTTGGGCGCATCGTGCGCGACCCTTCTTCGTTTCGCGCTGAACATGATGGGCGATGTGTAAGTAAAGAAAGTGTTCCATCTCGAAAAAAAGATCATCTTTCTTTGACTTCACAAAAACTTTAGTGGGGATGCCTTATCGCACGTGCGCTAATCTTATCGTAGTCCCCGCCAAACTTTTTTTCTTTTCTGCCATTTGCGACAGAGAGTAGCTTTGCAGCAACTTTTCGACGAGTACCCTCGAAACTAACAAATTTCTTCACAATGGCGCGCAAACGAACAAAGAAGAGAACCCATTTGGGTGCTAGCAATCCCGATGTTGACTCTGCCGGTCATGCATCCGCGAAGGATCCCAAGAGCATGGTTATTCGAATTGGCGCTGGTGAAGTCGGTTCCAGCGTTAGCCAGCTTGCGGCCGATGTGCGAAAAGTCATGGAGCCTGGTACTGCGAGCCGGTTGAAGGAGAGACGTGGAAACAGGCTAAAAGATTACGCTGTCATGTGTGGTCCTTTGGGTGTTACTCACCTGATGCTGTTTTCGAGATCGGAGAGTGGAAACACCAATTTGCGAATGGCTTTGACGCCGCGAGGACCTACGATGAACTTTCGCGTGGAGAAATACTCGCTGTGCAAGGACGTTCAAAGAGCTCAGAAGCATCCCAAGGGTGGCGGCAAGGAGTTTATCACTCCTCCTCTGGTACGAAGTCGTCAATTGTTGTTGACAAGCCTTTGCTAACCATTTACAGCTGGTCATGAACAACTTTACCCGCCCAGACTCGGATAGCAAGTCGAAAGTTCCCAGACACCTCGAATCGCTTGCCACGACCATCTTCCAATCCCTCTTCCCTCCCATCAACCCCCAAGCTACACCGCTCAAGTCGATCCGACGAGTCCTGCTGCTGAACCGCGAGCAATCAGAGGAAGACGACGGTACATTCATCATTAACTTCAGACACTATGCTATCACAACAAAGTCTACCACAGTGTCCAAGCCTTTACGGAGATTGAACGCCGCCGAGCAATTCGTCACTACAAAGACAAGCCGGAAGGGCAAGATGCCTAATCTGGGTAAACTTGAGGATGTAGCAGATTTCTTGATCGGAGGCGAGAACGGCGATGGATACATGACAGATGCGACTAGCGGTAGCGAGATGGACACAGATGCTGAGGTTGAGATCTTGGACTCTACTACTCGAAAGGTCTTGTCTGCGAAGGCTAGACAAGCAGCCGCCCAGAACGACGCTGAGCCAGAGGCGGAAGAGGAGAACGTTGAGCGCCGCGCCGTCAAACTCGTCGAGCTCGGTCCCCGAATGCGCCTCCGCCTAACCAAGGTCGAAGAGGGTCTCGCTGGCGGAAAGGTCATGTGGCACGAGTACGTTCACAAGAGCAAGGAAGAGATCAAAGAGCTCGAGAAGCGATGGGAGAAGCGCCACCAAGAAAAGGAGGCACGAAAGAAGGAGCAAAAGGCCAACGTCGAGCGCAAGAAGGCAGCCAAGGCCAAAGACGGCAAGAAGGGTGACGACGATGAGGATGAGTTTGAGTATGACTACGATAGTGATATGGATGTGGATGAGTTTGACAGTGAGGGTCTGGCGGGTGATGCCGAGTTCAAGGTCAATGAGAAGATGGAGGAGGATGGAGAGTGGGAGGATGAGCAGGAGGAGATTGCCAATAGCTGAGTGGAAGACGCCTAGATGGTTGGGGATTGCATGCTTTGGTTTGGCGTTGTGTATAATGGATTGGGCAATGAATACCTTTGTGATTCTTTGTGATTACATGATGTCTCGTGTTTTGTGACGCCACCAAAACGCTGTGATCTTGATGTTTCGTTTTAAAACATATCGCGACTGCATAGAAGTTATCGTATGCTGTCGCATCTCATATTGCCTCATTGAGCTGGAAACATGAAAGTGCAGCGCAACGCCTTTGCATAACTGGTTCAGGGTAAGCATGAGGCCAGCAACACCATGTCAACCATTTGTAAAAGACGAGGTATTCACGCTTCAACTCCTAACATTTAGCATCATCAAGTTGCCCAGCTTAACTTTCTGAGTATTCTCACTTTATCTATATTCTTGGGGATTAGAGACACCGATATCTGTTCACTTCAGCCTCACTTTTGTCTCCAGACAAGGATCAAGTTGTCGTGCCAACTGTGTTCCATGAACGAGTCTCATCACGCGCCTCACCATTCAACACATCCAATTGCCATCTACATCAGAAAACATGTTTCGCATACCCTCTAGAACTCTAAGGACTTCCGGTCTATCGCTCAAGCGAACACCGGTCGGCGTGCGCTTCTCCTCAACTCAGACATCAACGTCCAGTAACGCTCGTTATGTCTGGTCATCCGCAGCCGTGATTGGTGCTGGTACCGGAGTTTATCTCTTCAACGGCAAAGGCACGGTGAAAACTTTGGCAAGTGAAGTCCCGGGCTTGAAGGAGTTCTCTTCGGAGGATCAAATTCCAATCAATTCGCCCGTTAAGACGTTTATTCTCGAGGACGCAAACGCCAAATTGCGTGAGGATGCTCACACTTATGTCTTCGAAGCAAATGGAGGCGTGAAGGGACGAGTGGACTTTGCTCGTCTGGGAAGCAATAACCCCATTGAGGATGAATGGGATCTCAAGATTGCGAAAGGCGTTGGTGGTGCGAGCACCCTTTACGCTGGAGTCTACGATGGGCATGCGTGAGTGACCTGGAAACAGTGGACGTGAGAGATGCTAATACAAACGCAAGAGGATGGGCAACGTCTAAAGTACTGAGAGCTGCTCTCGTCCCATATGTGTCAAATGCCTTATCAAGCATCACACCTACCAGCTCCAACGAGCTAGTAGACGATGCAATCAAGAAGGCATTCGTCCGTCTCGACGATCGCATCTTCAGTAACGCACAAGAAGCAGTCGAATCAGGCCAAGATCCGGGCTCTGCCGCTGTCATCTCCGCCGTCGCACCCGCCATTGCTGGATCTTGTGCACTCCTAACTATGTACGAACCCAAGACTTCAACTCTACGTACTGCTGTCGCAGGCGACTCCCGTGCTGTTCGCGGCATGTGGTCTCCCAACACAAGCAAATACGAGGCCGATGTTCTGAGCAAAGACCAGACTGGCTTCAACCAAGACGAGGTTGACAGGCTCGACAAGGAACACCCCGGAGAGATCAAGGACATGATCAACACCGAGAGTGGTCGGCTCTTTGGAATGGCAATCACAAGGGCATTTGGCGATCACAGGTGGAAATGGTCAGAGGATCTCGTTCGCAAAGTCCAAGGCAATTTCTACGGCACTGGACCACGACCAAATGCCAAGACACAGCCTTACATGACAGCCCGACCTGAAGTAACAACGCGAAAGATCCAGACAGAAGATTTTGTCATTCTTGCGTCCGACGGTCTTTGGGATATGATGAGTAACGAGGACGCCGTGTCATGTGTATCGCGCTGGTTGGTCGCCAGGAAGAGCGGCAAGCCGGAGCCCTTCAAAGAGACAAAGTTTGAGGGGAAACTGGAGGATGGATGGAAAGCCACACCTGAGCATCAGGTCATTGAGGATCTGGACAATGCGGCTGTTTGTCTGGTCAAGAATGCGCTTGGAGGGTCCAGACGGGGATTGTTTCTGGGAGCGATGACCACGTATTCGCCCATGAGCCGGAATGTGAGGGATGATATGACGGTGCAGGTTATCTTCTTCAAGGATCCTTATGAGAGGAAGTAAAGTGTATGAGGAGTGAATGGTCTCACTGTTAGATGCTGAGAGTTCAAAAAGAAAGGTCTCAGAGGGAGTCGAACCCTCGCTGGCGGAATCAGAATCCGCAGTCATAACCGTTAGACCATGAAACCTGACAACTTCGGTTAGCAGCGGCATTGCAAAGTGCTCTCAGATTCTGTTTCGCGAGATTGTTTGTGATTCAAGCGTGTGCAACGTTCATGACGTATCAATGCCTCTTTCTTCATAGACATGAGCTGTACGCTTCGAATCGAGGTGGTAGATACCTCTCTTGACATTCACGAGATGACTTGTAGCTATCGAAAGTAGCCAGCACGTGCATCTGCCTCCTGTTGTAAGCTTCTAGCCGACAAGTAAAGCAGCCAAAAGCGACCTAAACTCCAAGATACGCCATTGATCGCTGCCAATTACATATGCAACCCTCAGCCCTTCCTCTGTTTCAACAATTGAACCCCGACCTTGCCATTCTCGCCCGACTTCGTTATACCACAGACGTCGCTGTCTCTACCAGTTGCCTTCGCCCACTTCTCGACCTCATCATCTAACATCATATCAGCCCCCTCGGCGCCATCCGTCATTCGCGCTGTCTGCGCAAGAGTATGCCAAGTGTTCCCAAGCGCCGAAGCCTTGGTCTTGAGCGCAAAGAGAACAATAGTCGTCAAGACGAGCCCAAGATGTATCGCGACAAGAACGAGAACAATAATAAGTCCAGTCAATCTTGTAGGTATGAGTCGATCCGCCGTATGTATAGTGTTCACAGGGTATTTGAGGTCGTATTCTTCAAGCCAGTTGTAATAGACCATCTGATACAGTCGAGTCATCAAACCTTGAACCGCCGTGGCAGGATCTTCTGTGTCCTGTATAATACTCTGAAAGAGCGAAACGTGTGCAGGGTTCGCTGACCATCCTTGCTCGAATTCCTGTGCTGGCGGCATCATGCCCCAAGTCGTATTAGACATTGATGGACGTTCGAGCCCCAAAGTCCTATAGTATGGATCGTGGGTCGGTCCATCCTTCATCGGCACTCCTTCGACAAAGTCTACAAGACGAGAGCTAACATTCAGAAGTGATCCGATGTTGAGGTCAAGAATCCCGCGCTTTGCGGAGTCTTTCTCGTTCCCAAGCTGAAGACGAGCATCATCAATCTTGCGGGGATGGAGACTGGGTTCCCTGGCAATTTGTCGCCCAGACATGCTAACATTGTATATCTGCGCAGGGTATGTGTTGAAGAAACAAAAAGTGGCACTTAGAACATGACCCCCACTGGCATCATATGCTTTGGTCCATACATCCCCCATCTCATAAGTCAGATTCCGTAGACGCTTAGGCGGGGTTCCTCCATTAGTATCCCTAAACCCGTCGGCAGCAATGTTGGTCGTCGCATTGACAAGGAGCATTTGCTGGAAAGTGTGATCTCTTTCTGTCTTAGGATCTATTGGAAGTTCAGGATGGGGCATGAAAGAGCCAGAATAGTCAGAGACAGAGGCCAGCCTGTCAATTTGCCCTCATCTCGACAATATAGCATACATTCAGCCGGCCCTGTCGTATTTAAAACCGCTGACACACTATCCGTCGCGTTTCCGAAGTGCGGGCTAACTAATCCGTTTGCAGAGATACTCGAGTTCTTCAATGAGGGCGCGCGACAAACGGTACGAACGTTGGCAACCATAGCAGGCCCGTCGTAGGACTCAAGCGATGTTCTTGAGGTCACATCCGAAAATGGTAACATGGCACGATAAACGTCGCCAGTGTCACCGTACCGAGATTTTCCAATTTGAGACTCCGCGAAGCGCCATTGAGCAGATGGTTTAGATCTCCAGTATGTAGGGCCGTTGTAGTTGAAGCGCCAATCGGCAGGGTGTTTGGATGCAATGGCCTGGTTGCGCGTCACGCCTGGGGAGGCGACCTTTGTTGTAGTAAAGTCAGAGAGAAGAATGGTAGAGATAAATGTCGAAACAGCCACGATAGTGAGGCCCATGATAATGATGAACGAGTACAGTATGCTCAATGGACTCCCTGTAGTTTGCCTAAGGACTGCTGGAAAGATGTTGACGAAGCCCGACTTTGAAGCTCTCTCAGAGGACAGGATAGGAACATCCTTGAAGCAAACGCCCGTAGTCTCGAGTATAATCGCCGACAGTGAGGCTGCAACGACGCCAACTTGGACTGCGATTGAAGTGCGTATAACTGCAGAGCAAATGGTGGCGACTCTGACGGCCCAGCCGCTTGTGACTATCGTCTTCCAGAACTCCGGTTCATTGCGATTTTGCGCCAGATCAGCACCCCGCCAGAGATAAATGAGAATAGCGCATGAAGCAAGCGTGAAAGCGGTGCCAAGTGCAAGGGAGAGAAAGCTAAAGAGCCCAATGCTCTGCCATAGAGTGAAACGCCGTCGTGAAGGGCATGCTTGTTCGACCGAAGTTTTGGGAGTGAGTTCCGAGTCGAGTAAGCGTTGACGAGGGCTAGATGGTGCCTCCGATGAATTTATATCTTGAGCCTCGATTGATTCGTGTTGCTCACGTCTATAAGAAGTCAGAACAGGAGGATGAGGTCGCTCGGAGGCTAGTGTAGATACCTCGTGGTCTCGGTGTGCGCTTGGTACTCAACCATGTTCACTGCATTAATACTATACCAAGCCCGATTGAGTATCGGAAATTTAGGGACGGGAAGGGCCTTTAAGGATTGGATTTAAGCATATTTAATGCTCCTGCCTGGAATAAAAATAGACAAGATCGACATTACTGACCAGCCCCCAGCCTCAGCGGCTCAGCTGAACATGCAGCTTTCAACCTCTCACATACACCAATAAACCCACGGACTTATTAGGATAATTGGATGGGCCGTGAAACCATACGTCACCCATCACTTGGCAAGTATGCCGAGGCATACTCGCAACTGCATATCATTTACCACTTCTGTCTCAACATGGCAGAAACACAATCCAGCCCCACGGAGCAAGAAAACTTCTGTCCTAAATACTAAGTTCTGTGTGGTGATTATAAGCTCTCAGCCACAGGTCTCAACTGCAAATAACACATCTAGCTCACTATTTAGACATTATACCATAATGCCTAACCAATTGCTACAGCATAAATGCTGATAAGAGGAAAACCTAGATTATGACTCTTTTGCCTGACTTCAGGGGGCATAAGAAGATGCCTCCAGTGTGTCCGCCAAGACGATCCAACTCAGCACAAAAACCAAGGATCTTGCCAGACAACAAGGACCGTCCTAAATACAATGTGCCAATAAAATCGTAATCCCTCCTCCAATCTTAACCGAAAGTTTATGAGATGCATATCATGCTTACGATCATGTCGTGTTCGTTCAAAGGAACTGACAAGTCAGGCTGTCATATTCAGTATTTCTTCTTAAAAAATCCTATTTCTTAGGAAAATTGACAGGTGTAATGGGAGATCCAGTCTTGAACAAAACCTTAATGTTCTCAAAAGCCTCTCTTTCTCCCCTCTGGAACGCCAAATCGGTCATGCCACCAACATGAGGCTGAACAACGACTCTATCACTTGTTTTGAAGTACTCGTTCAGATCAGGCTCATTTAGAAAGACATCCAGTCCAGCACGTGTAACCTTGCCATTCTCTAAAGCTTTGATGAGTGCATCTTCGTCGATGATAGCTCCACGTGCTGTGTTGACGATGAAAGCACCATCTTTCATGGCCGCGAATTCCTTGGTTGAGATGAGATTTTCTGTTTCCTTGTTCAAAGGGCAGTTGACCGAGACGACATCCGACTGGGAGAGTAAGTCGTGCAAAGATGAGCAGTACGTAGCGTTGTATTTTTCTTCTTCCTCAGCGCTCAACTGCCGACGGTTGTAGTAGTTGATTCGCATGTTGAAAGCCACGGCTCTCTTGGCAAGATACTTTCCAATAGCACCCATACCTATGATTCCGAGTGTCATGCCTGAAGGATCTTGACTCGGAACAACAGGACCTCTCCAGTTCCCCTCACGCACTGAACGCTCACCCCGATATGTATCTCTTACAACAGCCAAGATGAGAAAGAGAGCCATATCAGCGGTAGCTTCAGCGACGGCATCAACACTATTGGCAAGCCAAATTCCCTCTTGAGTCAACCAGTCCACGTTGAAATCATCGTAGCCGGCTGCTGCCGAGGCAATGATCTTGCAGTGAGGAGTGAGATGTTCGAAAATCTTCTGGAAAGGCCGATAAGGAGCTCTGCCCATTCTGATGATGAAGGCGTCGATTGGGCCGTGTTGCTGGAGCATGAGAGGGAGCTTCTCTGAGGCTTCGTGGAGGTTACTGGCTTCCAGGACCTATATATCAGCTGATTAGTTTACTGGACAAGTATGAGCGGGTAGAAAATTCAGGAGGTTTATTTTGGCTCACATCATAGTCAAAATCCTTCTTGAAGTCTTCGATGTACTCATCACTGATGAACTCGGGTTTTCCGAGGGCCACTACGCGGGGTTTTCGCTCTGAGCTGATTTCTGCTGCCATGGTTGTCAACACACCATGAGGAGGCAATCATATGAGAAATATTAGGCAATTAACTCTACCCTGTTTTCCAAAGTTGTGGACGAGATGAGGTATGCATGCCAGTGTTGAATGTCCAGGTTGAGAGTCACAAGGATGATCATTTTGAGGCTGAAGTGGAGATGTTTCCGGCATCCAGAATATATGCCGATCCCAGTTACAGGATACGAATGATAACCACTCTACTCAAAATTGTGAAGCACATACGGAGTTGACAAGTATCTCTAGAAAACAAAATTTGCAACGGTCCTATGCGTTTCTGCGGGTCAACGGCCAGCCTCTTATCACAAGCTTAAACTTAACGCATCCTAACGTTCAGTTACTAGCCGAGTAGCCAATACTCAAAACTGCATGAACACCTTATCGATCTGACCATAAAAAGACATCCAGGCATCAGTATGGACATAGGCTTTTGAGCAAATGATGCTAGATGTTCTTCATGTATCAATCAGCTTCCTGGTCCTACGGATGAAAGAATAATTATGGACAACTATCAGGCAGATAGAAAAGAGCCAATTGTGAGCTTCCTAAGTTTATCCTAACATTGCCTGAGTCCATCTTGAAGTTACCCAAGTATTTTAATTATCCATGCTTTTACCTAGTCCTTGTAGAGTGGTTTTTACATTTCATCTTCACAACCCAGTCCCAGGTAAGACACCAAGTCAGCCTCATGAGGGGTCATCTCCCTTTTGACATCCAGCCTATTTTGCACAGCCCAGCTGATTCAAAACCTCGCCTGTAGTCACTTTCACCTTTCTCTTAAATCTCTGCTTTCATTTAGTCTGCGCAAAATGTCTACTAGTAGTGATTCTCGACTGTATGCACCTCTGGATCGGTCACGACGAGAAATCCGCCTCATAGAGATTCTTTCAACCAAACCAAAAATTGTCTGCAACCTTACCACCGTATCACTCGATCAAGACCCCGAGTTCAGCGCCTTATCATATCTCTGGGGTGACACAGGCAAAACTGAAGCAGTCACTGTCAACGGCGTGGAGCAATTAATCACCTCAAGTCTTGCAAATGCACTGGAATATGTTCCTTATCACTGGAAGAATGCACTTACCGAAAGAGAACCCAAGTCATGTCGGCTTTGGGCAGATGCACTTTGCATCAACCAAGACGATGAACTCGAGAAAGGTCATCAAGTCCAGCTGATGAAGCTCATTTATCCCGCCGCAGAGATTGTTTTTTCCTGTCTTGATATAGAGGCTCCACAGTCGGATATTCGTCTCGCTTTCAAGACATGTGAAACGCTTGCCAAATCTGCTCTTGAACGCGGCCTCGTTCGCTCACCCTGCGAATTCTACCTTTCCTCTGAAGAAAAATGTGTACAAGACTTGGGTTGGCTCTTACAACATCCACTCTTGGATGAAAAGTACCCAATCAACTCCCAGGAGTTCGTGGACGCAGAGCAGGCCATGTCCCGAACGTTACGATTGAGATACTGAGCGAGCTTGGATTTTCCAAGAGCTGGTACTCTCAAAGCGTGTCGTTGTAATTCATCAGCTTGAATTCATGGATTTGAAATTCTTGCTGGATGCGCAATCTTGCGTCCAGCTTCTTAGAGAAAAGGCAGTGGAATCAAAATCAAAATCGAGCCAAGCCCACCATTACTTCTGGCATTTTTATTGGCAGACCTTTTTGACGTTGAGACGAGTCGATTGGGCACGGGCGTGTGTCCATGGAGGAACAAATGCAGACGAGACTGTTTTTCGATACATGCGGAGCTATCTTCTTCTTTTCAGTGGGATGTATGGTGCCAAGAATCCAAAAGATCATGTTTACGCTTTACTTGGAGTAACGGCTCTCGACATTGAGCCAGATTATACCAGCAAAACGCCCGTTGCGTCAGTATATATTGAAGTATGTGCGGAGATCTTAAAATCGCAACAAGTGCAGGACGGTTGGCCGCTTTGCTTTCTTTCGGGAGCGGGTCTTGTGCGTCAAGGCCAAAACCAGGACTATGAATTGCCATCTTGGGTACATAGCTTCCCTTCGACGTTCGGCATAAACAAGTCACCCCATCGCTTACTCAGAGGCTATGACGAACCAAACTACGATAGTCCACAAGAGTGGAATAGCCTGGAATCGGCAAGTATTCGTGGATATAGTTTGACTTGTTCCGCAATATTCTTTCATACCATCATCGATGCAAGTCCGACGTTGGAAGAATCGCATGATAGCTGGTTGAACTTTGTCCCGGCTGTTTTCAGAATGATACACCAGCCTATCAGGAACACAGAAGACCCTCATCCACTTTGGACACTCGCCCGAGCTTTCGGGGCCGATGATGATCACATAAATGTATGGGAAACACCTGCGGCCACTCGACTAATTCGGATATTTCAATACCTCCTATTCCTTTGTCAAGTACCGATCAATGATGACGAAACGCCTGAAGCTGATGCAGCCAAGAAGGCCGAAGCAGTTGCAGAAGATATTCTTGACAAGTTGCCCGAAAACGTCTTGAGCCGAGACAATGGACAATCACCAGAGAACCGCAACAGAAACGAAAAGACCATGCAGAGCTACCGAGAATTCATCTCTCAGATAAGAGATAAAGACTCTTTCTGGAAGGACATAGACAATCAACAGGTGCAACCAGATGTTAGTGGACTCTTCAAGTTAGAGCCAGCGATCGGTCTTACAGAAAGCGGCGAGTTCATTGTACTTCCACGTGTGGCAGAGATAGGAGACCAAGTAGTTCTAATTCCAGGACACTGGCAGCTTTCATTGGTACGGAAAGTGAACAATCACTTTGTCCATGTTGGGGACTGCTGGTCTTCTAGACCGATGCAAGAAGTCGCGGAACTGGCCCGCGCAAAAGAAATGAAAGTGATAGAGATACGGTGATGCAAGACAGATTGCAGAATGTTCTACAGTACACGTGGACCCCTGAGCACACCATCTTCTGCCCTCGACACGAATTGCCCTGCAAGGCCAAGCTATTGCATTGCACTACAGCCACCGTTCTCTTAGCTTCACAACGATTGATAAGGGGTAGCACTCCAGCCCATCAGGTATCAAAGAGTTTCAAGGCTTAGGTCACTCTGAGGAAATGCTAGTTCTGATATTAATTAAATCGCAACAAGCTTAGACCCAATTCACATGAACAACTCAACAGGGTGCTACGTAATCCATCACTGCACATCCGGCCGTGATTGCCGAACTGTAGGACCCCTGCTTTCAAGCTTGTACGAGAAAAGCAGCTGGTTTTCCCAAGTCGAATGCGGCTGGAATTTTAGCATGAAGCTAGTGATTCAGGAGAACAGGAGCTTTCCAGGATGATGATCCCGTTCAATCAGAGGCGTCAGCATTGGCATGCTTGTATATCCGAACCATGGGAAAAGGTCGATATAATTGCTTTTTGCTGAGGGCTTTTTTCGTGGGTTCAGTTGCAAGATATCTGGATCAAAATGGCACGATAAAAAAGGTCAAAACTCCGAGCCAAGAACCGCGGGTGTGCAGGCGCCTCCGGGTTGCCGTTTGGCTAAAGAACGGGAGCACTGGGGTTAGCCATTTCGGGGGATAGACTGACGGGTTACGTTTTTTGGTGGCGGGAGGAGAAATTTCTGGTCTATTTTTGAGGAGGCCCAAGAATTATGTAAGGGAGGAAGAGATTTTTAACAAAAAGGAATGGGTTGTTACATAAACCGTTTGGCTTGTGAAGTTACTCGACTCATGAAACTGAAGACCATGGCGTCTAGACTACAGAAGCAAAGAATGCTGATGGTCTTGAGGGCTGAGAAAAGGTCTTGGCAACTGCCAGGAACCATTTCGACGAACCAACTGAGTTATTTGAGCAACCAATGGAATTGTTCAAGACTGGAGAGTATCGAATTGATGTCCCAGAGAGTCGGATGGACATACCGTATATCCAGAGGCACAGCATTTGCAGCGTTACATTGTGTAACCGAGGTTTGATGCAATTCAAGGATATCCCATGTCCCAAACCCGCAGGGGCACTGGGTAATGGTTCCGTAGCCACGGCTCAGGTACCAAAGAATTTAAAGTTTCACAAATGGAAACGAAAAAACTGACACCATCGCAAAGAGACAGACAAGTTGGTTCAGCTGAGATCCTCAATGCAGATCACTTTCCTATTCCAAACATTGAATTCGAGATACGAGCGATTTATTATTAAGTTTCCGCCAAAAGAACTAAATCTGCATCTTAAAACTCTGCTGCCAAGCCATTTGTGTCATATTTCCCAAGTACCCTTCCTATACAGGCCTCGCGCAGCCACCAAAGAACTAAACTCCTTCTAGACCTGCATTTCATTTTCAACACACCACTTTTTTCAAACTGCCGAAACAGAAAGTGGGTGGGATAATTTACGATTCCAGAAAAAACTCTGTATCAGTGAGAGTGAAGCACGATAATAATAATAATCTGCTAACTATGAACGTCCGTAGCTTCCGCACGGGTCAGCTGTTCCGTTTCCGAGTTCACTTCTTCCTCTCCCACTCGGTCGGTCACCCTGTGGAGTTGCATTACAGTCCGAAATCCTTTTAGTTCGAGGGGAAAAGCAGGAAACGTTAGGTTGGGTAGTAAATTAATGGCTTGGCTCTGTATAAGGAGTTTAACTCACCCTCGATCGAATTTTACGGTTTCCTCTAGTTTCTTGCTCTAAACAAAAGATTTGATGGTGTAGAAACCGTCTCTCTTCATGGAGAAAAGAGTCTAAGTCTACGCTTCGCTATGACGGACCCAAAAGTCGCCCAGGCCATTGCCGACGGAAGAGTCCCCAAGGGAATAACGGCGGCTTACCTCAACGAGTCCAAAGATGCACCCGCCATTGTGGGTATTATCTTGGTTACTTGTATAACGAGTATTATTGTTCTTGGTCGCCTTGCATCACGAGCATTCCTCATCCGACGATTTGGAATTGATGATTATTTGACCTTGGTATCATGGGTAAGTTCTTTTTTATTATTCTCCGTTACTGGACCCCATCGCGGGTGTAGATCCCCCCACTGGTGTAGCATCGTCAGAAAACTGACAGATCGGTTAGCTTTGCTTGGTAGTATTCGTTGGCCTGTGCATCAAGCTCATCCAGCTGGGTTCTGGACGACATTTTGACTATATCCAATATGTTCTCGACATGCCGACGATTGAATACACCGAGGTTCTCGACTTCATCGCTCATATCATTTATACGATTGCGCTGTTGTTCTGTCGAATGTCTGGTTTGGCATTCTACCATCGACTCTGCGCTGTACACGACCGTCTCCGACTCTCGATCAAGATCGTTCTCGGCATTCTAATCGCTGGATTCTTACCGCAAGTTTTCCTTATTATCTTTCATTGTACGCCTGTTACGGGACTTTGGCCGTATGAGTGGCAGCCTGATTTTGACAAGTATACTTGCTTGCAATGGGGATTGGTTTATAGCGTCAATTCGTCGGTGTCACTGGTCTGCGACTTGTTGCTGTTTGGTATCCCGATTGTGATGCTTAGAGTGCTGGAGATGCCAAGAAAGAGAAAGATCCAGTTGGGATGCATTCTGTTGCCTGGTGTTTCGTAAGTTTCACTTCAGATATGGAGGAGATTGCTGTTGCTAACATTGTATTAGTGTCATTGCCATCTCTATTACACGTCTCGTTTTTGTTATTGAAGGGCAATGGAACACCGACATGTCTTGGGCTTGTAAGTCAATCACATATCAGTACCGAATCAATTGTCTAACACCTGACAGATAACCCAATGCTGGCCATTGAAGTCAGTGAAATCGGCGCCACCCTCATCGCCCTCTCAGTCCCAGGTGTCAAGCCTCTCTTCGACAAATTCATCCTCCGACGAGACATCAGCCAGGGCGAGAGCACAGGAAAGTCACGATACGCACAGCAACACAGTTCCAAGGGCGGCACAGCACTGCGATCACTCCACTTCCGTCCCGAACACGATGTTCTCACCAGTCGCGACACGTCTGCCGAGGGGATCAAGACGTATCGCACGAAGAATGTCTCGGCGGATAATACGAGCGAGAACAGCGCGGATGGAATTTTGGTACAGGTGGATTTTAGGATAAAAGAGGATACGCAGGACTCCAAGAGTGGGAGCGATGCTGGACGGTCGTGGAAATAATGGTCTCTTGGATGTGTTATGTATAAGGAAAAGTTTTGGGACGGATTGTAAGCGATGACATTGAGGAAGGCAATGATCGAGCGACTTTATTATTCTTCTTCTTCATGAATACCCGTTATGAGACGATGATATCGAAATAACTTGAAATTTTACTCAGTTTCTGTGCCCCTTCTCTGCTTTCTTCGATGTTTGGTTCCTGAACCCTCCCGACACGCGGGAACACGATCTTCAATGCACAATACATGCACGTCAAATCCCACTTCTAGAAGGATTCATCTCTTCTTTCGTAACAGAAACCAATTCACCTTCCAAATCCATTTGCTCTTCTCCATCAAACCCGGCAGAAAAGACCCGAATATGAAGAGCCATTATCAATCTGCGCGACTTTTCAAGCCTGACAATGCCTCGATCGAGTTTAGACCTACCGTAAATCACGATCCACTAAATCCTTTAGCGGCGCAGTCCGCTAAAAGCTTCAGGGTCTCCTCCCCGGCCTTGGCCCCCCCCGCCCATCCGGCTTGACTGATCCGTGGTAATCTTCAAAATGCGAGGCCAGTTAGTAACATGACATGGGCAATTGAATGCAAGGCCATGACATGACATTTTCTGTTTAGTTCAGTTGACGTTGTCTAGCGGCCGAATGTGCTCCCAGCAGCCGCTCCGCAGTCTCCGTCTTCGCCGATTCCAAGTTCGCCGCTGGGGGACCCTTGTAGTAATTAATGCACATAGCTTACCTTACCTAGGTAGGGAATAAACAAAACAGCTTCTATTCCCTCCCTCTCTTCCCTTTGAACACCACGGCCTTTCTGTTGCTCATCAAATCCGATTCACCATGAAGCTTCTCGGGTTGTCGTTGGCCACGGGCCTCATCGCCCAGGGCGTGAGCGCTACGCCTAAGCAGTCTAAGAATGAGCCTCTGTTCGCGATCCAGCCGAACATGATCCCCTTGGAGAAGAATGCTGGATCGCCCGATTTGTTCCCCATGCCTGATTGCAATGGCTTCAAGCTTGAGGAGGCTACTTTTACGGAGATGCAGAATGCTATGAAGGCTGGCAAGCTTACTTCTGTCCAGCTTGTGACTTGCTACCTCATGCGCTCGTATCAGACTAAGGAGTACATCAAGTAAGTTAACTGAAGGTCAATTGCACGGTCAATTGATGCGATTGATACCTCGAACGTGACTAACAATGCGCAGCTCTGTTCTGCAGGTCAACCCCGATGCCTTCGCCATCGCAGCAGAGCGCGACGCCGAGCGCGCAAAGGGCAAATGCCGCGGCCCTCTGCACGGCATCCCCTTCACCGTCAAGGACAACATCGCCACCAAGGACAGTCTCGAGACCACCGCCGGCAGCTGGGCGCTCCTTGGAAACGTCGTCCCCCGCGATGCGCACGTCGTCAAGAAGCTCCGCGACGCCGGCGCCGTTCTCTTCGGCAAGGCTGCTCTCAGCGAGTGGGCTGATATGCGCAGCAACGATTACTCCGAGGGTTACTCTGCGCGCGGTGGTCAGGTTCGCAGCGCTTACAACTTGACTGTTAATCCTGGTGGTAGCTCTTCTGGTAGCGGTGTTGGTGTCGGTGCTAATGCGATTGCGTTTTCGCTGGGTACTGAGACTGATGGTAGTGGTGAGTTTTACTGAGCCTGTAAGCTGTGGATTGCACTGATGGTGTCGCAGTTATTAACCCCGCCAACCGAAATGCCCTCGTTGGTATTAAGCCTACTGTTGGTCTTACTTCTCGTGCTGGTGTCATTCCCGAGAGTGAGCACCAGGACTCTGTCGGTTGCTTTGCCAAGAATGTCAAGGATGCTGCTCTTGTTCTCGACGCCATTTACGGTGTTGATAAGCGCGACAACTACACTGAGGGTCAGAAGAACAAGACCCCCAAGGGCGGTTATGCGCAGTACCTCACTGATAAGAAGGCTCTCAAGGGCGCTACCTTTGGTCTTCCCTGGAAGAGCTTCTGGGCCCTTGCCGATGAGGACATGCAGTCTCAACTTCTCGAGCTCGTTGACCTGATCAAGTCTGCTGGCGCTACCATCATCAATGGCACTGAGATCACCAACTATGAGACTCTTGTCAGCCCTGATGGATGGAACTGGGATTATGGTACTACTCGAGGTTTCCCCAATGAGTCTGAGTATACCTACATCAAGGTTGACTTTTACCGCAACATCGAGACCTACCTGAGCGAGGTCAAGAACACCAACGTCCGCAACCTTGAGGACATCGTCAAGTAAGCGCGCCGTGTCTCAATTGTCTGAATAATACTAACGATTTCAGGTTCAACAAGCAGTACGATGGTGTTGAGGGTGGCTACCCGTACAAGGACGGCAAGGGTATTCCCGCTTTCGCCTCCGGTCAAGACGGTTTCCTCGCCTCTCTCAAGACCAAGGGCGTTCAAGACGAGACCTACTGGCAAGCCCTCGAGTTCTGCCAAACCTCTTGCCGCAAGGGTATCAACGACGCTCTCACCTACAAGGGCAAGAAGCTATCCGGTCTTCTTGTCCCTCCCCAAGTCGCCCAGGCTCCTCAGATCGCTGCACAAGCTGGTTACCCCGTCATCACCATCCCCGGTGGTTACGCCAAGGACTCTGGAATGCCTTTTGGTCTCGGAATCATGCAGACTGCGTGGGCTGAAGCTGAGCTGGTCAAGTGGGCTAGCGCAATTGAGGATCTTCAGCGATCTACTGATGCTCCCTCAAAGCGTCGCCTTCCCAAGTTCCTTGGATACCTTGAGCGCAACGTTCCCGTGCCTTTCTAAGCGCTGAACCAATTGATGCGCGTTTTGGATCGTATATAATAGTAGATAGCAATACGTAACTTTTAATGATATTATGGCTGAAGCCTTATTCAAGTACGGTCGCAATCGGAACTTGTGTAACAAATAACATTCTATAAGCCAGCACCAAGCAGAGAGCTCTTGACGACGCGCTCGAGTAGAAGCCGAGCTCTATTCTATGGACTGGCCGACTTCTACACAAAAATATGATGAGAAGCAAAAAGACAGAACGACACACTGTAAAAAAGATGAGGTCCTACCCGGGTTCGAACCGGGGACTTCGGAAGGGTTTGAGTGGTGATCAAAATCCAACGTCCTAACCACTAGACTATAGGACCTTCGGTGAGAAGGTTAACTCCAAATGGAGCTTAACAGCCAATCTGCTTTACAGTGAGACAATATGCAAAAAGCGAGGTCCTACCCGGGTTCGAACCGGGGTCTTCGGAAGGCTTTCGAGGGTATCAAAATCCGACGTCATTACCACTAAACTATAGGACCAGACGATGCGAAAGCGTCAAGAGCGGGCATTTATATACGCCAGCCGCACGTTTTCGCGACTTGAAACGAAATATCATCGACGTTATCTCCTCAGGTTTTACATATTTCATGTCGGAATTGTGTTACAGACTTAAATTTCATTCATCTTTAGGTTTAATACATCACACAGTTGCATTAAATGTTAAAAATAAAGTTCAGTATAGAATATTGTGAATTATACTCTATGTCTGTACTGCGGTCTCTAAAGTTCTGCTCTAGATTTGTCTATTCAGAAGGCCAAATTTCCAAAAACCCTCCTTATCGTATCTTTACCAGCCCGGATACCACTATCCCAATCTACCCTTCTCAAATTTCCGGTCCAGCCAAAGGGGATTCTCTAGACGTCATCAACACTTACCCCCAACAACTCACCCATAATAAGGCTCCTCCCGATCATAAGGCCGCATCTGATACCAGCCGTTCGCCTTGATGCGATCCTTCACAGCCTTTGGAACAGCTTCCAGCGGCTCGCGACGGAGAAAGCCCTCATCCTGAAGGCGCTGGACCAAGTTCTCAGGCATGGGAAGATGGACACGAATGGTAAACTGCATGATGTCACCAACGACAGTGAAGTTGTTACGGCCGTAGAAAAGCTCAAGACCATCACGGAGGCGGTCTAGACCAAACATCAAAGTTGGGTTGATGGTGTGCTCGTAGGTCTCATAATGACGACGGTTGCTGTCGCGGTTCCGGTTCTCATTGCGGTTACGGCTGTCGCTGCGGTCGCGGTTGGGTATTTCGAAAACCATGATGGCGGTTGAAGGAAATGCCGATGACAAGAAAGGTGAATCGAGATGAAGATGCCTGTGTAAGTTCTGAAAGATGATGGTGAGTATGTATTGATGTTAACAAGTTGTTGTGTGATAGCAGCTGATAGAAATCTCAATATGAGTGTTGATAAGAGAGAGGAAAGGTTTAGGGAGATGACATGCGGAGGTTCAATATATAGTATAATTCTGGAAAGTGAAGCAGTGGAAGCGATTTCCTGTTACGTTAATGTTCTGCAGTTTTGCTTTTGAGTTGACACTGGTACAAATCTTTGGATTCAATCAGAGACTCTGTTTCCGTGTAACAGACATTCACTGATGATATGTGGATGACCTTATGAACTTTAACGCATATAGTATACCTAGAGAAGAATGAGATTTACGGGTCACATGAGTAGACGAAATCAACGATGGTCGAACAAACCAGTACTGTATTCAATATATGACAAGAACAGAGCAGCTGGATATGAGAGATGCTCTTAGGGAACATGATGTGCGACGCAGTTTGTGGGCCAAATCATAAAATAAAGGTTGAATAAGTTTCCATTCACTCTGTGAACATAATCCGAGTATAAAAAGATTGAGTCTCTGGTTGTATGTGCTGCTGTTTGTATACAGAACATTCCTGACCATCCAAACAACAACAAAATCCGACCAAAACATCAAGAGCTCAGACGAAATGACTCAAACTGGCAATAAAATAAGAGAACATCTGATTTGAAATATTCAAGCCATCTTTCCCTTGTTCACACCACCAACTCCAACCCCAGCCAAGAACAAAGTCCTCACAACAGCAACCCAGCCAGTGAACACGTAGTTCCCCCAATCCTGCCATCTGAACATAGACAACTCAGACCGGCCCTGCTGTTTCATGCTGACAAAGACACTGATCAAGATCGAAATGTCGATGAGAAGCACCCCGCCAATGACAACTCTCCATACTTTGATATCGGAGCTGGTTCGGAGAAGCACTGCGAGTATAATGCCGACGAAAGCATAGAGAGCAGCGAGTTGGTGGAATAGAAAGGCCTGGTCTGGATTGTAGGGAGACATGCTCAATGGGATGAGGCCGTCGAGCATGAAGTCGGGGGTGAAGATGAGACCGTAGACGGTTGGGATGAGGGTCATTGGGTCGACCCAAGTGAACCAGATGCGGTAGAAATTATGAACATTGAGTTCAGACATGGTAATTACTTCGGCGGTCTATCTTTTCAGATGAGATGAGGCAAAAGAATGGTTCTGAAGAGAGAATTCCGGTGCTGCTATAGGAAGCAAATCGTAACTTGTGGGGTAACGTCAGCAGAGAAATGAGGCTAGGTCGCGCATCACGTCTTATGTCAGCTGGCAGTTAAGAGTCAGGATACAGCCGTTTAATTATTTGACATCCTTACTTGAGAGGTAATAATGATTTAGAAGCGTCTTTTCTGTTGTTCAAATTTCTTTCTATACCATGAATTCCACCTATTCATAAGACATGCGTGATGCTAGTATCCAAACTATCAGGGTTAAACCACCACTCAAGTGTTCCAGCCCAAGGCAACTCCATCCACGTCCATTCTCCTTCAGCCTCTGGAGGCGTCACACTCACGGCGGCTACATGTGGAGGTATCTGTATAATCTTCCCCGGCCTTGTCCCAATAAATAGTCCTCTTGAATCGCCTCCTGTAAGCGGCGGATCAGCCCAGTCAAACCGAAAGCACCCAACACTCGCCTCACTCCCATCTGCATGTCGAAAGAGTAAACCCGTGACCTTCTTGTACGGGGCTTCAACCATACGGCTGTTTTCCAAGTCAAAGTGTCGAATCACGCCCATGTCCTTCTCATTCTTGCTCTTACAAACAATTACTTTTGTGACACTTTCCAGGGATGCAGAAGAGCAGTGTAAAGTATGAAGCGGGTTGAAACGTGGCATGGCAGCAAGTGGTGTTTGTATCGGCGAGGGAACCTCGAGGTGGTTATCGAGTAATCTTGGCGCAGCTATCAAAGGTATTCCATGGTCTGAAGGAGAAAAGAAAATTCGAAGCGGTGCATTCACGGAGGTAGTCGCTATCAGATTCCAGTGACGATGATTCGAATACGGCGTGTATTGTCCATGATGACCTGGGAAACCCCCTGCAACAAGTGTTCGACCTTTATTCGTAACAAGCTTGCCCACCATCAGCTGAAAAGTTCATTAGTACTAAAAGCCAGCGAAAAGTCTTACCCCAAACGCTATGTCACTGAGTCTCTTGTATTTCTGCAATCCCCATGGTGTCGACAAATGGTATCGCAGACCGCCTTCACCTTGAGATGGGAGGGGTCTGGTCGTATCATATTTCTCGGACCCTCGTAGCCAAACTTCCTGGATGGACTCATCTTCTTGAATGGGATAGTAGGTCCACTTGAGGTGGCTTCGGTCTTCATACTCAGAGTGCTCATCCAATAGTGAACCGTCGGCGTCGGCCTGTTCCACGTTACGATGAACATGAACCGAAACCATCTCATCATTGGCCCAACAGACGGAATATCCAATTGTACCAGGTTCATTGAAAGTCAGTGTTCTTAACCTGGCCTCAAGATCTCCTTCGCCCCAACCAGCATAGTAGAATGTCATTGAATCGAGTTCAGACGGTGTTACTGGATGAGGCCAAAAAACTCGAGGGTAAACAGAAGGAGTCAATAGTTCTCGGAGCTTGAGGCCCTGCGAATATGAAGTTAGCATTTGGTATACTGAATGGTCTTGAGGACTTACATCACCACGGAAAGTAAGCGTTTGTTTGTCCGTTGATACTGTTTGCCAATAGGCCGGATATATTGTATCTAAGCTGACTTCGTTCGGTTCTGAAGTGATTAGCCTGATGCCCATGTGGTCATTTTCAACATATAAGTTCTTAAACTCTGATGAAGGTATCAATGTCGTAGCCTGACGGCTCACAATACCGGAAGAGTTTGTGAGTGAACCGACATACTGCACACCATCCATGCTGACGGTTGTGCTCAGCATTGCGAGCGATGGATTAACGAACCACTCAGTCTGGCGATGATGCAGAGAAATCTCCGCTATGGTATAGAGCCTGATCAACTTGTCATCATCGGACACGATATGCCAAAGTTCTGGCGACAGTTTGCCATATGCTTTGCGCAGGGCATCCTCTATCAATTCCCGAACACGGCTTCTCCGTCTTTCATGGTTTAACGCGACATGCCGATAAGAGTGCTCGGTGATCAGGCGGTACTCGTGGAGAGGAGTTCCGAAAGGAGCAGCCATATAAACGCACTCGGCATGGAAAGCGATGGCGAGTCCCCTGTTATGGGTGCAATATGGATAGTCGCAATGCCGGAAGGAAATGTTTAGAGACTTGTCGAAATAGAGAAGCGCGTAGCATTTCTCGTAGTAGACAATGAACGGGGATGATACTTGGTCATCTGGAGTCACTGCAATTGATCAGCTAGACCCCGGAGATGCCGTTTTCGATTACTTTAACTTACAGGTAACAATCTTGTCTTTCTCCCTATTTATAGGGAAGCGGCATAGTCGGCACAGGCTCGTGTCGACACATACTGGGTTTCGAAGATGATTCTCACCGGACATGTTTGATGAAAGAACGAAAAAGCCATCTGGTCCGACCTCCGGTGCCCCTGGAGGAAGAGCCATGGTCTTTCAGAGTGAATGCCACAGATTCATCGTGGAAGAGATTGAGTCCGAACGACTCCGAGGAGATAAGACATTTTGAATGCTGAAGTGAGGAGAGCTAAGACATAAGCTGAGGTGGTGACGTAGAACAACCAACCACGGGACGATAAATCTGACAGCGAATCGGTATCTTCCTTCCTGGCAGTGGTCTTTATCTCGTTGCTTCAATGTCCCAAAGAAATTCATTTTTCTATATCGTTTTAATAGTGACGATGATAACAAGCGAACAAAGCTCGCCGTTCAAGGTTCTGGGAAAAAAAAAAAAATGCTTTGTCAATTTCTGTAGCTATTTTGCCAGTTCATCGTCGCCTATAGCTTGATGAAATCAATGCAGCCGTTGATGTCTTTGAACCAAGATCTTGAGACCGTACGGTTCCATCATCATCAGCGCCTTACATTCTATTCAGGCGTTCAACTTCTGCATCAATATCCAACTCTGGATAGTCTAACGATGTCTTAGGGCGTTCCAGCCGCGGCGCTCTTCGCCGTCTTGGGGGATCCTTTCTTTCCCAAAGATCTCTGTAAACCTTCTTAACCGGAATAGCATCTCCTGGGTCTATTCGAACCCTGTTATCAGAGGTTGGTAAGATGGGGAGCGGACACTTGGCCATGACGTCCTCACTGTCTGCTAGAAGAAATGATATCAAGGCCGATTGTTGAGTATCGAGAAGCTGACAGACACGGAAGGTGACTCTTTCACGGGTACACTGAAAGTACACATTTGGTTCATCGTCACCCGTCCATGTCTGTGAATGGTCAAAAAGTGCTACTCCGCCTAGAATGCGGTTTTCCGCCCAATATCCAACCATGTCATCAACACCGTTTGGATACCGGTCATGAGCCGTAAATTGAGTTGCAATAAACATTGTCAGCCCCGGAGCAACGCGGCACAAACCATCGGGAGGTCGCTCCCATTTAGTGGTAGACTCAACATTATGCCCGGCAGTTGTAGCAGGATCATGGACTTTCTCTAGCTGTGATAGTCGAACACCGATTTGATGCAGGGCGCACGCAGTCATCTCAATAAGACGTAGGTGGAAGGATCGAGATGAGGGTTTCGCCTCTTGATACCGATTCAGTTTCTGTAAAATATTAGAAAACTGAGTGAGTGATTAAGCGTTGCTGAGAGTTATACCTCTAGATCGACCATGATATCAGCCATGGAGAACTGTGCACGGAAACCTTTGGCCTTCTCTAACGCTCCATCGCAGAGCGTTTTGTGATTGTTTATAGGGTGAGCAGGATCATAAATGCTCGAATATCGGTCCCAGACAACATCAGCTATCGGCAGACCGTCAATAATCTGGGCGTATGTCGTAAGTGCGATGTCAGTGTTGAGAACATTGCGAAGCGCCAAAGATAAAGAATCGTAATGATATCCCTCAAGTCGGTCGAGCCCAACATATTCTGGAGATGGCATTTTTCTCTCTGAGAAAACAAAGTGGTCTGTATGTACGTAACGCTGGACTGACGGGAGCTGAAGAATGATGTCGGAGGAGAGTTGAGCCAGGCAATTGCCAAAGCGCGCGGCTACAGACCTGTAACAGCTGTGGGTGGGGTCGATTGCCCAATGGCCCAGCGGCTAAACTTCACCTACGCTGAGTTGTCCTTCGTGTTCCTCATTTAGAACCCCCGTAAACCTTATAAATATTTAAAGGCATACTTAGGCTTGAGAATATGGCTAACAGCCAACATTTCAGTATCAGAAAATGCATGTTGGTGATATTTCATCGCAACTGTAGCACCGAGCGCCAAATAAGGTCAGCCAAAGCAAGAAAGCGCCTACAATTTGAGGGTGCTTACGCGTTCAGTAATGTTATCTGCGACCAACACTGTGGGTAATGGAAGGTGCCTCTGGTAAAGACATCCCATGGAACCCAAGCAACACAGATAGCTGTAGCACCAACATACACACCATCATTATCCTGCGGTTAGCAAGGGTGTGTAGGGAACTGATCCCACGGGGGCGCGTAGCACCCAAGCACCCATGGCGATTTTTCTTTTTACACTATTCAGAAGATGAGATACTTAGGGTATAAGAGCGACATATCCTCCGCCATGAAGCGTCCATCAATTTGCTCAAGCCACAACATCTACTGTTTCCAGCATCAAAACATCTTTGATCACTTGTCTTTCGTCCTCACTCAAGTCTCTTTATTCCGAATTTAGACTTCTTGATCCTAAATTTAGTCACTCCTATCCTTCCTTTAGTTTAACTATCCTAAGCTTAGTCTTTTTCATCCAATCTTTAGCTCAACTATCCTAACTTTACTATGTCTCGCCGCGGGTATGTTCAAAAGATATTACACAGACCTCAACTAACCTTACTAGTCCTTCTTCCAGCTCACGTGGGCAGCGGGCTGCCAGTCCTTCCGAGATGATCGGGCGCCTTAGAGTCATGGTCGAGGCAGATCAGGCTCAACCTGGCTATGACTATGCGCAGACCAGGCTCCCGGATACATCAGTCGAGTTTCGTGCTGCAGCTACAGTTGTCAATTTGGCTTTGAGCATGCTTGAGACTCCAGAAGGGAGATCCCGTATAACTCAGATTGGCCAGACGTTCATCTCATACAGGAGGAGTTTCCAACACATTTATGAAGATGACCCTCGCAACATGCCGTGGTGGGTTGATTTCTTCCTTAACAGGCTTCGAGCTAGCTTTCCCAATGTGGTTTTGAGTAATCACATCAAAGGAGAAGGATCCGCTCAGAAGTCAAACTGGGCAAGAGGCGGCTTGAAGATGAGAGAATGGGATCCGAGCATGGCCGGGACTATGAGACTCAATAAGAAGGTATGCGTGAGTGCCTTTGTTGTTACAAGAATAGGACTAATGAGCGTCGCAGGTCATTGAGAACATGATAACTGCTGGTAACAACTCTGCCTCTACCAATAACCCCGACGAATTGGCCGCATTCGAATCCTTTATGTTTCTTGTCAGCGTCACTATTGCCCATGAACTAATGCACCTTTTCGTTGGATTCCTCACGGGCTACAATTGGCCCGCAACACCCCCACAGCTCTCTTTCTTGCCTGAACTGTTCAACAACGAGATTGATAACGAAGAGGTTGGTGAATCTGGACGATACTGGGAGGGTATGGTCCTTGGAGGAACCATTGAGACATATGAGAATACCTCGAACCCCCTTGGGACCCGGCAAGCTGGCGACTTGTTTTTATTTGACAGTCAAATGCGCGCAAGAAAGCTTGACCGGGCATGCATCAGACGGAACCTGGAATTCAGTAAGTCTGATAATACATTCGGCGTGTTTTTAAGTAACTAACATCCTTAGACTTTGAGTTTCCTCTTCGGACTGTAGGTCGTTCCATTCACATCGACGACATCGATGACCAGCGACGACCAATGAAAGATGCACGAGCTGCCTCACTTCCGCGCGGAGTTTCACTTGACAGAGATCGAGCCCGCACTGTTGAGCCTGCTCAGTTGGAATTCTATGCCGGGCTTCCATCGCACACTGTCAGTGGAAGAGAATTCGAACTTATCCGACGGATCCCAAGGATGCCTGTATATCTGTTTGCGGCTGCATAGATGGTTGAAAGAACCCATAGAGTATGATATAACTCGGCGCAGGTAGCTGAATGAGTCAAGTTTTAGTACTGTTCTAGTTTATATACTGTATCCATCTTATAATCAGATCAGAATAAACTTAGGTTTATTGTGACCATATCATCATAAGACAGTCAGGCTTGGCAGCCACACCGAGGAATGCGACGGGGGTGTTCTAGGCCAATCATGTCAGGCTCACTGCCACTTCGGAGCCCACCATCCCCTCTCCCCACCTTAATGTCATCAACATCATGGTCAAAGATAGTGCTTGTGTTTGTCATTTGCAATGCCAGCTTTATCGGAATGAAGTTTTAGTATTCGACAACAAGCTTTTTCAATAATGGAAGAACCAGATCATGTGCTTGATGGCACCATTTCCCATGCTCGCTGTTGTCTCTGCGGAATCGCCATTCTTGGCGAATTCGAAACGCCACTATGGCTATGTCAGTTTCACACTGGTCAGTCAAAGTCTTAACAATAAATGGAAAGAATCTAGTGATTAATTGTTGAAAGTTTACGCTATTGAAAGAGAGGCAAATGCGAGAGCGTACCTCTCGACTTCCGGACGCAGGCGAGGTCAATCCGATCATATCACTGTTGACCCTTCAGATGTCAAGTTCAAGGACAAAAAGACTATCAGAGTGAATCTCATGCCTTACGACTTTGATGACCCTTCCCGCTACCCATTTGTCTCTGATATCACGCCTGACGCTTGGGGGTATCCGTTTCATTCAGCTTGTTGGAAGATTTTGAACATTTTCGAACCTATCGAACAGGAAGATCTCCAATCCATTCTGAACCTCTGCCGCTCAGTTCCCAAGCAAATGGGAATGCTGAACTGGGGTCACGAATATGGCGGGAGAGCTCGACATCATCTCAAAGTCGCCCCGGGCGAGGAGAATTTCCTAACCTCTTCACCAGTTGTCGTCGGCATGGATATCAACCCTCACAGCATTGTCGAGCTTATGCAGATATTCGACAGTCATGCATCAAATACAACCAAGGACAACTTTCCGAAGATCAACCCGTTACCAAAGCTTCATCAGGTCACAGCTCCTGACCCATTTGCCGAATTACCAACCGATATTCTTCTTGCACTCGCCGACCATCTGACCCTCCCGGAGCTCACTCTCATGAAGCAATCTTCGCGCACTTTTACCAATCTTGAACTACCCAGTCGGTTTTGGCGGAAGAGGTTTCGACTTGGACGGGAGTTTGACTACATCTTTGAGGCCAGAGACCATACCGGAGGAAACTGGGAGTCGATATGCAGAGCTATTAACGCCTCGAAATCTAATGGCATGGTTCGATACTCTCTGCACCTGAGAAGACACATTTGGGATCTATGCTACCCCATGCACCAAGTGCTCGAAAGTATGCGGCATACTACTTGTGATGGAAGCCCCGTAAAATCCACCTTCGAACCAGATGCGATGCCTGATGCGTTAGCTAGTGAAAAGAGCTGGATCACTGTCAGTCGGGCACTCAAGCCTCCCGGAGAAACGTTCGAAAGAGGGTCGAGAATTATACACGATCGCGTGGTGGTGTTACCCAGCGAGCTATCTGCTGTTTACGTATCGACAGTCGATCTTTTCGGGCGACGCTACGTATCCGGACTGAGATTCAGGGATAGCGACGGGAAGGATCTCACTCTTGGTTTTCAGCACCCTAGGCAAGAGGAGCTTCTAGCCCAACAGGCAAATAGTCTTCAGATCATCGGCTTTGATGTCGCTTTTGATCAACGCGGAGTCAGAGGCCTCTGTATACTCTTTGGCAGTGGCGATCGGTCTAATTGGGCAGGTGAGCACAAGGATATACCCAAACGAAGGATACAAAGTTGCTCGGAAGAAGACACTTTTAGCCATCTGAAGGGCGGGTTTGATGTGAGTTATGAGGATTACTTCTCTTTGAAGATCGTGCGACTGACCTGAAAATGTAGGCCGCGAAGCTAGTGGCCATATCTATCAACCGAGACTCATCGTCAGAGGAACAAGCGATGCCTGAATTATGGTACCCAGAGATCCCAAGTCCCGACCTGCTCTTCCTAAAACTCAACACCGCTCTAGCCGAGGATATGAGGTTCGGCTCAGCCCTCGAACAAGACCTACCAGCCTGTTTTGCACTTTTCCCTGATAGAGACCCAAGTATGCTCAGCAAAATCACAGTCAGGCATCGTGTTCATGAAAAGGACATGCTGAAGATCGAGTCTGTAACAATGACCTCGACGGACCAGCGCGAGAATGAACTTGGTTTCAGACGCACAGATGGAAGATACAATAAATACTACGACATCAACTACGATCATGAAGTAAGTTTCAGCATTGACGGCCCAGGTGGGGAGCGGATAGAGAGTATGAGGACGTGTTACTTGCTGCATGGATTTGTTGTAGGATTTGAGGTGAGCAGGCTCTCTATTGGCGCGATGAACGGGAACTCACTATTGTCCTTAGGTGAAGACGAACCGAGATCGAACTGCGACATTTACAGGGGGAACGGGTGTTGAGAAACAGAGGAATATTGAATGGACAAATTTCAATACTGAAGGACGGACAGTAGTTGGTTTTTGGGCAACGATGGTAAGTCTCGATTGCAATAGCGATGCCACGTTGTGTGCTGATTTTTCCAGGAAACGGAACCTGGATTTCTCGCCTTTGGTCCCGTGCTTCGTTGAGAATACGAACTTCGATTACGAACTCTATATAATGGTCTTCTACCATAATAGTGCAGAGTCTCTAGACCCAAGCTGTTTAAGCATCAACAGGAAACAGTAGCGGATCCCTGATAAGTCGCTCCATATCTTCCGTCCTGACATGAATAGAAATATCAACCCCATTGTCAGTCCAATACCTCTCAGGAGGACCCGGTGCTTCTTTGATCAGTACATTTCCATCCATTTCCGGAACTACACCCTCAGCATAGTGACACGTAGATCCAAATCCAAAGTCAATATCGTATATCCCTGCACGTGCCCAGGTTGTTACCAAGATATGTCGCCTTCCCAAGAATGCTTGCCATATTCGTTGAGGAGACTTTTCGAAAGCAAGACTGTGTAGATGAGCAGCCATGTTAGAGGGGTCAGTGATCGTCTTGAGTGTATTTCGGACCCGAGTTGCTACTGTAGTTATGTTGGATGGGCTGACAACTTCGGAGGCCGGGAGTTCAATGTTCATCATTACGACTGGTGATCCGAGGAAGTTATCTTTTAGTTGAAAGCACGGGCGTACGCCGTAGACTAGATCGCAGTGAATTGGATCGCTGTCGTTTTCGAGACCACGAGCGCGAGCGATGCAGGACCAAACATGAGCCAGAATTGAATCGTGTTGACTCAACTTCTGTAGTGAGTTCTCGTTGACTTTGTTCCAGAGATATATAATTTGTTTTTGGCTTAAATGAACCACGTAGTTCGAAACAGGCTCGGCAACATTCCACTCAGTCCATGGCATTGGCTTGCCTACAAGCTCAAGGTCCTGTTTGTCGAAAGGCGAAGGGATCTTGAACGGCCAAGGAGGCGCTGAGTCTGGATCCCACCAGTCAAACCGGTGCATAGGCAAACTTCTTGCTTGTTTTATGATATCCAAGTCTGATTCGTCGGCATCGAGGTCTCCGGCGGCTCGGTTGTCGATGAGGAGAGGGTTAAAGACAGGTACTGAGCTAGGCAGAGTCTTTCCAAAACCCTCGCGGCTCTCGTGCGCCCAATGTTTGAGAAAAGCGAGAAGAGTCGTGGCGTCTGCGAGAGGATGCGCTCCATTGATGGCGAGAACAAAGCCGCCACAAGACAACTCGGTGATTTGGATGGCAAGAAGAGGATATAATTGCCCATTTTCATCCTCCACGACATCCTTCAGTGGATGAGCAATCGTGACAGGGGCCATGAACTTCTGAAAGATACTGGAGTCGCACTTCCAGAAAGGCTGCTTCGAAATCCTATCTGCGGGATATAAAGATTCCAGCGTAGCATCGCATTTGCTATGAAAAAACTCCACTCCAGGATCGTTTCCGGTTCCATAGTGTACGTAAAGGCGCCCGAACCGTCGCGCATGAGACGGAAACGACTTTGCTTGAGGTGGAACGCTGCCATCTGTCGATTTGACAGCCTTCAGATGACCGCCCAATTGCGGATAGAACCGAAGAGTCCGGGCTAGAGATTCACGTAAGTGATAGGTGTGGTTGAAGTCATCGCGAGTAGGTTTTTGAAAGAGCCATATGGCGCTGGCGTTGGAGAAGTTGGCTGTTGTGCTGTCGAGCAGAGACAAAGGAATGGCTTGTTCGTGAGAAGTAGCAATGTTGATGCGGTGGGATTCGACGACTGATATGTTGATGGCGGTCATGATTGACTTTAGAGGGCATCACAAACTGGACTGAATACGTGTATGAGGGTAGCCACAGGAATAAAGGTTAGTTATAAATATTTCGCAGTTCAGTGGTGCGTTCGTGATCCACTCTATCTGATCGGTAGTGTTCCGTTTTGGGATGATAAAAGATGAATCATTTCGGCGAGCCTAATTGAGCAACTAGGTCGTATTGACGAGCTAATTCAAAAGTTCTGAATAATTGGTTGTGGATCTCATCAAGACAGTTTATGGCGTTTTCTTCAGTCGTTATCGCGTGCGACGATGAAAATTCTTGTCGTAGCCCCCAGCCTTATCTTGACGCCAAGAGCCAGGAAAGGAGGTTCTGAATTGAATGAACAGTCGCAACGTCGTGCTCTTCAAACACTCCATCCAATGTCGCATCCGGGTGATCCTCAATCTTGCAAACCCTTCCCTCTGGCCTCTCATTTGATGCTGACCTCCAATATCTCAGATCAGCGATGTTGTCACATTCGTCTTTCGGGTCGAGTAACACCGGCTTCCAACCTGCATTGGCTGATCCAAGAACATCTTTCGCATAATCATCACCAACATACACCTTTTGCCAACTACTTGTCTCTCCTTCGGATTCACTTAGACTCTTTCCGCTGCGAGCGCTGATAACCTGGGCTAGCATGTGTTCTGCAGCGCTGAAAATGCGCTTGTCTGGCTTCTCAACGCCAACGTCATAAGACATACAATGGAATTCGACGTCGTAGGTTCTGTCTTTGAGCTTCGTGAGGTTTGATTCGGTGCCATATCTCAATGGGCTCACGGCAAGACCCAAGGATGAGAGAATGCTGGGGATACGATCATCTGAGTTTGTAATAACACCAATGACGAGACTGTCAAAATGCTGAGGCGGGTTTTGCTTCAACCTCTTGAATGCCTCAATAAGACCTGTTTCGGTCTCATAACCCTCTTTTGAGGCGAAGCGATGCAACAACCTCGGAGCCAAATCTTTTGGCAGGGGTTCGTCATCTTTTGCCAAAGACTTGAAAGTCTTGTGAATAACCTGAGTGACGTTAGCATTGTTTTGTCCGACAAAGTTCTCATATACCAACGTTGGTCCACCAATTCGTGGCTCCTAACCCCGTCTCCTTTCCATAATTCGGATTCTTCTTGGACTCCTGTTTAAAGGAAGATTTGAAGGCGGCTTGTAACTCATCGTCGTTGAAGTTGGTAAAACCGCATTGGCGAGCAACGTCGGCGTATTGCTGCGCAACTGGTCGAACGGGTCTGATTAAAGTCCCGAAGGCGTCAAAGCATAGAAGAAGGTTTCGCTTTGACATGATTGGCTGGATCGTAAGGTTTGTTGTTGACGGGAAAAGATGAAGTTACGAATTCAAGAGTGGCATTGTTTTCGACCCCACTGGATGATTACGTCATCTCGCGACCTCGTTCAAGATGGGGAGCTGAATGAAAGACGAGGTTGAAGTCGGCAGCCATGAAAACATCAGGAATACAGTACTCATAGAGCTGTGTACTTCGGATGTTATATAGATATCGTATGGTTCATAAAGATGCTTGGGAGAAAGTTAGAGTGGCCCTCGTGGTAGTCAACCGACAAATGCAATACTTGCAAAGACACAGCACCCAAAAGACATAGCCGAAATAAAGCAAGATGAAATATTGAATATTTCGCATAGTTATGTCTTGGTCTGCGAACGAAAGGAATATTCGGAGTCTGGCGCCTTCGTGGAAGATAATTTGATATCTCGTGCGTGTTATGTGTTATTTGCAGTTGAGACCTGTGGCTAAGAGCTTATAATTACCACACAGAACTTATATACAGAGCGCGTGACAGCTGAACATCGACAGAGGTCGACAATGTTTCCATTTTCTTCAAACCTGTGTCATGTCAAAGTCGTCAACAGTTAGTCACTTTACAATTCAAGTTGGGAACCAGTGTGCCTGAATCTCGTGTATTCATCCAAGGGGGGACTCTGGGTTTAAGATCTAGCTGTCTATCCGTGTACTTGTCCAGCAGTCAAGAAGTTCCGAACCTAAAGGTCCAAACATTTACCCATGCCCAAGTCCAAAATCCCAAACTCCTCATACCTTGCTTGCGCAGTTGTCTTGTGACTTCTTCTTGTCTAGCCTAGACTCCGACCGAAAACCGTTACCGGGAAAAAAAGGAAAGATGGGGTGTATGTTGTTTGTCCATGCCGTTTAGATGTGAGGCTGGATCATGTACTGGCGCATGCCAGAGTTGGGAGCCTTGCCGAGAGTGGTGATGTCGAGACCCTCGGCCTTGGTGATCTCGTGGATCTCAGACTCGCCTCGCTTCCAAGAGGGAAACATGGTGTAGACGGTGTTTTTCTTCACAAAGAAGTCGTTGTAGCGGCAACAAACCATGTCGCGCTGAGCAACTACTTCAAAGTAGTGCATGGAGTTGTCGAGCTTGGACTCGTAGGTCCAAGCGGTGTTGGGGTCGGCATCAATACCGGCGTGGTTCTGAATGCCTTGAAGGTACGACGTGAAGAAGGCGTCGTAAGCCTTGGTTTGGTAGGCGGCAAGGGTGGACGAGGCCTCAGTACCGGAAGGGCCATCTTGGCCGACAATGAGCTTCGAGTAGGGAGATCCGGAGAGGTGCTTGGAGAACTCCATGCAACGATCAATGCACATCTGGTCGGGAGCATTGAAGAAGATCGAACCAAGCGACAAAAAGATTCGGGGGTTAGGGAGAGTCGAGAAGTACTCGTCGCCCTGGATGAAATTGCCCCACAAGCCGATACAGGTGATCTGAGGGAAGTCGGCAGCTGACTTATTGACGTGCTTGGTGAGCGACTCCTTGCAGAGATCAAGGGCTACATAGATGCAAGGTTTGCCCTGCTCGATGAAAGCCTGGACATAGGGCACAAACTTTCGGGAGTTAGCGGCTCCAAGGTCAATGATAATGGCACCGGTAGGGGGCATGTCGGCGACGACGTTGGAAGCAGTGGACTCGATGATTTCGAGCTCATCCGTTGTCTGATACGAGGTATCAGCAACCTCGCACCAATATTTCATCCCGGTGGTATAGGCTACCTCCTTCGGGAAGTAGCCCATACCCTTGAAAGCGTCGGGCAGTTGGTGATCGAAGGTAGTGTCGAGCTTAGAGCCACCGATATCGATGACAGTCTTGTTGGCCGGAGCCCAAGACTTGGTGTAGAGGGGAGAGGACATGTTGTATAATGTCCAATCGGATGAAAGTTTGGTGGGGTGTTATCAAGATGACAGGTCGTCTGTAGAAGGGAGATGAAAGGGTTGTTGTGATCAAGAGTACTATTGATAGAAGGTTGCGAGAAGAAAGTGATGGTTGATTGTTGTGGTGGGAAAAGGAAGAAGTCGAAGTTGCTGGAGAGAGATGGGAATTTATACACTAGAATTTCTGAAGATTCTTAGAGAGATTCAGAGGCTATTGTTCTACAGCTTCGCTTTTATTCTGGCAGTGCCAGACGCATTGCGGCCGCATTACCAGTGGTTACCGTGGTGTTCGAGCTGTTTGTTCGAAAAGAGTGGAGGTGAAGCCTCTGACATCTGCAACTAGCTCGTGCATTGTTCTGACAGTGCCAAAGCAGCTTCTATTGTTTAATTGCCTGACAATACTAAGGAACAGAAGCTTTTTGGAAGTGTCAAGCTACTTTGGGAGATAGGTATTAGGAAGATGTCACTTTGCCTATGAACACTGTTCCTCTTTGTGGCATCAAGAGAATCAAAATAACAATAGTAGAATTTGTGATTTCTGAAGTAAAGATCTATTCTTGTAGCTATCGATACACTAGGGAATATTTAAGAATAAGTGCTGTCGTCTCTCAAGCCCCTGAACTTATTGTCGTCGCTATACTGGATGTAACTCGCAGACTTTTACTCCAAATGGATCTTGATAAGCACATGTATCTTGAGAGGCACTTCAAAGGGGCTGTGAGATTGCATTGTGAAGGTTATTTCACTTGACGTAGCACATGTCTGATACTGTGAGCTGCCTAGCTGTACTGGAGCCCGGGCTATTTGAAAGGTCATTTGATAGAACCCGCCACTCAAAAAGCCGCTTTGAATATAAACGTTAAATGAAGAATGAGGCTCAAAACTATGTTACTGTGGTACTCGGTTGATCGGCGTTGCTTGTCGAGGGAGAATCATTGGCTCGGCAGATGTAGATCATGGTTCGCACTGGTGGTCCAATCATAAGCTTACTGGGCTGAACAGGCTTCTGTGAAGGCGAAAAGCTTCTGGGAAGAGGGACGAAAAGAATGAAGTTCCAGACGAATTGGCTAATGTCCATCTTTGCAGCTAGCTATTATCCGGTGTTCTTGGCAAGATGTCTGATCCAAGTCGAATTTTCAGTGTCTATTGCAGGGTAGGTGCCTCCAAAATGGCGGTCTTGGCATAACAGGCATAACAGCGGGGAATTGCAAGAGTCAAAATACGAATAATATGCGAGATCCAAGGGACCTGATTTTCGCGGTCGCATCGATTGTGGCCATTGTCCCATGAACTTTAGCATTGGGCGGCCTCTGGACAAAACTGGTTTTAATTGACGATGGTTTCTTCGAAGACTTGGATATAACTCTAACAGATGGCCTACAAAGCTCCTGCAACCTCTGTTAAGATCTTACTACAAACTGTAGCGCCACTTGCGAAAGACTCGTCACCAAAAGTTAAGGATGTGTGGCTGAGTTCACCGTCAGGAAGCTCACGCCACAGGGTCTCGCAGCAAGATCAATGTGATATTAAGTCATGGAGTAGTCATTGCGCGTTAGTGGCAGCTCCCAAGAGGTGATCAGCGGTGGCTGAGGGGTTCCAAGTTGCGACCAGGTTTAATGACCTCATCACCATTCGTCATATTGTAACGTCCATCCTTCGATAAGCCTGATTGACATTTGAACCGTTATCTCGCCGTTTCACCCAATTCAATTCCGTCAAACCCTCAGCACTTACTCATAGCTCCAGTTGGCAAAAGGTTTGTTCATCTTCACAATGTCGATACAGGACGATCACCACTTTGGCAAAGACAAAGAGAAGCGCTCAAAATGGAAAATCTTTAGCTCCTCAAAAGACAAGGACAAGGACAAGGAGAAGGACAAAGACAAGCGCAAAAGTCAGGAACTTCAGATCCCAGAAGCAGCAGAGACTTCAGGCGATTCAACATACGGAAGCAGTGAACCAAAAAACTCACTCACGACAGAGGGCGATCTGAGCAACACAAAGAGTAACAGTGGATTGAGCCCAGGGAAGACACCAGATACTGCGACGCCTACTCCAAACCTCCACCCAAATTCAGGACCAGACTCTTACACCAGCCCGACGATCAAAAGAGAGACAGTGACCAATCCGAATACTGGACAGACAATTACAACTACAACGACGACTACGACTACTACTACGACCGTCACAAACTCCAATGGCACAACCGAAACAATTGAGGAACCTCATCCTGTTATGGAGTTACCAACCGTCAGCAACCAAGACGTCACACCGCATCCACAGCAGCAACCGCCTGTAGCACAGCCCGAGCCCGTACAACACACAACGCCCACGCCTGTCGAACCATCTCCAATTACCCCAACAGCACGTCGCAAGAGTTTAGAGACTCCAGGCCGACGCCTAATTCCACCCCGCGATCCAATTCCCTCCCAAATTTCCTCTTCAGATAACAATTCACCCGCAATTCCTGAGCGAAACGTCAGACGCTCGGCGGAATTTGTTCCAGCGCCTTTACAGATTGGACAGGGCGCTTTTCCGCCTCCGCCTCCGCCTGGGGATAAACCTGCTGTGAATTATTCCCGACCTGCTAACAAATCGACAATTGCGAATTTGAAGTCCGCTGCTGCTGGTATCCATGTAAGTGCGACTCAATTGAACATCTCAATTCATACTGACGAATTTTAAAGGGCGCCGGCGAAACTCTACGAGGAACACTAAACTCCAGCGTCGACAAACACTTCGGCGGCACTCCCCAAGCAATTGAGAAGAACCAAGCAGCCATCGACGCAGGCCGCTACGAGATTGACAACCGCACATTCTACCATCCAAACGAATACCGTCTAACACGACCAGAAGGCTCCGGTCCTTCCCCCGATGCACCGCCAATTCCCGATGCTCAATACGACGACCCACCGTTCAACATGGGAAATACAACTGGTAGTCCTGCGGTGACGGATAAAGAGAGGGAGAAGAGGCATAGTAGACTGGGAAGTTTGTTTGGGAAGAATGGAGGACGCTCGGCGTCGCAACCTGGTGCTGATGGTACGCCGAGGGCAGAGAGGGGAAAACTTAGGAAGAGGAGTAGTTCGGGGCCGGGGACGCCGAAGTTGAGTGTCGTGGGGGAATAGTAACGCGCCACGGGAGTAATTACATCGTATATCTATCTAGCTTAATGCCACATTACGTACCCACCACGTGGAAAGCATTGAAGGCTGAACTTCTGTGATGCTCACGCCACTTAATGTTTTTGAAGCTCATGATGCCAAAGTTCATTATTCGTATTCGAAGATAAAAGAGATCTACAGCTTGCACGGCCAACTATTTAGAAACATAATGAGCGACATATTCAACTTCCATATGGTTTCCAATTCCATCTTTGGTGTTGGTGTTTGGAACGCCAGGCTATCATCTTGTTAGTCAACGTCTCATTTCAATTCGGAGTATTGTACTTACCCAATCTCCTCCAACAGCAACGTTGAAGATGACAAACATAGGACTATGGCAAAGACTCTTCCAAATCTTAGCATTTCCAATTTGAGCGCCTGTAACACGATGAAAGACCCTTCCGTCGAGATACCAAGTAATTGACTGAGATCTCAGATTGCTGCTTTGTCGATCAAACTGAACCCGCCAAACATGATAATTGCTATCAGGAAGTTGAACATTAGATGCAATACCATTAGGTTCATTGCAGATTCCGCCAGGTGCTTGGTCACAATGAACAGCACCATAGCCAATCTTCTGTCCATTGACATTCTCCATGATATCAACTTCACCGCAAGCAGGCCACTCAACACCCTGTCGAATCGAATCACCAAGGAGCCAAAAAGCAGGCCAGATTCCCTGCTTACTCCTCGCCGAGTTTCCCCCCAATCTCAGACTCGCTTCAACTCTAGTAATCTTTCCAAGCTTGGGTGTAAGAGTATACTTGCTCTCAATACGAGCAGACGTCCATTTTCGCGTTGAGTCTGAGAACTGGGGTATCAACTGCAGTGTATTCTTGCCAGACTTTCGAAGAACACTTGTGCTCTTCACATAAGCTTGAATTTCGTTGTTGTAGTTCTTTACGCGCTCGATGATGTCCCATGTGTTTGTGTCAGGAAATGTTTTGGCTTGACCTTCGAAGCCTTGGTGCCAGACGCGTGTGTAGCCGCTGTAGGTGGGTGGTTGGACTGCTGCTGCGATGGCGAACAGACACGTGAAGATGGTGAGGATCCAAGGAGAGAACATCGTGAAAATTGTAAAGATAAGGGGAGATAAGGAAAGGAATGCTGCGGTGTTGCCGCGTAGGAGGGTAAGAGAAAATAGTGCAAAGCGCACCTTAAGGAGAGTCGTCACAAAGAGGATGAGAATGAAACACCGTGAACACCATCCTTTCCAGGGAAATCCCCTTGAATATATACATTTCCCGTCCTTTTCGAGCTTACGAATGCCATATCGGTCTAGAATGCTAGACGCCGTTCTGATAACAATAGCTTGGTGTCTGGGACATGTCTAAGGCCGGTTTCAATCCTTAGATCCAACGTGGACTAACCTGGAACAGTGAAGCTAAACCAAACGCAGCGGATTCCTCAGCGCCACCATCTTCAATAGTCTCTTTTTTTTGATTGAAATATTGAAATTTTATGGAATTGTGGCTTAATGGCCCTGGGCTATTGTGGAATTAAGCTTTGGTCCCTGATTCCAGGGCAAAAAGGTTATTGAATCTGGGCAAGCGCTTCTGCGCTATGCAAGGGACGCGCCACTTTATTGGGTTCATGGGAATAGTTGGAATTAGATGGGAATCTGGGTTTTTGACAAAGAGTTTGGGGGTTAAGGGACGGTGCTTTGAGATATTCTAGAAACTTTAAATAATAACTTTGAGTTATATTAAAAGAATTCTAACTTGTGATGTTCTAAAGTAGGTATTTGGTAAGGTTTTTGAATGGATCTCGCGACATTTCAGCTAATCGAGACAAAAAGCGCCTCAGCATGGACAATCGTCGCCCCCGAAATGCGCAAATGCTGATATGTCTCCAGTCCATCCCTTCAGAAGGATCCCTTGCTCTTCTTTTCGGCCTCAACAGCAGTGCCGACGACAGAAAAGAAGCCCTTTGTGCGTACAAGGGCAAGAAAGAATATCAGCGCGATGGGAAGCAATACTACAATTGTACAAAAAAGCAACCGCGGGTTCGATATCACACGGATGATCAGCATCGCGAGCAACATCCAGAAACCATACCCAACCATTTCCATATCTTTGAAGTCCGACGGTTTGATTCCTTTCAGGTACGGGCCGCTTGCATAATTCATCAAGTACACGCAAAATACGAGGGTCATGAAAATGCAGAAGGCGTCGACGCCGAGAGCTATCGTGGGGCAAATCTCGGTTACTGAATCGCAGCCACTGACGACGTATGCAGAGAAGAGGTTGGTGATCATGGAAGCAATGAGAAATCCGATCATGATATTGCCGAGCAGTTGGACTGTCTCGTGGTTAACTCGTTTGTTGATGGCGTCTCTGCACATCTCTAAGGTAGGGCCGTCTATATAACCACGAGACTTGTCGTCGTCGAGATCTTGCAGAATAGCTTCTGTAAGGTTGAGTGATGGAGGGAAATGGCTTGCGCAGGATGTCTTGTGGTTTTTGACTCTGCATACACCTTCAATCTTTAATTAGCGACCAGGGAATGTGGTGATGAATGATGAAGACCGCAGACAACGCGCGGCCGAACTCATGATGCATGGAGGGTCCGAGATCCTTAGGAGGAGGGACTCACCAGCAACTCCGAATTTGTACTTATCAGGGATGAGATGGGCCGTGGCGTTGTTGCACTCTTCTCCCTAGATAAGTGCGATGGTTGACCGTGGCCAGTTGACGAGGCTGTAAGTATGTCCGCTTGGCAATCCGCATCCCGCGATAACGAATATAGAAAGAGCGAGAATGGCTACACGAAGATGGTAAGCAGCGAACAACAGAGATGGAGTGGAAGAGTTGAGAGAAGTGTACTTACACACGTTCCAAAACGCAAGTATTACGTAGTTCTTCATTATAACGACTGTGGATAAACCGTGCAATGACTTGTTTTTATGTTGAATGAGAAAATCGTTGCCTTGGTAGAAGCTAAATGTGATGACCCAGAAAAACTGGTTAACGGTAAGGAACGATAGTCTCCTGCCGACGGCCACTGTGAACCGCCGGCAAGAACGCATCTTGAAAAGATCACCTGCCGAATTTTCGTATTTAGGCCAGCTTCAAGATATTTCAAGACATTTTTTCAGCTGCAATCTAATTATGCAGCTCAGCGGCCAAGGGACTGTGAGCTGAAGTCACTGTGCAGTTGTGACTGGTCAACTGCTGTGTAAGCCATTCTTAGCTTAGGCGGTTATCTTGTAGAAGCGGGCCAAGAAAATGCCTCGCGAGGTGTCAGACGGGTTTAGGCATTCGGAATAATTCCTTAGTGATTACCCCCTAGTCCTACAACTGCCGATGGTGATGTGAGGGGTTAAGCTTATGAAAGAAGCTTAACTCAAACCTGCCGATCCCGGGCACGTCAAAAAGGCGCAGAGTATTTTGTTCTATTACCATAGTCATCTTCCCCCAACCCGAGGAGACAAATGATTGAGATATCTGCATGGCCCTCAGGTCAAGGGAATAACAGATAAAATAATGTAAAAAGTGCTAAGCTACATGTTCGACCTAAAGTAACTAACTATCTGGCTATATGTTGATAAAAAGCTAGATTTCTTTCAGGCTTTGGATCCTCGGTTGTCCAACTCTTGATACTTGAAAGAAAGTCAAACATATTTAAGTATAAACTTTACATACATGTGAACGGATTTTTCAACTTTCGTATATATCAAAGTATCTTTCTAATCTAATTCGCTAAATCATGAAATTCTTATTTACAACTCCAACTCTCCATAAGGATGAGCCACCTGCGACAGAGCAGGCCACTTGTACAGCTTATGCTCCGTATCTTGAGCAGCCTGCTGGAAGTACTGCATGACATCATTCCACAAACTATCTGCATTCTCCTGCTTGCTCAAATCAACAGGCTCCAAGTTATTCGCAATCTGTGAGATTTGAATTCCAGCTGCAGCAAGCCTCTTGAGGACGTCGTCATGGTCGAATCTTTGCTCAATAGTTCCTGGAATGGAGACCTTCTTCAGGGTCTCGACGAGTCTGGGTTCTTGAGCACTTGCGCGGCCGATACCAACACCATCGATGACATCGAGAGAGTCGACCATCGCCTTAATGGTCTTGAAACCTCCTGTGGAGAAGATCTTCAGATCACGCTTCAGAACCTTGACGATCTCCTCAGCCTGGACAAGGAAGTAGTTCTCTCGCTTTCGGTTTTCTTCCCTCTCATGAGCGAAGGCAAACTTCTCATAGTTTCCTCCAGAAAGCTCCATGAAGTCGACCTTGGCATTCTCGAGAGCGACGGCAAAGGCCTTGACATCCTCGATATCAATACCGCCAGGGGTGTACTCGACAGAGTTGGCCTTGATACCAACGATGAAGTTAGGGCTCACGCGACGCTTGATCTCGGCGAAGACCTCAAGAACAATGCGCATTCGGTTCTCACGGCTACCGCCGTACTCATCGGTTCGCTTGTTGGTGCGAGGAGAAAGGAATTGAGCCAATAGGTAACCGTGAGCGCCGTGAAGCTCAATACCGTCGAAGCCAGCCTTGTCAAGGAACTCAGCGGCATGAGCGAAACCGTTGATGACGTTGGCGATATCCGCCTTTGTAGCAGGTCGAGGAGCACCGAAAGTCCTTCCAGTCATGCCAGAGTTGACGAGCTGAACATCTGATGCACTAATGGGGTTGGGGTTAATCCACTCCTCGACCTGACGGCCAGCATGAGAAACCTGAGCAATCAAAAGACTGCCGTTCTTCTTGGCTTCAGTAGCCATCTCCTTGAAGCCGTCAAAGCGACGACCCTCGAAGGGCTCATCGGCGGGAATGACAAGGTTGCCAGGGGCTTCGAGATTGATGCCGTCGATGATAACGTTGCTGGTTAGGATGGTTCCCCAGCCTCCAGCACCCCAGTTTCTGTAAAGGGTGATGAGTTCTGGTGTAGGATATCCTCGAGCAGAGACGTCGTTGGCGTCCCATGTAGCGAGCTTCTCAGACATGGCTGCCTTGAGGAAGCGATTTGGCGCTTGTCGTTTAGCGAAAACATAGTCGAGAGGTTGTAGCAAAGGCGCAGGGTCAACGACCTCGTTTCCGTATCTTGAAGGTGCCATTTTGAAATATTGATTATGGTGATGATAACAATTGGTATGCAGGGTCACATCAATAGCTAGACATGGCGCGACAACTCTTTATATAAACTCTCTTTAAAATTCTATGCAAATCTCGCGCCATAACAAAAAGAACAGACCACTCCACAAGATCGTGACGAGGTTACAGCAAAACTCCGCAAGTGGAGTTGGTGATGGGGCATTTGCCTCGGTACATGAATCGTTTAGTCCTTATCCGTCGGCCGAGTTACTCAGCGGAGTATATGAACCGGGCCCATCGAACATTCCGTAACGTTTTCAATAACGTTATGCACCGCGCGGTTGATTCCACGGACTCTATCCGTATTTATAAGCTAAAATAAAACCTGTTGCTTTGTTTGTTGGTTGTTGGTTGTGTTCTGTTTTTTATTGGCTACATTGAGAACAACGTGGATAAGTTGTTGGTACAGGGTTGGTCAATTATATGCATGTTCGATGTTCCGATATCCCAAGTCACCTTGCTTTGAAACTGTCACAATTTTCTTATAAATGTTCTCATAGAGATTCCGTACGAGGTTCTATACGTCGGGGCAATTGTTGCACCGACGTAAAGCTATGGCCCCACAGGCATTGACGCATTGGCAAAGATTGCCGCTTGTATCCACTTCACCGCTGCCTGACAATAATAAGTTCAGGGCGGTTGTCGATCTACGATGTATTAAACAGAATGATATGACAACGTGCTACTATCGCGATTAATGCAATCAATGTCATAAAGAAACATCAATGGGGAAAGGACTGACCCTAGCAGCGTAAACATCACCCAATTCCTCCGGATCTCAATACAGAGATGGATCAAAATAGATGCTATCACCGTTCGTTTGATTGTCATTTATAGTATTCGTTTACTACACTCAGGTTATCAACCAGAGCCTCTCAAGTATCTGGTGTTTCACGAGTTCGTGAGAGAAGTGTTCATGGAAGGGTCGTCCTGAAAAAGATTATATGCTGAAAATAAGTGTCGAAAACTTGGCCATTGGTTGGGCCTTCGAAACCCTTGGATGCTCTTTTGAGGCTAGTTCATACCAAACTATATAACATTTCGACAACAACTCCAATCGCCCAAGCAAGGGCTCGCGCCTCGTGTACCAGGCGAAACTTGAAGCTGCATCGCGCATAGTCTTTGACAGGCGTGTATCCCGGCATTTTTCACCAATGCACCTCGATCTTCTCGTCAACGATCTTTGCATTAAACCACTCGACAATCTCGATCTTGTCCCGAACAATCTTTGCGCCCCGAAGTATATCACTTCGAACCAAAGCTTCAGCAGCCCACCAAAGTCCAGCAGATGCAAGATTCTGCGCGATGCACTGCCGTGAGCCAGCTCCGAAATAGAAGCTGTCGCGCAACATCTCCTGAGATGGATTCAGCCATCGCTCCGGCATGAACTCACGTGGGTTTGGTAAGACCTCGGGATTATGGTGCAGCATGAAAGCTCCGGCGCCGACGCTGGTACCAGCTGGGATGTCGGGTAGACCGGGAACGTGCATTCCACCAGGAGGGACGATGCGAGGGAACCGAGTTGGGTTAGCCATAGAGAGACGTAGGCTTTCTTTGACGACACCTGTGAGATATGGCAGGGATTGGGCGTCCTGTTCAGTATTTTCGATGACTTCCTTGTAAACCTGATCGTATCTTGAAGCTGGGTTAGCACTCTTCTGAGAGGTTATGGAGCATATGACTCACTTCTCGGGATGTTGAGCCAAGTTCCAGCAAAGGATCGCCATCATAGTTCCAGCATCGTCGGTACCAGCAAACATGACATCAACAACTTGGGCTATAGCCTCCTCGCGCGAGATCCCAGCGGCCAGTAATCGACCTTGGAATGTCTCTGGCTCATGGTCCTTTTCTTCGACAATGCTTCTATCAACCACCCGAGTAGCATACTCTTGTATCATGTCGGTGCTCTGAGCGACGAGAAGCCTTTTCTTGTCAAGCTTCGCAGCCCACTCGTCGACAAAGTCATAGAACCACCCAGGTAGATAGAAGAAGCGACCCCCAGAAACGAAGTTATTGACGAACTCGGTGACCCAGAGCCTATCCTTGCTTATGCCGTTAAAGCATTCGCCGAATAGGTACACGGTCACTGTATGTAAAGCGAGAGCGGGAGACAGGTTGAGGACATCCACCGGGCCCCCGTTTGCTTCACCCTTCCTGCGTTTCATCTCAGCCACAAAATTATCGAGAACCTTGTCAACATCCGGTTTGCCTTTTGCAATTCGTTGATGGGCAAACATGGGCGCAACAGCTTTCGCCCTCGGCCCCCGATGAGCTGGGTCCAGAGCTGAGAAGATGGTCTCAAAGCCGTTGACATCGTAATTACTGTAAATAGGGCTTTTCAAATAGCCCCCGTTCTTGATGTAGATGAGATTAAGTGCCGCGCCATCGGACACGTCGACTTCATTGGGGGCGCTCCTCACAACTGGACCATATCTCTTGTGAAGACTGTCAATGACGCGGCATTCAACTCCTGTCTAGGTGAGCCACCAGAGCCAGATCGGCGTGAACCGGGCGATGAGAGGGCCTGGGATGTGTCTGAGGAGGTCATTGTACAGTCGCCACAGAAAGGCAGTCAAAAGCGCCACTGTGATAGCCGCGCTGACGTGTAGAGGGCTTACGAGGCCTTGGATATAATTAGAAGTGTCGACAGCCATGATGTTTGAGATTTGAAAGGTCAAGGAAACTTGCGGGTGGAGAGGAAACGGCGAGACCGAAGTGAAATGGACAAGGGGTGAAGTCAGCTAATAATGACAGTAAGGCAGAGTTGAGGCTTGAAGCGGGGTGAGTTGGTGACGCCCGGCTCTGGTGTGTAATGGCTGAGGTTGTCATCCAAGGTACATGCATGTTCAACGACTTTGTGCTGCAGTCTTATTCCTCCGTCAGGCTCAAATAATGGCATGAAAAGAGACAGAGGCGATATGTAACAGTATGCACACGAACAGTCTTCTAATAGAGCTAGCATAGGAGAGTGCATGACTTAGAGCAGCATGAAACTGTTTTGATCTTGATCTTCAACTAAAAAGTTTCGCCCTCGCCTGACATCAATTCAAGACACGCCTTTCGCTTCTTGAATGGTCCACAGCCTGATTCTGTACATCTGAGGATGATAGACACTCGTCACCCAACATTGCCTATAGTAGCTGTCTCTTACAGGTTTGGCCAAGTCGACATATTCAACGGCGATGCTGGCTTCAGTGAAAGTTTCGAGATTCCCGAAAAAGAGCAAAACGGAGCAACAAAGCTACTAGCAAGCTCACGAGGTAAAGCGACTATCAACTCATTTCACTACGAATGATGGCCACTTTATACTAACATCCAATTAGAACTTCAATTCTCACCTTGCGGGAACTTCCTTACACTTTTGTCCACTAGCTTCTACCAGAAAGATGCCTGTGCAGAGTGTCAAGTCACCGTGTCATGCTTCGAGCTTCTTCATGGTCCTTCGGGATACAGCTTTGAAGCTCGTAACAGTGGCACATTCGCAACCTTTTGCTACAATTTCTTGGGCAGGGTAGACGAACTACCTCGACCGTATATTATGACAAATTGGGCAGCTGAACACCTTGTCTTAGCTCTCCCTCCATTGACCTACAATCCGAAGATCATCAGAATTTCGCTTTCGCCTCGCAAAAACCAGGCTAGTTCCTCGAAAGACTTGCCACCAAGAATCTCAACACTCACAAATCCTATCTTCTTCCCACAATCGACTATTTCACGCGACCCTCATATTATGTACTGCGATGGCGCCTCTACGGAGAAAGATAGTTACTTGTATCTCGTCTTGGACTCGCCAGATCTATCATCATCGTGTTCAGAATCAACGCTGCGCTGTGGACCCGGTCACTTCCGTGGATTGGAATGTCCTGCAAGGACATGCAATGACCATAGGACACGGGTCAGTGGCCCAGTGGTAATGGGCTGGAAGGTGGTAGGTAGCGGCAAGGTTGGGAAGATTAATGATGCTGATGGTAATGGAGGTCCTTCTGAAGAAAAGGATGTATGGCGGGAATGGGACGATAAAGACCAGGTTTCTGAAGATGTCAAAGCCAAGAGGTCGGCTACAGATGAGTATGAGATGTTGCGTGGTGATTTCGTGGGAGAGACATACTCTGTTCCCATTCGATCCGGCCTGAATTGGACCAGAGAAGGGGTTCTTGTTGATCTCGTTTTGTACCTGACATTGTCATATAATCATAATATCACTCATGTTAGACGGCATTGCTCATATCTGAAGTGAGAGTATCAAAATATCAAGCTCCCTTTGGTTGAGCTGCGATGACCTTCTGCAAGTTCCGATCACGCTCTGCCAGTGACTCTGCCGTTGGTCGTCCATAGGCCTCTTCTGTTTCCTTCGTGATTTTATCCGTCCAATCCCCATCATCATCAGTTCGTGGACTGTGTTCAGTCGCAGACGTTCCCTTGAGACTAATATCACCTGCGTCATCCCAGCACGCCTCCATAGTATCAGCCAAATTATGTAGAAATGCACCGATTCCCCCGGTTCCGCCAGCGCTGTTATACGTCTTAAATGGTCCAGCTACTGCCCAGCGCGGCGCTATACTGGCCTCAACGATAGTGTCGAGATCTTCAACTGAGACAACGTCGTTTGAGGCTAAATGACAAGCTTCACGGAATAAGGCAAAAGCTAGACGATTTCCGACAAACCCTTGGGTTTCTTTGTTGATTCTGACAGGGCGATGACCAGAGCCGAGATTCTTGAAGTAATCGATGGCGAATTGAGTTCTTTGTGGTTCAGTGTGAGGCGATGGAACGACTTCGATCAATGGCATTATATGAGGCTGTATAATTATATCAGTAGGACGGTTCGAGAAGAGTCTTTCGTACGCACTGGATTGAAAGGATGAACCACGAGGACCCTGGCCTTATCCTCAATGTCCTCCACCTGTCTCGATGCACTAATCCCCGACGTAGAGCTCCATAAGTGAGCGTCTGAAGGTGCGTATTTAATGACCTCAGCCCAGTTGGACTTTTTGAAATCAACACTATCGGGTCCCTGTTCTTGGACGATTGTTGCGCCTGAGCAAACTTCTTCGATTGAAGAGCATATCAGCAGTCGGCCGTCAGCAACGAGGTCCTTGACTGTGATGTCAGACTGAGAGTCATTCTTCTTTGTTGATGTGAGATAGACTGGTAAGAGACTTTCGATATGTTCCTTCAAATCACTGCGGACGTCGTATAGTCTGAGGTTGGCGTTTGAATAACGTAGATGCAGTGCGGCAAATGAGAGACCAATTGTGCCCAAGCCGATGAGGGCAATTGTTTCCTTCTTTTCAGTTTCAGCCATTGTACCAGTTTTCACTATGATGAATGAATGGATGATCCAGAAGTCTATGGCGTGATGATAGCGCAAATTTTGAGGCTGAAGTCTTGGTGGAGAAGAGGGGAAACTGACCCGAGGTTAAAATGAGTGATCACATTGGAGCATAATCCGCTGACAAACTGTTCATATTTTTAAAACTAGTCTATCTATATAAGATTATAGTGAAATCTCATCTATGTAGTCTTGGTCTTCCATTTACAGAGCAACAACGATCTTCTTAGCCGAGACGCCCTTGGCCAGGGTGTTGATACCCAACTGAACCGACTCTAAGCCCTTTCCAACGACCTCCGCTTCCGGGACAGCCTTGAACTTATCCTGCTCCAAAGCAGCGGGTACATAATCCGCGAAAACAGCCTTGGCAACAGGGGTGTTGATAATACTAATCGAGAGAACAGTCTTGGCCTCGACGCCCGCGACTTCAGAAGAAGGAGATCGAACGCAGATAAGTTTGCGCAGACCATCGGCGTGAACAATTGATTGACTTGCGCTGTTCATGCCGTCTTCTGAACCGCTGGCGTCAAATGCACCTGCGAGTCTCTTTCCGGTGAGGAGAGAGGCGATGTCTTTGGTGACTTGGGGAGACTTGTATTCGAAGACGTGGTCTGCTCCAAGACTCTTGACGTACTCGTGGTTTTTAGCAGACGCAGTCGTGATGACTTCGTAGCCAGCCGCTTTAGCAAGCTGAACTGCTGAGCCGCCAACACTAGATGAACCTCCCCAGATGAGAACAGTCTCCCCGGTAGGCGTTGGGTTAAGACTAGGATATCTCATCTTCAGCGTCGAATCGCCAAAAAGCGACCAAGCAGCCGTAGCAAGCGAAAGTGGCAAAACGGCAGCTTGTTCAAAAGACAAGCCCTCCGGAATCTTGGAAGCGCACTCAGCACGAATAACGGTATACTCCTGGAACGCGCCGTGCGCATTATCCTTGGTAGCAAGCGACGTCGCATATCCCAGAACTCTATCACCGGGCTTGAAGGCGGTGACATCAGGGCCTACGGCTTCAACGGTACCCGCGACATCTTCGCCGAGAATAACGGGGTATTGCGATGGTTGGATGAAAATACCGACGTATTGGTTGGCGATGTCGACGGGGTTAATCGCCACGGCTGAGTTTTTGACGAGGATATGGCCTTGGGTTGGCTCAGTGAGGGGGGCTTCCTTGACTTGGAGTGGTGACGTCTTTGGGGCGACTAGCCAGGCAGCATTGTTGGAGGGCATATCGGCAGATGAATTGACTCTAAAGCAACACAATTGAAATAGATTTGTCAGATGGAGGAAATAGTGAGAAGATAGTCCAAGTGCTTGGAGATGTAAATTCTTGGCTATGAAGTGAAGCGAGATTGACGTCGAATGTTGTTCGTCATTCCTGACAAAGGAACCGGGGACACGTTCATCACGTCAATTATCGTGTGGTTGGCTGGGAATTGGTCCACGATCGGTTTAGCGGTATCGACAGAGTTTTTGAGCCTCGGCACTTGCCGCGGTATTGTCTCATTCTGCTCAAGTCTACTCCGTAGTGGATACACGATCATCGATCTTAGCTTCTGTTTAGTGTTAGCGCGGTTTTGGGGTTTCAACTTCATGCCAACTGAAGGTTGAGCTTCGAACAGTGATCAGTATCAAATAGAAGGGGAGGTAGATAGGATTAGTCTCATCTTTCTTTGTCCGGCTAAGTCACATCAATTTGGATAGATTATAAAAGTCAATTGGACACCTACGTTGAAGCAAGGCGATCTCAGGACGAAAAGAATTGAAATCCTTTCAAACTTATTACTTTAGAAGATTACATGCGGATTGCAAGAAAGAAACACGTCGGAACAGGATTCGCTGCAAGACTACTGCGCCTTTCATACCAAGAGGAACAGAAAGGCATATACATATTTTCTTCTCAAGGGCAAACGATACGTGTCACATCGGCATTCTCTTTTATCTCCATACATTCATTGGAATAACTAAACCAACTAACAAGGCGACCAGAGCATACGCGAGCAGGTACATCTAGCATAAGAATAGCATAATAAAGCTTTCCAATCAAGGGTAGTAGAAAGTTACCTCTTTTCATTGTTATCTTATTAATATCATATCGATCGTTGACTAATTCAAAAACCTCCAAGTCTGTACCGCTGTTCATCAAACAATATTTTCACCCGACTCACATCATACTTTTTTTTCGACATAATCTAGCCCTAAAAATATTTGAGTGCACAAAATCATCTAAAAAGGATTATTCGACATGATTGATGAGAACTTCGCCTTCTCCCAATGTTGAGGTTGAAGAATTACTAATCTACCATGATAGCCAAGTAAACTGCTCTGAAGCGATGGTCAGGCCGGGACCCTTGTAGATAATTCTCCAACATACAACGGGGAAGAGTGTTCTGCATATGAAACGTTCAGGATCAGCCAACAAACCAATCGATTGCTGTAAATATTCCGAACCCAGTCATTCAGTGGGCTGATGCAACCAACATGTGCCCAACAAAGAAGGTCGCAATAACGATTTCATGTGAAAAAAGGTAGCATCTTTTATCTGGTACATGAGATTATGAAATATTAATTAATTTAACAGAGAATTAGAACTTTACGTTATTTATTACCATTAAAACTTATCACATAATATCTTAAAAGTCGCCAAGCACATGGGGCGGATAGACTTGCGTGGTGTAACCCCTGTCGGCGGAGTGTCCAAGGCGACAATTACATGCGGATGGCGACAAACTGACACTGGAAACCTAATGGAACATCCTGGCATGGTAGAGTGATTGGATCGGTAGAATCCTACGGCAACGACAGGGAATAGCCAGTATAACCTGATGGTTTTGCTGTTCTCAATTTCCCCTCAATTGAAAACTTCACTCTACGAGCGGTAGCAATAATGGCTTCACCCAAAACTGACAGCGCAGGCGGAAGCCCTCGTCATGGCGTAAACAAGCAGAATATCTCAGCTGGCGGTTCTCCCGTTGGAGATCCTATTGTCGCACAGGTAACAAGCGCGAAAGAATGACCCGACGGTTCTCATGTTGACATATTTATCAGGAAGATAATGAAGGAGACGTCAGCGACTCGGCTTTTGGGGACGACGTGTCAGTGTCTTCCAGAATCATGGAAAGTTTAACTAATCATTCTCAACAGAGAAAGTTCTACTGCTTCCATATCATCGAGCATCCTTGAATATCGCAAATTTCAAGGGCGGACTTTTCACAGTGAGAGATATAATACGGATTATTTTACACCGAACGATGAGCAGCAGAGAGAATCGATTGATATCACGTAAGATTATCGTCTGTTTCGAGGACAGTACTGACATGAGCAGGCACCATGTTCTCACACTACTCCTTGATGGGAAGCTGACTCTCGTTCCTTTGAAAGATGACATTCAGGTTAGTGGTGCTTCTGGTCACCAAAATACTTACGGGAACACTGACAAGCTAAAGCGAGTTCTTGATGTTGGTACAGGAACCGGTATGTACTAAGCCTCTGGCTGGTGACATCAAGACTGACCTTTTGTAGGAATCTGGGCAATGTATTCACTTTTCAAGAAACCCGGTGTGATGCTCATATGATACTGACTTGTACAGTGACTTCGCCGATGAACACCCCAACGCAGAGGTCATCGGAACAGACCTATCTCCAATCCAACCAAGTTGGGTTCCACCAAACGTGAAGTTCGAGCTTGAAGACGCAACAAAGGACTGGAGCTGGCCTGAAAATCACTTCGATCTCGTCCATGTCCGGTTTCTCATTGGCGCTATAGCAGACTGGGGAACACTATTTAAAGAGGCGTCTCACTGCTGTAAGCCAGGTGGTTTCGTTGAATCTGGCGAGATCAACCCAACTTTCTATTCAGATGACGGAACCATCGATGACGTTGATGCACTACAAACCTGGAATCGACTGGTGATTGAGAGTGGTAAAGGCTTTGGAAGAAGCTTTACAGACATCGAGAACGACGTGCAGCTATTTCGCGATGCTGGATTGGTTGACGTGCAGAGCTTTGACTTCAAGGTATCATCATTTCATCCAGAATTCTGAAAATACGTCAAGCTAACATTATCCAGGTCCCCATTGGCGGATGGCCCAAAGACGAAAAAATGTTAAAGGTCGGTCAATTCCTCCGCGCATCGATAGAGAATGACCTCGAGGGTAGGTCGGCCTATTCTGAACTTGTGAGCTAGAAATACTGAACACTCCGAGGATATACAATGATGGTTTGGCATCGCATCATGAACTGGCCCAAGGATGAATACCAGGTATTCTTGATGAATTTGAGAAAGGTGTTTAAGGATAAACGAATCCATGGATACATGCGTGTTCGATATGTTTATGGTCGGAAGCCAGAGGTTGAGGAGTAGTTTTCGACTGTTCAAGATTGTGCCACTCTCTCAAAGAGATCGAGATCAGCCAAAGCTTGGCAAGGTAAGTATTAAAGGCTAGAGTGTACCAAAGACTCTCATTTCCTCTTCATTGCGTGATCAAAGTGGAGTTCCGTTAGCCCATGACAAGGAATCATCCCGTAGCGAGCTTTGTGGTATGGTCAACACAGCGCATTCATGCATAAGCGAGTAGTCTTACCAACATTTTCCAAACAATCCTGGTTTTTGTATAATAAGACGTGCATCACCTCCACCCGTAAACGTTGGTGGTTGGCCTATTGTTATGCAGTTGGTTCGGGACCCTGGATTTTCTCCATCTTGTTGCAGTAATCCTGCCAAAAGTCGGACAAGTTCCTTCATTTATCTTTAGCTCAAGCTTCGAAGCGATGCTTCTTTTAAGAAGAATACGAGAAAGATTTATGCCCCTTGAAAAGATTTTGGCGTCAGCAAGCATCTGCCCTTTACCTACAAAATCCGTTACTCTCCATTGAAAGGTCCAGGTATATAAAGACCTTCAAAATCAACCTATAACAGATTGGTGGACACAAGTGTAACGGTTGCACAAGCCGTTAAGCCACAGGGCAAAAGATCGGGCCATAATCGCTATGCAAGCAATTATAGGTGTGCCACAGCTGCCTTATAGAGCCTTATAACGCTGTTACGGGCACGAATCGTAACAACAAGGCACTTAATTATATCTTTCCCACTCAGACACAGTTTCCTCTTCATCAGTTTCTACCAAAATGGGGCCACCTTGAGTCCACTTCGCTCCCGATGGCTTCATCCCCTCCCTCATGAAATAGGGCCACGACAGTCAGAAAGGCGGCATGAGCCCAAGCCTCAGGACCTTAGGTCTTTTATAGAACTTCTGGTTACGTCATTTGCCGATGAAATTGGTTATTCTCCGCTCAAGACTACCAGCAACGATGCTCTATGGAAGGCTTTGCGTACATACGCGGACAACACAGGTGTCCCTTCTGAGGAGGGGACCCATTCTTGGCTGATGTTCAAAGTTGGATATGTATACCCAGTTGTATGTATTACTTGAGATGCAAACTCAGCCAAAACTAACAACGCGTAGGTCTGTTTCCCTCATCACCCGTTTGAGGTCCAGGTATATATCGGGATCTACTCATGGCTCGGTCTTCTCCTTGATGACCAAGCCCCTGAATATCTTGAGGAGTTCTCGATGTTTCATGAACGGTTCTGTGCAGATGAAAAACAACCCATACCTCTCCTGTAAGGATGGGCTGATCTTAGGAAGCTGGCCTTCAAGTATTGGGACCCGCCTGTTGCCAACTTTATTGTCACTGCATCTCTGAACTTCCTAAACTCCAACGCTCTCGAGGCTCGAAAAGAGTTTCATCAGATAGAGCGCACAAAAGCAGGTCGAAGCTGGGCATGGTTCCTTCGAGAGAAAGATGGTGTAGGAGAGGCATATTCTTGGTTCACATTCCCGAAGGCACTTTGTCCTGACATATCACTCTTCTTGGAGGTGGTACCAGACATTTCAATGTGGATTGGTCTTACCAACGATGTGTTGTCGTAAGAATATTGTCCCAGGTGCCTCAACTTCCAGGTCAAAGCTGATGGAGTACAGGTTCTATAAAGAGAAGAAAGCAGGAGAAACTCATAACTACATCCATAATAGGGGATGGTATGAAGATAAAAACCCTCAATCCGTCTTCGAAGAGATTGTAGATGAGATAACGACTAAAGCCCGAGCAAGTAAGCGCAAATGAACGCCCTCATTTTGACATTGGCTAACCAAGGTTCTTATAGTGCGGCTTGTACTGAAAGGTCGAGAGCCGTACCTCAAACTCTTGAACTCTCAACTTCTTGGATATATCGCATTCCACAAACTGAACAGTCGTTACAGTCTATGGGAAGTTGGTCTGGGAGAAGATGCTACGGATCGAACCGCGCTGGGGCCTTAGTCCGCACAAAGATTATATCCTCAGGACATAAACACAGCTTGAGATAAGTTTTATTGTGATTCGGACAGTCATAACCTCGATTCGTTTTCAACTATGGATTCAAGCAGCGAGCTAGAATAACAAATGTTACAATTTGTCGGGAAAATCTCACTCCTACCACTCCAAATCATCTTCATCACTTGGACGTAGCCAACTAGATGAAAGTCTGGTTCAGTGCTCGAACCAGGTGTATTTTTCCCAGAGGAACTTGTAGTCTCAGACTTAAAGTCGTCTATTACATGTATTAGCTATGTCCAGTTCATTCTAACGCCTTTCAATCTTCCTCTTATAGCAACTCACGCAAGCGTGCACGAAGTTTCTCTACCCTAGCGCCCTTCTTATCGGATGATTGAGGTTCCTTTTCATTACACGTCGGGCAGGCCGGAGTTAGGAGACCACCTGCCGGAATGTTAGGTTATGTCATATGAAAAGCTCACTCACTCACCATCATCGGGCTGGTCCTCTTCCTCCTGGTCTGGACTAATCAGTTTTGGGCCTTTGGCATGCGGATCGATCAAAGGACCATCAGAAACCGCTACACTGTTCGTTCTGAGATCCTTGCTGCGAAACTGGGCAGACCTTAGTCGAAGTCGGTCGCTCAGAGATTAGAATCCATTCTGTCGTCGTCTCTGACGTTCGAGCATATTTTTTATCTCGTGCTCCAACGTCAATCTCTCCACGATGGCTTTTTCCTCCATTACCAAATGTTGCGAGCGCTTCTTTGAGGCTGCCAAATCCGCTTTGCAAGTATCCAGATCTTCAGAAAGCTTGACAGAAGCATTTTGGAGTTCTTGTAAACGGGTCTGTTGTAAAGAGGATAGGCTTCCACCACCAGCTTCCCAAGTCTCAAGAATTGCCTTGGTCGGTGTTTCTCTAGCCATCTTCTCTCGCACACCACTCTCAAAGGTCGATTGATATATCTGAGAGTTCTCCTTATCGAAAGTCTGGAGTAGCAAAGCCTTTGAACTGAAGAAAGCATTTCACCAACACCATAGCAACATTCTCTGGAACACCAAGCTGATTGGTCATTTCCTCCTTGCATTTCTTCGATGGGGATGCCGATAGTCTTATGACATAAGATACGAAATTCGCTGTAAGCGTCGGATATAGATCAATTGGCAGCCCAGTATCGTTCAATGTCCGCGCGATCAAGACTAAATTCATCTTGCCTTCTAGCCTTCTCATCTCCAACGATGCCAAGAGTTGAAGACATGGGAGCTCCAGATCGACGGCGGCAGCATGCGCACGGAAGGCAGTAGCAAGTTCTGAGCAGTTTCGCTCGTCTTCTGTGTCTCCTTCGGGTTTAAGGCACTAATATTATTAGGTTTCATAATTTCTTAGGTTTTAAGTATTGTTATATTATATATCTATATTTATTATAAGTATAATTCTTATACTTAAATATATTTTATATTTTACTATTACATTATTATATAGCTTTGAGTAATATAGATTCTACTTATATTTTATATAAAGTCTCAGTTTATTAATTACCTTAGTATTATTTATAATTTTAAGAGTTATTTTAGTTATTATTATATTATTAATTAATAAGGGATCAGGTCAGGCATTTTGGTACGAAAGGCCTTATCGGGTGGCTGGAGGCTTCTTCGGATAGCAGGCATCGTGACGGGGCAGCTGTGATGCTGTTAGCGGTTGCGGCTAGAAGAGGGAAAGTCGGGTCGGATGACTTACTGCGTGATGGATGATTGAAGCGTGGTATGCAGCAGAGGTCGATGAAAGACCTTTCAGGTAGGATATAGGAAGAAGGTTAGGGCCAGCTAATAAGTAGGTAAGGCTTTTTAGCTAGTATATATATAGCTAGGTTTAGGCTATAATTAAGGCAGCTCTTCTTCTACAACCCTTTCGCTTCACCTTGTGCCTCACGCCCTCGCCGAAATCAACCCTAACAAGTAGCAATAGACGGATATAAACAGCTGGAAGCAAAATCAAATATCTAGCACTCTTACAGAACACGATGCTATATATTAACATAGTAAGAAAGATTGTACTTCGCACTCTCCACTGTCTATTAGGCAAAGCGACTCTCCGTTCATAAACCCTTCCACGTAAGCCTCACCGACAACTACAAATGCTTCCCCTCGAGGGCGTATGATAAGAGGGGTACTGCACCCAAACATGATAGCAATAAGGTCACCGATTTGGGTATGGTTTTCCTCACCCTCATCGAGGAAGTTATCAGGGGCCCAGCCCAAGTAACCCCGTTCTGTGAGCATAAAGCGTCGCTCCATGACCATTTCTCTACCATTACAATACACATCAACATAAGTAGACTCATGGGCATCAGCGGGAATGGAATCCGTAAAGAAACTACCCAGTGGACGTTCGCCTAGCATAAAGTCATCATGTGCCTCCCGCCAGCCTTCCCACTTGTAGTAGTAGCCTTGCTGATTTGCAAGCCACGACCATTTGCGCTCAACGAACTGCGGGATGGCTTTCAGAAATGTAGACGGGAGGCTCGAGAGAGCCAATTTATGCAACTGATTTTCGCCATGATCTGTATGTCGTAACCCTAGCAGCGCTCCCATTAGCGCGGTTGAGGTCTCTTCTCTATTCCCATAGGCGCTTCTCCATGAAGGATATGGGATAGTTCTAGCTGGATCCCATTCAAATGAGTTGCGTTCTGGCGCACCCAGTCCGCCAACCGCATCCAGCACAAAGCCATCGCACTGAAGATATCTCCAGTTTTCAAGGAACTTGTAGGCAGCAGGAGCGCCGTTGTCGGCGTTGTACACTGTCTCCGGTTTCGGTGGAAGGGTCGAGGCCCCCGTTTCGCCAACTGAGCCAGTGAAAGTTGAACCAGGTCGCCAAGATGGCATTCGTCCTTCCCAGGTCCAGTCTGCTGCCCAGGTAGGTGAACCATTTCTTCCCCATGGATTCGCCAGCCGTAGAGGCTCGAGACTGTTAGTATGCTTAATAAAGGCCTTGGCAACGGCTGCAAACAGTTTCGGAGGGCTGAGGCTATAATCATGTCCGACCTCTATTGCGATTTGGGGATCCATCAGTCCGAGCAGGCCGAAAATCTTATCCCTGACATCCCGGCACCGGCCAGAGCTAGCGACCTGTAGCAGACGCCGGAAACCAAGACGGGTGCCGATACCTTCACCTTCATATAAGATAAGTTCACGAAGTGCTTGGTGAACAAGGTGAAGGCTCGTGATGTGCCATCCCGACTCTCTCAGATTTCTCCGCTTCTGCTCTCTCACCAACAGAAGATCCTTGAGGGTCCAATTATGCCCACGATACAAGACAGAAATACCTTTGCAGAAACATTCCCAGTCCAGAAGCCCATCATCACACCGTAAAACGGTGAATGAAGCACCCATAACAACTTCCTGGATAACCCAGAGCCTCGACCAATACGGCCGTTTCATCAACTCGTGGAGAGCGAAGAAGCCTTCTTCTCGCACGAGGCCTGGTCGCTGAATAAGCAGTTTAGTTAGCTCCTGTTCATCTTCAGGTAGAGACGCTAGCGTTCGAAGAAGTTGGAAGGCGTCCTTGACGTCTGCCCGCCCGTTGTTGTTTCCAAGCCATGAGATAACGGCCCAAGCTCCGCCATAGACCTCTCTCATTTTCCGGACCTGACTTGCGCGCTCGACTTCATCGTCCTGGTTGATGCAAATGGCGTCGATCCAGATCTTATAATCACCCTGGAATTCTCCGTTGATTGCTAGTGTCCGCAAGGCAATCTCTAGATTCTTGGTAACTGGCAGCGGGGTTCCATTCAAGAATATCATTTGCCGTTTCTCTTCCCCCCAAACGTACGACAGAGCGGCAAAGTCACCCCAGCGGTAGCGGTGGGCAACTTGAGATGACTCAGGAACCAAAGTGAGAGCAGCTTTCCCTGGTTGAGCGTGGGGTCTCTGCTTGCAAGATTGTATCCATTTTGGGAGCACTCTTCGTGCTGAGTGCCCAACGAGTCCCGATGCGTGAATGAAAGACAAGTATGCAGGACGGAATTCTTTCAATGAAGCTGTCGAGAGGTGGCATCGAACAATCCCGTCGGATTGTAGTGGTTTGATAGTGACAAGGCGAATCTCATCCCTACTGTCGTCAAGTGGTCGGTATGGCGATTGCCAAATCTGAGGCTTTCCGTCAGGGATCATAGTCGTGAGTTATAGAGACTCTTAACAGTCAGTCATAGGTGAATAAAACGTGCACCATAGGCTTTTAGTTCCCAAGATAAAGACTATTGGAATGGATTCTTTATACCTCTGTGAGTCTGCAACTGAGTGAGCCTCAAAAAAAGGGAGAGTAGAAAATGCGCCTGAACGTACCCCATTGAAGCTGAAACATGGCACCCACGCAAGGGTGAAATATTCCCCCACTATTCTTGGTTTCTGACCCAATGTCAAATCTGACGGATGTTCATCAGCTGGAAGACATTGTATTAATTGGCATTTGAACTAGCCCTCACGGTGATCATTATCGGGTGGTGGCGCAGCGGCACAGCCTCAGCCACGGCAGACTTACTTTTGGCACCGCAAACTTCTGTAGGCTTAAAGTTACCTACCTGCAGCACTAAGCTTACAGCCACACAAACCATTCGATAGTGTATATGCAGACTAGTAGGCTAGGCGCCCCGGGAGGTCCCTAAGGCAAAATGCGTTGTCATATCAAGAAATTGCGCCTCAAGATCCTAATTCTGAGCCAGATAGGTTACTTCGGTAGATAAGTGCTGTGGCGCCCAAGCTTCCGTCACAGTGGACGCATGTTGAAGACTTCTGATTGGGAAGAAATAGATGATTACGAATAGGACGGTTTTAACTGATCCGATACTGGTGTCGGACTTCTATCCACTGAGGCCGAATTGTCACATTTTCATTCATCACTAGGCTTCCTACTGTAGCTAACCCTGTTCAGTATTTTAAAAATTAACTTAACTGGTTCCAAGAAGTGGCCGAAGTGGAAAGTGTCGCCGCTGACAAGGCTGAAGCCCCGTGACGCCACCTGATCGGTTGACATATTGGTAGGTTGAGGCACTTGAAGATCACGGTTCTGAAGCTAGTTAAGTTCACCACTCCCCAAATAGCAAGCAAGACAACAGCTGGAACAAGCTCTGGTGAAGCTTTGATTGATAGATCTTGTTTTTTATGCAGATTCTGATTCTTTCCTGACATCTTAGACTTCCAGCATCTCATTTCACAATCTTTAATTAGTCGCATAAAGGTCAAGCAACATAGTCCATTTTCCAATCTGTAAGCTAGCTGAAGTGCAAGGGGGGGTGTTTGTTTCCATTCTAATGGATTACAATAACCAGGACTTATCATCAAATCCTAGGATATCATGTCGATAGATCTTCTGACCAGCATACTCAACGTCCATCACTTCTAAAACACATAGATATTGTTGCTAGATGCGGTCGAACCTGCATCGTATATCAGCGAAAACCCCGTATCCGAATCCTCTGAATCAGTCGGGCTTGGCGTCATTGTAGGATGAGGCTCCAAGTCAAAATCCACCCCTCCACTGTTAGAATCAATGCAAGTAGATTCTCGTCGTTCATCCTCTGGTTTCCCCAATGTCTTGGTCACGACTCTGTTTATTTCGCGGTGAATGGCCGAGTGTGTCTCGGCCACTGAACGATTAGCTAGCTGCAAGCAATCCCTCGTGGTGTCAATTGGATTATATATTCACTTACCAAGAGAGTCCTTCAGCTTTGAGAAGGAACTTCCAAGGTCAGTGGGGTTTGACTTCTTTTCAGCGTCAGGAACCGTTTCAAACCCGCGGGGGAAAATCTGAAATAGATTAGGTCTGTCTGTCAACCTTGAAGGCCCAGAATCAGCTTTTTCTTGCGCCTGTCCAAGACGAGAGCCTTGGAGAGAAACTGTTAAGGAAGGAATCTTAAAGGTTTCATCCACCGACTTTCTGACTTTTAGTCTCATCTCTTCTTCGCTGAGTCCCAGTTCCTCCAAACTTTCGTGATACTCCTTCACTCAATCATGGGACGACGATCGATGTGCTGTCGGAAAGAGAAACTCCTCGACAGCTTTTTGCTGTGTTGTAGGAGTGTCTTTATGCCAAATTCCTCTGGCGATGTGGTTTTGAGAAGATTGCTCCTTTGTTCCAACCTTGATCATGTTTGACGGTTCATGTTCGGGTCCAGGCTTCGCTTTGGCCTCTCGTCCCTGGTCCACTCGAGCCATAGTGACCAATCTTCTGACAAGCATGTCTGTGATGCTGTTTGGAGTATCCCGGCTCAGAAGGCCAGTTGCAAAAGTGCTGCAAGGACTGGTAATCACTTTTTCAAGCTGAGATGCAATATACTGTTCGAGTTCGGGGAAACTTTTGTAGCTGAAGCTGTGCTTTCCTAGAATGGCAAGGAGATTCAAGAGATCCAGGTCATTGCAGAGACGCAGAGATTCTGCCTTCGCCAGGGCTACCAAACACGGTAATTCCATGTTTGTAGCAGCTTCAAAGACTTGCAGTGTCACCCTCAGCTCGTAGCCTTTCGCTAAATGGCCAGAGATGTCCTTGGGTTTCATGCAATCATACTGCTTGGTGTAGAAGAAATGGATGACGACGTGGGCCGTATCGATCGCGATGGCCTGCATATCCAAGATCGGCGTAGTCGATGTGGGTGCAATTGCATGGGTTACTTCCTTACTCCTGCTGGATAGTAAGTTGGCTGGGACGACCCCTTTGTGGACTCGAGTAATCGAATTTCCCTTCAACAGAATCTGGACAAAGCTCCCCACGTAGGGCCTAGATGTTTGTTAGTTTAAGAAAATTCATGTCAGTTGGTCATACTCACGACTTGTCGAACTGAACCGTCGGCTCTTTAGACATGCTGCTCAGATTATTCCCCATCGAGCTGCGTGAGAAAAAGAGACGATACGAACAAAAGATTTGGGAGGGCCGTGACGGAGGCGTTTTGAGGAATTTATATGAGTAGCAAGGTTTCCCGGATCAGTGATACAAGCTTCAAGATACCACACATGCAACAGAAAGTATTTGTTGCTCAAAATGTTACGAACACCCTTCCGCATCATGAGAGTGGAATATATGATTGGTGACGCCGACCTCTGTGATAAATCATGCGCCCTCAAAAGACTTTGAAACACTAAATAACTCACGAGTATTTGAAACTCAAACATCCATCGAATATTCTGGTCTTTCTATCAGATTCGGTATTTGCGGGGTCAGAAGCATATGTGTTATTTGCCTTTGTGTTGGGGCGTCAAGCTCCTTGGACTCCTCCTCCTTATACATCCAGTAGTGGGGGATCTGAAGCAGAATCTGAAGTTTATCTGAAGCGGCAGCTCAGGACTCAGGTCACCAATGATGATATCTAGGAAGGCCTTTTTGTGATAACTAAATTTAGTCTATGAGGTCATGGCACAGTCTCATGCTAACTAAGGTCCCTCACTATGGCCGAAACAAAGTGGAGCTGCTCACACTCTTTTTTTTCCCCTTTATTTCCTATTGCGAAGATTCTAATACAGATATATCATCATCAAGAACAAATACTTTACTAGAAACCCTTTGCTTTCCCAACCAAAGACTTCCAGTGATGTTTGCACAAGTATTGAGCCTTTGAGCCTCAGGTAGCACAGATTGCTAGAATAGCTTTCGCCACGTTCCCTGCCACGTCACTCGAGTCTACAGAGTTCTTTCTTGCATAGTTATCATGGTATCTGTACTTTCAGCCTCTTTGTGATAGATTGGGAATGGGCTTCCAATAACAAGGCTCGCCTAAAGGCGAGTCAAGGAGGAGTTCATTTGGTTCAAGTGTTCCAAGTACTTTATGTTCAAGACGTATTATATTTCTCGAGGAAAGTAAATCAATCCAAGATATAAGAAATCGACCCCTACAGTAAAATTAAATGCCGTAATCCAGTAGGCTTTAGGTAATTGATAAACTATCTACTTACAAGATCAATAGAATTGCTCCCAACTCCGATACCAGGTTCCAATTTGTGTTGCAATTTGTGTTGCAATTTGTGTTCCAATTCCTGCATTTTTGCTCCTCCAACTCAATCTGCATCTCCATGTTTCGCTGCTCACATCTCAGCCGAAGTTCAGGCAATATTTAAAGAAAGACATATCCAGTCATAGCATCCTTTTTCTCCGACGGCGAAACCCAATCGATGGCCTCTTCAACTTCAACAGAGTCACCTTTCATGGCATCCGGGGCAGGTGAGAAAGGTTTCAAAGGCGCGTCAAAGTAGGGCACCACTCTGTACTCGGGTATTTTCAACACGGGTCCGATAGGTGTCACTGGCTGATTGCAAGATTTTTTAGCCTCGCCTGGAGTACCCGTCTCAGTGGTCTTGGTTGGTTGCGACGAGAAACCGCTTGATGTAGCTGGGTGACTCGAATTCTTATTCGAGTCTTCCTGTTCCAGCTTCGACACGCGCTCTTCCAGGTCTTTCGCGGCCAGTCGTTGTTTAAACAGATGGTTTGGTTGACGAATCTTTTGTAGACGCATGATCTCCCTCTCCCGATCTATGTTCAGCTCTGATTGTGTCTTTGCCCTGGGAGTACTGGAGGAGGGGTCTTGATATGTCCAAGTCTTTGGTCCATATCTGTAGCGTTCGGGTATCCGAAATTCATTGCTTTCAGCTTGATGAGACAAAGAAGGAAGAAATAGGGAAGGAGGAATATACGCGGGCTCATTGGGAGAATAGAAACTTGGTAGGGGCAAAGCCTCTCGCTGCATCGGCTGTCCGAGATTGTCTTTCATCCCGCTTCTCTCCTCTTCCTTGGCCGCGGGACTGAAAAGTCGGCTACCAACCGACTGGCCCGTTCTCTTGGTCTCACTCCTCGGTTTCATCCACATTGTTGTGGGCTTCTTCGTCTCTTTGTCGCCAAGGAACTCAGAAACAATATGTTTCTCGCCGATCCTCATTCTATCGATCACAGGGTAATTGGAGAGATTCTTGCCCATATCAATGCATCCCACGTCGCTTATCTCCGTGATTGCTTTCAACAGCATCTGAGCGAGTGAGAGTGATTGTTGGGTCCTTAGTTCGGGAAAGGCCTTGTGGCTGTCTCCATCACCGTAAGACAAAGCGGAACCAATCAGCCGTTTCTCCAAGTACTCGGAGAATTTTGGGAATGATTTAGAATGATAGTTCGCTTCTTCAAGGAGCTTGACTAGCTCCATCAGACCCATGCCTTGAGCCTTGCGGAAGATCTCCTTCGCCGTATCCGATCTAAGGCCATCTATGTTAAACCTGTCTGCCACAGCATGCACGTGAACAATGCTTTTGAAGTATTCGTCTTGCTTCTTGTCAGAGGGATTACCCTGGAGGCGAGTGAACGTTCCCTGTGACAAGTATTCCCACAGCATGTGTCCAGCAACTCCGGGTACAGTACGCAAGTCGAGGTACATAGGTCCGAGCTCCTCGCGGTAGTGAAATCCCATGTCATGGTGGACGTGGCCGTAGATGTACGATGGTGCTGGAGAAGTCACATGAATATAAAGCTGCGGGTACTTCTCGAGCTTAGCCAATTCGATATGGACTGTTTTCCGTCCCTGAAATTCTATGGCAACGAGGTGGTTTGCATGGCTCCACCAGGGCACAGACGAGAACGTTTGCATGATCAAGGGAATTTGTGTGTTATCGTTTTGTTGCTGAGTTTTTTAACGTGGTTTCGCGTGATGTGAGAGAAGAAAAGATCCAGCTTTTGGAATGGGCAAGACATGATATAAATACCTAGAAATTAGCGTTTCACCCTTTATTCCCACTTTGCTTCATTTCAAAGTTCTATGACGCCCTTAGCCACGTAGACCTTTCTCATCATTATGTGATCTGTAGTCTACAAAGGTTATTTAACATGAGAGAACAAACCATGGGCCGCCTCGTGATCAACTGAGACGCCTTTATTGGCTTTGCCCTTCCCTTTAGTTGGGTCTTCGGAACCTTGGAAGTTTGAACTTTAGAATCTTTTCCGCCACTCGGAGTAAAGTGAGGCTTTGAAAAGTAAAATTCAGGCGGTGGCCAACGAGGTTATGAAGCACACCACTACAGTTCTCAAAATACAGTCGCATACCTTCTTGTGACGCACAACTTGAGTTGAAGAAATTAAAGCATGAATTCTTGTGTCTTTCAGTGTGCTCTCGTTTACTGATACCCGCCTTTCACGCAAACCTTCTTCGTTAAGTAGCTCAAGTGTTTGTGCAGAGGTCCACAGCTTGCCTGCCAGCTCGTAATTACCTAACTCAGATTCTACAGATCCTCTATTGAGGAAGTAGTCATAATATCGTACCTTAATTGTGAAGTGCAAACTGTATATTTTGCCGCCTGGATGCCACCTGTGGAAGATCACCCTCACGTGTCGGAACCAGCACCACAGCTCAGCAGGATCCACTGCATTAGTAATTGAATCAACGTCACTTTCACAACCTCAGCAGTACAATGAAATCTCAACAAAATTAAACTAAAACTGTATAAGATCGTCTTGTCCTTTGCTCTATCGACTTCGCTGTTTTTTTTTTATGTTCTTGCTCTGTTGTGCCTGGACATGAGGTACTTGTTTGTTCTCGCTGAATCTTTTTGAGGTCGTTCGATCTGAGTCACGTGCTATACATGGAAGGGACAAAGTGGAGCTGATTCACGACAGTCACGACAGAGATAACAAACGAGCTGTGCAGGAGGTAGAATTTACATATTCCAGGTTGGCCTTTTATGGCCTTGACAACAGTGTATTGGTCTCCATATGCCACCCCATCAAACTTGGACCCCCCATTCCTTCCGCAACCCTGCGTTTCCTGTAAGCGCTATTACCACCAGGAGGATACTTTAGACTCTGATGAACCCTTGCTGGAGCCAGGTGGGCTGATCAGTCAAGCTGTGATCGCTGTCGGCCTCATTGCCACATTGTTCAGGTCGCTCGAAAGACCCGGTCTCGAGAGCTTCAGACAACGTTCGGAATGAAACGGATACGAGTCTGCGAACCTTGGCATCTATAGCGATTAACATTGGCTTTGAAGATGCCGCACCGTGATCTAGTCAAGGCCTTGTAAAGCTGTTACTTACCTTGTTCAGGAATAGGATGTGGGATGGACGAATTTCTGCTATAAAGCCAACGTTGGGCGTCCAGCGCTCTCTCCATTGACTCTTCCTGGGCCCTCTTTTCGGCATTGTGCGTAAGAGTTTGAAGCCGCTCAAGATCCGGGCGCAAGGCTCTTCCGTTTGTCTTTTTTTCCTTGAGCTGTTGAATTTCTTCTTCCTCGCAGGCAGCTTCAGCGTTTCTGAGCGCTTTCTTTTCGGTTCGTTCCATGGCCTCTTCGGTCGTGCGCAGTTCAAGCGCAGCATATCCCAAGCCGGAAAGTTGATAGTTCGGCTCTTTCTTCTGACGATCTTCGGAGGCCTTGGCGAGCAAGATGCTTCGCAATAAGACCTTGCTCAAAGAGTCCGGAACACCCACCGCATCCAGTGTCTCATCAGCCTTGTCTGAACCATGGATTATTTCGTCCTGGGAGTAAGACAAAACTCGCGATTGGACATAGGTGGCAATTCCAGGGTTCGCGTCAAAGGACAGGGCAGCTTCTTCCATGACTTTGATCAGGGCAGGTAAATTAAGATACTCGCCGAGGTGAACGATCTCCACTCTGGCCATTTCGCGGAGTGCGGGCAAGGACAGACTGTCAGTGGCGACATAGACACGAATAGCAGTAGCTAGTTCGGCTGAAACCCTCTTCTCGTATTCTTTCTCCTGTGGCTGGAGGCACTGGTATGTACCCGTGACGAGATAGTGAATGATGACATGACCTGCGTTGAGCTTGATCTCGTCCAGCCACAACTCGGATAGAGGATGAGAAGAGTCGTCATCTCTGAACTGTGCAGCTTGCTTCAAATTCTCATCGAGGAGTGAGCTGGGGATGTGCAGAGGGCCCTCGCTTGCGAAGTAAACAGCACAAGTACCACTCGCATAAGGCCTGTTCGTGTGTTCAGTCAAGTTCCCTTTCATGTGAACAAATACTCATGAGTGTGTTGGTCTGGCGTCGTTATATCCACCCATTTTGCGCCGAGTTATCGTCGGTTGGCGAAAAGGTTGAGAAATGCGCCAGCGAAAACAGAGCAACAACGGAAGAAAAGAGTTCTTGGAGTGGATGAGGCAAATCTCGGGCTGGAGCATCAAGGTATTCAGGGCCTGGTCCTAGCGCTAGCGGAGCTTCGGCAGAAGACTGTGTTTAAGAAGGCTGCTCAACTCTGCCTGGCAGTGTTGATGTCACAAAACAGAGACGCTAGCCTCGCACAAGGAATGAACTATGATTGGTCGCTCGATTGTTCATTTTACAGGCTGAAGACTTCACTTGAGACAAGGGAATGACAATTTTGAACATTCCCGAGTTGGGTCATTACAAACAGGCGATCACTTCACGATTATTTTCATGTGTCATAGAACAAATATCTGAGACGGCCAGTCATGTGTATCATTATCGCCAAATCTGATCTGCTAGTAAACAAGAATCCAACAACGCTGGCGCTGGTCTCCATAAAAACATTTGTTATGCAATGCATCTCTCATGCGGTAATAACCAATGCACTCAATTGGTGCAGAATATTTCCAACAATTTATGTGGAAAGGTAATCAGTGTTGTTTGATGTGTGTGATTTGTTACCCGAAGGCCCGGGGTAGACTTGCTTTCCCTTTTGTGACCAAGTTACTGCATGGCGACTTCTGATGTGGTGGTGGAGAAGGGTAGAAAGTTCTGAAAGATATTGGCTCCTGTTTAGCTTCTGGCTCCAGATCATATGGCTGCCAAGCTGAGTCGTAATTTGTGCCAACAGAGTTGATGGAGGGGTGTGTATGTGTGTGTGGTGTAGTAGCCGAGCCAGAAGAAGGTATGAGTGCTGCCCGATAAAGACACCCATCCTATACCCCTTTTCTCACTCCCAAATGTGAGACGGGGTAGAAACACTCCCAGCTGCATGTGCTCTCATCTGAAGTCAGATGTTGGGAGCTGCAAGCTTGAAGGAGAGATGTTGTATTTCCATCATCATAAAGATGATCCAATGAAAAAGGATGGAGAGCAACAATACACTTTTGTCCTCTTGGAAGGCTTCTCCTTGTTGCGGGTACCGATGGTTCGGCTGCTGTTGATGCTTCCAGCCATGGCCCGCATGATCTTTCCACACTTAAACTTGGCAGTTGGAATGAAGTGATTAAAGGGACTCTCAGAGTGCTCATCGACATCATTCTCGGCGGGGATAGCATCTTGAGGAGTTATACGGTCCCTTTCTCGTATCAATTCTCGACGTATCTGCAGCCACTCTGTTAAGCCCGGCATAAGGGTTGGAAGAGCCTGCAAAACCAGACGCTTGCCTCGTCGCAGAGCCGGTCCTTGGGCTATCTGCATCAACTGAAGCATGACCCAGAGCCGACCCACTGTTTCTGGAGGTTGCATTCTCAGGATAAATGTCTCCGCTTGGTGCCTTGTTGTCGTGTTCAAGACGGCCGAAGTGTGGTCGTCGATGCGGTGGATGATGCCGGATATATGCTTCATGGCCAGGGGAGTATCGACTGTTACCTCGAGTACCCAGATAGGGTTCACAAGCCGAGCCAAGTCGACGGCATGTTCTCTGGCAAGGACAGCCAGACCATAAAGGTTATAACGGCGTCCAATAGCCCAAGCCTTCAGGGCAATGATGTATTCCCTTAGCGCGATGTTCTCGTCTTGCGCTGCGCAGTCGTAGTCCACGTCATATCCGCGGGACATTATCCAGTCGACAAAAACATATCCAGTCAAATCGTCGACATCTGTCATCTCGTACTCATCTTTTTCTTTGAAGAGAGAACGGAGGTTTCTGTGGTATGTGATAAAATTGCTGGGGATACTGATAGTTACCGTCTCAAAATGGATACGGCACCATTTGCCAAGTTGGCGTTGGGTAGTCATGATGATGAATGAAAAGCAAAGTCGAAATATTATAGAAGAGAAAAGCATCCAGTTTCGCAGAGGGGGGGAGGGGACTTAAATAGACGGAGGATTTAAAGTTGATCAACCCACATCAGTGGCTCTGTAGAGACCTAAAAGTTTGAGAAAACTTGTAGCTTTAGACCAAGATGCCAAACACAACTAAGGTAGTCTAGGGCCCACTAAATCTGCACCATGCATAAGTAGTTCTGGTAAGGCGATGTCCCCTGTTTTAACCCTGCTGTGCAACTTGTGAACAAAGGTCTTACTTCGTCGTGACTCGCGGGAGTATGTAAAGTCATAATAGGGTTCGATAACTGCCAATCCCTCATTGGCTGGGCAACAACCTTCACATCGTTGCCCATTTACTTAAACAATCATAGTCTAACTTTACATATGCGAAGAGCACTCGTGAACAGTCAAAGGAGACTCTCCAGTAATGAGCCTCTTGTGGTCTGTGGTTGATTGATAAGAGGATGCAGATACCGTTTGACGAATTGAAAGCGAAGCCTACTGATATAAAGTTACATCATTGAACCTTCACAGACTCTTGTAGGATAGATTGTCGTGAGCCGAAAATGACAGGCCTGCGTTTATGAGGATCAGGAGATGTCGCTACTTGTGATTTGCCGACCAAAAGATTAACCATCAAGTTGTAACCTTCAGCCGCACAGTCATACCACAGATGACCACTTCGCTGCCTCTTAATGGTACAGCCCGTGACGATAGTTTAAAGTCTCATGCTGTTCCTGCACTTGAGCGTGAGAGTGAGGTTAATCGGACTCACGAGGAGAAGAGGCCGAACATCTGGACAGAGAGGACTTTAAAGGAAGTTGGTAGATGAGCTTCGAAGTTCGTGTTGATACAAATGAGATGCTAAAGTTCCATGGACTTCTGTTGCCACTTTGCGTGGATGAAATAAGGCCCTAGGCCTCTGAGCCACAGTCACGGAGACGCAATACCCTTCTTTTAGTTGATGTGTCGACGGATAGTTTGCTCCATTGGAATCAGAGGATATTTACAAAGGCTTTGTTGGATATTACTGGAGCAGCTCAGGGTAGCAAAGTGTATTGTAGCCGCAGCATTGCGTGTGAATAGCCACTGAAAATCAACCTTCCATCTGCTTGGGAGTCTCTCCTTCTGCAGAAACTCTCAGGTCGAAGTCTGATCCAAACATCAGGCTTGCTTTCTTCTCGTTACCTCAGCACTACCCTTTCTCCAGAGCAAAAGCGCATACGATATGGCCTAGTTCGACTGGAATCCATGGCGAGACATAAGGCACTATTATTTCAATTCCCAAGTCAATACCAACATCGAGAGCGTTTTAACACTAGAAGAAGTGGTTAATTATTGTTCTATCAGGTGTATTGGCGCATTGGGGATGATTGCGGACAGTAAAGCTCTTATCGCCCTGTGGTTCGATAGAAACCGCGTTGTGTGTACGATGGGGTCAGGAGACCTTGGTTCTCATTATTGGTCCTAGAAAGGCGTTTTACTTTCCCAGCAGATCGAGACTTTAATTAGAAGCGATTTTGCAAAGGTAGTGTACTTCAGATATACCGGTATCCGGTGTCGGGAATATCAGGAAACACTCTTAACATGCAAAAAAAGCAGCAGGAGATGGCACTGAGCCATGCAAACAACGAGTTTGATTTTTCCCCACTGTGGACTCACTGTCCCATCAGCTCACTCGTTCTTATCTTCACTAGCTTTTAGCCGTTTTGCATCTTCAACCCAGATCCAGGGTTGTGGCGACCGCACAGCTAGACAACGACTCAACAATAACGTATCGGGACGGGCAAGATATTCGCTTCCAGAAGCCAAAAGGACAGCAACTTCTTATATCACCGCGGTACCAGAACCTCTGGACTCGCAAACAACGAACACTGACAATATTTGAGGACTTTGAGCAGACCTGCAATGAACAGCCCAACACACAATAACGTTCAGGCAGATCTTCTATCACACCCGAGGAACGTGGAACACAAGATTCTTGAATCAAATTTCTTCATGATCAAAGAAAACGAAATATCCCATTTTCAGTGGATATGGGAGCTACCATAAGGCATACATGATTGAGCGAAAGAGTATGCCTGGTGAAACTGTTGACCTTGGGCCCGGAGAGCGATATCTCGCCATAAGGTGTCAGAACGTGCAATTATCCCTGGACAAAGGCAAAGCAAGGCTCCTCGCCAAGGGTTCTTGTGCAGGGAGTCAGCGACATCCTGATAACACTCAAAATTCCAAAGGCCATAACAAACCCCGGCACATCGACTTGTATTGGCTACTGAACCATTGGATGCCGTTTAGGCATAGCATGCTCTCCCTGAGTGTCAGAAAGTGTATCACCCTCGCATCGAGAAGATCGTCGAAACACTTGGTACAGAACAACGTATTAGGAGCAGCACATCATTGGGATACAAGGAAGATTTAGAAGTACAAAAGACTTACCATTTCTATATACAGAAATGCCTTTGAAATGGCGATGCGGTTAGTGGTTCTGCCGTATGTACAGGGCTTTCGCACATCTCAGAAAATGCCTTTTTGCTGACCTCTTGAATATCAACCGTCCAGCATCATGCTAATGCCAAACCACGTCAACTTCAAAATCATTCAACAACACGAAGTGTCCGCTCATATATTCAACGCACGTTCAATGAACTACAGAAAGCCAACCATTATCCCCGATGCCAGTGCTCCGAGACGGGGTGACTCTAACTCTCAAGCTGAAGCATACCCTGCACCCTTGGGAGACAATTCATAGACCTAGCTCTCATACCCGGGGATCGATTCTAGAACATACTTGTGCAGAGAGACGAAAGCTACGACAGCAAAGATGTTACCAAGAATCTCTCCGTGAGCCCGTTCTAGGTTGGTTCAAACATCTAGAAAAGCCCATATACTTAAGTATGTCAGGACCTTCGCCAAATCTCTGTTCGTCAAATAGTTAGTGTGGTCCATGGTCATGCCCGTTCCTGCTCTGGTTTACGTGTTGACAAGCATCAACCACGAAGTGCACACCTCCATTAGGGAGACAGAGGCTTGGAATTATGAAGCTATCGAGTTGATACCATTGTCACCGGTTCCCCATCTTTTGCTAGTATTTCCCCTTGGTGTTTGAGGTGGGATGATCACAGCTGTGGGCGACAAAGCAATCTACCATATGAGACACACTGTCCTAAGAAAAGCGCGGTCGGGTTGACCTAGCCCGTGGTTTTCCCGACAACTTCACGAACAGAGGGATTTACACCCTGACTCATGCACGACCAAGATTGCTGTGGTTTCTAGATGAAAGATGGTAGTCGTTACCATAGAAGAAGACATCGATTCATCAAAACTATAAATAAAGAATACAGTGTTTACAAATTTCATCCAGTGTGCAAAAAGCTTCCCATCAGACCCTCTCAACTGCTGCCTCACCTTGATCCTACCCTACGTCAGCACGATTGCCTTTGCCGCCACTTCCAGATCAAGATGATTCCCTTCAGATAACCTTGTGAAGTACATGCTGTATTTGGTATTGTGCTCAAGGACGTAGTCACTTGAAGTTGCCGTTTCCTCTCGAGCCGGGGGGAACAAGAGAAGAGGGAACAAGCAGCCTTTAATGGTGTTTTTCTCACGGTCTGAAAATGGGCAACGCTCCATATGCTCACCGTCAAAGGGTTCATTTGACTCATAGTAGAAGAACTTGAGTCGTGTGGTGGTCGATATGAGATCCAGCTTGAGCTCCAGCGCCGACGCGAGAAAGAAACTGAAGTTGGCTTTTTTTCTGGGCACTTGTTCGAGGTTATTGTTCTCGCTGCTCGGAGATGCCCAGAAGAATTCCAAGTGTTTATAAAGGATGCGTTCTAGTTCCTTGACCTTTCTCTGGATAATTTCAGACCTGCTATTGTCGGTCACTTGTGGGAGGACAGTGCTATCTGCTCGATGAAGCTCATTGAGTCCAGCTGGGTCATATTAGTCATTTTCTTGCTCGACCCTCCGTTCACTTACCGACATCAAGAATAATTTGCCGGTAGGCTTCTGCAATTGGATTTGGTGGATGAATGAATGCTGGGAAGGCTGGCTCGAATACCATTTCGATGACTGCTGAAGCTACTAGTCCTAGGAGCAACTCGATTTTGAAAAGCCTGGAGTCTTTAAGTCGAGGAATGCAATCTTTGAGTTCTTGTCCAAAGGCATTGAGCCCCCAAGACTCCACGAGATCGCTGTGCATGGCTTGGTCTTCCGGTGCTTCTGGGTGATCTCGGCATGCTCCGAAACATGCATCTTGCATCTGCCGGAACAACGTCATGTACAGCCTAGAAATATTTTCCCGGTGCATACCTGGACTATTGACGTTGAAAGCTCTATTGCGGTTGACCCTTCTGTCTGTATAGTCCAGGTATTGCTGGAGGGTATGTTTCACGCGAGCGTCGGGTTTGTACTTGACCACAGTATCTAGCTCTCTCTTGAGCCGCTCTTTTTCGATCTCTGACGCAAGTAGCCGGGTTTCAATTTCCCATATCTCTCTTCTATTGGGCGATGGGGAAACGGCGGAACCTCGCTCGACGAACGTTCCAGCCCTCTTGAGGGATGGGCTGTCCGCAATTTGGTCTGCCGAGTTGAGGCGCGATGAAGTTTGAGATGGTTGTTGCACTTCAGTGGGTTGACTGGGTTCAACGGAGGAGTCTTCATCAACTTGGCCCGCAGTTTTGTCTTTTTCCTCGTTTGGCAATATCTATAGCAGCATGCTGGTCAGCACGAGATGAGAGATGAGTGGCAGTTGACTTGACATGGTCGTACTCACAGCCTTCAATTTCTCCGGAGAGACCATGAAACTCACTAAGAGCCTCTTAAGGCACCATTTCACGTGTGAGCTGCCTTCACTAGTCGTAACTGCAGACCGGCCAGCGTTAATGTCGGGTATACGGTTGAAGAACTGATCAACACTTCTGGAGGTCTCTTCTGGTAGGTTCAATGACTCCAGGCCAAATTCAAGCAAGTTGGCATAGTCTTCGACGCCTTCCAGCTGGCCATGCTGGCTTGATAGGTGCTTCAGCTGCTTCTCGGCTTCATCATCGGTGAATGTTCGTTTGACAGCGTCTTGAAACTTTGGAAACGCAACACTCCAGAAATCAACGCCATTGCTAAAGCTCCATTGGAAATGAGCCAAAAGCTGTCAAGACTCTTCATGTTCCCAGATTCTTCGTTGCCTTTGTTGTCTTCCGCCAGGTGCGCGCTTCTTCTTGGATCCCTGCCTTGGAGGGTTATCTGCATACTGGATTGTCTTGATCCTTTTTCTTAACTTGTACGGGCCTGCGCTGGCTCTTTTTGGACTGCGTGGGGTATTTGGATCCATGGTAATGAATGATATTCAGTAGTTAGTATGTCGTAAAGGTGAAGCTTGAAATAAATCTTGTGACTGTGTTGTCGTCTTTGTTGGCAAATGCGAGTGGCGGGTTTCTTTGTTTGATAGGTAGGCGTCGTGGACTTCTCGGACATCTGCATATGTACTGCAACCACGCTAGAAGAGCAAACAGTCTATTGACTGAGGTGAGCAATCAGGCGCCAAAAGTCTGACAACAAAGCAAGCAGTACACTAAAATTACCTAAATCTCTTAATTTTGATAAAATATCCTTAGACTTTATAATATCTTATTAATATAAATAAAAATAAAATAAATAAAAGTTATTACTAAAATAATAGAAAATTCTAAAAATTAATAATGTTTTTCTTTAAAAGCAAATAATACTGCAGGGCTAGGTGTTTGTTTTTCTCTGGTTTGTATACTGGTGAATCGTCAGGTGAGCAAACAGTGAGACAAAGGCACCTAAAGGAGCATTCACCTCCCTGTACCATGCAGGATAGTGGTCGTCGTGAAATAATTATTCTTGATGCTTGAATTTCTAACCCTCATTCTTTTCTTTCTCTGTCCAAACTACTCCCTTCTTATCACCTATCATCACAATGTCTCCACAGGTTGCTGATAAACTTGTCATCGCTGTCGACTTCGGCCAGACGAACTCATCAGTTTCTTACACTTTTATTCCTGAGGGATGCCTGCCAGAAAGTCTCCCTAATTTGTCGCCCAGAACAGTATCAAATTATCTCTCTGGAATGATGACTTGCAGAGGAAGTTCGATGCACTTGGAAGTCCCAACCTTATTGCGTTATCCCAGGGACTGGGTCTTCCAACCGCTCGACGAACTCAAAGAAGAGCAACCCGGCGCTATCCACCCTGACAATCACCAGATACACTGGGGCTTGCAAGTCCAGCAAGACATGTCGAGAGTCATGTCACACTCTGGCAATAACCAGACTCTTCTACACGGGTTTAAAAGCCTTATGAGCCAGTCAGACAACCATCAGGTGCAGAACGAACGTCTCATTGAAACACTCCGTCGACTATCTCATAAGAGGTCTTGTCCAAGGGAGATTTCCATTCATGAGATGCTTCTCTTGGTAATTATCGACTACCTTACGAAATTGCTCGGCCACGCCAAAGATGAGATCGCAGGGAGCAATGCTATTTCTACCACAGAGATGATCATTTGCGTCCCAGTATTCTGGAAGAAAAAAGCCCTGCGAGACATGCAAACTTGTGTGAGTATAGCCATGAAGCGGGTCAATTTCCCTGGGGTTAAATTTAGCGGCGGCTGTATGGAGAAAGTATTCATGATACCAGAGCCAGAAGCTGCGGCGACACGGCTACTCGCCGGCCCATCTGTCATTCAAGTAAGCAAATTCTTGGCCTTCATACAGCGTCACCCCAACTGGCCAGTAATAGGAAGGGGATGTTTTCACGATCCTCGATGTCGGAGGAGGGACGTGCAATGCCGTGACGTATGTTGTCACCCAAGGATTGCCTCTCAGGCTGTCCAGGCAGGCCGTGCATCATAGCGGTGAGTGGCTTTATCCTTTGGTGAGACGTTCTGACTATTCTCCCCACAGGCGATTCATGTGGCTCCAATGCACTGAACGATGCATTCCGGCAGCTGCTAAGAATTCTGCTCGCAGGCCACGAGTATTTGAGCCGTGACGGGGCAACATTAGAGGGCTACATCTGCAAGTTGGCCGTTCATGACTTCGAGAATTTTATCAAGGCCAGATGGGTCGTCTCTGAGGACAACGAGAACAAGAAGCTTGAGATCATTGGGCTTAAGTTTGATCCTGGAGTTCCCAACCAAGCAGAGGACCCTCAACTGTGGCAGCCCAACCAGTTGACAATCCGATCGTAAGTACCGCACTATAATGCACAATATACTCATAGTATGGTTCAGGTCTAATATAATAATAGCGAGCATCTGAACGAGATTTACGCAAAGGTACGCAAAGGTTTGCGAAAAGGTTTCTGCCATTATGAAGCAGCAGTTGCATGCAGCGGCCCAGAGTGGCCTGAAAGTTTGTGTGAATATCTCTAATGCTAATTGGAAAGAAATGACCTAACAGCGAACAGAAAGTCGCCTTGACGGGTGGATTCGGGGAATCGATTGCTCTACGAAGGCATCTCCGTGAGACTCTCGAGAGTTTCAACGCTGCCAATAATTGCAATGTAGGGCTATATCTCTTCGAGGCTCATAATCGGTCAGTTTCACTTATCTATCTTATAACCAGAAACTCATAATAAATACAGGATCACGGCAATTGATGCCGTTTCCTTTGGAGGTGTTTTAAGGGCACTTGACAAATCGAACGGTCCCACTAGAGTGGCAAGATCAAGTTATGGCGTTCGCTGTGATGAGCCTTACGAGCACCCGAAGCATGGGGGACAGCCGACTATCCCGGGCTTCCAGGACTCGAGCGAACGCTACGTGGAGGCCATAGAATGGATTTCGAAGAAGTCAAGCCTTTACTTCTTGTATCAATGGAAAAATTAGTAACTAATGGATACATCTAGGGTGAAGATATTGCGCCATTGTTCCAGAAGTCTGCGCCGCGCTTCCAAACGTTCCCTTACTGGAACGCCGATCGTACAGTGAACCACGGGCCCTTCATTTGCCAAGAAGAGATATGGGCATCCGACGAGGCCTGTCTAGATCATCGCAGTTTCACAGATGAGCACAATAAAGGTATGGCCCCTAAGACATGAGCCAGCCCAGCCTCAATTAACCAACACTGACATTTCATCTTAGATGCCGAGAGGATTAGCATCATCAAGACAGATGTCACACACCTGCTTCAGCATTTCCTGTGTAAGACTGATGAAAAGCTGGACCTTCATGGCCGTGACAACAGATATTGGTACTGGAAGTTCCCTTATGAGTTGGTCTTGATCATCGACGGCTTGAACATGAAATGTGAGTCTTCCCTTCAGTTGCACTATCCAGCTTTCACGCTGCCATCCACGCCGAGATCCACGAATTGGTACTCTACTATGCAGATGCTAACCATATATGAATAATAAGGTGTTCAAGTTTTTAACGGGCAGGTAATTGGGGAAATGAAGGTAGGTATCGCGCCAGGATTCATACCAGGGGCCACTTGATCGCGCACGGGCAATCGAACGAATTTGCTTGTAGGCACAGAATTTGACAGACTTCGGTCTTCCTATGGGATGGAGAGTTTAGAAGACTTCAGGATACTTTAGGGAAAGAAATGTAAAGCCTATGAAAGTCTTTATCTTTTTTTTTTTTTGGTTCATCTTTGTATCATTTTACCTATTCTACATTATTCTTTTGAACTTTTATACAAGGCCGGCCATTTCTTCTGTCCCCATCAGTCTCAGGCCAAATAGCCTCTGGCCTCTCAAGCATAGCGCTCTGCTGCAGGTTGAGTTGCTGCCATAGGTTCCTTGCCATTTCCATTTTGTGGTGGTGCCCAGTTCTGCATAGGGATATTCTGTCCTTGAGGAGGTCCGTAATACTGAGGCATCTGCTGGAAACCTTGCGCTCCAGGGCCCCAGTAAGCCGGCCCACCAAAGACCATTGTAACAGGTCGTCTCATTGCGGCGTTTCGCTTCTGGGTATCGATACAGGCGCCGACGAATAGAATGAAGTGCCAGAGCCAGATGAGGCAGGTGAACACTGACAGTGCGATAAAGAGCGTGCGTTTGCTGGAAACCTTGTCGCTGCTTGTGCAAACGTAGCGTCGTTGATCAGGATCGTATTCACAGTCTTCGTCGAGGTAATCGAATTCGGAGTAGTATGCGCTGAAAGTGCTCTCGAGACCGCCGACGATACCGGCGCCGAGCCAGATAAAGAGGGAGATGGCGACGTGGGCGCCAGGGTGAATGCCGGCCTTCCATTTGCGACCGAAGCGAGTAGCCAATTCGGCGATATCCCAGATCATTGCTACGACAAACTAGAGAGTGTCAGTACATGTCATCAAGCCAAGAGATTGGAAGAGCCATACAAGTGGACAAGCACCGAGCGCGACCAGGCCCAGTGTCTCAGTACTTCTGAGCGCGCCCGTAAGACCGAGTCCAACAATGCAGCAAACGATATCGATCCCATGAAGTGTAAGCTTGGTGATCATCCAGGCCTTAGCCTCAGCGACTCGAGGGGGCGTCCATTGCTGTTGAGCAGGCTGTTGCGGGTACGGCGCGTAAGGGGGTCCATAACTGCGAGGGTCTTGCTGGAAGCCAGGTTGCTGCTGTTGTTGCTGGGCGTATGTCTGAGGGGCATGTTGTGCAGTGGGAGGAACGGCGGGAGAAGCTGCTGGCGCAGGATCCGTTTGGGTAGAAGATTCAGGCGCCATTGTGTTGAATACGACGGGTTTAAAATATAAAGTGAACGAAAGGACGTGGCGCGTTTGAGCCACGGGAATAAAGACAGCGCACAGCGATAACGAGTGTGAAAAGCGAACGAACAAATGACCGAAAACGAAGCGAAACGAAGAAAGAAGAGCCTTTGTACGAAAAGGCGGGTAAGACAAACTTATTATTTAAGAGAAAAAGGAACAATTAGCTCGCTTCCAGCTGTGAAACTCAAGGCCATTATTCGAGATTGAGGCGTTGGATCAGAGCCCCTGGGCCTTGCAAGGAGTAAAATCGTGTTAGTCCCTCGTTCAATTGGCTTCCTGCAAGGAGTAGCGCGATGAGTGGAGGTGATGATCCATGGATGGTGATCTAAGGGGCTTGTCGGTTACGGGAATGGCGATTTGTTTGAGTGCCCTACGGAATGGGGATTTCAAGAGCCAAATTTAGTACCAAGAAGGCTGCCTCTTCTGGTTCCGGAGCAGTATCTATTGTAGAGCCACGGTTCCGTTGAGTGTTGGCTCTATGTTTGTTACGACCCTTCATTCAAAGGCGCTTTGAACATGAAACACCCATGGCTGAGAACCGGATCATGATGCTGGTAAACGCACGAATTGTCGGGAATAGAAACCAACATCTTTCGAAAAGGCCACTAACAGAAGAAACAAAGCGAAATTTTCCTTTCATCCTTGGCGGCCGCCGTTAAGAATCTCAAGGTTAGCCGCTTTGAGTATGGGTCTAGTCGCAACTAAGATTAGACCAGGGGACAGACAGCATGAGGAAATCGCCGAAGCTGAATGCCCCCCAATTCTATAAGGCTATCGTAGTGTGTCCCTTTCGCCTAACAATGAGTCAGTCAAACTGGACCAGCACGAGACCAGGTTGTAAATCTTTAGCAGTTCTTTCTCACTAATATCTGGCCTTTGATGAAGTGCCTGGCCAAGACGGCCAACGGATGTTGCGACATTGTTACATCGCTTCTACCGGCTTGGCACCAAAACGTACCATTGAGATCCTTCGTCTCTGTCGGGAAATCACCGATATGCTCTGCGAAATTTGATGCAATGGGTATCAATCAAATCGTCTCTTGGCGCTACTTCAGCGGCAACGCAGGCGCTTGTTTTTGCATACGATATTCAAGATCTTCCCGTCACGTAACACCATTTATTCTCGCTGTAGAACCACCATAAGACCCATAATTCCCAACATCACTGTCTTGAGCCAAGGGTATTCCGACAGAAGAATCGTCACGTAACCGACGAATGGCATGTATCCCACAACGCTTCCAATAATGTCACTTCGTACGAGGTAGTCCTGGTTCTTGGCGTAGAGCTCGGTATCGTCCGAGAGGTTGTTATCTCCTTTGGTGAGAAGCTGAGCGGTGTCGCTGCGCATCATTAGCCATTGCCCGCAACTCTTGTACAAACAACATACCCCTTGCCGAACTTGCGTACAACTCGGTGCACGATAGGGATGTCCTTGTCCTTGACGTTGTAAACGACAACCTCGCCAATCTCGGTCTCCTGCAGTAGGTTTCGGTTCCAGAGGAAGAGTAGGTCGCCTCGCTGGAAGGCAGGTTCCATAGAGCCAGATAGAACGACGACAATCGGGGACGGTGAGTCGCTGATAACGGAGAGGCCTTTCCACATCTACGACAGGTTAGCTTTCGTCCGACCTGAAGAAGACACGTTCGCACCATGAAGGCCGTAGAGAGGATAAGCGCAAAGTTCATGAGCTGCGCAGCAGCTTGCCGCGGGTTTCCAAGAGCCGACAGCATGTTGAGATTTTGTATATCGGTTTCGTGGGGCGAGCGGAGGTTGTTGTAGAGCTTGACAACTCCACGATGCAACTTTCGCGCTGGAGCGAAATGGACATCTGGCTCATGGGAGCTCGAGGAGCACGGGCCACTTGAGCTCGAATAACTGGGGCGTTCTGAGGCTGGTGTGTGTGGCGGTGCTAGATCAAGATGTCCCCATAATTTCAGGGACCTTGACGCTATAAATGGTCTAACGCGGGGTGTCATGCTCGAAAGAAGGTGATGTCATGACTACATGTGAAGCATTAGATCGATGTCATAGGCGTTGTAGGCGAGTAAGGAGCTTGGTATTTAAAATGGCCATCTGTTGGTTTTGTTCTTTGTGTTTACGTTCTTCTTCATAATCTCCAAGTTCTACGAATACAAACATCTTGATCTTCTCCAGAACCCAAGTACCTGCACTTACACCACTACACTCAAAATGGCCGACAACAACAACCAGCAGCCCGGTCTCATCGGCAGCCACGCCCAATACGTCAAGGGAGCCGCAGAGGTAAGTCCTTCTCAATCACCCCAGGTCCTCTTACTCACACCTTCCAGGCTACCATTGGCGCCATTACTGGCTCTCAATCATGGAAGGCCTCTGGTGAACAGGACAAGGCAGCAGGTCTTGCCGATCTGAAGAAGGCTGGTGAACTTCGAGCACAGAACGACCCGAACCACGAGAAGGGATACGGAAAGGTCGAAGAGGTCGCCGGTAGGCTCACCGGCTGCCAGGGTATGGAGCGAGAAGGCCACGAAAGCGCTGCTCCTAAGCAGGAATAAATGGACTTCAATGATTGATGAGTGTACGATAGAACTAGCATTGCGATAAGTCGAGCTGGTTGACTCGGCTGATAATACTGAACTCTTCATAAGATTAGGGTCCCGAAATGTGAGGACCACTCATTCACTCTTGCCTTCTTCCTTCTGACCTCCCTCGCTTGCGCTTTCCAATTCTTGCCATGAACACGGCACGACTGCCTTCTTGGCTAAGATCACAGCACCTTCTTCCTTCGGCTGCTGGCCGACACTTACCTACCGCGATGGCTTCATCCTCTCGTCTCTCTTCCTCCAAGCTTCATCATCGCGTATCTTCGTCTCGTTCAGCATCGCCTCTTCGACGCCTGGTCCCCTACATTTCTTGGCTTCATCGATTCCTCGCTCCAGCATCACCTTACTGCAATTTTTTGTTCCGCCGCATCATTCTGATCATCGATCTGTATCCTCTACACCTTCTTTGTCGTCTCCGCTGAGTCTTCGCGATGGACTCAGCACCTCTCCTCCAGAACGCCGATGGCCTCCCCAGCCCCAACGTGATGCAGGACCATGTAAGTCATCACCACGATGCCTTGGGTCATTTCTTTGCTGACTTTACAACCTATAGCCTGCATTCCTTCGAGCATCTCACTCCCCATGGTCATTCATTCCGCAGAACGTCCTCGTTATCTTGCGAGGAATTGTCTTGTCACTTGTCACAGCCGTGGTGATCCTTGTCCTCAATTACGAGATCCACGAACAAAGCGAGTTCTCCGATTGGCGCATCGTCTTTGACTTTGCCAATATCAGTCTGTTCTTCGTCTTTTTGTACCAGCTCAAGACCTTCGTGAGTTTCACATGGGGACTTTCCCTCCACTGTTACTGACCTCTCTAGTCTTGGACATTCACTCACCTATACTATCCCCACCATCATGATCGGCACATGGGCGGCTTAGAAGGATGGCTCATCAGAAGGATGTCGCTCCCCAAGCACATGGGTAGCCTCCGCAAGCAATTCTACTTTACACTCTTCTACACCATCACTGCTGTTTTCGCTTTTGCCAATTCGACCATCTACTTCTTCATCACACGCCAGCACAAGAGTGACGATGCCAGCGGCGAACCTCAACCCGAGCCTCAACCTCCCAACGGTACCGCCTCGCACGTCTGGGCTCCCTACGCCGAAATCACCCCTCCCGCTCCATGTAAGAGCACTTTCTTTATCGCACAGTAAGCAACTGACCAGACATAGTCACCGACATCTTTGGCGAGGGATGGTTCCGTGCCTTCATCATCTTATCCTTGTACGCATTCGGTTCTTCGGTGATGGTGTTTGAGATCCTTGTTCTCAACAGCATTCGACGCCCATGGGTAAGTCGGTGTTCAATCGTAATGGCAGCTTACTGATTTTCATGACCAGACTGTCGGTATTCACCTCATCGGCATCATTTTCTTCGCTACAGCTTACCTGGGTTGGGCGGCCTTTGGTCACCTCGTCACCAACTATTACCCATTTTTCTGGCTCGACAAGAACGAAGTTGGTTCAGATGAAGCAATTACTCTCTACTCCATTGGCTTCGTGTTCTTGATGCCAATCAGTAAGTTCACCCTTTAACGTCAAGGTGCAAATGCTGATTGCCATAGTGTACATTCTGATGCAGGGTCTCATCGCTTCCAGAGAAAGCGTCACACGGTCCAACTCTGAGGCTCGCGCCATCGCTGCAGCGCAAGCAGCCCTTGACGCCTGAAGGGGCGCGAATTGGGAATGGTGATGGGTGCTAGAATTTGTTTGATGGTTAATGATCAATTGGGACGTCTGCCGGTTGAGAGTGGCTTGATGTAATATAGATTGATACACCTGATTGGGGTAGGGTTACTCGAGACGTCTGCTCAACCTCTCAAACCTAAAATTGACTCGACTTCGCAGCAACGAGACCGTTGTTAAACGTTAAGAAACGGACTGTGATTTTGTTTCGCCGAAGTAACTCCCATGAGTTGACTCATTCAAGTTCAAAACCACGGCGTAATGTCCATAATCGACAGTCGGGGTTTTATAAATGTCTTGGTTGTGAAGTGTGCAAGATGCACCTGTAACATTGCGGCGGCGTGAAGCTACGTGCGACAGGAACTTGGCGACACCACCTTGGATGCAAATCAACCAGCCCCGTTGTATGATATTCACCAATCACATGCAAAGATCTGCTCGCACAGATAAAATGGCTCGGTAGCGCCTTCACACAGACCGACGATTGGGTACCGGACGGATGAGTTGGTGAGGCACCAGGACCACGACAGTGCATTGTACAGTCACATCGAGAGGTTGGGCTGGCGATAACACGGATGAATTGATTGGTGTTGACACGAAACGAGCCCGTGCAAATAACGACTAGGAAGAAAAGCCGGGGAAGGTAAAAGATGACGGTGAGTCGAGTTGGGCATTGACATTTTGAGCTTTTACAAGTTGCAGGGGGGTCTTTGGCTGAGATAACCGTGAAGTGAGTGTTGGCAGAGACTCATATTTGAGCCCGACATTGCAGCCTCGATAACGAGATCAATGCAAGATAGACTCGGGCTTCAAGATTACAAGGACTTTGAAATCAGATTATTAATTCTACCTATTAAAAAAACCCAACAATGGAGGTCGGGTTGCATTGCAGAGGCTGTAGTCGGGTCGCTGGCTGCCTCATGCTCATCTTTGAACCCCGCGGCGTAAGACACCATCGGTATAAATACAGGCCTAACCCCCCATACCCCCGACTTCTTCTCTCTTCCTCCCCCCCACACACAACCAAAAAAGGGTCGCAAAGATTCACCAAGAGGATATCGTCTTGTCTTGAAGGACATATTTCTCCGCCCGGGCCCATTTTGTCAATCTTTTCTGTTGTGCGTCGCTCTTTTCTTCTTCCCTTTTGCTCTCTATCTCTTCGCTCTTTTCGTCACTCTCTAGCCAAGCCGATCGATCGATACAAACAGTTGGGAGTCGTTATTCTCCCTACGATATCTTGTCCGAGTCGAAATTCCCGTTACGAGTCCATTCTTTATATACCGATTTCCTCCCATAACTACCGTAGCCATGTTCAAGCGTTCGTTTAGGTCGCAAGACCCCAACCGCGTCGACAAGACTGCGAGACTTAAGAGATCGGGCTCCCACCGGGATCACACGAAAATGTCGAAGCTGCAAAGATCGCTCAACGAGCAGGACGCGATTCCCCAGAAGCCTGCTCCAGCACCCGCGCCTTCACCCTCGCCCATCGTCACTCTGACTGTTGGTCGAGATGGCCGGCTCTTTGCAGCACATGAGGATGTACTCCGCCAGTCGCCTTTCTTTGAGGCCGCCTGTCGTGGAAGTTGCTTCGAGGCACAGAGCAAGAGGATCTCCCTTCCCGACGAAGAACCCGAGGTGTTCTCCGCCGTCCTCGAATATCTCTACAAGGGTGACTACTACCCACGTCTGCTCCACAACAAGCAGCGCAACTCTTGGGAGCTCGAGGACCAAGGCCGTACACCTCACACATCACCCAACCCCGAAACTGGAGGTGGCCGCGCAGGCGCCGCGTCTGAAGCCACTATCTACCTGTCGAGTCTCGATATGGCCATCCTCCGCGACACTGTTGTTTACTGTGCTGCGGACAAATACGGCCTCGAGGAGCTCAAGCGTCTGGCCTTGCGCAAGCAGGGACTGCAATCCGGCATCGATGTCGGGACCATTATAAGGTCAGCTCAGTACGCCTACGCTCACACACCCGACTCAGACAGCCGTCTGCGCGCTCATTACCTCGCCCTGATCATCCGCTGCCGCAAGACCTTTAAGCGCAGCGGGACCATGCAGGCCGAGATGGAGGCGGGCGGCAGCAAGCTCTTCTTCGACCTGTTTGTAGCAATGTGCAATCACCTCGACGACGTCATTGACGTGAGCAATGCTCGCACGCCAAAGACTGTCTGAGTGATTCAAGATAACCCAAACACACTACTCAGGCCTCCGGGTGCTTCGTGTGTTTGATCATAGCTGGAGGACAAGCGCGAAATGGAATACCGCCAAATCCGCGAAAAAAGAAAAAACCACAAAAAAAAGTGATGCTTACAGGAACAGTTGGAAGTCGGCGTTTGGTTGCTTTTCATGCTCCATCATCAGATTGAAGTCCTAAGGAGCTTTGTTTTATTACATCACTCCCCTTCTGCGAGGTTGGCCGACCGAATTTTGATGATACACGGGCTGAGAGGATCTAATCAGACGCATATGAAGTCTTTCACATCCTCTGCTCATTTATTGTGAGTTTACTTATCGCGAGTTTCTGTTTCTGCCTTGTCATTTCAACTCTGCTTTGATACCCACTTACACACGGACACTGGGACATTTTTCCCCCACTCTACTCTGGCGTTTTGTTATCCACCAAAAAAAGACCGGGTTGTCTTTGGTTCAACACCAGACTTTGGGGGACATTTGGGAAGTGGAATGCTTAACTGCTTTTCTACACCCGCGAGCAAATGCCCCGAGATTGGCTAAAAGCTTGCATTTGCACCATCTTGGAATTTTTTCACTGAAAAAAAAAGGATCTTTTCTGGTTTTGTTGCTGTCTTGTTGCTTTCACGTTTTTGGGCAGGAGTTTTTAAAACATGCTTAGAACGCGACACGGATACAAACATCTCCTACTCGGATTTTGCACAACAGGGGGCGACCTTATGAACGAGAGGCTTTAATAACATCTTAACCCTCACACACTGCGTGTGTGCCTCGCCTATTTAGTACTGGGTCGCCCTCTTTGCTTTTGGTTCGCATCTACAGACTGATACCTCGAACCTGTCCTTTTTTTACTGCTTTCCTGTTTTGTTTGCTGGAGGAGATGGGAATTGGAGATCCTTTCTGCATGGTTTTACTTGGGACCGGCGAGACGCCGATGAGAATGAAGTTACGATCTTGATGATTATTAACAACTTGGGATCGTTGAACGATCCTCCCTGGCGCAAGCACCGTCAGGGTAGAGGTAATAAGAAATTCGGCCACCTCAATTGATGCTCCTTTGCACGTGAAGTCTGTGATGTTATACTTAAAAAATAATGAGGTTTGTTATTAGGCGGTTTCATCCCACTCAACCTTAAATTTCTCAAAGGTAACCTCAAGATCCTCCTTGATCTCCTTCTTCGGATCAGGTCTCGCGACAGCAGCAGCAACCTCTAAATCCCAGCCCTCACCACCATTATCACCATAAACCCAATTCGTCTGTCTCAACGGTGTCTTGTCGCCATCTTCATCAACCCTATACGTCCACATACAAAGACCCAGCGCATCCTGAACCTTTTGTACCTTTACAGTAACGCACTTCTCACCATTTCTCACGCCAGCTTCATTTTCAGCGCCGACTTTCTCAACGCTCCAATCTGCCCATTGATCGCATGTGACGGTTGAGTAGCGCGGGTGATCGTTGTATAGCTCGATGCCGGTTTTGATCCACTTGCGGGGCGTGGGGGAGTTGGGGTTTGTGAAGGTTAGGAGAAGACAGGCCTGATCGTATTGATGGATGTATTTTGTGCGGAAGGTGAGAGTTGCGGAGATGAACTGCTTCAGAGGTTTCTTGGAATGCGTGGTGAAGGGAGCTGGGAAAATTAGTAAGTGAGGCTAGTGGTGATGGGTGATTGAGAGGGCGCGTTTGTGAGTGAGGGGTTGAGGTGAACTCACCAGTGAAGACGTCAGTAGAAGGAGGTTGTTTCCAGATATCACTACCAGGCGGCGCCGACCATTTGAAGGGAGTTTCCATTTTATGCACTTTAACCAAATAATATGTAGTAATTCTAGGGATTGCAGAGATTATCTTCAAGGGACACGTCGATGTATTTATAGCTCTTCTTAAACGATGCTGTTGACCAGAAATCGCGGGGCAAACCTGACGTAATCGGGTGAAGCCGAACAACATGCAGCGGAAACTCCGCCTTTTGCGTGGTTCTGAGACAAGTTCTTGTTCGTAGAATGGAGGTAAATATTAATAGTAATAACCGGTTGTCACTTTTACGGTTAATTCTGGAAAGGTTTTGGCTTGACAGGCTATTTTGTGTAGGACGTGAGCTTGATGCGGATAAAGTGATGATGGGTGGAGATGGGCTGAATGTCGAGCTACCATATTTGGAAGGGGAGATTTGTGATCTGATGGATGTCGATTGAGAGAACAGATGAAAACATCAAACAGGTGTATTTAGAACCGTTTTATAGCAATACAAGAGATATTGCATGTAATAATAGATAGATCGTTAAATCAACTTCAATTAATTGCTCTTGTTTACCCTGTACCCAGCCAATTTGAGTTCGTAGGGATAAACCTCGGCTCTCTCGTCACCAACCGCTTCAACAAGATCGTCCGCACAAACTGACTGCTACAGCAAATCTCCTCTTCATTTCTCCTCATCAGAAAAACGAGCATCAACAAAGATTGACGACTCTACAACGACAATATTCATCAAAGACCCTGCTCACTATCGTTTGCGCGGCGTCAGGACTATTCCAAAAACATCACGCACTGGTGTTCGAACCGTCACTGCCTTGGCCCTCTGACTCAGTCAAATTGCAGGGGCTTGCTCACGCGAGTGAAAACTCTTCCCCACTCGACCATAGACACTTATTTCTTCCACCCAAAAAACCCCGCCTGCACCAAGACTCGCGATTTCTCTTCACCAGTATCTCACCTCGTCCATCCCTCTCTTTTTTTTCTTTTCTCTTATCGCGATAATCTTTTTTTTTTTGTAAGAGCTATCGCAAGCAGACGCTTTCGACGCCGCGGCATTGGAGTGCTTATAGCCTCAGTGATCTGGCCGTTTGCCGGCCTGGGGGAGAGAAGGAAGATCAATAGCGAAACGACTTTCAATTCATTTCAACTAAATTATACAAACTGCGACAATCTTCACAATGTCGTCTTTTCTTACACCACCAAAATCGGGGCCTACTGGGCGCCCAGCTGCGAAACCACGATTCGGAAAACCCAATCCTGTCCGAGCGATGCGAGAACGAGAAGAACGACGAGCCGCCAATGCCGCCGCCCATTCAAATAACCTACGAGTTGCTGCCGTAAATCGAAATGCTTCATTAGCAAAACCGAATCGTCCACAATGTCCGAACAAAGCTTGTCCAAAACCCAACGTCGTCGATGGAACATGTCAAACTTGCGGTCGTATCTCTGACGACAGTAATATCGTGGCAGAAGTCACCTTTGGAGAATCATCTTCGGGTGCTGCTGTTGTTCATGGTTCTTACATTGGTGCCGATCAAGCGGGCGTGCGAAGCATGGGTCCTGCGTTCAGAAGAGTCGGAGGATCTGAAGATCGAGAGAAGAGTATTCGGGAAGCAAAAGGCTTGATGCAGGGTTATGCGCAGCAGCTTAATGTCAGCGACAGTCTGGTCACTGCAGGAACGCAAGTCTTTAAGCTGGCGTCAAGCGCAAACTTTATCCAAGGTCGCACATTGGCTAGTGTCGCGGCTGTCTGCTTATACGCAGCCTGTCGAGCAGAGCCACCGTGCAAAGTTATGCTTATCGATTTGGCGGACTTGGTGCAGCTCAACGTCTTCAAGCTGGGTCGCATTTTCAAGAAGCTTAACGAGGTAGTGCCAATTGGTAACGACGGTCTCATTCCTGTGTATCCGGAGGATCTTATCTGGCGATTTGCGACCAAGATGGAATTTCACCAGGACACGGCCAAAGTCGCTGAGGATGCTGTTCGTCTGGTCAAGCGAATGAGTCGAGATTGGATGGTCATGGGCCGTCGACCTTCTGGTATCTGTGGAGCTTGCCTGCTCATGGCAGCACGAATGCACAACTTTCGACGAACTGTGCGAGAGGTTGTCTACATTGTCAAAGTCACCAATCACACAATTCAGAACCGTCTGCAAGAGTTCAAGGTCACCGAGTCCAGTCGCATGTCGGTTGAGGATTTCTTGAAGCAGGATTTCCTGGAGAGCTCTCATGACCCGCCTTCTTTTTACAGGCAGTCAGCCGAATACAAGAAGCAACTCGCCGCAAAGAACAAGAAGCGAAAGAGGCCAACAGACGCCGACGGTGACGAACATGAGGAGGAAGATGATAATCTCGCCGACAAGATTGATCCGCGATTAATAGAGGGAGGAGCTGATCTTTCGAAGGCGCCTGTTGTCGAATATCGCCGCGATGATGACGGCTTTATTATTCCGCCTCTACCGTCCAAAATCGCCAAAGACCCATCACTTGTCAATAGGCTGAATGAGAACGCAGAGGATGAAGAAGCCGAGGGCGAAGACGCGAATGTCCAGACCCTGGATGGCCTGGTGCAAGAGTTTGGAGACGCGATGGAGGATGAGCTCGCGGAGAACGGTACACAAGAAACGAGCCAACGGAAAGGCAGTAAACCGCAATTACCCATCAACGAGGAATGGGAGCAGGATGAGCAAGAACTCGAGGGCGTGATTGAGGAGATCTTCAATGATCCTTTAACATACGAGCACGCCATGGCTTACACGACTGCCGAGCAACGAGCACGAATTCACACGGTTTGGGCTTTGCAGCAACGGCCCCAGAAAGAAGTTTCTATGTCGGCGGATGTTACAGAGGATGAGTTTGCCGACGACCCCGAGGTGAACAACTGTTTGCTGTCGCCCGAGGAGGCTCAGATCAAGGAAATGATCTGGGTGAACCAGAACAAGGAATGGCTACGAAAACACCAAGAGAAGGTGTTCCGAAAGAAAGTTGAGGCAGAACGACCGAAGCAAACACGAAAGCGACGTAAGCGAGCTAGAATGGGCGAAGGCCAGACCAGCCCAGCCAGCTCAGCCGCCGAGGCCGCAGTCAACGTCGCGAAAGACCGCGCCTGGTCCAAGAGGATCAATTACGACGCCATCCGCAACATTTTCGACATGCCCAACCTCGGAGGTCCCGGTTCAGAAGCTACAAGTCGCAAGACAAGCGTGGCGGGAAGTACAAAAGGCGGGGACGACGCGAGCGAAGCTCCAGATGAGAGTGTCGCTGGCGATGAACCCGAAGCGCCACAGGAGGAAGAAGAGTTTGAGGAAGAGGAGTACGATGAGACGCAGAACTACGGCGATGGCGAAGAGTTTGGTGGTGGTGGTGATGAGTTTGGCGGCGGGTATGATGAGGATGATCCGGAGATGGATGCTGAGTATGGACTTGAGGAGTATGCTTGAGAGGAATAGATGCAGGGATTGAGTGCTGGGATGGTAATTGATACCCATATAGATAACAGGAATGCTGTAGCACATACGCAAATGAGCGATTGAGGAATAAATTTGTAAAATTCTTACTCTGTTGGTCTTTCATTCGGTGTATTCGTTCGATGACTTTAGTTCAATCTTAGACTGGGCATCCTAAACTTGGAGAAGTTTTAGCACAGGCTTGTCTCATCAAAATGTAAGCCAGAGCTTTAATGTGGAGTCCTTCGGGATGTGATGGAGGCGTGGTGTTGGCGAGTGTTAGTGGGGGACTCCCAGAATCTGTTCCGGTATCACTTTCGTCCTCGGTATAACAAGGTTGAGGCCAGTCAGATTTCTTATATACATCATTTACTTAGTTTACACTGACCGATGCTAAGTGACATCGCGTTTGTTGATGGATGTACCTGCATGTCTGTAAGTGGGATAGGGCGTCAACACCATGGCGATCTTCCCCACATGGATCTGCCTCACTTGCATCTCCACATCCAGTGTAAGCTCAGCATCCATAACCACCTTTAACCATTTAATAATACGGTAGCAACTCTATCTACTCTTTATTTTGCTCATAAAAAGAAAACGTGTCAATCCAACATCTCAAGTCGAGCTGGTTTTGCCCTCCGGCATGGCCGCGATGCTGGATGATGACCCCAAGACTTCACAACACCAAAAAGTAGTTTATCTCGATGTACCCAGGACTCGAACCTGGAGCCTTTGCCACCGGAAAGCAACGCGCTGCCATTGCGCCAGCACACCGGGTGATAAGTTTAATGCTTGCAATCGTTATTTTGCTTTGACAATTAAGATGAACCTGAGTTATATTCACGATGGGACGTTAAACCGAACTGCTCCCAGCCGGAATCAGCCCTACAAACTATGATGTAACCTGAAGAAGCACAAATAAACTTACTTTCTCTGTACTTACTCTGCTTTACTTGGTATTCATCAGCTTACCACCGGGTTGGTCTTTTGACAGTCGTCGTTGCAATGCTGGCGGTACGTATCCGAATCGGCCGAGTGTGGACCCACATCTCGCCCGGTAAGGCTGAGCCGTTCCGGGCCATACTCTACAATGGTCTTCTCAAGCCTGAATGCCTGAGTAGGCAGCAAGCCTCTAATTCTTTAATTGAGCACGGCGCCTGCAAATGAGACCAGGCTACCATCCAAGCTGGTAAGCGATTGAGCGCGACATCATTCGGAATAATGCCAGCCATGAGAGCCGATGGGATTCGCTCCACGGAATGATTGATGAAAGGTTTATTGGCCTCCCGACAAAGTCGCGCCTCTCAAAACCAGCATCGTCACCACTGAATAATCTTCAAGGCAGGTACCGGCGCTGCCTCAATTATTTCATTACAGGAATAGCAAGGTCGTTGACATTGGATGGATTTTCATGGGTCACAACTTGCTGCAACTATTGCTACATTAGTCTTGGCACCAACACCAGAGGGAGATGAGCGATTGCTGAGAGCCGGCGGCCGTGGGTGAAAGCGCGATAGCTCCTTCGCTGCTGAATGTGCTCTCGGAAGAGAGTATCCGTGTTGGAATTGAAGAGACGCAGTATACGGTCTACGTAGCGACCATCAAAGGCAGCTCACCATAAGCTGGGCTCAACAGTGGGAGTCAATTGGCAAAAGGACAATGACTCACTAATAAGTCATGAGTCAACACCAGTAGACTCACAATTCTTCAAAGACCCTCAGGGAGCAAGAAATACGGCACAGAATGCCAAGATAAACTCATCAGAGAGTCTCCTAAACTTATGCTAACTTACCCAAGTTCTTTGGTCACTTAGGATCAAGGTCCTAAATATCCTTGCCTCCCGTAGGTAGGATAACCGTCGATTCACACAAGCTGCCTGGTCGGCCATACGCTTACCTTGCACAAAGTTGTGAGTCAGATTGATGGCAAAAAGTAGCAGGAGTGCAACGAATGTTCAAATTATCGCTGAAGCTAGAACTCCGTAGGGCGCTTGGTGGTCTCTGCGCCTGTCGGAATGAGAACCAAGTCCCGACCGGCGTGAGAATTGTTTGGGCTCTAGGAAGGCATTATTGTCAAAATGGGCGTGAACAGGCAGCAATTGAACTGGTGAAAATCTCACAGCGACTGTGTCACGTCGCACTCACCGCGTAACTACAGGAGACGCCGCAAGCCGTGAGAAAATGGAGGACTCGAATGGCTGCCCACTCAAAAAAAAAAAAACAAAAAAAAAAAAAAAACGAGAGCGTCTTACAGGACAGCTTCACTTCACCACAGATCACGGAACAGCACAATTACGAGACCCTTACGGAGGTATTGAAAACACTGAATGAAATTGGTCGCGGCTTTTATCTACCTCTAGACCCATGGACGGAAAACACCAGTAACGAAAGACAATTGATAACTTTTTGCCCATTTCCGACATCAAGACCATCAAAGCATTAGCGGCATTAGACTTTTTTGTTTGTCCCATAACAGGTTCGCTCACAGAGCAAATACCTGCCCGACCACCCTATTGACCATTACAAGTACAAAAAGGCGAGTCGCTGATTCCTCCGATACGCTCACCCGGCTTTTCGACCGGGCTGGAGCTGGTGGGGTATCATCTCCAAAGAAAATATCGTCCCTGTCCCTTGGGGGAGAGGGCGCTCCGAGCACGCTGTAGACAAGGGTTTCATTCAACCCAAAAGAAAACAAGCAAGGAAAAGAGTTGTAAAAAGAGAGTAGTGTCGAGGCCAGGGATAGCGGCAACAGTCTATGCCGTCCTCGTACGTTTTTGTGGGGTGTGCATTGCACTAGATGTGGAGATAGTTCACATCCGAGATGCTTCTGTGCCTCTTGTGGCCGTTGCCAGCTTCGGTGGTTGCCTTGCGTTTTTGAGACATTGATTCGAGGGGGCTGCGTGTGGCGTCGCTCATCTGCCTCTTGTGGCGACGAGCGGGCGTTAGGGGGATAGCAGCTGTGTCGAAGCGGTCTGATTTGAGACCCTTGAGTGCGGTGTAGTTATAAGGACCACTGAATGCGAGCGAGTCCTGGGTAGCCTGGTTGCTGAGGATGAGCTGCTGGTTAATTTGGTTGCGGCGGAAAGCTCCGACAGTCTCGGAATTGATGTGGCCATGAGCCTGCTTCTCGCTGGTAGCTGTGCTGGGTCGCGCAGGTGTTGATGCGGGATCCCAGTTGTCGCCCTCTTCATCGCCAGAAGAGTCATGTTCCTCCCAGGCGATAAAGTCGTTGAGGTCCAGATTGAGTTCAGCGTCTTCCTCCTCATCCTGCAAGCTAGGCGCGGTTGAGCTCTCGTCGGCGGTATTGGGTTCAGAGGGGAAGGGGAAGAAAGCCTCAGCGGGTCCCATAACCTGAGCCGTGTTGAAGAAGTCACCGAAAGTGTTGGAAGAGAACATAGCGCTGAGCATTAGGTTTGCAGAGTTGCTCATGATAGGTGACTCAGGCCCCTCAGTACCCCAGGGAAAGTTAAATTGTTCAGGGGAGAGGTCGAGTTGGTGGCGGCGATGAGGTGTAAAGATCATCATCTTTCCGGTCACGGGGTTGAGGACAGCAATTGGCTTCTTGTCGGAACGGTCAAGGTTGTAACGTCCCAGACGGGGCTGGCCACGCTCGGCCTTGACCGGGCTGTCGGCGTCAGAGTCGGAAATGTCGCTCATAGGCTTTGAAGGGCGTCGAGTCTTCCTTCGGACAATGGGTTCGGGTTCATCTTCTTCGGTGGTATCACCATCAGCTGGGCATGTTAGTACTGGTAATGACGCCCATATAGCCAAACTTACTCTCGTAGCCATCCAGCTCTGTTGGTTCCTCAAAGCCAAATGGAATGGGTTGAGGGGTAGAGGCAGCAGTGGCTGGCTGGGAGGCCATTGGAGTGGCAATAGGGGTGTCATCGTCAATTTGGCGGAAGATTTCCTCGGCATCCGAGTCATCATCTTGCTCGCCGTACTGGTTGTTGAAGTCCCAGAAAGATCCTGAGCCAGAAGACTCATCGGGATCGTTCTCAATCTCACGGCGGAAAGCGGGATCCAGGTTGTTTTGAGAAACAAAGATATCAGGGAAGAAACCCTGAATCTCATCCTCAGTGTCGGTCGAGTCAGAGTCGCTGGAGGGCACGTCGAAGTGAACGTGGCGCTCTACGGGCTCTTCGCCAAAAATATTGGCGTCTTGGTAGATGTCAGGCTGGTCCTCAATATCCGAAACGATGCCTCCCCAGCTAGCGGCGTCATCGTCCTCAATATCCAGGCCCTCTTGTTCACCATCGTCGTCCTGTTCCTCTTCCTCCTCTTCGTCATCCTCCTCAATAGTCGGTTGCGGCCGAGGAGCTTGTGGTGGAGTGGGGGGAACATGAGTTTCCTCAAGGATGTTCTCCTCCTCGGCCGCGGCAACATCATCCTCATCGTCGTCTGAAGAGTCGCTAATATCTTCAACGGCAGAGTAGCCGCCATCGTCGGAGAGGTCTAGAGAAGAAGCAGAAGGAGTGTCGGAGACCCGGCGGCGACGTTGGGCGGTCTTGGTCTTTTTGACCGGGGTTGTAAACTTTTGCTTGAGATTGCGAGACATTTTGGAAATGCTTCAAGACGTTTAGTATTCTAGTTGTAATGATCGTTCGAGTTGTCTTCGAAGTGGTGGTAGATGAGCAAGCTCAGATCAACTGTTTCTTCAACTATGCGATGCAAGGCTTGTATTGTAGTAGATATATGCGTGTATACGCTTTCGAACAACTTTATGTTGTTTTATCGTCTTTGATATGTAGAGAAAGGTAGGGAGGTAGTCGGGAGAGTATAGTGGTAGTAATTGTATCAAAAGCCCTTCACAATCGGGCAAGTCGCAGAATCGTTGGTTTCAGAGACAGACTCTCGGTAGAGCATTCAGCTCCAAGAGCGGGAAAGCCTGTAAAGATCAAAGTCGAGTGAGAAGTATTGACTGGTTAACTCGGAGAACTGCTGGACTGCGAGCCGGGACAGGGAAAACAGCCACGGCCCGCAGTGGGCGTTTACAGCTCAGCGACGGCCGAAGGCATGGTTACTCGACTTTGTTCTTGGTAGGGGTAATTCTCTGGGTGATGCTGGAAAATGTCGACTTCGTTGTCTTTTGTGGTTTGGGTTTGGGGTTGGTTGAGGAAGAAGAGAGGGAGCGAGGGGGAGAGGAGAAGAGAAATATCCCAAACTTTTTCCGTCTTCTAAGTGGGGTCGATCCTGATTGGGCAAGGTGTCTCGAGGCAGGCAGTGCCGGGGGTGATTGATGATTGAGTTAGAAGTGGAGTCAATGGAGCGTGCAGAGCGGGAGGGAAGGTACCTATACGCTAGTCTATTTTAGGAGGGACAATACCGTCACCGCTTTTTGAAGCCTCAGACAGGCCCAACCGTAGGAAGACAATTGTACAATGAGAAGCGCTGATGTGTCGAGTGAGACACTGCAAGGAGGCTATTCTGTGCTGTTTTAATGCTACGTATGCTATACAGAGCTTGATGCAGTTGATATGTTTTGCCTGTCACCGAAAGTTGAGAACAAAAGCTGGGACCAAGTTGAATCATCAGTGACTTCAAACATTACCCCATGCTCCCTGGTCCGTGAGGCGAACAAAATCACAATCAAGGGACCAGTCAGGCCCCAGAATGGAAGCACGACAGGGAGCATGGCATCAATCTAATGTACGACTAGGGAGAGATGCAAGAAATGATATTAAATATCGGAGCAATACAACCTTGGGAACACGGCAGACAAGACAGTTGAAAGTGATGTGGCTTTACAGTGCCTACAGGTACATTCAGTGGCTGCATATCACTCCGTAACATGCCACCAAAAGTTATATCCCAAACTCAGCTATGTCACGAGAACATCTCAATCGTTTCATTTCCAATTATCTTTGAGAATACTTACCCAGACCCCCATGCTTCATGCACGGCAGAACAGACGCTGGAGCCGGGATAAGCAAGCAAGAAATCCAAGACCCCTCCTCTGTCTTCCTACAACAGAAGGCCAAGCATTTTTCAAAAAGCTCCGCAGCGACCAAGACTCCACAGTCAAACAGGGGCAACGCAGGCGGTTATGTCAGTGGCCAATGCCAACTGCCAAAAAGTCCAGTTTCAAAAAGCTCGCCCCAGAAAAAAACAAAAAGAGGATACCGTTTTTTTCTTCCATCAGACGAGAGATCCAGAGAATCATCGTCAGTTTTCTCGCTTATGCTAGAAATAACGCCAGGAAATGGATACCGATACCTCGGTCCCCGAAAAAGAATAAGAATTTCTCAAGCTTCCTATGATGTTGCCACGGACACTGGTGGGGTTGTTGCCGAACTTTTTTTTTTCTGTCATCCAAAGTTTTTAAGCGACAACCGGAGTTGACGAGGACTAATTACTCAGTATCCGCAGTCTCGACGCAGAATCATCCAATAGAGAAGAAAATTTCTGGTGAGGCAAGCTAAGAGTCTTACGCGCCATCTCGTGCCTGGATACCGAAATCTGTTGATAGCTCCGTAGAAGGTTGGAAGAATTGACCGATAGAAGCATGGTTTCACTCCATTTCGTGTCTTTGGCGGTTGGGCTTTTAGGCTCAACTCTAGATACTTGTTAATGAGCATCGACTTGAAACACAGTGGTCTTTATGTCTCTCAATGCCATATACTGGTCCTTGCAAAACCGTTCCCCATTGTCAATCCCGTATCAACAGTTCAATCAGCCCCTCATTCCCCTCTTCTTCTCGAAAAGCACCTCCGTCATCAAAACTCTTTAGCGCCAGACCAATTTTTAGAGTCAAAATCTCCTCGTAGCGCAAACTCGCCATTGTCCAGTAAACGGCGCCCCTCTTCAGGATCTACCTCAGATTTTTTACCAATGGCTGCCTCGGCATTACTTCTTACGACAATGAACGTAACAGAAAAAGCGGCACAGTCGACGGTCTCGAAATTAAGGTGAAAGCTTCTGCATTATGAACACGTAAATACGTTGGATATGACTCTTGGGTGAGTCAAACGAGTATCACCTCCCCAGGTAATCAGCAGTTCTGGAGATAATGTAATTGGCTGCGTTAGTTACACTAGCACACCCCCTTGTTCATTGATGACTCTTGCTGCCACGCATCCTAGCTGCCACGAAGCTTCAAACATGCTTCAGACTTGGCGTGGTTTCTTGCATGTGAATTGGATCTCAGCTTACTCCAGACGCAGAAGCAGAAACACTTCTCGATCAGGAATCTTCCGATTGAGATCAGGTGGAAGCATGAATAGCGACACAAACTAATCGTGACCGCCTAAACCCTACGATGCACCATTTCAAGTGACACTTCGAATCCGCCAAAAGCGGGGGATATAGAAAACAAATTCTATCTCCAACCGAGATGGCAACACCCTAATAGAATTATTTGCATTAGTTTTTAAGAATATTATTATTTAAGGAATAGTTTTAACAGATAATAGCTAGGTTATGCAATTATATCCCTACTATACGCCAAGATAAGGAATGCTAATTACAGATATTAATATATTATAAGGTAAGGAGTAGATAGATATATAAGCCAAGAAGCCAAGACTTATATTTATATTAGATTACCTTGGTTGATTCTATTAAGCTTAGAGAAGATTATTGCAAAAATGGCCTCTTTTAGTATCTCTAAAGGCCACTTAGGCTATAAAACTTTAAATAAGAAAACTTATAATCTTCCTAACTCTTTATCCAGAAAGCCACTAGTTAAATAGTACTATAATATAATTACCTATAGAGAATCTATCCTATCTTCTAAAGATATTTATGATAGTATTATAAGATATAATAGAAGGCTTATGGGAGCGCGAACTATATTAAGTAGTTAGCAGGAGAAGAAGTTATTGCGCAGAATCGATTAGCATCTCCTTCTATTGCTTTCTGTTATATATATGGTCAAGTCTATTGACGCTTCTAACGTGAGTTGATAATCTCTCTTACTCAATCAATTGGCTTACATCCTTGTCCTTGAGGCCAGAGAAGAAACTGAAGCCTGAGGGAAAACTCAGCCCCACCCAACTTTTTTTCCTCGATGGCGTGAAAGATTCGGCATGGCCCGTGCAGCACCCGCGCGCCAAAGCGCTTATCCTATCTTATCTAATCTTATCTTATCACCCCCCTCCAAACGTTTTCAGCCGTTGTCGTGCCAGCCAGCGCGCCAAGAGAAACTGGAGTAAACATTGGACCCCCAACCAGGATTGTAACGTCGACGCTCCGTTTATGAATCCACCGGCCTAAACAAGTCTCGTCCACGATCCATTTTGTTCCTGCATCTTTGTTTAAGCGAAAAGCATATCATCGTGTTTAGCAGCATCATGGAGCGAAAAGCGTCTCATAACCTGTTTGAGGTTTATCTACGGCTACGGCCCCCGCCTTCGCGACATGGTGATGGGGATCGTATTCTTGATGTTGAACCCGCTGAGGACGATTCACATCCTAAGCATATTATTCTGAATCCGCCTACAGATCGACGTAGGGCGATTGAGAAGTTCGCGTTCACACAGGTCTTTGAGGAAGATGCAACCCAGCTCGATGTCTTCCATTGCACAGAGATCGTCCCCTTCGTTGAAGGCGTTTTGGCACCAGAGGGCGGCGAGGGAACAGATGCTGTCGTCGCTACTTTGGGAGTGACAGGTTCCGGCAAGGTGAGTGCCATGTCAACAATGAAACAACAAGACTAATAGACGAAGACACATACGATCCTCGGAAGCAAGACACAACGCGGCCTGACCCAACTAACGATGGACGTCCTCTTCCGCTCAATCGGCGAAAACATCCTCGACCCCAACGCCGCCTTCACAGCCCAAGATTCCCTCCAAGCCATCGACGGCGCCGAGTCCTCCCTAACAACCGCGTCCCACTTCTTCGACCCTCCCTTTCGCGACTCAGTCGCTTCGCGGGCGCCTTCACGCGCAGGTACACCAATGCTTGTACGACAAACCCCAAAGCCTTCCTATGTCAACATTCCCACCTCCAAGCTGGTCGCCAACCTCCCAGGCGCGTTCCCGGCAGACTACGCACCAAGTCCGAAAAGTGTACGGCTTGTTAGCGAGGCAGAGGAAACGCGACGTCTCAAAGAGCGATAGGATCGTTCTTCTGAGCGTGGTAGAAGACCTCTCGAGAGTCTGCCTGCGTCCCCTAGCGTGTTGAATTGTCCTACGACGCCCAAGCGGGGTCTTCGACATTTCATGTCTCTTACTACTTCGACTCGTGTCAAGAATGTTACTAAAGATGATTTTAAGCCCGATGGTCTTATGTCCCCTCCTCCTCGACGAATTACCGTACGCCCCTCGGCTCTTCCCCAGCTCCCCGACGTGAGCAACATCGACATCTCCTGCGATCCCTCGGCCGAATATGTTGTTATCATCTCGATGTACGAAGTACACAACGACCGAATTTACGATCTTCTTACCCCGGCTGTTAAGTCCGGCGCCACAAAAGAAGTGCGACGACGTCCTTTACTCTTCAAGTCAACAGAGCTATCACCGGACCGAAAGGTTGTCGCTGGCCTTCGAAAGGTCATCTGCTCCAGTTACAACGAGGCATTGACCGTCATTGAGACTGGTCTGCAAGAGCGCCGAGTCACGGGCACCGGCAGCAACAGCGTCTCAAGCCGAAGCCATGGATTCTTTGTCTTTGAAGTGAAGAAGCGGACTCGTAGCAGAAGACCTGGTCCCTGGGAGGGAAACAAATTCACCATTGTTGATCTGGCGGGTAGTGAGCGTGCGCGCGAAGCCAAGACGGCGGGTGCTACACTTGCAGAGGCTGGTAAGATCAATGAGAGTTTGATGTATCTAGGCCAATGCCTTCAGACACAGAGTGAGGCAGCTAGTTCCAGCAAGGTAAGCAATACGCGATTCATCCATAGTTGACAATACTAACATGCAACAGCCCAACATTGTCCCCTTCAGACAATGCAAACTCACCGAGCTCCTCTTCTCAAACTCATTCCCCTCATCCTCAACCTCTCACTCCCAAGCTCCCCGTCGCAACCCCCAAAGAGGCGTCATGATCGTTACCGCCGACCCTCGCGGCGACTTCAACGCTACATCTCAAATCCTTCGATATAGCGCCCTCGCTCGTGAAGTCACAGTCCCTCGCGTCCCCTCAATCACAACAACCATACTCGCCCAACCACCACAAATGGCTCAAAATCGCTCTGTCAGCCCAACGCTTCCTCATCCACGACCGTTCATGCCCGCTGGCGGAGGATCGTATAGAAACTTCTCTCCACCAATGAGCACGGATGAACGGGCAACCATGGAAATTGCAGCGCTTGAGATTGCGCGTCTTAGTGATGAGGCCGATCAATTGCGCGAAGAAGTCGATCGTCAGACTGAAGCGCGTGTCGCAGCTGAAGCTCACCTTCTCACCATGGAGGACCGCATGCTTGATCTCGAAGCAGCCATTCGCGAAGAGTGCGCCATGGAGTTCGAGCAACGTCTTGCTTTAGAAATGGCCCGCTGGAAGAATTCCATGGCTATCGAGCAAGAACGTACCGAAGAGCACTGGGATCGTAAAGTCGAAGTCCTCGAGCGCGGTCTCGCCTCTGACGAAGATTGCGATAAAGAAAACGTTCTTATCGAAGATCTCGAAGAGGAAGTGGATAGACTCCGTCGCGAAAACGGTATTCTCAAGCGCGAGCTCGCCTCCCGCAGCCCCACTAAGCGCAAGCCCCTCGAGGAGCGGGAGGACTTTGCGCATGCTTCTAAACCATCTCGCGGCGATAGCATGACCAATTTAGGGCGCAAGCTGGAGCGCATGCGCGTCAGTGGTGAAAAGGCACGCCCAGTACCTGTCAATGGGAACGGCAGCCCAAAGAAGATGCGAAAGTTGGGGACGAAGAAGTGGGAGCATGAGGAAGACGAGCTGTCTTAGTATGTCTAGCTGTGAGTGAGCGTGCTTTTCAGGGTCATGGATGAATGGATGGTCGGTTTGTGTTATAGAATTGGTTCGGATTGGATGGGTCGGACGGATATGGATGGAGTATACCCTTTGCGTAATGTCGTGCAACTTCTTATTTAGCATCGTAATCCAGTTTTTTGTTGCTTGTTCACATTGCTGTACTTCTGAGCTGCTTCGATTGGCTTCATCCGTTATTTTCCACTATGTGATCCTAAAGGGCGCCTCTCGATCCGTCTGCATCAACTTCAGCTGTCCATGTACACCATACAGAGATGCTTTCCTGTTAACATGATTCCCCTCGAAAGAATGGTTCGGCCAAACGCTCAACAACATCCATGTAATATGTCGAGGTACAACACACTCCCTCACTATTTTTATCGCCCTCTGAACAGTTCCAACGCTCACCGTCGCTCCCCGGTCTAGCATCAGACGCACGCATTCTGTCACATTGGGAATTTCCTCCTCACGCGCTTCCTCGATGATTGCAATAGCATTAGCCAAGACTTCCTCCCATGCTGTCGTCCTGCGAAATCCAATATGCTTAGTTGCTTTGTTTGGCTTTGCTCCCCTGTCAAGTAACAGTCTAATCAACGGCCCGCTTCTAGCGTCTGTCAGGCATGGGAGCGACAGCAGGGGAACTTTGAGCACTTTTGGGTTCCCCTGTAATCTCCAAGAGAATGCTGACAGGCCCAACCGACTTTTATCCTGTTTCCATCGTGCAGTGATGGCGTCTCCATGGCGATCTGCCTTGGCCTTGATATACTCACCGACACCCATGACTGTTGCCAAACAGATGAACTCTTGGTTAGGATCGCAGCAGTAATTGTTCTTCTCTATCGCGAGTAATTTGCTCTGCCATGCACCCGCCTGGTCTCTGAACCTATTGTCTTTGTAGTAAAAACGGCAGAGCATCGCACACTGCTCCCGTAGATGATCCATCAATCGCACAACTTCGTACCCTGAGGATGGCAAGACATTCCCCGCATAACCTAAGCTTTGAGTCATGTAGATCTGGAGGAGAGGATAGCCAGATTGGTTCTGTGCTTTTGACGTCGTCCAAAGCTTAGCTAAAGACGCAAAAGCCGCCGAGATCCTGAGACCAGAATCGTATGGCGTGGTGAGGTAGCTGTCGAGCCTTTCTTGGGTGTCAGGGCTCTGTAAAAACTCGGAAAATGTCCTGTGCAAGTATACCACGCTGCCGCCATCACGCTTCGTAGGGTCTATGGGCTCACTTGTGCCATTGGAATAGTATATCATTAGAGGCTTTGCGTCCTCATGAACTTCTAGTAGACCTCTGCACCGACTTACAATACGACGGCGCATGTCTTCCAGTCGGCCTATAATATCTTCAAATGGAACATCATTCGGGTCTTCATCAATGACCCGGTCCAAAAACTTGACCTCATCTGCATACCACAAAACACGCAGTGAAGGCGGCTCTCTGCATGCGCTGACCAGCTTGAAGAGCTGGGCAGCATGTTCGCGATATAAAGGATCAATACTGTCCACGATTCTTTCATAGAGGTCGTCCATTTCTGATGGAAGCAAATTGAGCCGATTCTCGAGATCTTCAACGCGGTCGCCTGCCATCATCCCAGCCAAGAGCGACGCAACAACAATGGTGACCCATAAAAAAACACCACTCGCTTTGTCGGCGATCGAGTGGCTCAAAGCACCAGCAAATTGAGGATGTAGTTTCTGAAACCTTGCGAATTGAGAATTTGCCTCGAATTTGGAAACGACGTATTTCGTGATGTCGTCGTATGTGAGGTCTTCCATCTTTAGCCTGGGATAATCTCCGAAAGCATTCTCAAACTCTGTCCAAGGGCGACTCGAGACGCAAACTTTGATTGGAGATGCGATGCACTCCTGTACCAGGGAAATAAGAGCATCACAATCACCGTCAAACTCATCCAAGCCATCGATAAACAGTGCAAGCTTGGCTCGGGTGCTGATGTGTTTGACTGCTTGGCGAAACATGTCCTCCAATTCATCTTGGCTCAAGCGCCTGGGGTCCTCATTAAAAAGACACAAAGACTCCCAACGCGACGAAGCAACAAGTGGAATGACATCTGGATGCGCGCGAAAAAGCTGAACAAGCAGAGTTCGAAGTAGTCCCTCTTTGCTTGCCTGTATGTCTGATCCAATAGCCCAGAAATGAAATGAGGCAATCGTAAGCCTCTGGTCTCCAGCCCATTGCTGTAAGTATTCATTGCATCTGTTCTCATCGGTGGATTGGTCAACAGGCTGGAGGAGATACTTCATCAGTGTAGACTTTCCTGAACCTGGCTTTCCGGTGATCCAATAGAGGCTATCGTCAGATACAAGCCATTCCTTGAACCCAATGGGCGAAGTCGCAGTGCCATTGTCCTTGAAGATCCAGCGAAAAGTTCCCTTGTGAGCTTCCTTTATCGTGAGTTCCCTCTCTTGTATGGTGTCGTATCGGATCCTTGAGATGAAGATTTGTTCCAAATGTTGTCTTCTCTGTGGTGATAGCTGGATGCTTGATGAATCCGCTGGTGCCCTGGCCTCAGAATTATGGATACGAGCGATCAAGGCATCTATGAACTCAGACTTGAGCTTCTGACGTTCATGTAGGCCGCCAGTGAGATACTCCATTGCTAAAGAACCGAAGCCTGCTTGAACTTCATTGGCATTCGAAGCGTGTCCCATCGATTTAATGTCAGCTCGCATGTCGCGCATCTCCAGCAGCATCTGCATCTGATTCTCCAAAGTCTCTCTTGCAGTAGCCCTCAAGTTGACGGACAGGTAGAACGTCAGGTCGGTCTTGACCTCAGTCAATCTGCTCTCAAGGCTCTTCAATTTTTCCTCCTTCCAGAGTATCAGCCAGGCTTTTCTCACCGCGTCGCGCTTTCGTCCATGGTCATTTTCTTCGATGCGCTTCAATGAGTCAAGCATTTCTTTCGCAATCGCTTCACTCTTCTTGGCGAGTGAGGATATCGCTGCATCTGTACTGGTCCCGGAAAGTGAAATGGTCTGAAGCTCATACTGGGCATCCCGAAGATTGTTTGATGAGCTGTGTAGATTCTGAAGATTATTGAGAAAGTCATGCTTCGATTGTCTGACTTGCCATAGCGTGGTGAGGAAGCGGGTGCCGTAATCGACAACCTGAAGTACACTGGCTGCGACGCCCAGTGCAGCAAGTTCGGCCATAGTGAAGAAGCAATGCGATGGGTTTCAGGAGCAGACAATCCAAGAATGCTCGATGAATTGACATTCATCAATCAATCTTCATTACGACCAGTCTCTGACCAAGGCATTCTCTCATCCTTTCTCCTTTTCTTGAGAGCCTCGTGGTGTCTGTGTTTTCAGCTGCGGCGGAAGCAGGCTGTACAGACATGGCGGCATCTATTGATTCGTTAGGCAACAAGTGGCTTGCAGGGGTTAATTCTTGACCAAAAGACTCCAATAATGGCAGTCGAAGTCCAACAAGAGGCTATTTCGTGGTTGGGGTAATGGTTCGCATTATGTCGATGTTTTGCTGTTGTGTCAAGGGATGTCTCGAAATGGAATGAGCCAGGTTCTGTACGGAGGTAAGTCTGCGGGAAATAGCAGGAGCTGGCGGCGGAGGCCATTATGAATGAGGGAGCAAGTCCTACCCATGGAGGCATTCGTCATACGAAGGCAGGCGAGCAAAACATGACTTTTCCACAATTGCCAAGCCGCCTTGACTCATTGGCAACTTTCTTCAGATATAACATCTTCAATTTGACATACTGACCGATTTAGCAGTCACAAATACAGATCAAGTTGGCGTGCAGGACCTGGCGATCATGGGCGGGAAGCGGGTGAGCGGGTTTAAGACGGCTATTAGCATAGGACCCTGAATCTTTGACTCGACAACCTTCATGGTGTGGGCTGGTAAAGCGATAAACCAAAGGCCGAAGAACACTATAAGCAGAGTCTCCATTATGCGCAGAAATTTTGCGATAATGTGCATTGCATCTTCAGTCTCGCAATGCGCCACGTGATCGGCACTCAGAAACAAGGCGACCAGGGAAACGTAAAACAACAGGCAGCGAAAGGATGCTGACTTGGCAAGGCAATAAAACTTAGGACCTCAATCCTAAAAGATAAAAATATTTAGGTAAGTTAGCCTAAGTTTAGGGGTCTCTTTGATGAATTTATTTTGTCATCCTCTTTCAGAGTCTGAAGGTTTCTTGCTCCCCAGGGACTGATTACCCGGAAAATGCCATTCTTGAATCATTGGCGAGCGCTTATAGGCCCAAGAATTACAATATGACGATAGTAAGCTTGGATAGCGACAACGTTTGGCTGGCGATATGCCTTACGGCTGCCGAGAGTAGCACCGCCTCAATATGAAACGTAATGGCTGCCGTACGTCGTTTCCAACATTACCAACCGTATCCAGTACATTGCATTGCCTCCTTGCATCGCTCTGCTGGTTCTGCTCACCTATTCTTGAGTCTGTTGGTAGCAGTTCTGTAACAGATTAACGGACCCTCGGAGCCGGTGTCAGCCCGTGAACCTCTGCCCGGCCGGGATCCCCGGAATGTGATCCACCATAAAACCGCAAGGGTTCAATATCAGCGCTTAACCTAAGGATACAGACTCCAATACTACAGTCTTGGTAAAGTCAAAAGAGAAGAACAAATTACGGCATTGAATACGGTTACATTGTTTACACGTGTAACGGCCGCACGTAAAGTAAATTACAGTTATGCATTTATGGCTAAGAGGCGTTTGGGTCACCGCACAGTGCTAGTCTAATGCCCAGATGAGGGGCTACCGTTGATGCCTGGCGAAACGTGGAGAAAAGTGCTGTACGCGACACTGTTTGAATATCGTCAGTGGTGCACTGTTGCTTTTCGAGCTGAGACTGGACGTTGGTCGCATGACTTGATGATCCATCCCAATTCCGTTCCTCCATCATCTTTCTTCTCTCAACAACACATCTTCTTTCAATATCGTCGCTCTTCTCTCTCTCGATATTGTACATCGTGAGGCTTGCGACAAACGAACAGAGCGTCCCCTTAAAACGCCAAGATCGACCTGTGCGTCGTGAGAGTGGGAAACCTGTCGTCATTTTTATAAGGAAGAACCCGCCCTTGAGACAAGAGCTTGCGCACGGCAGATCAACTCTCACTCCTGTTTCTCTTCCCCCTCTCCCTTGTATCACCACCATCAAGGGATTAAAATCGCATCGTGTCCCTCTTTTCCCCCGCCGTATCTCTACATCTCTTATCGTTTTACCTCAATCTTTTTCGATATGACGTGGGAACTCAACCAGAGGCGGTTCATCCGCTCCATCAATTCAAAGTACATCTACGGTCGCATCGTAAGTCGAGTCGAGCTCACCCACGCCCTGTTTTTCCAACTCTATGATCCGTCGCCACTTTAGCTTCCCCAGTATTTTCCCCAACTACTGTTCAGCTCTATCGTCATCGCTACTGTCTCTTTTTTCGCTTGTTCATGATATCACTTTGCGCACTTCTCACTTTTTTCTTTTCTTCATTCATCACAATTTCTTTTAAATCTGTGTCTTTCTTCTTTGTGCTGTTAGGCCTTCTTTGTGCGACTCGACGCTGACATAATCACCAGCCTCTTCTGCATACCATCGTTTTCTTAATCGAAATGGCATTCATCGCAAGACTTACAGCTCGATTCAACTCATACTATGATGAGCGACCACGTACGCTATCTTCAACACCTCTCGCCGGATGCGATATAACTGACACCTCCCAGTAATGACCATGATGGTCACCAACGCTATCCTCGGAGGCGTCGCCGACACAGTCGCCCAATCCATCACCGCCATTCGCGAACGAGCTATTCGCCAGCCCGGCGGTCTTAAGAAGAACGACGGCATCGCCATTGAGATCCACGAGCTCGACCGCAAGAACCCCTTCTATGAGCGCGACCTGATCCCCGACTCGGCCGGTCTTCCTCCACCTTTCGACTTCGAGCGTCTCACGCGCTTCATGGCATACGGTTTCTGCATGGCTCCCGTGCAGTTCAAGTGGTTCCGCTTCCTCGAGCGAGTCTTCCCCGTCACCAAGACCAGCGCCTTCGTCCCCGCTATGAAGCGCGTTGCTTTCGATCAGCTTATCTTCGCGCCATTCGGTTTGGCTGTGTTCTACACCACTATGACGATTGCCGAGGGTGGTGGCCGTCGTGCCGTTTCGAACAAGCTTAGGGATATGTACATTCCAACTCTGAAGGCTAACTACGTGGTTTGGCCTGCTGTGCAAATTGTCAACTTCCGTTTGATGCCTGTTCAGTTCCAACTGGTACGCCATTCTTCTTTCGCGCGCAGGACATTCAGATTGCTAACGTATCTCCAGCCTTTTGTGTCAACAATCGGTATCGCCTGGACAGCATACCTGTCCTTGACCAACTCAGCCACTGACTAAGCCCATTATATCATACCTGGTGAACCTTGTCAATTGGCTCCGAGCCAATTGTTGATTGATTATGAACATTATATTGCGTCGACTGCTATAGCCGTCACATAGAAACGGCGTTTGGGATTTTTTTTTTTTTTTATATACTGCACGATTTGGCATGCTCCGGGATCTGCAATTGAGATTTGAGACTCTGGCCCTTCTGCGGCAATTGCCTCGCACGGCATTTTTTTATGGGTTGGGATGGGATACGGACCATGTTTAGAATAATAGCGTGAGTCTCGTTTGGAGTTTCGGTAGATTTTTTCTAAATGACAAGATGAAGCGAGTTTTTGTCTTAAATCACCTTGTCCCATTTCAATTGTCGTGTGGCAACTCCAAATGCGATATTGTCTGGTCGGAAACCCGTTTGATTGTAGATTGAAGTGAATGAGGCGTCCTGATAATAATCATGATATGACATTGCGAGTAATTCCTTTGTATTGTAGGGCTGACGGGTCGGAATTGATCTCGGCCGTTAAAGTGACAGCGCGTAGGTTAAATGGAGATTACAAGGGAACCCAGCAAGGCGTAAAGCGTGGGATGGTCTGTCTTGATATAATTCACCGAGAAGATCCAGTGGTCTGAGAAATTGTGGCAATTGCTTTTCGAGCATTGATACCCATAGACATAACAGTAATGAGAACGTGTCATATCGAATTTCACTATCAGATCAGCTAATCGATGCTGTTTCAACATGGGCTTCTTTCAGCTTCTACCCCCGCTAGCTTAGACCTCATATCATGCATGCATCTTGGTATCGCAATTCATGACATACAACTGTTCAACAAGGTAACTGCACGTAAAAGGCGTGGTTCTCGGCGGTGTAGTTACGGCCCGCGTCTCTCCGGGTCTGCCGCATCCGCATCGCCGGAAGCCGGAGGACGATGCCCGTAACCTGGCGATGTTAACGTCTGCATAAAGTGTATCGGCTGAGTGTTCAGGGTAGGCTAGTTTTCCGTGCTTGACGATGAAGTGAGTGATTTGACAAGTGGACCGACCGAGACGAGACCGATCATGTCATATCATGAATAGAGGAATAGGCAATAGCCCACTGACAACTCGACATCTCACGCCAGATTCATGGCTAAAGTGCTTCCTCCAGGGGCATTCACGGGCCTCATCATCCCACCATCTGCGAGTGCAGCCGCGAAAGCCCCGCCAACGCCAGCAGCAGCGTCATCGCGTTGAGATTGACCCCCACCTTAGCATTAGCAGTATTATTTACTACCTGACGCTCCCCTCCATAAACTCTCTTCTTCCCTCCTTCTCCTCGACATCACCTTTTGACCTACAACCTCATTCACTCGTACCTCGCATCGAAATCATGTCGCTGTCTAACAAGCTCTCCATCACTGACGTTGACGTCAAGGGCAAGAGGGTCCTCATTCGAGTAAGTTGAACGAGAAAAAATGCCCCGCGAGGGAATGAAGCTGTTGAGCTTGGTTGAGCTCCCCGCATCATATCATCAGATGTTACGAACAATCGATCGAGCAATTGAACGAGATGTACCTCAATCAATTACTCGATTAGACTTTAATTTAGCTATAACCACCAGACTCAACGGCTCAAACCTTCATATCAAAAAGCCTCAACAATACCCCGCCATCCTCAAACTCTAGCTAACAAAACCCCTCTCCAGGTCGACTTCAACGTCCCTCTCGATGCCGACAAGAACATCACCAACAACCAGCGAATTGTCGGTGCCCTCCCCACCATCAAGTACGCCCTCGAGAATGGCGCCAAGTCCGTCATCTTGATGTCCCATCTCGGACGCCCCAACGGCTCCCCCAACGAGAAGTACTCCCTCAAGCCCGTTGTCCCCGAGCTTGAGAAGCTTCTCGGCAAGAAGGTCACCTTCGCTCCTGACTGTGTCGGTCCCGAGGTTGAGGAGATCGTCAACAAGGCTGAGGATGGCGCCGTCATTCTCCTCGAGAACCTCCGATTCCACATTGAGGAGGAGGGCTCTTCCAAGGATAAGGAGGGTAACAAGACCAAGGCCGACAAGGCTCAGGTTGAGGCTTTCCGAAAGGGTCTGACTGCCCTTGGTGATGTCTACATCAGTGAGTATCCAATTGCACTACAACTCCTCGCGTTATGAAATGCTAACAAGAACAGACGACGCTTTCGGCACTGCTCACCGTGCTCACTCTTCCATGGTTGGTGTCGACCTCCCCCAGAAGGCCTCCGGTTTCCTCGTCAAGAAGGAGCTCGAGTACTTCGCCAAGGCTCTCGAGGAGCCTCAGCGCCCCTTCCTCGCCATCCTCGGTGGTGCCAAGGTCTCCGACAAGATCCAGCTCATCGACAACCTCCTTGACAAGGTCAACACCCTGATCATCTGCGGTGGTATGGCCTTCACCTTCAAGAAGACCCTCGAGGGTGTCTCCATCGGTAACTCTCTCTTCGACGAGGCTGGCTCCAAGACCGTCGGCAACCTCGTTGAGAAGGCCAAGGCCAAGGGCGTCAAGCTCGTCCTCCCTGTTGACTACATCACCGCCGACAAGTTCGACAAGGACGCCAACACTGGCTACGCCACCGACAAGGACGGTATTCCCGACGGCTGGCAGGGTCTTGACTGCGGCGAGGAGTCCGTCAAGCTCTACAAGGAGGCCATCGCCGAGGCCAAGACCATCCTCTGGAACGGTCCCGCCGGTGTCTTCGAGTTCGAGAAGTTCGCCAGCGGCACCAAGGCCACCCTCGACGCCGTAGTCGACGCTGTCCAGAAGGACGGCAAGATTGTCATCATCGGAGGTGGTGACACCGCCACCGTCGCCAAGAAGTACGGCGTCGAGGACAAGCTCAGCCATGTCTCCACCGGCGGTGGTGCCAGCTTGGAGCTCCTCGAGGGCAAGGAGCTGCCCGGTGTTACCGCTCTGTCGAGTAAGTAAATAATATCCACACCTGTTGGAGTACGATGTATATGAACCTGTTGATGACGGGCTATGAAAATGGAAAAAGGTCGGGCGGGAAGGGCTAGTCTGTAGCAAAGACTGAACAGATCAAATAATTAAATACCAAATACCAATAGAGGCGCGAAAGCGCTATAAAAACATTACCTACGCTTGAAGCTATAAAATTGCAATTTGTGCACTAGTGACAGGACTTTTGATTGTGGAATCTGGAACTGTTGCGGATGCAGATGCTATTGTGAACGTTGAAATGCCCCAAAATCGCCCAGGCTCGTGTTGCGTCCTGAAGAAGAACGCGACAAGAGATCCTGGAGCCAGACCGGCCATGTTTGCGATGAAATGGGGAATTATTCTAATACCTTACCGGCTTCACGCCAGACAGTGTCGATGCTAAGGCTCAAGCTACAGACAACGAAGTTCTTAAGACTCTGAACGAGGGAACAGAAAATATAGCTTACTGAGTTTAGCATGAACTTGTCCAGGTATTTCTGTCTGTCACTCAGGAAGCATTGACAACTTGATCGTTTCGTTAATGCAAGTGTACACAGCCAACGCACGTTCAAAACGTTCAACAATGCTTCATGGCGCTTTCGCGCGCCTCTATTGGTATTTGATTATTTCATGTAATCTGTCTTTCCTACAGACTCGCCCTTCCCATTCTATAATTCCCTTCGAATCGCGGTATCGTTACAACATGACTCTATCGGCGTTTAGCAGCCTCGACCTTCTTCAATTCCTCTCTATCCAGAAATTAGCTCCCATAAAATAGTATTCGTAGATCTTGGACGCACCGAAGTTGTTGCGAGAAATCGTCGCTTGTGTCGTCGTCGTCCCAGCTCTCTTCCCAAAGATGCTTTGTCTCGCCGCTGCCCTTTGCAGCCTCGGTCTGATCCTCTGGCCAGTCTAGAAACGTATTAGCAATTGTTACATAACTATGAAACGGTGGTGGTGGTGGTGGTACCATCGACGGGAAAGTCCTCGAACTCGTCGTCCTCGCCGAGAGCGGCGGGCTTCTGCTCTGGCTTCTGCTCAGCGGGCTTGTCGTCTGTGGTCTTGGGATCTGTGGATGCCATGATGTATCGAGGCGGATGTGAAAGAGTGCTTTGCGATTAGATGGGAACGAGAGCGATTGCGGTATTGGTAGTTGTTGATGGAGAGCTGGAGCTGGCTTGAGAGGCTATGGAGAGCTTGATGATGATGCGGTAGCTGGAGCCTTGTGGACGAGGCGGGAAGGTGGGGCTCAACGGAAGAATGATCGACCGTTGTTGGAGATGCAGGGGAGGTTCACCACGAGCGCAGTCAAGGGGAGACATTAAATGAGTCAGGAAAAGAATGGCTAAATGTGGAATTAATAGAAATAATTGATATTTTGTATCAGCCTGTATTGAGATCTCTGATGTGGAGTAATGCTACCGGCCTACTCAAATGATGGGCTTGCATATAGCTCTGACGCTGTTTGATCCAGGCTACGGAAGTCGTTTGCTGGCTCAGCTACAACAATGACCGCTCCAAAAAGTAACAAAGATGAAGGATATAATAATAGATGAAATATGAGGTTTAAAGAAAAAGAAAAAAACCAGAACATTAAACCAAGCAAGAAACTCAAGATCTCAGCTCATATCGGCAAAAGGAAACCCTCACGGGTTGCTGTATATTTGCGACCGAGGGGAATCGAACCCCTCTCTAACGCTTGGAAGGCGTTAATGCTAACCACTACACCACGGTCGCTTGTTGGTTGTTGAATGATGAGTTAATGTCTAAACTTATATTCGTGGCGAATGCAATAGCAGTGGAGATTTATCGCGGAAAGAAAACGCCAGACCTCAATCCAATGTGATAGAAATGAGATCAGTTTTGGATCCATTTGGTATGAACCTGGCCTGGGCTTGGAATGATTAATTCTCTATGTAAATGAAGCCCAAACTCTGGCCAAATAGGCCGAAAGACAACCATCATCATGATCTTATGGAGGCGCCATTATCAACCAACGGCCCTCAAAACCATTGAACTCCTCCTCGATAAGTCGAGATGTGCTCTCCCATGGCACCTTGAACGCTCCCGAGTTAAACATGGGAGAGTAAATCACCGGAAATCCATCAGAGTCCCGCCCCTGTTTAGCCTCCAACTGTACCCTCATCTCTTTCAACGCCGCCCTCGTCTGGGCCAAAATCTTTACTGCACCATCCTTCCCCGGCTTTCCCGTCCTCTGATTCGCTCTCCCATATCCATAACTACTAAAAAGACATACGATATGGATCCTTGGAGCTCCCTTCGCCGTGTCTGAAGCCTGAGACGGAATGATGTAGCATTTCCCCGCTAGACTTCGCGACGGCCATCTTGACGCGTTGGGTATGTCTGCGTTGCAGAACTCCTTGTACTCTTTGCACGCTGCTGGGAATACAGTTGCGAGTTCGGCGGCGATTCCAGCGCCCCATTCGGCGATGCAGTTTGTCGCGTGGACGAGGTAGATATCTGAGGGGAGGGATCGAATGGCGTTGAGGGAGGTTGTTTCTAGTACGAAGATTGGAGATGACATCTTTTGAAGCTGTTTGAGAATTTGTTGTTAGGAGTGAAAGTTTGATTCGGGAAGCACAAAGACAAAAAGCGAATGATTCAGTTGCGGAGGAGAAAATACCTCTTTTACATGATGTAGCCTTGGTGTTGAGGGTTGTCTTTAGGCGTGACTCATCGGCAAGACAGCCATTCTGCCACTTCCGTTGATCGACGGAAGGCAGAAAAGGACGGTGGAAAATTGAAAGAGAAACAGAATGAATTTTGGCTATAATTTATTGGGGATCGTGAGGTTGCAACGGTGGATGTTATGTGCGCTCAATTGAAGCATGGGCTAAATCTGCTCTCCAATCAGTTTGCTGCCTAGCTATAACACAAAGAGAGAATGCGAAGGGATCTCGAAATTTCATTATGCAATAGCGGTTCTATTTGCTGTGACTTTAAGGAGAAGAAGAAGATATGCAGATAATGCTGCTGAGTTCCTCACTCAGCTCCGATCGGCAACTAGCAGTTGGAGGCGGCAATGCATAGAGATTGCTAGATCTCATGAGAACCGGCCGAGACATAATGAGAAACTCAAATTGATCAATTGATTGAAGACTATGCTAAATTCATAGCAAGAAGCCCAGTTCATCCGCTGGCAACAAGTCCAAGTGTCGCAGCACGTCTCTGACCAACGGTTTCTTGCCAAACTGAGACAGGCAACCCCCGATGGTAGCCACAGCCTCACCATGGTCGATACTTCATTGATTCCAGAAGTAAGGACAGTTGCTAACACAAGTTGAGTACGAAGTTGACTTTCTTTTCCGGTCAGCTAGCTTCAGGTCCTTTGAGTGTCGACATGCCAACACTCAGAGACTGGATACGTCCATGACATCGCGGTACTGCTCTTGAATCCGAGCCTTTCAGCGTTTCTGCCTCTCCTAGTTAGTGCTTGCCGGAGAATATGAAGGCCCACTGCACGACGAGGACTTGGACCTTCGTGACCCAACTAAGTGGTTGCCATAGTTTTCTTCTGTACACTCAGCGAATATAGGAGCACTATCACTTGAAAGAAATTGATATGGAAATCCGCGTACCAGTACCACACAATGGCTTCCTGGATCAGGGCGTATGCCCAGCCTCGCCAACCTCGTGAAGTTTGGCCATGCTTCGCCCCGGAATGATTCTGGAAGCAACGGGCGCCTGTGCTCTTTTTCCTGCTAAAAAGGATCACTATTCCGTTCAAGGAAGCCTGGTAATTGTAACTGAGGGCCTTGGGATGCTGGATACAATCTGGTGGAGGGACATTGCTGATCAGTCTGATGGGTGAGAGCACTGATGATGAGTGCGTGCTGGGAGGGCTGAGAGGACGGTTTGTTAATGAGACTGCTTGTGACCTCACAGAGAGGTTTCTCACGGCCTATGGGTGAGTCATGGTGCAGGTAAGGTTCGATATGCTGATATTCTGTGCTGGGTAGCTGGTTGGGGCCGTGTACTTTACGAATGGTGACTTTGGGCTGACGTTCTGACAGGACTTCCTTAACAACAGCATCCACTACACAAAAGATACCGCTAGAGCCCAAGCATTCTATATCAGAAGGCGGTTATCGCTTACTTGTGTGTTGCAGAACTGCCAGGTGTTGCCACTGCGCTGAGGGTTCGCCCCAAGCCCCGTGACACATGAACTCAACCCGATATTGACTTCAACACAAGCTTCAGACACGCCACACAGCCCCCACTAGACCGAGGGGTAGTGTTATATACTAATTCAACTCAGTATTCCCTTGTAGTAGAGCAATGACGGAATGGCAATGGCCGGTGTCCAGAGCTCTACAAGGTAGGTCACACCAACAACAAGTGTTGTTGGTTCGAATCCCGACGTGACCCGTAGATAGAAGTGACATGCGTAGATGTAAATGTAGTATTTGGATAACCCATGAAATTTACATGCCATATACTTGACATATATTACCATATATCTTCTGCCATCTTTATAATTTTGCCAATTGTGTTTACTTTTTATCCTTTCTTTTTTATTTCTGTCTCCAAGACCTGACCAGGGAATTGCCATAAATAAACCCATTTATAAATTTAAGAAGAGACAGAAATTACTGTTCTTCTTTGAATTATTATAATCACCAGAGATATTTATACCCTCAATCTTCCCAGGTTCTAAGCCGACGCCCATTGCCATAGCGCGAGAACAGTAACATCGCGAGGTATCTCTTTGAGTCTTGTTCCTCGACGACTTGCTATTGTATTGTCAGAGATGACTCGAGATGACTAGAAGTAACGTATCTGTTCAGCCTTTACACACAAAGAACTAGACAGTAGTTACCTCGCGTACTTGTACGATGCAGTGAATGCGAGGGGGCGCTGGCTGGTTCTTCTAGCATCGGGCTCTTGTGTCGTTGGTTTCTGGATCGACAAGTAGAGACAGAAACAATGTAAGAGAGGTTCCATACAGTATGATAGAGCCGCGACTGTCAAGGCGACCCTACAGCGCTTTTGCAGTGTTTGGGTGGGAAGTTGAAGTGACCAAAGCCACTCTCGTCAATTCATCGAAAGACTGCAAATATCTTCGAATTCATGCACATATCTCTGAGTTGTGGAGTGAACAAACCTATTTTGATCTTAACTTCTCCAATTAATCTCTAATATCCCACGCGCTTTCCTAAATCTTTCCCTTGAGCAGTACCCATCTCAGTTCTCGTAGCCTGTTGAAGCATCGCGTAATCCGTTCCAATATGAACCATATCAAACCCAGCCTCAATATATCCTTTCGCCTGCTCTCCAGATCCCGAATAAATACCGCATTTCTTTCCAGCCTTACGCGAAACTTCAAGAATACGGTTAATGGCAGCCTTGAGCTCTGGCTTCACAACACCATTGAGGATCGGATATCCAATGCTATTACCTATGCAATGTGAGCTCAAATACAATGTTGCCTCTGCTATGGGATGACTCACCAAGATCAAAAGGTCCAATGAATAAAACGTCGATGCCGTCAACAGCTGCAATCTCTTCGAGGTTGTCCAAAGCAGACTTTGTCTCGATTTGAACTAAAGTTAGTAGACTGTCGTTGGCTTGTTGTAGATACTCATCTGACGTAGGGACGGGCTTGAAGCGATCCATGGATAACGGGCTTCCGAATCCACGGTTTCCCATGGGAGGAAACTTGGCCGCCTTTACAATATCGCGAGCCTCTTGTGCTGTTTGCAAGAGAGGAACCAGGATCTGGTGAGCGTTAGCAAGCGGGCCAGTCGAACTTGACATACTTGGCGGTCTCTCACTCCATGCGCGCCAGCATCCAGCGCCCCTGGACAATCGTCAGTGACTTGCAAGGAAAAATGATTGGTACAGCATACGTTTAATGAGCCATGGTTCTGTACTCGGGATACGCACAATCGGTGATGCGCCAGCTGATGCAACGGCTGGGACACATTGGCGCATATCTCGATCTGATCAAAGTCAGTAGCAGTCCTCGAATACACTTCTGGTCACAAACCATCAAGATCACCGTGTTCGCAGTCGATCAATACCCAGTCGCAGCCAGGCGTCTGTGCGAGCATTCGTGAGATATTGGTACTGGGCATCATCTGCCAATACCCGAGGCTCGGCCCTGCACCTTTGTCAAGCGCCGCCTTGAAGAAGTTGCCCGAATCCATTGGTGCCATGTTGAATTGCGATGAAGGACAAGCAGTTACGTATTTAAAAAATTGCTGCGAAAGTCCAACTCGGGGTTCTGAAGATCGGCGCAGTGTTTCGGCTTGAAGGGAATCAAGGGATTTTGATGTGCAGAAGAGGAGAGCCCGTTTCAACCTAAATATTGCCAATCCACTCAAAATCTCGGCATTAACTCATCCGGTAGGCTTTTATATTTGTCGGGTTCAAGTAGTCAACTCGACGGTAGACAGTAAGGTAGCTTAGGCAAACCGAGGTTCGGGTCGGAATGGCGTTGGCTCGGCTTCTGTTCCCGATACACATTTAGGTAACCCGGGTCACCTGTCTGGATACCTAGCCTTTGTAAACAGGCGATACACACTCAGCCGTTTCAATTGTGTTGATTAAGGACCTCAGAGAGTCATCAGGTTATCTGACTTGAGAAAGCGCAAGGAGTTGTCTGACTGTCGGTTCTGACACTGGAGATAAACCGTTCAGTCCCGCGTTAGTTTCTTGGAAAGCAATAACAGTGTGATCAAAGTGAAGCAAATGCCTGGTGATTAAACAACTCCAAAGCCAGTGCTTGTAAGGCTGCTCAGCTGTGATCCAGTTTACTGCATGACTAAAGGCCAGCTCAGAGTTAATCGCACCCTTTCCTACTTTGTATTTTAGAAGTGATGATATCTCGGGGAGATGAGCCTAGGCTCACAGAAACCTAATTAATAATCAAGTATGAACATGTTCTCTGAGTGATTGCTGGCCATAAGGTTAAACTTTAGGCTGCTAACACAGATAATGAGGACACGATATTCTTTTTCACAATATCAGCTTCTACCTAAAAAGCTTTCACGATGACCAATAAATCTCAATGCAAGCCCTTAGGGCTTTGCAAAGGGATGAGACCAAGAGGTATGTAACCTGTAAAGAAAGAGTTAGTGTATGGTGAAAGTATAGAGCGAAGTTGACTGCCTACCTCAAGTTTGCATCTCTGGACACACCACCACAACACAACCCCACAAACAAGATGTCAGCTACTCCTGCGTTAGTTAGTCTCGCGAAACATCAGAAGGGAGGGGTGGTGTACCAGCAAACCGAACTGCTGTCGGCAAGGACCATACAAGCCGGAAGGCCCGGCGATACGTCAGCTGGACAAATGTCAGAAATATACCAACTACCTCATCAGCATAAGTATAAATCTTACCCGTTTCCCCATCATCTTCAATAACCTCTCTGATAATGCCAAATCTCAGATTAAAAGGCATCACAGCTTTACAGACCTCTGTTAAGGTTATATTAAGGATAACCCTAGTTTAGGGCGGGATTGAATCTCCCCGATCCCCCAGGTTTCTTTCACTAATAGCTCCCACTGAAGCTATGAGGCTTTATTAGATTTTACCAAGGATCAGCTTGCATGTGATTGGGCTTGAGTGCGCCACAGCGGCTATTGACACTGGCTAATAAACAAAACGGGAGAGACAGACAACACGGAAAGAAGGCATCCACGCTACTACTCACGGGAACACCTGACCTTATTACCTCAGGTAAAGGGGGTCTGCAAATTGAATATAGGTACTTAATCTCGCACTAAGATAAAGTGGGAAGCCAAGTACCCCCATTTTTGAGATCTATCTGAGGTTTCGCCGGATCTCCAAATTACAGCCATCGTTGTTGATTGGCTATGAAGGTACTTTATTCCGCACATAAACTTTGTGTGAGATTACGCTGTAGCAATTGGTTAGGCATTATGGTATAATGTCTAAATAGTGAGCTAGATGTGTTATTTGCAGTTGAGACCTGTGGCTGAGAGCTTATAATCACCACACAGAACTTAGTGTGAGATTACGTACTATTGATTTGCAATCAACGGTCTCTTTGCAGGTCAGCGATCAGGACTGTTAACTAACGCGAGCATAACCCGATTGGAATTTCTTTGAGAAACTCCTTGGCAGATCCCGAACGCGTTCTGGGCCTATAAAGGTCTTGAAAAGTTCAATTCAGGCTATATACTTAAACCAGCCACAGAGTGCTTAAGTGAGATTGAGTATATCAAGTGCCTGCTACACAGCATGTCAAAGATAGACTTGTGTGCAACGGGGATGGGAGGACGTGCCGATCCAGACAAATAAATTGAGTCCTGTTTATAGTTTTGAACTTATTTCCGAACTGTTCTCTGTACTTCGCTGAGCCTCCCCCGAGCGATCCTGAAGTTGCACAAGTCGGTCGGACCAGTGGCTGCAATCATAAATGAACGATGTGAGCATTGGCGCAGTGTTGTCTTTGGAAGTGTTGTCTTTAGGTGATGATCTTAAAGACTTGTCAGATACGTTTGTTAGAGAGACGTGTCGTTACAATTCACTTTTGGTCTTCCGTTGCGACCACCTTCTTAGGTGATTTGTCCATCATGGTAGAGGTTATGATGAGAGTCAGTGTCAATGTGCGATTGTATCTGTTGCAAATGACCCACCTGGAACTTGTAGCTGTTTAAATAGCCATTTCAATTGCGCTTTGTACTCATTTATGCTTCCAAAATGGTGTTTAGTGGTGAGCCCGCCTGTCACCCCAATACTCACCCCTTGGTGCTCCCCAGATGCTCCCCAGACAGCAATGCTGTGTATGGAAGAGCCACGCCACTTTCCCTGACTTGGTGCGGTTTCAAGTTTCCAGGCACTGGGCTGAATGAGGCTGTTTTGGGCAATCTTGATTGGTTCCCATTGGTAAGGCAACTGGTTCGCGGGTTGCATGCATCCACCTCGCACCCCAAAATCAACCCCGCTTCACCCCAAAACTGTACCTTTCACTCAATCTCACCTCGAACCTCTTCGCATTAATATTCCGCTGTATAGAACCTTGGACCACGTTTTCACTTGCTCATAGCCTGATATTTCTCTGAATAAGACAAACTGCCTCTTTTGTATGAAATTCCTTATTCATACTGCACTCGTCCCCTCTGATGGCAGATCCGGGTATTACCAATAAATGGGTTTGGCATCTTAGGAGCCGCGAGGGCCCAAGGAACCCACCAGATGAGTTTGAATACTTGAGAGATATCCAAGCCTATTTGCTTGCGATTGAGATGAAAGGCATCTACGCTGGACTTGTTGAGGTGGAGACCAAATGCACGGAAATCGACCAAGGCAATTCCTCCAACACTGAAAGTAACCCAGATCTCAGCGCCGAGCAGTGGGAGGATCTTGGGACTCTCCAACGCACGCTTTTAGATAAACATAACGACTTCTATTTTGCGTCTTCCCCACTCCGTCCGCAGCTTCATCAGTTCAAAAAGCTCGCGTATGATCATTCTTTTCACTCTCGCCCTCTGCGCCGGTTCAGCGACCGCTTACTTCCCTTACTACGGCGCGAGCAAGACTTAGAGACCTCACGGCGATGGCTGGACGTTATGAAGCTGACTTCCTCTCTGATTCAAATTCTCAGCGATGAATATTATTATTATGAGGAGGTGGCTTTTCTAGATGCGTTTGAACAAATTGAAGCCATCTTGGAGAGGCTCATGTTGTGGTTCAGGAACAAGTACGATAGCCTGAACTACAACAAAGATGAGACTGAAGAGCAAGACTTGTGTGAACCTACATTTGAGTTTCCAAACAACATCAGATATATATGCACAACGATGCCATGGACGATACGTCCAGCGCTGTTAGTACTTTGGGGTGTATGTTGGATGTTCATCATCGGTTCTGGTGGAACTGAGCAAGAGAAGCTCACGGCGGTCGATCCGATTACTTCGCCCTTGCCTAATACTTATAATCTTCAAGGCGATCTTCCGAGTATCATTGGAGGTGAGTTTCTCGTTAACTCCGTCCGAGTGTATCTAATGGGCAACAGCTGGACTTCAAACCTCGGCTGTCAATGAGTTTGACAGCACGGTGGATTTGAGTCAAATCATCATGGATTCCTTCTTGAACGAAGACACTGGAATGATAAATGTTCTGAATGGTCCATTGGACTCACTCCAGACCATCCCTCAAACTCTAAACTTTCTAGCCACAGACTTCGGATGGCGGGGCATTGCAGAAAACTCGGAATTCGCAAGACAAGAACCCGATGAAGCCGCCGGATTATCTTGTGCTGCCGTGATCCGTATCCCAGTTACGAGAAGCCAAATCAGCTCGGGCGAGAACAGCTCAATGATATCCACAAGTGATGCGGACTTCGCTGACCATCACGATCGAGAGAGCAACCCTAATCAGTGAGCGATATATTGTCTGATCAGGGCCAAAGTATATACTAATATTGCAGATATAGCGAAGGACAGAAAAGCCAACCTCGCTTTTCGTGCCCGGACTGCGGAAAGACGTACACGAGGCTCTCCTCTCTAAAACGGCATCAATCAGAGGCACCTTTTCACGCAGAATCGAGCTCAAAAGGGTTGTTCCCCTGCCCCTATACAAACTGCAAGCGTGCTATAGGAAAGTCACCCTTTCAGCGAAATGACCGTTTGAAGAGACATCTCGAGACATGCAAGCACCATAACAGAGTCTCAAGTTCGCGAGAAGAGTCAACATCTTCACGATCATCGTCAGCATTGACCCCAACCTTAGCTGATGCACTGCAATGCCAAGACCCAGGACCAGAAGAAGCGGTCAATGCCAACGGCACTAGGAAAAGGGCAAGGTCTGAGAGCGATGAGGTGTTGAGTGACGATTCCTTCAAGAAGGAGATAATGAAAAAGCGCAAGAGCAAAGCCAAAGAGGTCGAGGAGAAAAAAGCTGTGTATTTACAGTCTCTGAAAGAGCTGGAATCTATCGACAACACTATACATGTATTCTACGGTTCTGGCCCGGACTCGTAGTCGGCAGATTGATCTTGATGTGGAGTAGGCTTGGAAAGGAAGAGAATTTTCAGAAAGAACAGGGATTTAGGAAGCCGAGTTAGCACTATACTAGATTGATTAACAGCTTACGAATATATGCAACGAGTATCCATCAACATATCTAGTGGCATGTCTAGGGAACAGGCCAAATGTAGCCTGTCTATCTTGGCAATTGTACCCATCGTATTGTAACCATTCGTCCCCGAGCAGAAGGTCCCGTGGACCTGGTCCACCCACATGGTAGACGAGCATTGCAGACATGTGATGTATCATCAATGATATGTCAGCGAGGTCCAAAAGCCAAACTAAGCCTGCCTCGGCGTCTACAACTGTGGAGTCCTTGACAGGCTTGGCAAGTGAGATTGCAAGATACCGCCTCACCAGGGCATGCAACTTCAACAAGATGCAAAGTCGGTCGATAGAGAACAGAGCCGCGCGTCCCGCGACAAGTACTCTCAAACATCAAAGAACAAACTTTCGGAGCAGAGCCAAGTTAATGTAGGCCACAACCGCACATGCGGAGGCGGACCGAACGGTATCTGGAGCTAAATGCCATTAACGCCAATTCCAAATGAGCACTTTGGCCGCGACTGATATATGCATGTAACCCCCCTGAGCAGGTCTCCTCTATAACACGTTTATAATAATTATGTAGCAGCCGCTTCAAGCCAGATGGGGATGGAGAGATTCCAAAGCGCATCCCTCATCCGAGGAACAAGGTTGCTGCCTGTAAATTCAGGGCACACTAAGGAGGTCGGCGTCTCCGACTCGTAGAAGATGGTGGTGCGGCATGAGCGCGTCGGGTTTCGTCTGGGTGGCGAAGGGGGCGGCTGGGGCTGTCGAGGAGATGTCGAAGTCGTCGCCCTGGAGGCGCGCGGTGCAGAGCGACGGCGTGGATTGTTGGAGGTTCGTGAGGTTCGTGTCCTGCGTCTTTGCTGCAGGCGAAGCGGAGTAATTGCAGGGAAGGCCCTCGGGGCGGGGCGAGATGAGATGCGGGATTCCGGGGGATCGGGAGGACCTGTCTCTGACAGTCAAACATTGCGAGATCGAAGTAAGAGGTGGCCCATTCGGCAGCGACCTTGGCGTCCTTGGTGAGAAGTGTTATGAAGTCGTTGTGGCCCAGCTCGTGAATCAGGGCCACTCTCGCCTCACACAGTCTGGTGCATTCGACAAAGAGGTGGAATACTGTCTCTCGAGAACATCCGCAGGCACACGTCAGGGACTCGAAGCCTGGAATGTGCCTGTCGTGAAGATACTTCCGGAGGCCAATGAGCTCAGTCCTGCACGAGAATAACATCGTGCTCTGGGCGCAAGTCATGCCCGAGTAGTACTCAAGATTCTTCCTCCCCCAGCCCTCGGTCAAGGCTACCGGCAGTCTCAGGTCCGCGGGTTCCTACCATGAGACACCCTACTGTCTATCCGTGTCTTGACATACGCCTTCCACCTGACCTCACACTCTTTAGTGTCGATCTTCTTGACCCAGGCCTTGATGATCTCGCCCCGCTTCTTGCGATCTGCCCATCGTTCCTCAGCCTTGTCCCTTACCTTGGGCTCTGGACTGACTCTTGCTCTGTGATCATGGCCCTTCTAGGCTGCGTTGTAAATGTTTGTCGCCTCGGCATCCAAAATCTGGTATGGAGTTTGTTCACTGCCGCCTTTTGCGATTTCTTTATCCCTGACGCCTTGTTCGGTTTCCAACCGTCTCGCGCGTTGTGCCTCCATCTGATGTTGTGGGAGAAGAGACTCTTGACCAGTTGCTGAGAAGCCTGGGAATGGAGGAGAGCTCGGATGTTCTCAACGAACAACTCCTTCTCCATTACCTCAACTGCAGTGTTTAAAACCGTACCAGAAACTTTGAGACATTCCTTATTCAGGGACTGAGGTTGACGTATCTGATAGTCAGCCAACCCATACTTGATGGAACAGTCCCCCTTGTCGCCTTCCCGCTGCCGGAGGAACCATGCGCCTCAGGCATAGGTGATCACTGACCGGATCATGGTCAGGTAATAGAGTCGCATGGTCTGTAATGTCGGCCCCGTCGTTCGTTTCGAGATGGTAGACAGATAGCCAAGCCGCTTCCTGACCTTCGCCACGATCTCATCGATATGGGATTGCCAAGTCAGCTTCTGATCGACTTTAACACCGAGAATACGGAGCTCGGGTTTGGAGGCCGCATCAAACCCTGGGATGTGGGGTCTGAAGTTGGTATGAGGTTTGACCCGCTGATGCCCAATGATATGCATAAGATTGTACTTGTGAGGTCCAAAGACGACCTTCAGCTTCTTATCAGCAGCCTGTACAGAGCCGTGAATCTTCTAAATGCCTTTACAGTTGATCTCGTAGCCCACGCCGCGGATCCGTGCCTCAGAGTCACCTTGCTGGTCGCTCTCGCAGGAGAGGCCATTCAGAGCGCCCGAAAGAACACGGAGGGAACCCGAAAGCCCATCCAGAGTAGTGAGTAAGACACTCTGGATCTGGGGAACAGCGTTCTGAGCCTTAGAAATGACTCCCTGAGCATCCTCGACACATTTCTTGGCGATGGAAACAGCATTCCTAGCCTCAGCGAAAGTATCTTGGTGACAGAAAGGATCTCGTGGGCGGAAGAGAGAGAATCAACGATTTCGAAGAGGGCTTCTTCAATCTCGGTTGGGACATCTTGGAGATCTTGCATAGCTTCGCAGGCCTTTTCGATGGAGGAAGAGGCTGCGCAGATAGCATGGCGTGCAAGTTCAATGGTGCCGACCTGGTAGGCTTCTCTGGTGGATGGCTTGTAGTCGTCCTCAGTGATGAGTCCTAAGTCAGGAATCCAGAAGTTGTAACCAGGCAATCGCGTGAAGCCCTGTTTCTGGCAAAGATCTTACGCCGACACGACAAGAGGTTGTCTGTCAGTGCCTCGCTGCAGGATCTCATCAAACAGGACTTTGACGCGCTTTCCGCACATCTTGACGTTGGCGCTGAAAAGGTGCATTGTTTCAAGCACTTCATCATGGTCAGGGCCACGTTGAAGATTGATGGCCTCAGCCTCACGCGCACATCTCTCGTCGTCTGTGTAATCTTGCATATCTTCACCAAGACTTGTGGCATACTCAGGATCTTCCATGTCCACACCAAGGTCGTAATTTGTAGACTGATGCGGAGCAGTAGGTGAGGACTAATTGAAGCACATTGCCACAGTGGTGGGAAGTCCAAAATGAAGACAATGAAAGGAAGCAGCCAGTGGCAGAGAGAGCAAGACGAGTAGAGGCAAACGAATTGATGAAGTAGACAATGAACACTCGCCAGCAATTGGACAAGTGTGGGAAAGGTAAAAGGTATCGACTGAGTAAAAGAACGTTCGTATTGGTATTGAACAATAAGTTAAGTTGCATGAAGATTCTCAAGGTATCCACTTTCAGTATTTGAAGCATCAAGCAGTTGCCAACGCTCGCCTCAGATCACCCTGGACAGAATGAGGCCTCGAAGCATCACCAAGAAAGAGGGAGGAAAAGAAGGCCCAGAAGGAATGGAAACTTATAAATCGGCCACCATTGCTGCAAGAAAATCGAGTATAGAGTGATAAAGCCTGTAAATACGTCGAACATCATATCATATCTTGATTTCCTTAGACTTCCAGCCGCCCTTACCTGCCATCTGATTGCAGAGTTCCCTATGGGCTTGATGAAGTTTGAAACTCTAGTTTAACAATACTCGTCTCACCTTTGGCTGCGTTGGCACTTCTGACAATCTTTGTAACCAGCAATGTTAGGTTACAATATAGTCTGTGATGGGATGGTGCATAAGTTGCTAGACACTTGCTTCCAGATCTCATGGAATTCCTTTATTGTTCTTCTCTGTGCGCCCAAAAGTGCCCACTCTTCGTGAACTCATCAACGAGATATGTGTAAGCACCTAGCTCGCTATTAACGTATTCCAGTACATCTCTACATTGGCAGATTCAAGGAAGTTTTAGGCACAAACCCCCATTTCTGTTCACTTCCTGTTCTCGGTCACCAGGGATTGATAAGCAGAATGACCAGAACTGGTGTCTTTTGACGCTGGATCAGGTCTACTTGCTCTGAAGTGTTTGGGGAATGGAAAGAATGAGTGTCCATCGCGAGAGTTAAGAGCGATAGCCCTTTCTAAAATCCTTTCAACCTGCATCCTTGGTGCTGAACTCACTGAGAGTTTCACCCTCCACAGTCCATTCGGCCAGCCTTTCAGATGGAGCGTGATAACTAAGCTGAAGGTGATCTCGCTATAAACTTCTAGTAAAGAATATTTTCTGCTGACAAAAGCCGGGCCTGCTAAGTATTGAGTGAGTGCGGAATATGTCGAAGTCCTCGAGACGCTCTAGTGGTGAAGCAACCATATGTTGACATTAGTGCAGGAAGCTATCCGTGCAATTGGCCATGCAACGATAGGCGCGATTTTCCTATACACCCCTCAATCAGGAGTATGAAACCCGCCCTCGCACGCATGCATCTGCCTCGTCAGCGTATCCCTCGTACGCAACGAGTTACACCGCAGAAGGCTATGACTGAGGAGAATTAGCTCAAAGGCCGGACTTTGGCCGCTGGAAACAGTTTCTTGACCAAAGCAAACATGTTCGAATCTTGTAAGTAAAATCCTGCGCTACCAGCCCATAATAGCCATCGACTGTTGTCTTGATCCCGGGATTGACGTAGGTATTGGTGATGATTTACCAGATTAAAACTCCTTGCAAATCACACCTTACCAGAGCGTCATCTGAAGACTAGATACAATAAAGTCAACCAGCTTTGCGTGTAAGTCACATGAGTCTATGGCTCAGATCTTGTACATTCGTTTTGTGAGGTTCATCAAGCCGCAGATTCCTACAAGCTCACCGCCGTCGGCAATCAGTTGCCAAATGGGGCGATGGCTGGCACAATGGTGACAACTAGTAATGGTGAAGGCATGGAATCTGATACAAATAATTCAGGTCCAGGTATTGTTCAGCATTCTTGACGGAGCTAAATCTAGTTCCATCGATAGTTATAGAACACCGCATGATATAGCACGTAGGATTCAAGGTCTCTACAGGCTGCATTGAGGACATAACTCACCTGTAAATGGAAAAGAGGCATATGTAGTTCGGGGAAAAGGAAACACCGGTTGCGGCGAAGAGTTTGCACCAAGCCTTGATTAGTATCCCATCGAAACTTGCGTTATCGACGCCTGATGAGACAACAATCATCTCAATCTTCAAGCATCCGAGAGAATCAGAACGTCAAGATTGTACACTTATCCGAAGCCAAGGAACTGAGTTACCAGTTGGTGGATAACAAATGGTGCGGATCTCACCTGCCAATATGCCCGATATGCTTATACCTTTTGTAGAAGAATGATGAGTGGAGGCCTGCCCTTTTGTCTACCATAGGTAGTGCTAGCAACGACAGTTATCAATGTCGCGAGCCAACATCAACGCCATGTGCTTGGCTGGCAAGGCTAGATTGTATGGGCACGTGAGATGGGACAAGTCTATTAAAAAGATCAGCTCCATGGTGTTTCCTAGCCGGCATAGCACCGAACTAATGCATACGTTGAGTATGTCATTGGCAACCCAGATAGTAGCAGGTACCGCTGCCTAGACTATGAAGGACGACCTTCTTAAAACTATCAAAATGGACGCTCGGAGATTGAAGCAGGTTGACACAAGTTGTAGCTATAACAACGATGATGGAACGTATATCAGCTGAGAAGTATGGCCACTCAGCTTCATTCTGATAACTGTTTTGGGACCTCCGCGGGCTATATATATGCCAACTAAGGAGAGTTCTTCTCATAATAACTTGCAAGTGTAACAAACGTTGTATCGAGAAACTTGGAGCGGCTCTGATTCCTGTCATCATTGCTAATGTCTCTTTCTTCCTCCCTCTTCACACTACTAACCATGTGTATTAACATATATACTCACTCTACTCTGATCGCCGGGGCCGCCTCCATAACCACGACTAGAATCCATCCATCGTTGGGAAGAGTTCCATCCTCTGTTTTAACCTAAGGAGATAACAACAGTCCCTTAGATGACAATACTCGCAATCGCATCAATAACATCCTCCAGCACATCATCGTCATCATCGCCATTGTAGTCGTTGTCATTATCCTCGTCATCATCTTTATCCCCATCCACAACCCTCATCATAATGACCTGTCCACTAGAGACATGCTTGCAATGTCTCTTGGTCTTCTTCCAGCACTTTTCACAAAGTGTTTTGTCCCAGCACTTCTTGCAACGCCACATCATCTGATCTTTCTTGAAGCCCTTCCAGCAGGCCGAGCAGCCACTCAATAGCGAGGGTTTGTACTTTGGGAGGCTTTTACCGGCGACGAGAGTGACTTGGGTTGATGTTGGTGGACGTGGGCAGGTTGTACAGAAGAAGGCGTTTGAAGAATGGTAGGCGAACTCTGATGGGACAAGACCAACTCCACAGGCCGTGCAGCGGGTTGCGGTTACAAGCTCGGCTTTTGTGTTCCCTTGTTGAAGGGGATATCCAGACTGGGCTTGTTGCCTAGGACGAGGGTTAGATCCATACGGTGGCTGATGATGTAGTGGTAATGTATTGGTTGGAGTCGTATCGTACGTAGAATAGTGATGCTGGTCCTGCTGGGATGGAGGAATGCGATGGGGATGGTAAGACATGGCTCCGGATACAGTAGATGCAGATGATACTGTAGGATATAAGATATATTGAGAAGAAGGAAGTACGAAGAGTTGCCGTATCGGTTCATATAAGGGTAGGCGGTCTTTGAAAGATTGATCGTGAATCAGAAACAGAAACATTCGAGGAAGCACCGCGATGTTTTATACCATATGTTGGAAGCAATGTGACGATTTCCGAATTGGGAAAAACGCTGCGCTCTGATTGGAGCCAAGCGGAACTGGTCCAAAACGTTGAATGCTCAAACCAATCAGAGCTTGAGAGTTGGTCAATGAGGCTGGAAATATTCCGCCGTGAGCCCCAGTCATTTTACCGCATCAGATCATAATGGGTTGGTGAGTTTTTGAAGCGACTTGACTGGATGGACCGTAAAGTGCCCGCTTGAAGGTGGAACCTTCATCGCAATACTCTTAGTATTTGGACTTGATATGTGAAACCAGCATAGCCACAGGACAGCATACGATCACCTATGGCCGCTTTGACTAATGTGCCCTTCACTAATCACATATCTCCCAGTTCGAAGAACCATAGCGCCCAGAGCTGTTATTACTTGGACAGAGAACATTGGAAGCCTCCTTGCGATCTTACTCGGGCTAAGTACAGTCAGTATCCCATTCAAAGATACGTAAGCATCCTATGGGGAACCCGCATATCCCTTATTAATGATACTATCAGGTCACCTTTTCTGTATTCATCTGCAGGGAGCAAATTGGTCTTATCGGTGGTGAAGACTTCATCAAAGAATGAAGGATCCTTGGGCATTGGAGATTCGGGATGGTAAAACTGGCTTTGACTGCCGCGGTATTTGCTAAGAGCTTGAACAGCGCATGAGAGTCGTAAGTACCGGTCGATAGGTAGTTCAGTGATACAGTTACTACTATTATACGATGACGGCCACGGTCGGCACTTATTGAGAATCCCCAGAGAGGCTATGTAGACCACTATTACCTACCAGAGTCTGCTTCGATGTGTCATCCAGAACGCTTCGTTGAATATTGATCAGTTTTAATCCCATTGATTGGCTGTGTCGCGGTTATGTAACGGCGAAGCAAGGCCACATAGAGGCGGCAGGATAACCCAATTGAAGCACTTCCGCGGGCCTTTGCCCAAGAAGGGAACTTCATCTTCCATAAACGCGCAGTCAGTGCACCTGTTCTGGCAACAGAATCTGAATGAAATCGGGCCAGAATACAAAGTTTCTGTCGCAAAAGGAGAAAGACGAGATTGCAATTCGCCAAGTGCCACTTAATCTCGTAATAAGGAAGATAGATGCCCGTCTTCGGGAGAGATAAGAACACAAGCAAATGGCCGGTGAAATGATCATTCGATCAAGAAACTCACCTTGGGACAATGCCTTGAGAATGCTGACCTAATAGCCATTACATACGAGACCATCAGTGTCGCTTGACCATGTGCAGATGTCGTGCAGATACTGCAAATCACCTACAATAGATCTAAGACGTTCGGCGGGTTCATTGATGGTATTGCAAAAATATCATGTCTTATTGCTAGATCGTGAGCTAGTATTATCTACAGCGAAGACCTAGGTCTGAAAGGTTCTACGCACCCAGCATAAGTTGGTTTGATGTTGGTCGTTGCAAAACTGTATCTTAGATGGCATGCCTTCTGTATCTCAGACACAACTTCGATAAGCTTTTATAAAGCCTTACATCTCAATACCTCTTCGCCTCATCATAGCAATCAAATGCTTCAGCAAAAGAGGTCTGGTTTGGGTATTGGAGTTGGGATTTCGACGCGAGAAATGGAAGTGCCGCGATATCTTGATATTGTTGCAAAAAAGTTCCACGAGTCGTTCATGATATGCATACGCACCCATAGAAACGCAAATGGCATCGAAGGCAAGATTGAAGCGTGCTTGGAAGTCCTTGCCAAGCTGAAGGAATCTGCGACCCGATTCTGTGCGCGTGTTGCAGACCTCTATCGCCAAATGAGAAGAGACGAGAGATTGCGTATTATTGCTGAGTAACCGACCATTAGTGACGGCAAGCACCACGATTCCAAAGGTAGAATTATCTCCAAGGGTATTAATCTTGGTTCTTCAAGAAAAGTTAGGACCTCTATCCTAAACAATAAAAAGACTTAACTAAGCTTAGTCCATACGCAGTAACACCTTGAGACTAATTGAATTTAGCACCTCAATTTAATATCAGAAGCTTCCTTGCTCCCTAAGGTGTGAGTACATGGGATGTCCGGCTGCGATAAGACAAAACTCTTCTCCTGCACTATATCAACCCCCTTGAAGCTTCATTTAACTTCTCAACTTCATGAGTACAGCAGCGAACAGTAGTACGGTAATCTTTAGGCCTATAGTCTTTGTGAACTTCGAAGTTGCCGTGAACTGATAAGTGCCCAAACCGACAACGCAGTGGCAGAGTTAAACACTCGCTGAGAAGCAGAGAACTCATCTCAACATTATCGTCTTACCTTGTACCCATTACAAAGAAGAAATTTTTGAAGCATCAAACTAAGAATCAGTACTGAGCCTTTGCTCCTATTTCTGGCTTGTTATTGTTGCGCAGTGTTGGCTCTAGAGCAGATGCAGACACGATCTACCGGCAGCTAGACCTTTGTCAATGGTGAAAAGCGTCTGCAGCTCTATTAGCTGTTGGAGTGAGAGCCTATTGGCCCTAGACATGTGCCCAAGGCCTTTCATTTCGCGGCAGAGAAGAACGGTATTGCTATTTCCAAAGCGCTGATCAGCTACGGCGAAGACGGGTAGGGCGATAGCGAGAGGCTGTCGAACAGTATGGAGTTATCCGCACTACTCGGACCATGCGAGATTGCCTAATACATAACGCGGCAGTCTCATGTTGAATGATGCCTTAGAATACCGTATTCAAGGAGATCCAACCATTCACTACTAGTTACTCCTACATTGTTCGGGGGCTCGCATAAGGGTACTGTACAGGGCAGGTAAGCAGCTCTTGATGAACTGAACGATCCATGCTCCATAATACCAGAGACTCGCAGATTGACGCGCTCATACGGATTCCCTGATTACATGATTGTCTAGAAAGACATTCGACAGCGTCCTGTTTTTAGATTTGAAGCCCTGGAAACGACCCCGTTCCATATTGTCAAGTCCATCTCGGTCACCGTCAAGACACTTCGCTCATTGGTTCCAATGGCTTGAAGGCTCCCTGAAGAGTATACTGAATAGACGAGGACACTGCCTAGCTTTGTTCTGGCATACTTGAGACCAAAATAGGAATAATATTTCCAACATGGTGATGTCTCAGAGCCCAAGGGTCTATAAGCCGGAATGGCGCCTAATGCCTGGTGTCTTCTAGCTAGATATACGGGGTTTTCAATCAGAAAAGATGCTCCGTCGGATTCCTAAGCATTGTATTGACAGGAATGCAAGAAGCTCATGCAAACTTTCGACTTAGGCTGCTCGCGGATCTGGGAGAATCTTCGGATTGCTGGGACATGCTGATTACTCATGAGCCTGACATGGAGCTCGTCGACGGGGATGAAAGGCAGTTCAATACGTAGAACTGTCGCATCACGGTGGAGGATTGCGACATCTTTGACAAGTAGATGAACCAATCGTATCATTTAGCTATAAATAAATAGAGTTAGTAATAGAGTTATTATAGTGAGGGTATATCAAACATTTACAGGCTGCCAAGACCGTATCATGGAACTCGATGATGAAACCGGCCAAGACATTTCCTATTGGCTGAACAAGTTATTGTCAATGCATTCAGCAACAAAAAATCAATGCGCAACTCAAAACATCAACAAGCGGAACTTCAGTATCCGGAGTGAGATAATGTTCTATTTTTCTATCGTAGCAGCAGTACTTTCGTCGAAGTCCCAGTTGTATCATTATCATTATGTACCGCTCGCATTTTTGATCCATGCACATCAATATATTCGTAAATTTTAAAACCATCCCACTGTTCGTTCCGTAATGAATGAAAGTCCGACGAACACCATCGCCCCCCTCGCCAGTATAATACAAGTAAGAGCCGTTATGAGTCTTGGAGAGGATAACATAAATATCCTGAGTCGCGTCTTTCCGTCGCGGGTTTCATGTCTATTGTTTTCAAACACTTGTGAAGTCTAAGCGAAAGCACCGACAACAGACATTCCAAAGGCTTGGCAGAGTTAGCGAGAGCACGGACAATGAGAAATGAGTGAGGCTTACCGCCGAGGCCGATCCAGCAGAGAGCGGCGATCTTGTCCTTCTTCTTCATGAGGTGCTGGGCTTCCTCGGAAAGGAAGTCCTCAACCAAGAGGTTGACCAGAGCAGCGTAGATAAGAAGACCGGAAGAGCTAAATGGTGTTAGTGATGATTGAGATAGTGGTTTGAAGGGAACTTACATAGAGTTGAAGACTCCAACCATGATTAGACCAAGTGCACTCTCAGGGTCGTAGGAGTTTCGGCTAGCGATTCCAATGGCCTGTCCGATGGGTGCAGTAGAACCAAACGCCAGAACAAGAAGCCAAGGTCGGAAGCTTCCTCGGGGATAAGGCACAGCAGCGATACGAGCTCCTAGACCGAGACCCTCAAACATCTGATGGAACATGATGGCAGTGAGAAGGACAACAAGACCGTCAGTCGTCATGGCGATTGTCATTCCGACGAACACAGAGTGGAACAGGATACCTCCCTCGAGAAGGGTGATGTTCATCGACATTCGCTTGTAGGTAGCCTGATCAATCGTCTGACCCTCCTCGTCGAAGAACGACTGGCTGACTTCGGGAGTAGGCTTCTCATCGATGGCAATTTGGGAGGAGTGCTGAGTTTGCTTGATCATTTCCATCATCTCAGAGCGCTGTCGGACGTATTGCTCGTAGAAGACGACGAACCAAGCAGGCATGGAGGAGTTGCTGTCCTTCTCATAAGAGTACGCATGAGGCTTGTTCTCCTTCTCGTATAGCTCGCGCGCCATAGCCTTCTCGTAATCAACGTCATCGTAGTCGTCAGAAACGTTGGAGTCGTTGCGAGTGTGAGTATGGTTGAAGTTGGCGGTCTCGGGGAATGGGCGCTGGGGACGAGGAGGCGGGGGCTGGACGACGGTGACTGTAGTGCCGGTTGGGCCGCCGTGAGAGTGGCCGCCTGTCTTTGCGTTCAGGTACAGTTCGACCATGAAGAGGAGAAACATGGCGGCCATCATGATGACACCGGGCATGGCGGGGTAGATTTCGGTGAAAAGGTCGGGGAGACAAGGATCAGTGAGACTGCCGAATGCTGTTGGGAGCAACTGTAGATAAACCGTTAGGTGAATTCTAAGTCATTTCTCGTCATCACTTACATGAACGAAAGCAGTAGCAATCAAAACTCCAGTACCGAAATGCTTGCAAGCAAAGAAGATCTTGGGAGGCATCTTGAGCCATTTTATCCTCTTCGCAGCGACGGGAAAGCCAGCGCCTGGGAAACATTAGCAATTGAGAGGCGATCCCACGAAGGAATTGACCCACCGAAAGCAGAAACAGCAAATACGGCGACTATTGAGCTGTTAGACTGCCAAGCAAACACGTCGCTTATCACGGTGGAGTAGTCCATGACAAGCTTTCAGCGCGTGGAGACTTACAGAGACCTCCGACATGTAAGCCAAGAGGATAATCCTCACCCGGCCCCGATCCACCGCATTGAGGCTTTGCAGAATCCATATTGAATAGAGATCGAAAAGAAAAAACCGTTTCGTAGGGATCGTGAGGAGCAACGAAGAATTTGTATTACCAAAAAGAAGGGAAACCGGTCCCGTTCGAATCGAAATGAGTAGAAAGAAACAAACCGAGGAAAAAATAGAAACAAATTCCAAGGAAAGAAAGAAACTCAATGAACACAAGGAAACGTACAAAGGAAATGTAGTCGCCCAGGTACCAGCCTAGAACAGAGAGTGCAGGATAACGAGAATTCCCCAGCTTGGCGGGATCTCAGTTCATCTTTATACACTTCTTGGCGACGTTATAATAAACTATTTTAAGTTGATTGAGGCGACTTGTGATGCGAAACGAGCCTCGTGTCAGCGCCTCTACGGGCACAGTTTCAAGCCTCACTGTTTCATACAGCTACAGTACTTTTTTTTCTTTTCCCCATGTATGGGCGATCTGAGGGCGGAATTACCATCTAGCCGAGACTTTTTGAGTATGGCGCGCGTCTCGGAGATCTGCGGCTACAGTTAAGCATGTTACGGGAGCAGGGCAGATCTGGTGTCGCAGATTCAAAATTCTACGACGTGGTATTGCAAATATACCCACCGCCAGGGGGCGGAACATGAAGATTCCGAGGGTCCCCTTATTTCTTGGCCGTCTCAGTCTCTGTGGTGATCATCTGGGGAACGCGTCGTTTATACAAAAAATATCGGCACTTGTTATTTTCTCTAAGAAACCCCACTGGTATAGTGTATCAAGACCTGGGTATAATGCTTATCGCTGCGACCTAAACAGCTTGGCAGTGTGTCACTGACAACGCCCCCCGCATACTGAAGCTCTCTACGGAGTAGAATAGAGGCGAAAAAGCTTGGTATTCCAATTAAAGAACACGTTGGTTTCTACTAATGTCTTATCTGATATACGAGGATGGAGAGGCGTTGATTGATCTGATAAGTTCCTATACTCCAGCCTTTTAAGTTTGACTAGTTTGCGCTCAGATTCTTGGCGTGTGACATATCGTATTACTCAGCGGAGAGACAAGTTTCTCAAGGCGTTTTGTTCAGAGGTCTCGACTGGTCTATCAATTGTATCAGACAGCGTCTGCTGAGCAGATCCATTGTATCAATTGACTTGCAGAGTCGTATACAGAGAGAAATTGCGACTCTGTAATGACTCGGTCTGGTTTCGGCTTGTACCGCCGGGGAGCACGGGTCTCAGCGTTCACGATCCACAGTTTCTTCTTCACGATGGGTCCTAAGCCAGATGAGCGGATCACCGAATCTAGGGCAAATACCGTATAGCTTGGTCAAATTTGGGTGTATATAATCTCAAATACAAAGACATTTACTGTTGTTTCTTTCTTTGTTTTCAGCTTTTTATCATCCTACAATTAATTACAAACATGGCCACATTCATTGAAACAATCAACATCTTGAAATTCGAGATCATCCCTCGGTTATCCATTCGCGATCAACTCCATCTTTGTCAAACAAGCAAAGATCTCCATACCGCAACTGTTTCAGTTCTATACCGCGACATCACTATAACGCACGACGTGGGAATAACAGATGACCCGCCACCATCGCCCAAAAGGTCGAGGAGACGTGAGAGATTACGCGCGGCAGGCAGATTAAACAGACTACCCTGTGGCCTTGACTTTCTTTTCGCGATATTGAGTCGTCCAGAGCTGAGAAGCCGTGTAAAGAGTTTAAGATTTCGAATCATGAATTATACTCATGATTGACCTTGGCTACTTTCTATACAGTCACAAATGGCTTCTCGAACTCTTCTCCAATTCACTTTCACCTCAAAAGAACACCTTCGAATCACGCAGCCTTCAAAATATTACCCATTTTGAAGTCGCCAATCCTCGCGGCTGGTTAGGTTACGAACAACTCCCAAGAGGAATTCATCTACTGTCATTCTACCTCCCAAACGCAAGGACACTCCCCCTCGAAAGTTTTGCTAGTCATCGAAAAGGCACAAACAGCGCATTAGCTGATACAAATCCCTTCTGGCCTCTTTCGTCTGCACCGCAGGCAACCTTTCTTACTACGCTTCATCTGGATCACTGCTCATCAAACACCCATAATATCACGGCAATGCTTGCGCAGACGCCGAACCTGAAGACGTTGTTCTACGCATGTTATCTTCCCGCTTTTGAATGTGACTTCGATGTTGACGAGCTCAGAAGAGGACTGGAGCATGTTCGCAATGCCTTGACAAAACTAACGCTTAAGTTGACTATTATGCAGAGAGGACTTGTTGATTTCTCGGATCATGAGTGGCCATTGACTCACGGCCGCATTGATGATCTTCGAGATTTTCTGTCGCTGACATATCTTGAGATTCCCCTTGCTTTTCTTCACAGCCATACAGCCCCAGAGAATTGGCAGCCATTAGCCGATCTCCTGCCACCAAATCTCACATCTTTCACCGTCGACGATGAGCTAATGGACCATCACGCCTTCTCCGACCTCTACACAGGAACAGCAATCCGCGATATGATGAGAACATTCCTCAGCCGGGACTACAAGTCATGAACACCAAGTCTACGCCATGTATACTTCCATCACCACTACGCAAGCTGGGACTTTGAAAAGCTCTGGGAAGACCCCGAGAAGGAATACTACAAGGATTGGAAGCCTGTGGATGAGAAGTACGGCTGTCGATGGGCTCTTGCAGAGAAATCACTTGGCGGAAACAAAATTGCTTGATGATCTGATCTGTGGACATGTTGTTTTGCAGACGTGGTTTCGGGGTTTGTTTCACCCGCCTTCGCTAGTTTCCTGAAACGGGATGGGTTGCAGAACGGCAAAACAAAAAGGGCCCCGATTTTGAGACGGCAATTAAGTAATTGTTTGGAGATGCTTATTGCGTACGGAATTTCACATGTGAGCTACGGTTAATTGACTACCGAGTCTAGCATATTTATAGAAATTGATCACGCGACAATGGGAGTCGTCTCTGTTAGAAGAACCGTATGAGCGCAATTAAACTTCCAACTCGGAGCGGAATGACTGTTAGCTTGTTGTTATATTATTTGTTTACCGCATTTGAGACGAAACAACATTGAACTCGGTGGCCGACGCGGCATATGCTTTGCGCTGGTAGGTAAAATTTACATATCTCAACTAACTCATGTTCGCATTCATTGGCAGTGGAGGGACTTCTGTATAATGTATTCTGTTGAAGAAAAGTTTATTCATTCTTATATATCGTCAAGTCATCTAAATAGGCCGTAACACCAAAGTTGATTCATAGCTAGGTTCCAGACCTAAAGCTCATAAGTCGTCAAGACAGCCGCGTGGTCAGAAAACCACTCATTATCCTTATGGTTAGGCTCAGGCTTCGGCTCACCAACAACCACGGTATGAGAATCAGTGACCTTGAGGCTCTTACCCTTGTGAAGAATAAAGTCAATTCGGTCAAGAGGCTCAGGCTTTCGGTAGCCGCCGTTCCAGATGTAGATGGGAGACCAGGTAATGCCCTGCTCCTTGACGGGGTCGGGATGAGCGACGCGGAATGAGTCGATGAGACCCTTCTCCTTGGGGAGGACGGAGGTAGGCCATTGGACGTTGGTGTATCCGCAGTTCTTCTCCTTCAGACCATCGACCCAGTCGAGATGAGAGGGAGCGTTGAAGTCGCCGACGAAGAAAACAGGAATGTCGTCAGCGTTGTCGAGTTGGCTCTTCATTCCAGCAAGAGTAGCCTCCATTTGAGGAGTGCGACCGGACTGACCTTCTCGCTGAATGACCTTGTCGACAGGCAGATGATCATAGCATGTGTCGTAAGGTCCGTAAGGAGTATAGCCCAGATGAGCAACGAAGAAGTTGATCTGCTGGTTCTTACCATCCAGGGCAATCTTGACACCACCGGAACGGCTAGGTCCGCTGATGACACCGTAGTCCTCGACGATGGGGTACTTGCTAAGAATACCGACATCACCGCCGCTGGACCAGTGATACCAGCCAAGAGCATCAGCGAGACGTGGAACGTGGCGACCCTGCTGGTCTTCCTGAATACCAACGACGTCAGCGCCGGACGAAGCGAGGAACTTGACTTGCTTGTCGTGGTAACTGGTAACTCTAGTACCGCCATTCCACATGTTGAGAGTCAGAACCTTGAGCTGGCTTAGCAGAGCCTTGCCAGAGCTAGCGACGTTGATGTTGAAGACACCGGATGAGGCGGAATCCCGTCCAGTGGCACGGACGGTGAAGACGGCTTTATCGGCGCTTGAAGTAGGTGTTCCAGAGATGACACCATCAGCGCTGATCTTAATCCAGTCGACATTGGAGCCTTCGCTGGAGAATTTCATCGTGCCTCCCCCGCCACGGACAAGGCCTCTGATGCTATGCGAGTAACCATCACCAACACGCGCATTAGGCAGAGAAACGTCAGAAACAATGAACTTCACATCACCATCAAGCTCACGACCCTTGATGATCTGAAGAGGCTGAGCAAGCCACGTATAACCACCATTCGCCAGAAAGAAAGCCGTGTAATTTCCAGGCTCAAGGCTTCCAAAGTCAAGCAGCACTTCGCCCTCAGCATGAGGCGCCCACTTCCACTTGATAGAATTAGACGAGCCCTTCTTCTGGTCAACAGGCCCTCCGCCAGCGCTGTAGTACAGACCAATCCAGTTGGCGAGGTTGGGGGTTGAAGTTTGGTACTCAAATGTCCATAATGGCTTGTCGGTGTTGAGGGATAAAGAACCCGATGCATCCGCGGCGGGAGCTGGAGGTTCTTGGGCTAGGACTGATGGGCAGAGCAGCCATAGGGCGGAAGCCACTGCGATAAGAGGGGATTGAAGTCTCATGGTCGATGATGACCGTAAAAATTCTCTCGTGAGAAATGGCGGGAAAAGACGTGAAGCTCGCTTACGCACGCGGCACAGCACTAGTAGATAAGGAGACAAAGCGGCGTTATCCTCACGGGCAAGCAAAACAGGGTATTCACACGAGGGGTTTATATGTTATAAATCTCAACAATAGCAAATGCGAAATATCGATTTGAGACAAATGCACAATGGAGTGAAAAAGAGAGGAATGACCATGCCGAGTTTTAGTCGATGGGACAAAACGAGCCAATGCTTGGTTCCCCTCAAGCCACGCAGTCGAATGACGTGTGAGCAGTCCGCGTTGGTGCTAGGTCGATCGGCGTCGGACATCCCACTTGCGGAGACGAGCCACTTTTCGTGTGAGGGGCCCCGAGACATCGATAGAGTCACTAGATCCCTATCGTCCGACATCGTGACTCGGCAAGTGGTATCACGAGAGCTTTCTATTGGATTGATGATCATCTGTAACTGACTATCGAGTGTAACTCTAGAGTATAATAGCCTTATCAGATCTGCCGGCTGTCCACTCTAATTGTAACCCAAAAAACAACTCTATCCAGTAAAACTCCGGCATTAGGAACTTTTTTAGAAGGGAGGGTTCTCGGACCTCTCACCTGTTGGTGTAGCACAACGCCTCATTGTGGCCAGGATGATAACGGTCTTGCCGCTGGCTTGTTTCTGAGGTTGGACTGCATGCGATAAAAAGATGTTGGTAATGAGAGATATGTGAAATGGGGCACAAGACATCAGGCGACAAACTCATTGGACCTCGCAATAGTTGCAATGGCGAATGATACCCCAGAGGCCCAATTTGATAGGCTGATATGGTGGTCGTGGGGTCAGATACGATAACATCTATCGACGTTGAGGGGGTTGGTAAATCTGTAGTGTACCCGTCGTCCGAAACACCTGTAACTCAAGCCCATGCTGTCAGACCATGGATGCCTTCATTTAGTCGGAGCAAAAGCACCTATCTACTGAGATAATGTTTTCATAAAGCACGTGGCGAGATATGATATCTCCACGAAGGTCTTTTCACATGTTTGCCATCTCTAAAATTATTTCATTTCTGTTGACAGAATATTCTGTCAATTGATGGTCAACTAGCAATATTATCCCATTCAATTCAAGCAAATCAATGGAACACGGTAACATAGAAAGTAGCCATTTCAAGCTTTGAGCCCCGTCTGTCACCGAATCATCTTCCTCCTAAGCAAAATTGACATCATATAGAAAACATATCGGCAGAGCAATATATGCACCAATCATACTCTCTCAAGTTGTAAAAGAGCAGCGGGTTTTGTCAAATAACCAATAGGTGAGACTGCGGGACGCATTTGTCCGAGACAGTATCAGTTGACATACCCGCTGATTTAGTAGAGAAGGAAATCCAAGGAGAAGTTTGAATTATTCTATAACTCAGTCTAAGTACAAAAGAAATGTCATCAGCATGTTGAGCTGCATATGAACCCCCAAGCCACAATTCAAGCCTAGGCCAACCAAGCATCTCTCACAAAGGCAAGTGCCTCATCAGCAAAAGACTCCCATCTCTTCTCATCAAACTCAAATCCGTGATCCTCGCCCTTAACAGGATCATATCGCACAGAAGTCGCTGGCAACTTCTTAGCAACGAGATCAACAAACTTTTGAGAGCCACGGATTGGGACCGTCGAGTCATCGTCTCCATGCATGATCCACCTACTCTCGGTCAGCTTTTCTCTCTTATTTACCGTTGGGCCCGACTCACATTTGCTTGGGCAATTTAGCACCAGCTTCAATTCTTTCCAAAGGATGGAATTCCGTCTTGTCAAGGCCTTTGTTATCCAACATATGAGACGAGAAAATACCCCGCTGACAAGCTGCGACTGCGAAGGGAGTTCTCTCAAAACCAGCTCTTGATTCAGGTTCTTTGCGCGTCTTTTCAATCCAAGCTAGAGTGTCTTCCATGGATGGAATTTCTTCTAATGGCATGCGCAACACGGTTGGTTCGTCGGGGAGGGCACCTTCGAGGTAGAGTCTGTCTTTGGTGTCCAACAGAGGATACACGACTGCAAGAGAGTGGAAATCATCAGGGTGAGAGAGGGCCAGCTGAGTTGAGCAGTATCCACTGTTAAAGACATTAGTAATAAGTCTGGGCGCCCTGTCCAAGATAACTTACCCAGCTGATCCGCCAGCAAGAAGGACATGCGAAAAGTCAATAGAGTGCCCAGGAACCTTTTCCTTCAAAATCCCAGGCAAGGTATTCTTGGTCCACTGCCACCCATCTTCGACATCCTCAAGAACATCATCCAGACCATTCGCAGAAGGCAATAGTCTGTAGTCGGGAGAGACAATGATGGCAGAGTTTTGGAGCGCAAGTTTGTCAACCCACCTTGGGAAGAAAGGTCCAAACAAACCACTTCCCATGACGAGAAAGCCGCCGTGAATGTGATAGATGATTGGATGGTGGCCTGGCTTGAGGTTCTTGGGGATTAGAATGGCTGTTTTGATATCATGAGATGAGACTGTCTTGAATCTTGACGATGTCAGCTACTGATCCTATCGGTTTATGATTTGGCACTCACGTCTCTTCAATGAGGTTGTATGACTCAAAGACTGAATCGTCGTTCCAAGGAATAGACATGATGTTTGAGAGTGAAGTAGAACTTGAGTTGAGTGTAGAAGCGGAGAACTTGTTGAAGACTCGTGAGTTGATTCGAGTTCATTGTTCGAGACATGATTCTTGTATATATAGGTCATTCGACTTCACGTTAGCCTTGAGATTTCGAAGCGGATGTTTTGTCCCTTGTTAGTATTACGGCTTCCGTTGTTATCCACTTGCATGGCTCGTTAGTAATGCACGCTCCGCTGTCTTACACATTCAATTAATAAGGCGGAAGCTGATGCTCCGTCTCTAGTCATCATGCTCCACTTTAACGGAAGACCATGATCCGCTCACTGAGGTCCGTAGAACATACAGCATGACAAGTAAAGGTGAATAAAATGGCACAATCCATCATCTTTAAATGAATCATCTTCTTTCTCATATACTATCGATCGCTGAAAGAGTTAGCATAATTTATACAACCATCATCATCTCAAAATGCATCTCTCCTCCCATACCTGGATGCGTCCTGAGCCTCTCGAGCAGACCCTCCAAAGACTCGCCCGTCTCGGTTACGCCAGCATCGAACTAGCCGGCGAGCCCGACCAATTCCCCATAGATTTAACCCACCAGCTTCTTCAGAAATACAACATAAAATGCTGGGGAACCGTCACGGTCATGCACGGCAAGCGAAACTTGCTCGCCGCGGATCCTCAACAACGACGAGATACAATCGAGTACATGAAGCAAGTCGTCAACATGTCCGCTGAGCTCGGCGGCCAAATCACCACCATCGTTCCTGGAACCGTTGGTACTATTATCCCTTCTTCTACGCCGGAGAATGAGTGGAAGTGGGCGGTTGAAGGTCTTCGTGAAGTTGCGGCTTTTGCGCAGGAGAAGGGTATCAAGATTGGCCTTGAACCTTTGAATAGGTTCGAGACTTACTTTCTCAATCGATCGAACCAAGCTCTCGCTCTCGCTGATGAGGTCGGTTATGGCGTCGGGGTCGCCTTTGATCCTTTCCACTTAGCACTTGAGGAGAAGGATCTCATTGCAGCTATCCACGCTTGCAAATCTCGGATCATCGACTTTCACGTAGGTGATAACAACCGACTTGCACCAGGAGACGGATCGTTGGACTGGCCTAAAATTATGAAGGCACTTTCTGAGGCTGGGTACGATGGTGGTCTGGCTGTTGAGTTTATGCCATCGATTGATCGTACACCGGTTGGAGATTACGGGAAGGTTCAGTTAGAGACGGGAGAGGTTGATGTTACGCCTGATCAACTCCAGTTCATTATCGATCACGGGTCAGGATTGTTGTCTGAAACTTATTATACGGGACTTTTGAGGAGATCTGCTGAGACGTTGGCGCCATATGTTGAGAAATAAGCCATGGCGAGTCCGGGAGAATGAGCTCAGTCATCAACAACATTTTCTGTTCAAAAGTGCTCTGCAAATAAATGATAGCTTTGCGATTGAACTTGGGTATCATCTTATGCTAGTTGCCCTTTTATCTAACCGGGCCATGCCGTCTAATATTTTCGCCGATAAATGTACAGAAATTGATCTTCTAAATCTTTTTGCCCAACCTACTCTGGCCTCGCAATATCTTCTATAGCACCATTACTTCAGCCGAACAAAAGGTGTAATACCTTCTCAAACCAGTTACTGGGAAGCTTGTTAGCATTTCATAATTTTTGAATCAGTCAAGAGTACATACGCTGGCGGTTGAGGCACATAGTTTCTCTCATACTCCTCAATTGGAGCCAAGTTATGTCGTAGATCAATCTCAGTTGGCTTCAAGATCTTTGTTTTGTGCGCAATCTTCCATCCAACATAAAACACTGGGAACAATCCAACTGATGTGTACCTGGGGCTGTCAGTTGTATCCTCGTCACTTCGATATAGATACTTACGAGAACAGAAAGCTGGGAACATCCCACATCCCAGGTAGGAAAACAGTGTATCCTCCTACAAATACCATAATAAAAGTTGCCACGAGTCCGACGTAAGCAGCATATGGCATAAACCACGCGCGATAAGGCAATGTCGAACGATCAAAACCCTGCACCTTGGTCGCACGATGAAAGCAAAGGTACGTAAGACAGATGACGGAGAAGTTAATCAGCTGAGAGGCTGTGACCAAAGAGACGAACCAGCTCAGAACAACGGCTGAGCTGTTTGACAGCTGAAGGAAGGACAGCAGAGCGATGAGCAGAACGACAAGAACGCAGTAAATGGGAACACCTGTCCTGGTGCATATCTTCAGAAACCGCGGTGCTTTCCCTTCCAGTGCAAGACCGTACAGAGATCGTGTAGCACAAAACACGTAGGAGTTGCCGGCGGAAAACGCCGATACTAGAATCATGGCGTTGACGATATGCGGCAGAACCCGGATCCCAAGACGGTCCATGGCGATAACGTATGGTGAAGCAGCCGCTCCAGACTTGCCATCTCTGAAAGCAGCGATCATGTTAGGATCATCATAAGGCACTAGAATGCCTACGCAGAGCGATCCAAGCACGAAGAAGAATGTCAGCCGGTAAAACACCGTCTTGAAAGCTCGGGGCAGAATCTTGCGAGGGTTTTCGGCTTCTCCAGCTGCCATGGCGACATAATCGGGACCAGCGATCGAAAAGGCTGCTTGAATAAGACAAGCCAAAAAGCCAACGAATTTACCCAAGGCACCGTCGTAGTAAAGCTCAGCAAACGCTCCAGGACTTTTCCAGTATGTGAAGCCAAATGCATCTTTCTGAGGATTCCCACCAACCATGACAATAAACGTAAAAAGGATAAGACCAACAATCAAAATGACTTTCCCAATAGCAGCCCAAAACTCCGTCTCGCCAAAATACTGAATCGCCATAAGATTGATAAGCGCATACAACACAATAATCACCGCAATAGTCGCGGCAACAGGGATCGCATCGGTCCAGAACTGAAGAATGAAATGACAAGCCGTGACTTCAAATGGTACCAATGCAGCTTCGAAGATGAAGAAATTCCAGCCTGAGGCAAACCCGAGAGCTTCGTCGACGTAGATACCAGCAAATCGGACGAACGGAGATGAGATTGGCGTGTAAGAGACCATTTCGGCTATACACATTGTGATGGTGAGGACGATTAGACACCAGAAGGAGAAGGCGATGAAAAGACTTCCTGGACCGCCTTGCATTAGACCTTTGCCGATTTGGACCTGGAATAATGTTAGCCATTGGGTCAATTTTTAAGTCGGAGGTTCAGTCGTAGCGTTGAAGACAACTGTAACACATACAAAAAGAACAGTGCCAATCGTTCCTCCAATTCCAATAAGTTGGATATGTCGGCCCTTGAGCCTTCTATGCGTTTCATCGCCATAGACATTCTGAACTCCAAGCTGATCCTCATTGGCAATGTTTGGCGCTTCGGATTTAGACTCTTTTTCGGGATCGGGAATAGCAGCCATCTTGGTAAGAAAGTTGATGTCGCGTGCTCAACCAAAATGAGAAATGACAGTTTTTCGTAAAAAGGGAATAAAAATACCGCAGCCGAGGTTTTTTATTTTCCTACTCGTCCCCGTGTAACTTGGCTTTTTTGTGTGCCTTCACCCCATACGGAGTAGGCCGAGGTCTGCGGGGATGATTGGATCATTATCCTTGCGGGATCAACCCTTAAACAGAGATAGCTCGGGGGCGATTGCGGGTCGTTCTAGACTTTAACTCGCTCAGACACGTGAAATCGACAAGAATTGAATTGTAGAGGATGCGATTGGGAAAGCTTGGCGGTCTTGGGAGCTTTGATATGGGGTGATAAGATATCGGGTTGCCTGATGCGGTTTAGTGAGGCTGCTGCAAGAAATTCGAGGTCATGGGGTTGAAGTTGATACAGAGAGGTTCGAGCCGTTCATTGGGCGATGGCAGGTTACATACAACTGATGCAAGTACTGCTTCTCAACTTCTTGCGAGTTGAACTGGATAGACTGTTGTAGGTGACAGGCCACATCTAATGGAGTTCATATATAAGAACATTGCGGCTTTCAGACTCCAATACTCCACCTACGAATTGATATAAGACAGATGAGAAGCCAAATCATTGCCTTTATGAGCTACTTCAGCCTCAATATGCGAGTATACCAGCCACTTCAGTCCTCCAAGTCTTAACCTTGGCCAATGGCGGTCTCTTTCAAGCCTGTTCAAAGGACTTTTAGTCAGCTTGTTTCCCCGATTGACATTTATATTTGCGTTTGTCTTATTACAGAGATGGAAATGACATAAAGTCAGGTTATACTGCCGAGATCTTTCCAAAATGGTCAACTATACCAACCAAAATCACGCTGACGATAGTAACCATTCTCTATAACCAGGACCCAAGAACGACTCACCTTTCACCCGCGGGCCCCGAGCTTGCTGCTAAACTTCATACACCATGAGATCTGCTTTCTTTAAGGTTGCGGGGTAACAAGCTTGAGAGACTCTTTATAGTGCCTGGTCAACCATTAATACCACCCAAATTTAGGATAAGAATGCCGATGTATCCACCGTCACCCGCGGACACCGAGAAACACCAAATCCAGAGCTGTTTATAAGCCTTCACTGATCCACATCAATCAGAAAAGATGTAACAGACATATCTTAAGCATCTTTAGCGCATATTCGAAATCATGGCATCAGATACCTACATGGTCACTGGCGGTAGTGGCTTTATCGCCATTCATCTCGTCAATCAGCTCCTAACCGCCGGATATACCGTGCATACTACTGTACGCGACTTGAACAACACGCGAAAAGTCCAACCATTACGAAATCTACAAGAGAAATACCCCGAAAAACTGCATCTCTTCGAAGCAGACCTTCTCAAGCCAGGATCATTTGAACATGCTATGAAAGACTGCTCTGTAGTTCATCATGTTGCTTCTCCATTCTTGATGGCTGAGAAAATCAAGGATGGACAAAAAGAGATGGTTGAGCCTGCATTGCAAGGAACGCGAAACGTTTTAAACAGCGTGAACAGTATCGAAAGCGTCAAACGGGTGGTTTTGACATCAACTAGCAAGAATCCATCCTATCCCTGCAAGCCTACAGTCATTAACATAGCTCAGTTGGCGCCATTTTCGGAGACTACATCGATGTGAAGAGCATGAAGAACAACATCCTCCATGAGAGCTACTTCAATGAATCAAGCTCTGTTACTCACAATCCATATCACTATTCCAAAGTCCTCGCCGAGAAAGAAGCCTGGAAAATCCAGAAGGCTCAGTCACGCTGGGACATGGTTGTTATATGCCCCGGACTGGTTCTGGGTCCTTCACTCACAACGGGGTCAGATTCTGGAAGCCTGTTCTTGCTCGATGAACTATTCAGTGGACAGCTTTGGTTCGGCGTGCCTGATCTGAGTTTCTGCACTGTTGACGTGAGGGAGGTCGCCACAGCGCATATCAGGGCCGCAGAGACGGCGTCTGCGCAGGGGAGATACATTGTCTGTGACAGAGAGATGGTGAGATTCATCGATATCTCGAAGCAGATCCGCCCTCAAGCGAAACGCCGCTGGGCTCTTCCGCGTCATAAGCTGCCGAATCTACTGGTTCGAGTCGTAGGGCCTTTGTTTGGACTTACATATAAGTGGATGCGGGCGAATCTTGGAGTACGGTTTGAAGTTGGCAATGAACGTGGTATTAAGGAACTTGGGATCGTGTACCGGCCTCTGAGCGAGACGTTGAATGATCACTACAAGTCATGGCTAGCTCAGAAGGCACGTCAATGAGGGAGACGGGGTATAACTTTTATTTAGCAACTAGGTTTCTTATCTTATTAACAACTGGAAATAATACTATTTCTTTCATTTTGAACAGACTCTCCATTCTCGACTCATCATGAGTCCGCCTCAAAAAAAAAAAAAAAAAAAAAAAAAAAAAAAAAAAAAAGGGATCGTAAGTATTGTCGCTTATCGATTTTGCTTAGACAAAAGAAAGGTACCTAGTAGCTATTTAGGTGGAGCCTTGACGTTGCTGCCTTGAATACAGCTTCTACTTATTAAGTTATAGATATACTCATATCTAACAAAGGTCTGTACTTTCTAATTAATTCTCACGCCTTGTTTCTCAATACATAGACCATAGAGAGAGAGCAAGCGCAGAATCTACAAAGAATGTGTTCGTCAAAGCAGATCTAGGGTATCTAAGTTTCAGAAGCTGTTCGTCACAAAGCTCCGTTATGGCCCCACTTTGAGCTGGATCAGCTTTTCCCTCCTGACGTAACAGCCCAGTCCATCCCAAGCATTTCTTCTCCATCAACACTTTAATTGTGCTCCATCTGCAACATCATACCTTCAAGATGGACGGTCTAGATGAGTTCGAAAAGTCGCTGGCCGCTGAGAAGGCCGAGAGAGAGCGCGCAGAACGCGACCATAACGAAAAGCGAAACCGCAAACATAGGCATCATCATCGACACGACTCAGAGCGCGAAAGAGACCGGGATCGAGAAAGAGACAGAGACAGAGACGGGCAAAGACATCGCCATCGCCGAAGACACGACGAAGAGGATGATGGTCACCGACACAAGCGCTCGCGCCATGCACGCGACGACGAAGACAGCCACCGATCGCGACGGCACGGCGACGACCGGCATCGCAAAACAACAGACCCCAAGGAAGATCTCCCCATCCCCGACGAAGAGAAGCCAGCCAGCCAAGATCCAGTCGACCGATCAAAATCCCTCCAACGAGACTCTTGGATGACAGCTCCCTCCTCTATCGACGTCGACTACATCCACCGACCCGACAAAAACAAGTCACCACCTCCAAAACCCGAGCAAAAGCGTGTCGTGTCCAAGCGCGAGATCAACACCCATATCCAAGACATCAACGAGGGCAAGTCGATTGATGAACTAACCATTCCCACCGAACGAACTGTCAATTACACTTTCGGCGACGCTGGCTCTTCATGGCGCATGACGAAGCTCAAGGCTGTATACACAGCAGCTGAAGAAAACGGCCGTCCAATTGAAGATGTTGCGATGGAACGTTTCGGCGACCTGCGCTATTTCGACGATGCGCGTGAAGAGAAAGAAGAGATGGAACGACGCAAGATCTACGGTAAAGACTACAAGGGCCACGACAAGCCAACGGGCGACCTCTACCGTGAGAGGATGAAGAACCAGCGCAAAGACTCACCACCTCCCGAACCCGAACAAGGCACAATTATTCCCGACACGCATCCTCAATCGACCCCAGTGATGGACCAAACGGCCCTCAACCGTCTCCGCGCCCAAATGATGAAAGCCAAACTCCGTCGTGCCCCGAACGCCGCCCAACTCGAAGAAGAATACAACAAAGCAGCAGCGATGTTTGCTACAGCCCAATCCAACCCCGAAGCCGTCGTTCTTAGCGTAATGGACAATCGCCAACTCGCCGGTGCGCGTAACGAAGCGAAAGCCATCACCAACAAACGCGGCCGCGAGCGCGGAAACGTCGAAGAGAACACAGAAATGACGATTGACGATATGGTTCGCGAGGAACGTCGCACGAAGAACCAAGCTGGCGGTGAAGGCCTCCGCCTAGCAGAACGTATCGCAAAAGACGGCAAGTTCGATAACGACCTGGACTACATGGACGAAAACGCCGAGAAGCTCGCCAAGCGCCTTCACAAATCCGACATCAACCTCAAGAACATGGCCGTATCCGAATTCCAGAAAATGTCGCGCGCACTCGATAATTGTCCCCTGTGCCACCACGAGGACAAGAACCAACCGCCTCTCGCACCCGTAATCGCTCTCGGAACACGCGCCTTCCTCACCCTCGCTACCGAACCCGAAATCTCCCCCGGCGGCGCCGTCATCGCGCCCCTCGCGCATCGCTCGAATCTCTTAGAGTGCGACGACGATGAATGGGAGGAAATACGAAACTTCATGAAGAGTCTCACGCGAATGTATCACGAACAAGGTCGCGAGGTCGTATTCTACGAAAACGCAGCGCAGCCCCATCGGCGCATGCACGCAGCCATGGTCGCCGTCCCGATACCCTACGAAGAAGGCGCCACTGCTCCTGCGTACTTCAAAGAGGCCTTCTTGTCATCCGACGAAGAGTGGAGTCAGCATCGCAAGATCATCGACACAGGTGCCAAAGCGCGCGATGGCATGGGTCGCTCAGCGTTTAGACGCTGTATCGCGAAGGAGATGCCGTATTTTCACGTGTGGTTTACGCTAGATGGTGGACTGGGCCATGTTGTTGAAGATGCGGGTCGTTGGCCAAAGGGCGATCTTTTTGCGCGTGAGGTTCTGGGGGGCATTGTTGATGCGGAGCCGCATGTTATGAAGAAGCAAGGGCGGTGGATGAGGGGCGATCCTAGAGTGGAGGGCTTCAAGAAAGGATGGCGCAAGTTTGATTGGACCAGGATGCTTGCAGAGGGATGAAGTAATTAATTAAAAGGTAGACGTGAAGGTATCATTTAGAGAAGCTATCATTAAGCGTTGATATGTAAAAGACGTTACATGGGACATGCAGTCCTCGAGATTAATGTTATCTAAGAAACAAACGAGATGTCATACTCCAACCTTGGTCCCTCAACCAAACCAAGCATGAAGCCCGTCTCTCTAGGGTATCAAGACCGACCATCCGATCGGACAAGTATGTTAAAGTATTAATGTTATCGAACGAGCGTCCCTCGTCGCCCCCTTTCACGATCTTTCCTCCCATCTGCACCAGTAACCTTCATCCAATCCTCCCACTCTTTACTCATCTCCATAAGCACAGAGCCCATTACACTCGCGCTAGCCATCAAGCCGTGCCCTTCACCCTCAAGAACACGAACTTCGCAGCGCCGCATTGTCTTGCCGAGCCATTTTACGTTATCGACGGGGACGCGGGTATCTCTACTTCCGTGGTGGATGACGACGGGTCTTGTGATATCGACGTAGCGAAAGCCAATTGTGTGACGACGCTCGAGGCAGACGAGGAGATCGACGGCTGGATTTGCGCCTGTTGTGGCGAGTTCCCAAATGGCGTGTGTTAATCGGAGGTCGTAGGTCATTTGGCGTTCCTTATCTGCCATGGCATCGGCTGCTGCCGCGATAATATCTGAATCGCCTCTTGTACCTTGTGGAATGCTCATTCTGTCCATATTCTCGGAAGCATTGGGAGGTTCCAATTCCATGTCGCCGTGACCGGGTGACTTGTTATACACGTTCTCTTTATCCAAGCTCGGTGTAACATTGCGTGTACTTGCTGTACTGTCTCGACCGCCATTATTCTTTCGCTTTCCTCGTCGTGGTGTTTTCGGCAATGAGCTTGTAATTGAACTACTCGTCGCAGTCATGAAGCTGCTATTTGCAGCCTTGAGGATGGGCGTCGGGAGGGCTCGGAGGATTCGTTGCGAGGTCGGGATAGCGTTGGTTGGAGGGAGGGTTTGCGAGGTGCCGAAGACGTTCATTTGCGAGGGAGGGATCCATGGCGCGAGGAGGTGTATTCGACCGCGGATATGTTGAGGCATTCTAAGTGCTGTAGCGAGGGCATAAATGGCGCCGGCGGAGTGAGCGAGGATAGAGAACTTTGTGATCTTCAGGGTCTGACAAATAGCATAAACATCATCTGCAACAGTTAGTATATACTTCTCAATTGCAGGAAGGGACATTTACCTGGCCAACTCAGCGGCGTAGCAGTGCCATCAGAATAAGGCTCGCTATCGCCAACACCCGGTCGATCCGGGGTAATAAGCCGCAGCTTTAATGTCAGTGCCAGCTCATCATAAAATGCGGTGATATATCTCGTCAATCCCATTCCAACGCAGCAAAAGACTGCGGAACCCTCAGAATCCCCAACTTCTGAGAAGGATATAACGCGACCTGTTTGAGGATGTCGAATCTTCTGCGATAAACGTGGTGAGCATAAATAAGACTCGACAGCATCATCGACAGAGTCGGCGGATTGAGGACGCTCGTATCCAGCTGGAGCATGGCTCTGCACTGGCTGGGGACTTGGTGAATCGCGGGCTCGTTCGTCGATTTTGTGATTCAGTGGTGCAGATAGACGTTTTAGTCGGGAGCTGCTGCGCTTAACCTTGATGGCCTCATTTGGCGCTGGACTCTGTCGCCCAGATCGTCTTCGATCGTGGCGGTCACTGCTCTGATCCCGCTTTCGACCTTGAGCGACAGCAGGAAACGGCGCGCCCTCATCATCTTCGTCGCTGAAGCCGTCATTGACGTCGAGGAAGCTTCTGCCCGCCACGCTGGTGCTCTTTGATGGGGATGCATCCTTGAGACCATAAACCGGTGATCTGGTGGATGATCTCGACTGAACATGTCCAGAATGACTCTGTTTTCTTCGACTTGACTCCCGATCTCGAGTTCTGTGTTCCTCGCCTTCTGGAATCACATCATTAGTCGTACCATCCTCCCGTCTTGACCTCCTCGCGCTTGATCTCTTCTGCGGACCCGTCTTCGCAAGACTCGAGTTTCGCGCGGGAATAGCGCAAGGTGCATCCATCGGGCGTTCGATTGGCAGCTCGTAATGTGACTCTTCACGGATCGCTGTCTCAGCAAAGAATGGATCGCTACGCCCACCGCTGTGAACACTTTCGCCAGCAAGAGCACCAGAGGATGAAGCCGAGACTCCACCAGAAACTCTCTTCCTCTCGGCCTCCTTCTCCCGCAGACGCTCCTTGGAACTCATGTACATGAGGCCCTTTTGACTCCTCGATGTTTTCCTGCCCCAACTATCGTGCGATTGTTTATGGTTCAATTCTGGAGTCGTGGCGCCACGACGTTCGATCGAAAGGTTCCCTATACTCTGGGCATCATCGTTCTTCGACGCAGCTGAAGATCCTTTTGACGATGGTCGAGATGTACTATTTCGGATAAACGATCGCAGTCCACCGGAACCCTCGCGGCTTGGACTTCTCGGACTCCTGGGGCTCTTTGTCGCTGTCAAAGGTGAATAACCGCTGGGAGGTTTCGAAGTGCGAATGACAGGAGGTAAAGCGGCGAGTTCGTCGAGTGACACGGGGTCCTGTCTCAGGTCGTCGAGGCTAGGCTGATGAAACGCTCCGTAGTCCACACCAAAGCTACCGTTCCCGGGACTCGCGGGTAGTGACAGGCTCGTCGGAGGAGCTTCGAAGTGGTTTGTCGCAGGCTTTGAGATGACGCTGAGGCTGGTGATGAGGTTGGAGATGACTTCTGGACTGGCGGGAGGAAGACTGGAGTTGCGCTTTGACGAGGAGAGGCCTTGGAGAGAGCGTCGTCGAGAATGAGCGTGGTGATTGTGGGCGCGCGTAGGGATAGGGGGAACATCAGCCGAGTCAAAATCCATGGCTAAGGCGACCGACTCTAGGTCGATTTAAAGAAGTGGATGTCAAGGGAGGCAGCGGTCGCGATGCTGTGTCTCGCGATAGTGTCTCGCGCAGACAAAGGGTGGCGCGGCTTTCACCCTTGGAATAAGGGATGAGTAAAATGTTACGATGAGGGAGGATTCTCTTTGGGGATATTAGCTCGTTTGGTGGAAGTGGTGATGGTGGATCGCGGTGGCTGTACTAGGAATATTAGATTGAGCCAAGTGGGTTTATCTTCCGGTTGTCGCGTGGAAGAAAAAGAAGGGAGAAAGAAGGGAGGCAGAAAAAAAATAACAAAAGAGAGAGATCAACCCGTCCAGGATAAAGAGCAGGTTGGGTTGGGTAATAATTTGATGGTCGCGCAAATGGAAGTTGGTTGACGAGGAGAAGCGAAAGACAAAATGGGAGAGGGGACAAGGCTAAGCAAGCTAAGGGGGGATACAGAAACTAAGACAGGGACGGACAGCGGGCCAATCAATCAGCATTAGAACCCGAGACTCATATTCCAGCTGAGTTGTTTAGACTATTGCTACAGTCGAGAATAAATAGATGGAAAAGACAAGTCGAGATTCTGGGGGAGGAATGGTTTCAACATACCTGGGCTGGGGGCTGAAGGTGACCTGAAGTTACCCGACCTTAGGTACAGTACACCACGGACGCTGTCACCAACACGGGAGCGTGCGTCCTGACGGGAAGTACGCATGACCAAGAGTGACAAATCTCTAGACAAAAACAAGAGAGAAACGCTTCAGATCCGATTCTGTTTTGTTTATTGCTGTGCCTCTCTCGCGCTCTCTTCAGTGACAATCCACCCCTGAGTCCCCCTCTGGACCCCTGAAAGTTAAGTTTTCCCCTGGAGCTTATTCCTTTCGCGTTAGCTTTGAACCCTGCACCAATCCAACAATGAATCTAACATTCCATCTCCTCAGCATTCCAATCAATCTGTCTAGACTGTCAGTTTCACAATTTTAAACTTTAACTTAGCTGAAAGAGCATGTAGAATCTTTACTGAAGGGTTGGTTGGAGGTTTTGTGATCTGCGACGGGTAGAAGGGTCAATTAACTGGAAACTCCACAGCTCCACAGCGGATGTTCGTTTTAGACTGGAGCTGTCTGGTTTAGAGTAGACCAATTTCATCCAATTTGTTAGGCCGCGATGAGTGACATTTCACGGAGTATAATTGACTGTATAATTACCGGGAAAAGAGATGGAGATATTGCTGTTGATATTGTTTGTTTTTATTGCCAAGCATGGAACCATGGCCTTATTTTCTGGTCCTTGTGCTTATCTTTATCTCCCTTGCATCTGTCGGTACTGTACTCTGTACCTGCATCTGGGCTAACAAAGATGGTCTCAATTGCCGTAGCTCCAACTTTGCATGATCAATCTCTTCAAACATGCAGTTAACACGGTCCGACGCTGTAAGAAGAGAAATATCATCGAGATCACTGCATTTTAGGCTGTTTTCTCTCTCGTCTGCATCAAACTCCAGCAATCAAGAATTGTGGCTGACCATGCTTTAGCCACGTCTACGTCATTCCCCAGCCCCAGATCATCGTCCCAAATCTCCCCAGCTTCCAGGATAAAAAGCACCGCGACGTCATGCCAGTGAAACCATTCTCGTCCGTTGACTAAAATAACCCCCAGAAAATAAGCAACAAATCTCTCGTGGCATTTTCAATCTAAACTTTACATCTGCGCCACAATACCATCGCCAGTTAATCACTAACAATGGACGTCCTTCTCTCCCTCCCCATAATATCCTACCTCCTCTCCCCCGCCTCAGCATCATGGTCCACATCCCTCAACATCTTCTTCTTCTACGTCCAATGGACAACCTTCGTCCTAACCCACACGCCCTTCCGAGTGCGTCTCATCGGCTCCCTCGCAACGCGCATAATTCTATTTCTCATACCGTCGCTTATATCGTTACTCTTTGACACGGCGGTGCCAAGCATCGCTGAGTCGATCAAATTTGGCGGCCGTGCTTCGCTTGCCCCGCGTAATGCACGCTTGCTTACGCGACAGCTTGGTCTCGTGTTGGTGAACCTCTTGTGCGTGACGTTGCTTGAGGGCGCGTCGCATTTGGTGTTTAGATATGTCGTTGGTGAGAATGATTTTAATCCGACGGCGTTGTTGCCTTTGCCGTGGCAGTTGGCGAAACATTTGGTGCTTATGATGGCGGGGCGTGAAGTGTTGACTTATTACGTTCATCGCAATATTCTTCACTCAAAAGGCGCAATTGGAAAGCTTCACAAGCGCTTCAGTCACGCTCGATCAGCAGCGCCGTACAGTCTTCTCGTATTTGCAGATCATCCAATCCCCTTTCTTCTCCATCATTTCTTCCCAATGTACCTACCCGCCATCGCCCTGCGCCCTCACATGGTCACGTATTTCCTCTTCCTTGCGCTCTGCACGGTTGAAGAAACAGTCACCACGTCAGGGTACAGCGTCGTTCCTGGTATTATCATGGGTGGCATGACGCGTCGCAGAGCGGTTCATTACGCGAGCGGAGGCGATTGCAATTTCGGTGCCTGGGGATTTCTGGACTGGGCGAATGATACGGGACGAGGGAGGGATGTACTCGATGATGTGAGGGCTGAGGCGAAGAAACATAACGTCAAGGAGAGGTCGGCAGATAAGTTGGATAGCGGTGTGAGTGCTGTTCAAGGAGGGATTGACAAATTGACGAATGGAGATGATGGCGGCAAGAGGAGGAGTTCGCGATTGAGATCAAAACGCGCCGGCAATTGAATGAGGTCCATTCTTCCGATTGACATAAAAGTCCAGTCCCAGTAAATCACCCAACCTTCTAAGTGTACAAACTCCCATCCGTCCCATTGCTTGTTCCATCTATTTATACCCCATCTTCTTAGCAAACCAGTTCAGCGTCTCAATGCCGCTCTGTACTCTCATGCCAATTCTAGTGTCCAGTACAAACGCCTCCCATACCTTGGCGACATCCATTTGCTTCACACATTCGTCGTACTTCTCCCGTCTGTACGCCGCAATCTCATCTGCTGTGCCCTCGGGAGGATTGCAGCACTCTGACCATGCGATGGCGCCCTTTTCGTACACCGCTGCCGCGAGAACGTAGTCGTCCTTTGTCGGGCCCTTAAATGCGAATCTACCTTTGTTAGTCGACGTGATACAATGCGAAATGTGAAACTTGAACTTACCGGTCATATTTGAAGACATGCGCCTCCAATAAGTCCCTCGCCTCGACAAACTTCTTCTGGTTGCGGAACAACGACGCGCTGACGAGCGCCCAAGCTCCCATCTCATCAACCTCAGCCTTGATCTTATCCACCACCTCCGTTTTAGCAGTACATCTATCCCAGCTCATCCCCCCAACCGCCTTCTCAAGCTCAGCGGGTCCCATGCGCTTGATGGTGTTCCACATGTAACTCATCTCCAACGCGGGACTGGGTCCAATCGCATCAGCAAGATCGACGCCAAAGCTCTTAGCGCGCTCCTCCCACTTCTGTATCTTGCGCTGAACAAATACTTCAAAGGGTAATTGACGCGCCATAAAACGCTTCTTACCCGCTACACCTGGCGCCTTACGTAGGTATTCTTCTGCTTTGACTTTCTGACGACGTGCTTCATCTTTGTCCCCGGTGGTAACGGCGTCGCGGTACAGTTCGACGGAGGCGATGCCTGCCATGTAGTAGTACAGTGCGTGACTCCAGTCGTTAAGCTCGAGACATCGCATGAATGAATCGCGCATAAGAGGCCAGTCCTGAATTGCCATTGAATTGAGGGAGAGCTCAAAGTTATTGAGTGCTGTAACCTGTTTCATCTTGGACTCGCCGCCCGAAGTAAGAACATCGACGGCTTTGGGAAGGTCCCGTTCATTGCTGTGCAGTCGCGCCTCTTCAATGAGCCAGAGTCGCGAGTCGGGATATCGAGAGCGCATCGACGCGAGGAGTTTCTCACATTTTTCTCGTGGTGGCCCGACAATCTCAGCACCCTCGTCAAAATCCTTTGCGTCGGGAATGATGTCGACCGCGCCGAGGAGAGCGTTGTAGTAAGACAACAGAACAAGACCGGCGATGGCCCCATTGACGTTGGCATAAGCAGTGGAGCGCCAGAGCATACGAACACCGCGCTCACGATCACCACGGAAGCCGACAACGGAAAGAAGGCGAGTAAAAGCGGGGGGAACGAGGGTCAACATGAGAAGGATCATACCAAAGCACATGTTCGCACCAGAGTGGACAAAGATGTCTAGAGGATTCTCAAGAAGAACAGAGTCGGACTCAGTGGGCTTCGATCGAGCTTCACGCAGCGGTGCACCTTCATCGACCTTCTCATCTTCCGTGCTCGACGAGCTTGAAGAGTCCCCGTTCACAGGTGTTTGGGTACCAGAAGCTGACTCAATGTCAAGCTTCTCCATGCTTTTGTCCATCTCAGTAATTGGCTTAGTAGACAGCGACGCCTCAGAAGTTGATTGAGGCATGGTTTTAAGTGTTTTCGCCTCAGCCTCAATTATCGCATCAAGCGTCATGAATGCCTTGCGAAGCTTAAGAAAACTCTTCATTGCGTCGATGAGACTTTCGTGCAAAACACCCACTACAGCGCCCATGAGCTGCGTCTCCGCGCGAACGAGCTCGAATTCTGTACCGGGAGGATACAATTTGCTTCCCGCACGAGCTTTGCCATGCTTCTGAGCCTTTTTGTAGTCCGCCCAAGCTTTCGCTTCGCACTCATCGAGCTTGGTGGTTGTCTCGGTCATGACGGCCTTTTCAAAGCCCAGCACGGAGCGCATGAAGATGGTGACTGCCAATCCTAGCTGGTGAAAGGACGAGTCTCCCGTCTGCAGCTTCTCCCATGCTCCATCAATATCGTCGTTCATGATGAGGCCACACGATGCCATGGCGTCGTCAATGTCCTCCATCTCTCTGGCCATGTTATCCTTGGTGGAGATTGAGCCAGCATCGCTGTTGGCCTCAGTGGCAGGTGTCGCGGTCCCAGACCGGAACCAACCTGCTAAACGACTCATCGTGATGAATCTGCAGAGTCGAATTGACTGGGAAAGATTGTGATGAAGGGTATTCTAGTTATGTACGCGCGAATTGAAGCTGAGCCTCGAATGCTGACGTCTTAGGCTGAATGAGGGATCTTGAGCCCCTCTTTGTGGCGTTTACCCTGATGCTGACAGAAGAGAAGGGACCATCCGCTTCAGCTCTTGAAATAATAACATGCAAATGGACAATGCTTCCTAAGAATAAGGCTTATGGATAGGAAGTGAGAGGTCTTTGAGGTTGAGTGAGAGAAAAACCACTCGTGTTGTTGAGATCAAAAATTCAGTTCCAGCATAGCTTCTGCTTGTGCAGGTAAGCTAAGCCTGCTACTAAGCTACCTGCCCCCACCATATCCGCGGAGTTTAGGCGGGCTTACGCATGAGCTCGGGGCCAATCGGAGCGTGAGACTGACATCATCAGTTGTTCATTCAACTCCAACTTGGGATAAAGATCTCGCGTATTTATCCAGGTAGAAGGTTACATTCACGACGATTGAAGCCTTTTTTATTGCTCTTTTCCTTGCTTGAAACTTGTGTCTCATGGTTAAATTCATGAGTGTTTGTTGAATGGATCCTATCTTATCTCCGTCTTTAACAATCGCCACGTAAGGTACCTACCCTACCCTACCCTACCCAACGGATATCGGAGAACAAGAGGGTCCGCCGATTTTATCGACGCCGGCTTTTTCGGATACTCGGAAAGGACGAGTTTCCCGTGCTTATTCTATCGATTACTGAAGCAATTGCCAATGATATTCAAAAGCTTAGTGGGCTGAACACTTCATGCATGAACTCCGATGCCTCCGCTGTGTTGAAGTTGCGTCATTCAGCTTACGGTTGGTTAAGTTCCCTGGTTTCGTTTCAACTAAGAATATCTGTGTGCGTCTTCATACTCATCAGGCGAAACTATAACTTTCATGTAAAGGTATACTACAAACAAAAATAGAGTTATCCACGCTACCAGATCGAATATTAATCAAAAGAAGTTAGTATTACTACATCTGTCTCTGAATCGGCAGAAACTACTCTTCTAGGGGTGAACCGAACCACGAACTTGAAATCAGGTTGGACAATAGCTTACGCCCTTATATTAGATATCATTATCTATCTGTTGTCTGCCGAGTTAGTTTCCACAAGAGTCAAGCTAAGCACAGACTGCTGTAATATAGGAATGCTGCATGGTTGTTGGGTTTGGCTTTCTTTCTCGTCCCTCCTTGGATTGAGTTTAGTCTTTGGCTGGGATGAGCGTCAGCTTTATCATAGCGACATGGAAAACTTGAAGAGGGAAAAGATGCCGGCATATATATGCCAAACTATCTGTAATAGCATCACTTATACTTCTCATTGTCAATCAATCCACTGAACAATAACACTGTCAATAGGCAAGCAACTTGCAGACACAACTGGACTCCAAAACCTTCTCTGATTTTGTTTAAGGTACACGATGAAGCTTGCAGCTATTGCATCAACATTTATAGGAGATGAACCTTTTTACGGCGAGCAAAAAAGTAAGAGCAGCTTGGAGATGTCTCATCTAGAATTATGATCGCAGATTCAGATGAAGGACGTCACCAGCTCAAGATGCGCAGCGACACTGAGAGTCCGAGAGAGGCTGAGTTGTTCCGGAAATACCTCGCAGTGGACGCCCATATGGGCGATGCAAGTGCATTTAACCAAATACAGCTAGCCGAAGTCGATCGTTTCGACAGCTGAACATCCAAAGTCGAGCAACTTCTATTCTTAGTCATGACTAGACACATGAACGCTATGAAAATACTTGGTATATGAAGATATTTATCTATGAGATGAGAACTCAAGCTGCTGTGAAACTTGTCAAATTAAACAGCAGCCTCCCAGCTTCTTGGTCAAATACTAAAGCTCCCAAGTCTCCGGACCGAGAAGGATCGCGACAGGGATCATCAGAACCAATCACACGAGCGCTAAGTCAGATCCCCCAACATCGCACGCATTGGTGAGACCGAGCCAGACGTGAATTCGAGACATATCAGAAGAGGGAAACTCACTTCTTTGGGTATTGCAAAGGCCATTGAAAAGTTGATTTCCTCCGTCTATGCGAGGTCGAGGACCTGCGCGGCACGAAGGTTGAAGAAAACTTCATCTAGAGTCCAATATGGTGAGCTGAGTGAGATGAAACACCTATGATAGGGTTGTCGATCCTAGGGTCTTGAAACCAGGGGGCTAAGGCACCGAAGGAAGCGGGCCTCTGATTGCACCGGACCATTGAGTGATGATCTTACTGCCGTCTTAGCAGGGATTCTCCATGTTGATGTCTTATGTTCTACTGACGAAGAGGTCGACATTTGCGTCGGCCTAATGGATACTTCGAGGGGTTTTTTTTTTTTTTTGAAAGTAACGGTGGAAAGATGCACATCTTGAACATCACTGCATGCTGTAGGTATATGGTCATTAACGTAAACAAGACGATGGCTTCACTCAGCATACATAGTCCCCAACCAACTACACAACCTGATGATAATGGGGGCCAATATCTGTCTGACACACCGAGCCACTTACTAGCGGAGACTAGATGAATGACAAGGCTCATTCCCGCTTCTTAATTAAGGACATGTGCAGGATGTCGATCCTTGTCTGTATCAATTGCGCCCACCGGTAGAAGGATCAACAAGTAAGCTATAAGATGACATAACCCGCGGTGTCGCGTGTTGTCTTTTCTTTGCTCCTTTTCCTTCTCTGCACCATACAGTTACGCTATGACACTGTCAAGCATGACGACTCGTCGATTACTTGCCATACTGGCATTTCTATCTTTCCAGCAGATAGCTACAGCTGCATTCACGAACCCGCCACCGAGCGACTCCAGCATTAACAACCCGCACTATAAGCTGGGAGAGGAGATCAAGATCACATGGGAGACAGATGCAGAGTTTACTGATCTTACCATGTGGCAAACTGACACTGGCAAGAGATACAACTTGCAATGTAAGTCTACGAAGAGCAAAAATAAAGCCATATGTTAACTTGGTTGCAGCGAACAGCAAGTCGAAGGAGTATATATGGATCGCGTCATATCAAGGAATCGACCCTGCCGACGGAAACTCATTTAGTCTCTGGCTTTTCAAGACTGGCGATACAGGTGCCCTTTTTGCGAGTCATACATTTAACATCACCGATCCCTCGTCAGCAACAACTTCAGCGCCTACGGGTACACGAACAAACAAGCCGAGACCTAAGACAAAGACCTCTGACGAAGCAACTGAGATGACTGCCGATGATGCCGCCACTGCTTCAGCAACAGATGGACCCTCTTCGGGGTTATCGACTGGTGCAACTGCTGGAGTAGCAGTAGGTGCTGTTGCTGGAGCATTTCTTATTGCGGGCGCTGGTTTCATGCTCTGGCGAAGACGACGGGCTAACAAGGCTGCACCCTCCGCGATCGTGGTAGAAGATGGGCCGAAATATGGATATGCACCAGTGGAGGCACCGAACGATAACGCTGCGAGACATGGACCATGGGAAATGGGAGGGTCGCCGGCGCATTTCACGCATGAGCTGCCAGCAGACAACACGGTAGTACAACATCGAACATAAACGGAGACAGGAGCGCGGAGTTTGGATATATACCATCTATTTACTGTTATTTATAGAAATATTATGAGTTTGTGATCATATTGTATCTTCTTTTACTGTTTCCCTGTGCTATGAGCTTCAATTATCCAGACTCAACTTGATAGAGAAACCAAGCGTCTTCTTTCCAGTCATATCATAGTCTGGATCATCTGGCACATTCAATCCAAAGAAATCAACTAACTTCTCCCATATACTCTCATAGTTTGCCCCGATCCGCAATACACGCTCATTATCAAGTCCAAGATAGTCCCAGCCCTTCCATATAAGTGCCACTTTTGCCGACCATAGTCGACTACCAGATCAGCTGCTTCAACAATCTCGGGTTCAATGTCCTCAACTCGAAATTTCTGCCCTTGATCCGTCAAGTTGGCACTGCTGCCCACCATCACCAAACCATTCTCATCGTCTAGCCGCGCAAGTTCACATGAAAAAGGACCTTCGCCAGCGGTGAAACCCAAAGTGCCGTTCGTTACAACCCGCTCAACATTCGAGATGAGTTCTGCCGCTGACTCTTTCATCTTTCCAACGAAAGCAACCGTCAACCCTAACTCTTCCGTAAATATTCGAACGATAGTGTATTTGCCATCTGGGAGATCATATAGTCGCGTGAGAAGGTCGTATGTTCCGATGACGCCCATGGAATGTCCTTCTTTACGCTTCTTGACGATAAAGATACGCTCGATTGCATCCAAGTTTGCGGCCACAATAACGTACCCGACATCTTGTTGGGGCGTTGATGACGCTGCCATCTTTCAAAACTTCGAAAGCCCTGAGAGCGTCACGTTTTGCGTCTGGAAGCTCGTCGGGTCTTGGTGTCACTCGAGGTGAGGTATCGCTAGTAATTGCATTCATGAAGCCCATAGTGTCAAGTACAGTGGTGGGAGAGAATCGTGATATTTCTATGATCTTTGTGGCCCAGCATGAATGAAGATCACATTTGAGAAGCAAGCGCTATTCACTTAGCTTATATGTTGGAGCGATTAGGCCAGTCATGTGATAGCAAAACGTTCTTTCGGCTAGCATTTCGACGAGTCTCACGCCGGAACTGACGGCATGCAGATCAATTTTTCACGTCTCTTGGTAAAACAACGGTACGCTATGCTGCCATTCAACAAAAGGTCTGATCGTTTCAAAAGGCCTTACTGCCATTGCTTGTTAGGTTTCTTCCATAACCAGAGCAGCTGTTAATTACAAGAGCATATTTTAACCTCTTCTTATAGCATTTATACGAAGGTAAGTCGATATTCACATTACTTATAGACTGCAACGTTAAGCTCAAGCCCACACACATATCACCGAGGAGTCTTCAATTGCAATCTAAAACAAAAGGGAATACCCAGTATTTTATCTAAGTCTCGAGAAGTTAACATCCAAACTCCGAACGCCAACCATAGACAGGAAACGAGATGAAAATAACAAACTATCCAGCTCTCTGCCTTTAGCCACCCATCTCCATCTTGTTTTGCATCCGATCAGCACGCTTCTGCTCCGCATGGGCCTTGCGATAGGACGCAATTAACTCCCTCAGATTCATAGAACCTTTAAGAGGACGCGCCTCGGCATGGATATCTTCATCCTTAGCTGGTGAGCCTTTGGTCTCCTTGACATCGATGCCTTCCTCAACCTGTTCTTCCGGACTAACCTCGTCCTCCTGGGTAGCTTCAGTCTCAGCCATCTCGTCAATGATGGTATCATCAGTTGAATCCTGGGCCTCAACAGTTTCACCCATAGCTTCGGCAGCCTCCTGAGCCTCCTTCTTCTTCATAATAGCAATCCAACGCGGCAAGTTCCTCTTCATATATCCCAACACCAAACCCTGCTTCTTCTCCCAGTTATACGGCCAAGTCTCCTCCCAAGGAACTTCAGCACGACGCTCAGAAAGACGCACCAGGTCATTTACATCAACACCTATCTCGAGAAGCCTCTGCACCGCAGCATCGTGCTGGGCAGGGTCATGGGTCTCTAGATGGTTAATGAAACGGATGACCTGACGGGCGCCAAAGCTAGTGTTTATGATCCTCTTGCGACAAGGCTCGTAGTCTGTGTGATCGATAGGGTAGGCAGAGGCTTTGGAGAATGTGTGATCCTCTTCTAGCTCAATGGGGGTAGGGAGATGGAGAGAAGAGTGGCTGCTTCCACTGGTGTTTCGGCTGTGAGAAGACATGATGGTTGATATTGTTAAGAGTTCTGTTGCAGTGAATTCAAACAGTATCTGCAGTTGTTGATATGAGTGTAGTGTCGGAGAAGCGTGTTGATCTGGATTGATTGTAGGAGTTTGAGCCGTCCTTTATATCAAGAAGCTCTTGTAGATATGCTCTTTGTTCAGTCAAGCGAACAACCTGCAACCAGCACAACTGAACATGCGAACGAGACGACGTAGGTAATCGGTGAGAACAAGGACTCTGTTCCTACATGAAAACAAAGATGGAACAAAAAGAACATTGAAAAGACAAAGAGAATGGTCGTAGATTTTAACTAACGGAAGTAAAATATTTGGACAACACGAATCATCAAATAACCTCAGAGAAGGAGTAACAATGGAACTTCACATCTCAAAGCAAATCCTTGATGATGTGATTACTTCAATACATTAAGTTGGTATGAACCTGCTCAAGATTCATTACGTATGAAAGCAGCTAAATGAGTCCTATTACAAGATCTAATATATTTGCGACGTACGTAAATATCCGGTATCTGACTCAATACCGTGAAGCACTTCGTTACACAAGATCACTCTCCTTCACCAAAACATCCCGATTCACCTCACTAATATCCCTCAGTCCAGCCAAATGCATATTCATAGTCAAATCACCACACAGCGCCCTCAAAACATGTCTCACACCATCCTCACCACCCAACGCCAACCCATAAGCATAAGGCCTTCCAACAAGAACGCACTTCGCCCCCAAAGCAAGAGCCTTCATGATATCAGCACCACATCTGATACCACTGTCGAAGAAGATATCAAGCTTATCCCCAACAGCGTCGACAATACGTGGAAGCATACCCAGACTGCTTGCTCCGCCATCTTGTTGGCGACCACCGTGGTTGCTCACCACGATTCCCTGAACACCGACCTCAACGCACTTCTTGGCATCGTGAACACTCTGGATTCCTTTGAGAACAATAGGACCGTCCCAGTGCTTCTTCAAGAACTCAACGTCTTCCCATGAATGGGAATGGCCTGGGAAAACAATCTTGGCCCACTCTCTTGCCGCGTCACCAAGGCTAGCGCCAGCTGATCCGCCTTGAGCGGCCTGATAGACTCCACTGGCTGCATCGGTGATATCATAACCGTGCTTTTCCTTGAACTGCTTTTGGAAAACAGGATCTGTCAGACCGATTTCAACGCCAATATGGTCTGGGTGGATGAATGGGTTATAGCCGTTGTCCAAGTCACTAGGACGCCAGCCGAGGACGTAAGTGTCAAGGGTGACGAAAAGGGCCGTGTAGCCGGATGCTTTGGCGCGGTTGAGCATCGAGATGGTGATGTCGTCGTGTTCGCGGCTTGGCCAGTAAAGCTGAAACCAGCGAGGTGAGCCTTTGCCATTCTCTGCTGCAACATCTTCGATACTGGTGCTCGAAGCTGTGCTCAGAGTATATGGAACTCCAAGCGATGCAGCGGCCCTAGCAGTAGCGGCTTCTCCTTCAGGGTTGAAGATCTTCTGAACTCCAATAGGTGCAATAGCCAGCGGGAATGGAAGCTTCTGGCCGAGAACAGTCGTAGAAGTATCAGCGAACTGCTCATTACCATTCTTGTCCTTGCGGCTAGGCACAAGGCGATTCGGAACGATTGACCAGCGAGAGAAAGCAGTCAAGTTGTTCCTGTAAGTTGAGCCGCTGCCACAATTCCCATGAATGTACCCCCAAGAAGTTGCCGAGAGAGTCTCTTTAGCCAAAGGCTCCCATTGCGAAGTCTGAAAAGTAAATGCAGGACGAGCAAAATGAAGACCTGCGTCGAAAATGGATTTCTCGTAACCGAGGACGTCAGCGCTTGGTGAAGCCATGATTATCGGGAGTAATTGCTTGTTGGTGTCTGTGTCTGTAAGCTGTTGAGTAAGACATGACTTCATGCAAATGCGACTCTTGTATTATATATTTTTCTGGCATGTTTCTGACCTCGGTTGTCGTGACCATTGCATCACCGTAGATTGTCACAGAACGTCCATGGCGTTCAGCCTTGCAAGTAACGATGATGTAAATAAAAGCGGTTCGATCGGATATCTCGGACCGGACAACTGCCCGCTGCATCGGCTTTCCGCCGGTCGTCAACTTCAACGGAGGCTAAAAATCCGCGAAAGAGCCGCTAAGACGCTAGTCTTTTGAGCCTCATTCGACATGACCTTTTATTCTTATAACTCGTGAATATTAATTGTGTATTTCCAGGTTTTCAGTCGAACGTTGTGTTGTAAACGGTCCGACTGACATGACGTATTGGGTTCGATGCAGATAACGGATCCGACAGATGGAACTGGGACGTTCTGGGAGTCAATTGCACATTTTGGGAAGTTACTGAGGTCAAGTGAACTAGATCTTCAACTGCGATGGTAACGTTCCATCTGGCCACGATCGTTATTTTGCGCTCTGATTACGACTTTGTCTCGGCGGTGGGTGAGAAATTAGCTGATCTAGTAAGTACTGGAATCAAACCCGAACAAGTTGTCAAAGACCATCATATCCTGACCCATGAGTGCCTCATTGCCCGCACCGTAATCATTGAAGTCAGGTTGAGGCACCCCGTGCAAAAGCGGTACAAAGTCGCTCTCTGTCAAAGCAGGAGCCTCGAATACAAAGCTCTGTATTACCTGGTCGATATCAAAGTCGGAAAGCTCCATATCGGAGAAGTCGACCGCCGTGTCAGGCGTTAGCTGCTGCATCATTGACATGCCAGGGACTTGGTAGGTGATGTCAGGGACGACCTCAGCTACTTCAGGCATGCCAACCTCCCCCAGGTGACCATCTTGGCAGCTTGTTGGTTCTATCGCCACAAACTCCCCAACGTTTACTCCCAAACGGTTCATAATACCCAGAAGAATCTTCATCGTCCGTTTCGGGGCGTGACACCACGTCTGCTGTTCAGACAAAATCTCCAGGCAGTTTTTGAGACATACATGCGCCTGAGAGCCCTGGCCTTTCTGCGCAGCCATACGCACGTGAATCGTTGCACTAACGTATGTGGCATACGAGATAAAGTAGGGCGCTGTCCTGAAGCAAAAGTGTTGTTTGTAGAGTTGTAGGATCTGATGAATCTCTATTGCTGCTGTCACACAGTTAAAGAAGGCCTCGGGTGCGATTGTTGTAGAGACAGATGTTAAATGTCCTTCGGAAAGAAATGGGCGGTAGATCAGAATGATCAGTGAGTTACATAATGCCCTGCTGTAGTCAGTACGTGAACAACAAAGCCAAATAGCAAACTTACATCAGCGAAAGATTATGTGGAAGAATGTTAGAAGAGGCAGCATCGTTGAGATCAACTCTCAAATGATCCGGCAATCCATCCTTCCAAGATTGAAGATCGTGTTGTAGTGATTGCGCAATCTGCCATAATTCATCGGCACTCTTTGCGTCGTTCTTTTCTGCATAAAGAGCACAAAGAATCCTGTCCATGATGAGACTGAGCTTGCACAATTGCTCAAACGTAGAGACACTATATGTCGGACAGTCCAACTGAGCTGGTTGAGCAGAATATGTCCGAGTGTGAAAATCCTCCAGTTCGTCATATTCGTCAAGAAATACGATTGGTACGCGATTATCATGCTCTCGTAATCGAGTAGGTCGACCTTGGTAGATGGACTGGACTTTATCCGAGACTAGAAATATTAGATATCGTACTTATTCTGCAGCTGTGAAGACTTACTGAAGGTTGCCCAGAAGACACGACGCTCAATCTCCGTATCTTCAGCAGATGCTTTCTTCGAAGATCTCCGAGCTGGGCCATCGATGTGCAGTCCAAGATCGATTATCATACTGATCGCAATACCCAAATAATGCCACGAAAGACTCCTCTCATTGCACCAAGAAAACAGAGCATCTGCAACTACCAATAGTGCCTGTATGGTAGTTATCTCACTCTTGAACAAGACCTGCGAGCCGCAAGCATGCAGAGCCTGTTCAAACTTGTTACGATACGGACGTCCGATGGAGTTTAGTTTGCCAGTATTTCGAAGGGCAGCTGCATCAACTGTATTCATCGAACCAGCAAAGAGCATCGCTCTGAGGAGGAGATCGGAGTAGTAAGGACCACTGCATGCCATATCGCGCATGAAGGTTGGTCGATAGACGATAGAACCCATGTAATGCTGGCGGTTCCAAAATTTGGAGAGAATATCCATGCCGACTTTTGGGTCGACGTCACCAAACTTAAGCTTTCCCGCCCTCATGTTAACCTTTTCAAGTTGACCTGATCTGATTGAGCGTTTGATTTTCAGGGCAATGTGGTATGCACCTACGTTGCCTAGTTGTCTCTGCCAGAAGTTGATTCTTCTTGGCAATATCGTCGGAGCTGACTGTACCACGAGTCGAGTCTTCGGCTGTTCCTACATCGATTGCACCACTGGAAGGGCCGTGGAAAGCAGCACCCTCGGGTTGCCCGGTCGTTAAATGGCAAGAAAGAGAGACAGGTTCAGCCTTTGCTTGATGAGCCTGACCATTGATGCCGTCTTGCGTAGGCACAAGTTCAATGGGAGTTGGTCTATCAGCTAAGTGAATTTCTCCTTGCTGGGTATCAGAGTGGACGCTCTGCTCCGGACTCCTTAAACACAGCTGTTCGCGTAAACGGGCATTTTCCTCCTCCAGTTTATGTATGCGCGCATTAGACGGTCTGAACGCCCAAATCAAATTAGCCATCAGCCCTCCACGATCGCACAACAGTCTTACCTGGCTTGAGCTGTTCTTTGAGAATACGTACACTCAATAGCCCGACCCTGGCAGTTTTCACACTTTGGCTTCGCGTTATCGCAGCCTAACTGGAAGAAATCAGCGGAGATGACAAAACACTTAGTGAAAGTATGGTACCTTTCGCCTTCTGCAGAAGTCACATGCGGCAGATGCACGCTGGGATCGACGTTGCGACGTTTTCATACGGGCGGCGGATATTGACGGGCCGTGGTGTTGAAGGAAGATGATGGTCCGCTCACAAGGGAGGCGAAGGTGAAATAGTTTGGAGATGACATAAGCGGACAGACACTTCCCGCCACTCCACCATTTTGCTTAGAAATTGAGGCATAATCCCTCTTGATGATTGTACAGACATATTCAAATACTCATTTGCATTCTTTGTCATTGTCACTTCAAAAATTGCTTTTACACGGTGACGACTCTTCAAGACGTTCTCACTGTAGCCCAAACTCTAGAAATCATGAGTAAGCCATTGCTTGAAAGTGTTTACGTTACATACTACGGCGTTCTTTGTCTAAAAGAACTCCAAATGCTTCTAGTGCTTTATTCTATCAAGTTAAATTGGAAATAAAAGCCATAAAGCTGATATCTTGTATGGTTTATGAGATTCCTTTATCGCTGAAACACAAAACCATTAATGCCTTTCTAATGCTATAGGTTAGTTGATTCTCCACTTAGCCGGTGCTCGGCATATCATGGGAACTAGTGCGAATATCCTCGGCTAAAACAGTCAACTGGCCATGGCTGACTGAGATTTAAATGTGACCAACCCGTGGACGGTGTCTGTCTAAGACAGTTGATGAACTGACATGGCAGACTTTTCGTGCTACGATTGGGTAAGCCCAGAGTGGCTTGCCCTCGAAGCATCCTTACTCCCGGCACCAGTGCCAGAATTGCCAATCCCGGAGATGAAGAGGTTGGCAAACCAAGAACGAGAAGCCATCGCAAGAAAGTCAATGATAAAACTCGCGCCTCAATTACAGATGCAGAATCATAAGATTCCCTCCCGCGATGGGAGTACTATACTAGCACGGAGTTATCGACCAGTCAACGCACCAGAAGAAACCTTACTCCCGCTGTACATTCACTTCCAGGGCGGCGGTTTCATGGTCGGCACACTGGACGCTGAGGATGCGATATGTGCACGTATAGCTATAGGGTCAAATGTGGCGGTGTTGAATGTAGATTACAGACATACGCCTGAATTTACGTATCCGACGCAGTGGAATGATGCTGAAGATGCTTTTGATTGGGCTCACGATAACATGGATATGATGTTCTGGGACCCGAAAAGAGTCATTATTGGTGGAACATCAGCTGGTGCTTGGATCGCTGCGTCTTTCACATTGCAAAAACATCTCAATCGAGCAACAGAGCGAAGACCTCCCATCGCAGGCCAGGTTCTCATGATACCCTGTCTCGCACACCTCGATTGCTACGAACCGCAGCTGAAAAGGATGAAGCACCAATCTATCTCATCTTACAAGACAAACGTGTCAGCGCCGATGCTATCCGTCGAAGAACTTCGCTGGTTCACAAGTCTGCTGAACATCGAGAACCCAAATGTCAATGATCTGAAGATCAACCCGGGTAATGCAACGCCAGAACAAGTTGAAGGCATGCCTCCTACTGTACTTGGTGTAGTAGGCCTGGATCCTCTTAGAGACGAAGCACTTCTCTATGCTAAGATGCTGACAGAAGCTGGGTGAGTAGCTGATATTGTGGTTTGTATGTTGGACGGTGACTGACATGATACAGTGTTCCAACAGACGTCAATTTGTTCTTGGGGCTGCCGCACGGGTTTAGATCGCACGAGGAGAAGATATCGGCATCTGATCGATGGGATCAAGTAATAGAGGATGGTGTTGGTTGGATTTTATCTGGACCTTCGTCTAGCGAGTTTTATATCAAGACATAAATTAGAGAAGACATCTAAGACTATACAGAATCATTTAAACCTTTTTAAATTGACAACTTGGAGTAGTGAAAAACAATAATTGCTATCTTTCTTGGGTTGCTTGATCTGCTTCGGACAGATCTTGATGAGGTTGATGTATAGACTGAACATAGATATATAGCAATCATTATTCAACTCTATTCTTGTGCCTCTATGTAGGAATACACAATCTATCAGTCGCTATTCAAACGCCATTCAATGCAAGCACATTAACAGAGAAACCGATAGACCTTTTTCCACTTGGGCCAGCCATGTCGTTCTTCCCGCTCTTGCTCCGCCATAACGTGCACACGAAAATACCTCCGCCCAGTCACAACATCCATATCAGGTAGCCGTACAATCTGCGTACGATACCAAAGTTTGTGACATACATAAAACAACAAGATGATGGGTATTGCAAGAACTTTTAAGAAGAAGTTCTGTGTGAGTCCCGATGCGGTCCTATCAATACCGGGCTCTTCAACAGGTGAGACGGCAATCCAAATCTGAGAGATCAAGATAAGGATGTACCCCACAAAGGCAAACCACGCTCCTGCGACACCAACATGCGACTTGAAGGGCAGTTGTTCTAGAGTATGCGCATTGTAATACCAAGCCTTTCGAAAGCGGATATAACACAAACAGATACTCCCCCACGTAAATAAAGTGCTCAATGCACTGATGGAGAGAAGCCAATTGAAGATAGAGTCGTGAAAACTAACGTCCGCAAGAAACGCGAGTAGACCGATGCAAGATGCGAACAGGATTGCCATGAGCGGACGCCCTTGTCGATCCACGTACGCAAAGATTTGCGGCGCATGCGATTGTTCAGCCAAAGCAGCTAAAGTTCTCGACGATCCAAAAACAGCTGAATTCCCAACACTTATCACCGCCACCAAGATAATTGCGTTCATTATACTCGGAAGCAAAGAAGTCCCTGCCTTCTCTATCGCAATTACAAACGGACTCGCCGTAGCGTCCGCGACGTTATCACCCCCGACGAGTCGTTTATCATCAGAAGGGACTAATAGCCCAACCAGCAGGAGCGCAACGATGTAAAATATCGTGATACGCCAGAAAACCTGCTTGATCGCCGTCGGTAAAGATTTTCGTGGATTAGCTGTCTCGGCGGCGGCGAGACCGATGAGCTCTGTGCCCGTGAAGGAGAATGCAGATGTAACGAGGACACTGCAAAAGCCCTTGAAGCCGTTGTTGAAGGGCCCTGGGTTACGCCAGTACATGCCGCCGATGTAACCGCTCTCGGGCTCCCCGCCGACATTTATGACGATGGCGAGTAATCTGGACCGTCAGTATTGGGATCAACGGGAGGGGAATTGACGTACATGAAGCCAACGATGGCGGTGATCTTGATGAGAGAAAAGATAAACTCAGCCTCGCCATATGTCTTGACGCCAAAAAGGTTGATAACAACAATAGCGAAGAGAAATATAGCGACGAATATGGATTTCGTCAGATCCGGATTCCAGTATCCTATCGTGAACGCCCCAGCGATGATTTCCAAGGGTAAAATGAACAGCCATTGTAAACAGTAACTGCAACAGTCAGTAAAAGCAAATCAGAGATTTTCAGTCAGCTTACTTCCAACCCATAGCAAACCCCCAAGACGGATCCAAGAACCTCGTCGAAAACGCCGAAAACGAGCCCGCGATCGGAAACATGACGCATAGCTCCCCAAGACACTGCATCGTACAATACTGCATCGCCCCGAGTAGTAAATACGAGATCAACAAACTCGCTGGTCCGCCTCTGTAGAGCGATGCACCCGATGCGACGAACAATCCAGTTCCTACCCCAAAAACATCAGCGCTAGCCGAGATTTGCCGAGATGCAAGGTAAGCTTACCAATCGCACCGCCAAAGGCAATCATTTGAAGATGTCGACCTTTTAATTCTCGCGCAAGTGCTGTATTCGCTGTTTTCGCATTGGCGGCGCGTAAGTCGTAGAATCGCTCTGGTGCGTCGGTGGGATGGTAGCCTGGAAGGGGATCTGCGCGTCGGAAGCTATGGAGCCATGATGTCCGTGGTTTGTGAGCGCGTATACTCCATGACGAGCCCATTTCTATATTGAGATTCTGCATTGTTTGGGCATCGCGGTGATCTTTCATTGTTGGTTGCGGGGGAATGGAAGAATGAAAATGACAACTGGGGAGGGAATTGGGGTAGCGAATGACGTTACAACGGGGGTTGGATGCCGATCATTTGCAACCATGAAGAAAAATCTTCAGGATGGTTGTTCTGGAAGGTTTCTAGAAGGACTTTGGGATATGCGCGGTTTACTTCGGGTGCAGATTGTCGGGACGGGGAACCAATGATGGGCTACGAGTATGCCAAAAGAGGACTAAGGGACGCCAAAATGCCTCTGGTTGTGAAGATCGGGAGAATTTATGCGGCACAGTGAGAAAAGAGTTGAAAGAAGATGAATGCGATTGAGGAGAGACACTGCGGAGGTGGAGGGAGAGCAACGTTTCACTTGCGACAGGCGAGCGAGATTCCACTTGATTCGTGCACTGTTGGTGGGTTCTGCTTATTGCCTCACTCTGTAACTCTCGTCAATTCTCATGCCATTCTATACCTGGAAGGTGATTCAGTGAACATGTCAAGTCGTCCCCCATCTTGTTCTGCCCATGGGGAAGAGAATCTGGCCATATCCACACTGGGTCTGGGGATGGTCCTGGTCCCAGAAGCCATCGTGGTGGGCTATTACGTACAATAAACGACATCTTACATGAGAGGATCATGTAATCATAACGAACCATCCATCAATGGCATCAACAAAGTAAATCGTAATTATTGTCATGTCCTAATATACAGAATTATCACATTCAATTATCCCTCGCCGGCTGCGCTCTCTGAACCTGTCTCGATCCTCCAGCAATAACAGCCGTCGGCGGTTGCTGATACCCAAACTCATCACGATCCATCGACCCGGTCAATTGATCCCTAGTAATAAGCGAGTCGTGACTCTGCGTCGGACTAACAGGTCTTTCGCCCGACTTTCGCAAATCATCATCTTTAGAGATCGAATCGCTTGTATCATGCGACTTTGCCCAGATCCCCTCTGTCGTACGAACATGATCCTCCTCCTCCCACTGACTGTGTGCCGTGCGGGTGAGTTTCGTAGGCTGCGATTGAGAGCGCGAGTTGGAGTAGCCGGAGTAGCTGTTTGACTCTTTGAACTTCTTGCGCTTGACGCCGCTGTCGCGAAGGAATGAACCTAGCGCGACGATGTTGCCGACTGCTGTGGCGGCGAGGATCTCAATTGATGCCCACATTGTACGAACGACTTGACTCCCGTTTGCTTCAATGATGCGGGGGATACGATATAACGTAATACCGACAGTCAACAAACCGAAACTGAAGAGCATGATGAGAAGAACCTTGCGCTTGGTGGCAATTTGTGTAGAGAGGATGATGGGGATGGGAAAGGCGATGAGGACAAGATCGGTGAAGGCGTTGCAAGCTCCCATTGTGAGCATCTGCACGAAACCCTGGCGGCATTTGGGCCCAGGATCGGGTGTAACCTGCCAGTAGTGAGGGAACGGTTGACATTCTGCGAGGTCGCTTATAACAACGGCGAGGAATGTAACGGCGAGGGTTGCGCGCATAGCGTGGATCATTATACGATGTGACCTGCGTCGTGTAGCGCCAGCAAGACGTTCAAAGAACTCGAGGGTTGTAAGTTTAAGAATCCAAAGACTAAAACATCATTAGCATCATCCCTGTCATCAATCGGCGATCTGAACTTACATGGAAGCGTAGAATACTCGACTCGCAAGGACCATCTTACTCCCAACGATCCTCTTATCAATATCCTCCGCGCTCAACTTCAGTCCATCCAAGTTGACATTATTCGTTCCATTCTTGAGCACAAAATGAACACAAACAGCCCGTAGTACCATCGGTATAAGCGCTCCAGCAGCGATCTTATCCTCCTTGAGTAACTTCTCGACTCGTACGTATCGACCCGACATTCGCGTCAGGATAATCGCCACACAAAAAACCGTGATCCACCATGATACAAGCAGCGTCGGTTTATCCTCGTAAAACTGGCGCGCATCGGGGGCGTCCGAATATAGCGGCATATCGGCGGGCTATGGCCCTTAGAGCCTGTAACGTATAATAAACCAGATGAAAAGTTTGACAATTAAGGCATTTGAACGAAAAGCAAAAGCAAAAACGAGGGGAGTGTGGGACATTAATGAACAGTGGCTTCAACATGGAACAAGGGGTCAAAATGCCCCTGGCCAACTTTATCAGGGCCTAGACACTTCGAGGTCAGACTTCAGCGGCGCAGTTGGCTGCAGCACGATACGTTGAAGTGATGGCGCACGTCAATGGAGTTTGACGCCAGGGGCATGCAGCCACTAAAAGCCTCCATCAACGGTGAGGAGTTGACCAAAAGCATAATTGGCTCGATCTCGAACCAATAGCAACTGCTAAAAGGAGCACATATGAAACTGTTACCGATAGCGCGGACAAATGCATCATATCATCTACTGCGAGACCAGGACCGAGCGCAACAGTTTACAAGCATTTGCAGTTTGTTCTTCAATTCTTGGCGACGTGCAGCGATTGCGAAATCGGCAGTCCTGCTGGAATGCGGTTTGGCGTTATGGGCCGAGCACACGGGGACTTTCCCCTTGTAGAAATCGCTAAAGATTGTGGCGGCAGGGGCTCAACAGCAAAAGGAGACAGAAGAATGGTCTGATAAGCTGCAAATAACTGATTGCGTCTTCAATCTGAGTCAGCCAGTATGCGCTATAATTTCCCCTGATAAGGATGAATTATTCCGGGCCAATTATTCGGTGCTGTTGGTTCTCTGACACGTGGGAATTGAACGCCCTAATCACAAGCTCAAGATCCAGTCCCGTCGGCATCAATCAGCCACTTCTCCTTCATCTTCAACATCGCGGCAATCTCTCGCTTCAAAAATCTGGGGAAATAAGGCTCAATGACATTGTCAACCGTTCAAAAGTCTGGGGAAAACGTGGTGGTCGTAGGGCCAGCCATAGAAAACTCTTGTCGTTACATAAAGGAGACGTAACAGTTTGACCTCGCTGGAAATTAGCCCCCTGCAGAGATGCGGTGGAGCAATTTTGTGGATGTGACCCCCTCAAACTTTCTCGGCCATTTATCTCGGATCATTCGGTTCTGCACTTCGCTGGTAATTACCTAGACCACAATACCACCGAAACTATCTTTTATTAATTCTCGAACCGTTCCATTCTCGAAGACTTTGGCTTTGTTCTTTTTTGACTACTTATTTTTAAGTGCATCGATAGCGTCGGGCTAGAAGAAGTGGTGTCATATGCCCCAAGCCACGATTTAACGACAGGGTAATATTCACATTTCGTCCTTCACCGACCCATTATCACCAGATTTATACATTCAACTCATCCGGATATATTTATCCCTTCTTGACCTTTTCAATGAAACCCTCAGTCGTCAAATTACCAACCGGCTGGGAATTCTTTGACAGTCCCCGGCTTGGCACTACCCGAAATAGAGAGGGGTCTAACGCTCAGAGCGGTTGATCCTCCGTGCACGCTATCGCTTGTTAGTGAAACAGAAAACGGCAGCTGGGCTTCATCAAGGTTCAGCTGTCAGTTAGCTGCGTCAACTATCCACATTTAGAGTACTACTCGTGTTAGCTTGTTAATTCCGCGGTTCTAGGTTTTGTGATATCGGCTTTTGGAACAGAATTGGTGATGCTGCGTTGCCACCGGCAAGAGGCTTCCGTGATAAGGGGTTGTTTTTAATTGTGCGGAATTGAATGACTGTTGCCGTTGCATAAACTGGCTGATACAGCTCCCGCGATTGCATTTCCTTGTTCAGAATTCCCCTTAACGATAAGCCAATAGTTATTTTGCTTCAACTATTCATCTGATTACCGATTAACAGCCAAAAGAGTATACCATGCCACTAAGTCAAGTAGCAACAGCGGTAGGTGCCACGTACTGGTCCGTTGCCCCTGGGATTGAGAGTTGGAGAACAGGCAAGATCCTACATGTCTCCAGAGCTATGGTCGTATGTGAATACCGCTCCATCGGTTCGGGCCCGTCAAGCCACGTGGTTTGGCACCCTGGACATATCCGTGACGCGGAACCAGACGTCAAGCAACGGGTACGTTGCCAAGGAGCTATAACTTCAGCTGCCATGCAAGCACCTTGCAATACGACCCTAAATCCCATGAACTTGACCTTGAATCCTTGTTACCATTATCAACAATTATCTAAAAGAGGTTGGCTTCTTGGCAGGCTTCTACAAAAACGGTATACAGCTCGAGTATTCATCGGCAGATGAAACCAGTTCTTGCATTGATCACTATTTATTTCCAGAGCCGTATATCCGTTTATTTCCGCTTGCGGTCAAGGTTACGCCGTCTTGATTGCGTTCTCCACGACTGCATGGACTATCCGAGCTATGGCTAAGCATTTCTCCTCATCGAACTTTCTCCCTACGATCTGGACGCCTACTGGAGCCTCATCATACAAATCTGCGTTGTCTGTTATAGTCAGCGGCCCTTCTCGTCTCATACACTTGAACCATAGCACAGAGCGCGGTGCAGTTCCAAGAGCACGACTTACAAGCTTGCCAATTCTTCCTGTCCATCTCACCCAACGGGTCATACCCCGCATCAAAAACATCGATCGTCTTATCCGCCCTAATCGTCGGAATAACAACAGCGGTATAGTTCGTCAAGTTCATCGCATCCGTATACGCTACACCATCTTAGCACCAAACGTGAAACAGCGCCTCATACTACTAACCTCCATGATAGAACTTCCCGGGTATCACAGCTGCATGAGGCGCTACAGGCATGAGAACAGCGTCTACCATTTCGCCTGTATTTTATCAGCATTAGCGTTAGATACGGGGGTTGAAGGAAGTACCATCTGATTCGGCAGTGGAGTTCCAGTAATCGGAATACTGCCGCTCAAACTCAAGACCTTGGAGGGTAAGGTTTTGGTACTTGAGTAGTTTCGTAGGGGTTTTGAGCTTTAGGCCTTCTTGTAAGTCTGGGATTAGAGGTTCGCCGGATCGATTAAGGTGCTGGTGGATGTCGTGCGCACCGTCTGCGCTGAGAAATCCTCCCTGTAGCATTTTGTCAGTGTATTCGCAGGTTGAAGGGGTGAATGACTTGCGTGAATGTTTGTGGCTGTTTCATGCGATGGTGGTTTCCAGTCAATGACCTGTTGTTCGTCAGCTATAAGACTTGGCCTCAACTGTTGGTGCGTACCTGATGCCCAGCTTTCTTCAACGCCTCAACGACTATCTTCAATCCACGAAGAACGGGCGGATGTAATCCAACCATCCCATCACACCAAAGTACCCCCATCTTCAGCGGCCTCTCACCAGCCTTCGCATTCCCTCTCTCGTCCGCTCCCTTCCGATACGAATCCATAACCTCTTCTCGAAAAGGAATCGGTATAACAGCCGGATCTTTCAACCAAGGCTCCATCCCAAGAACAGCTTTAAACACCACCTCCAGCGCTTCAATCGACGTCCCGATGAATCCAATTGTCGATCGATACGTATCCTGTCCAGGATTCGTATTCGCAACATCCCGATAACTCAATCGATTCGACGTCGGCTTTATCGAAAAGATACCGCAGAACCCAGCTGGTATTCTCAGCGATCCACCGATATCTGTGCCAACACCAATTGAGCTGCCGCCTAATGCCAGAAGAGCAGCTTCGCCTCCGGAAGAACCGCCGCATGATAAGTTCTGATTAATAGGGTTTAGGGTCTGGCCGATGATGTTGTTCTTCGTCTCGCCGAAGAGAAGCGTTTGAGGGAGACTTGTTTTGCAGTAGAGAACGGCGCCGAGGCATAATAACTCGGTGACGATTTGACTTTCGACCTGGTGAGTTTTATCAGGGTCAATGCCCAGATTACCACCTATCCATCCAACGTAGCCCATTGTTGTATCAACGCCTTTCACGTGGAATTGGTCTTTGAGACTGACAGGTAGACCATGAAGTGACCCGAGCGTCGTCCCATGTTCGGCGTAGTAATCGTCTAGATACTGGGCGCGTTCCTGGGCTTGATGGAAGAAGATCTCGTGAAGACAATTATTCTGATTCATAATCTCAGCTGTGTAATCTTGAGATTTTTTGGGAGTTTTGTACCAAGACTCACAATTTGATGAGCAACCGCTGCTCGTTGACAAAATGCCCTCACGACCTTTGTCGCCGTGGATTCCTGATTAGAAATAGCATTTAAAATCTGCACAGTCTTCAGAGACGTGATAGAAATTGTTTCTCTGTCAAGGAACTCCTCGATGAAACATCCCGTGATGTCTCGCTGGCGGTTCGCTTGTTTCAGGTCCTCCGAAGATAATATCCATTCTAGAGGAATCTTGTCCAGAGTCGCAGCGCGCTTAGCTGCCGCTCGAGCCTCCCACGTTTCCTTCATTCTTGACAAAAGATATCATAAAGAAATGCAAAATGATTGTCAGAGACTGGAGGAAACCAGATTCTGGGGACATTGATAGAGGTTACGCAAGGTCGTGTAGTCGATGAAAAAGGCATGAGAATGAATGACGACGACATCTGGAGTTGTAAGACAGACATGTGATGAAAATAGCTTAGCACACGACATTTCAAGAACAGATCGCCTCACTAAAAATACAATGTCTTTTTTTTATCGTTTTCCTGCTACCTCAACAAATCACAGTCGATTGTTATGGCAAGATTGCCGGTATATCGAGGGTTGTACTCCACAAACCTTGAACAACTCCATCTTTGATCTCGCGACCTGCCGGTTCTTCAAAAACAATCAACACCCAAAGCCAACCTCAGCCGTGACAAATACAGAACAAATCAAACATATACCATCAGAATGAGGCCCATTCTCGAGAGCCTCCATTGCCAAGCTCACACCCTCATCCAATTCATCTCATTTTGTGCCCCTCTCCGGCACTTCCCATAGCGACGATAGCGCTCCTTCATCTCACGGCACTCATCATTCTCAGATATAGTCATCTTGACTGCCCTAAAATTGACATCGGCAGAAAGAGCAAGCATTCTTGCTGAAAAGTACTCTTCATCTGTCCAGAGGTCCGTAAATAATGGGCCGACCATGTACATCGCACCAAGGGCAGTTTCCGCCTCCTTCACATAGTGCAGATAGTCAGCCACCATCTGCTTGATGTCCTCGCCCTTCCAACCCCAGTACGGCTGTCTGTGCAGATCGTCTGCCAAACTTAGCAGCACGACTGATTCCGGGATTACGTAGCGCAGTGGTGAAACGTGCGCCCCCTTGGACGGGCCAGTGATGAAGATCCATGGAACAAGAAGTATGCGAAGATTAGAGAAGGCGTGCAGTTTGAGGGGGGGACCTTGGATAGCCAAAGGCCAGAGCGTATCTCGCTTCAAGACCCCAGGGTCGTCAACAGCGAGGAGCTCCAGCCTTTCGAGTTTGAGTCGGTGACCTTCCAGAGAATCTCGCAGCGTGCTCATATCCAGTGTCAGGGTTCGATTAGAGAGATCGCTTGCCTTTGAATGCCAGGCGTAGGTATATTTCAAGCCTGTGAGATTGGGCGCAAGGGAAAGAATTTGCTCAAGCTCCGCTTCATCAATCCTCTTTAGATCCAGACATCTAAGATTGTTCATCTTCGTGCTGGCCACTACCGGTCGTGAATCTTCGGGGAAGCTGCCTGAAATGAAAAGCTTCTCAAGCATATGAAGATGAAAGAAACTCTGGAAGACGTTGGTGAGCTTAAGGCGTCTATGGTAATAGGTCGCGGCGTAGTTGTTGACAGTAACATGGCGGAGATGCTCGAACTTGTGGAAGCTGCTGTTTCTTGAAGTAATACGGCGCTCAGGGTCGAATAGCAATCGGAGGTAGTAAATCTCAACAGAGAAGTCCTCGCCGAGATAAATACTTCTGACTTTGGGCGTAAGAGCCACCAGCAGGGCGACAATAGAATCAACCTGACCCCCCAGGAAACAATTGGCCCAGCCAATTGCGTCGTTGAGACGCGAACCATGGATCACCTTGAGTGCCTTTATCATGTCTGTTCGTTTGAGGCATGTGATAGGCGTGATGGGGATTTCATCAACCTTTCTTGCGGGAAAGTCATAGCCATCAAAACGCAGATGCTGAACCGCCTGGGCCAGGTCAGGCCGGTCGAGAAGAGTTCGTACGACGAGGATCAGTGGGGTAGGGTCGCCGGTAGTACCGCCGGTAGGACAACTGACATCGACTTCCCTGTGAAGAACCGGCTGGACGATATTGGCGAGATGCTTGTTGACAAGCGACAAGGCCACCAGGTCTTCCTTTGATAGAAAGTCCAAGATGTTGAGTTGAACTTCGACGGGGCAAGCAAGAAGCCGTGAAGGCTTTCTGAACCAAGGTCAGATCAACAACATGAACAGATGCAGCGTAACGTACCCAAGAACTTTCGCTTTTCGCTTCTTAGGTATGGAGAGAGGAGGGAGGACACCCAAGAAACGGCGCGGCATGGTGGATTCACCGTTGGCGTTGAAGAATCGATACATGATGGACACAAAAAAGAAGGAGATGTTGATCAAAACAGGCGACGTTGCTTTTGTTGTGAAGACAAGAGTAAAAACAAGTAGAGGCGACGTCGTAAGTTTGTGTTGAGTTGGGTTGGGTTGGTGACTTGAAGTTGTTTACCTGCATCACGTGCAATCAAAGTGAATCAGAACAATATCTGCAGTGCCAAACAGCTGCCAGCCAAGCAAAGGACTTATTCACTCCACGTATAGCTATTACTTAATGGCGAGAAATCTTTTATGTGCCAGCAAACCTGATGCTGGATCACGAAAGGCAGCGCCAGCCAAAAGTCATTTGGCCCTTCCAAAGATTCCGATTCTCTAGCAATGACGAGGCATTTCACCAAAAATGGAGTCTACATGCAAAGTTCAATGTTTTCTGCATTCACAGTCCGTCGCATTTACTTCCTCTGGTCAATATAAATGTCATATTCAATCATGTGAATCTCAACTCCAAGACCAATAACGGTTAGCGCGACTGACGCCATCGCTCCAAGTCCATGGGATGGGTCCTCCTTATCTCTTCAACGCGGGGAAAGCTTCGGCGAACTTCACCTGACCATTTAGTTCAAAAATGTCTTCAACATGACCAACTATTCTCATGTCCTCAGAAATGAACGACACCCCCTCAAATCGCAAACGAAGTAGCGTCCGACGTGCCAACGTCACAGCTTGTCAACGATGCAAGTCCCGAAAACAGCGCTGTGACCAGAACATCCCGGCGTGTTCATCGTGTGGCCGTGCTGGAGTTCCCTGTGTAGGCGTTGATGTTGATGGACAATCTGTACCTAGGAGGTATTAGCGCCTGTTTATTCTCTCTCGCTAGAATAGAGTTATTACTTATACATATTCAGTTACATCAAAAGTCTTGAGGATCGAGTCGCTGAGCTTGAGCTGGCACTCCGGAATCAAGGAATTGACACCGAGTCTGTTGTCAGCCGAGCCTCCCAAGATATTCTTGAATCAACACCAGAGGCGCACAATTCTAATGATTCGACCTTACTGCGCCTGCTAGTACCCAGGCAAAATGACATACAGCACCCTGAAGACTCGGCCTACCATGCTCTCCTTGACACCATTACTGTACCAGACGCCGTCAAGTTTCCTCCCAAGTCGACCGCCATTCAACTCACCGCCACATACTTCGAACACTCGAACTTTTTCTCTCCTGTCCTAAACCAAGAGTCATTCAACAGTACCGTCGCCACTTTGTATCAAGACCAGATGTCCCCTGGCCAGGGCACTTCAATACAGAAATTCCAGCTTTGCATGGTTCTAGCCATCGCCATAAGACTTCTCAATAGGACAGATTCTTCTGTTCCGACCACTGCATCCGACTCGTTCTTCGCATCAGCTATTGGAATACTCACAGAGCGTCCACAAGCTACGTGGAAAGGCGATTTACAACATCTACAGAATCTTCTCCTCATTGTCCAGTATACCATTTTCGCTTCAAACCTCTCTGCATCATGGCACTTCACTGGTCTAGCAACACGATTGGCCATTGATCTTGACCTTCTGAACGAGACTCACCATTCCGTGGACCAAGACGCACATGAATCTAACATAGAAGTCAATAAGAGACGTCGGGTGTTCTGGTCCACGTACATCCTAGAAACAAACCTCTGCGTTATACTCAATCGTCCAAGATCAATACCTGACGAAGCTATCTTTACTCCTCTACCCTCAACAAGTGGACCCGAGTCGTCAAGTCCATTAGCAAACCACTGCATTCTCTTTCGCCAACTCGAGTACGAAATATTTCACACGCTTAACTATAAGCCTCCCGCAAATGGCAGCTACTTCGACTATAAAGCCTGGAAGATGGGCATGAAGGACCGTCTTGTGGCTTGGCATGCAAACGTACCCCCCGTAGACGCAACATCTAAGCTTGCACCTCAGAACTTCTTCGATGGCGCGTTGTACACAACCCTTGTTTCTCTTCTTTCACCGTCTCGCCACTTTCCCAATCTTTCAGAAGATGAGCTAAGAGATCTTGCGCAATATGCTTCTACGAGCATTGAGCTGTACAGAGAGGGGTTCAAGGAGGGCAAGTTAAGGTTCTATTGGCGAACGACACCAAACCTGTTCCAGTCTGGCGCCGCTCTGATTCACTGTATCAGGAGTCTCACACTCCAAGGTGAGGTGTTTGATGTGAACGCATTGAAGAGTCGGGTGTCTGTATGTTCAACGGTTCTGTGGGGTATGGCAGAGCGGTATCCTCCTGGAGCTTCATATCGTGACCGCTTTGATGAGATGTCAGCTACTATTGACGAAATGGCTTCCGAACTCCCGATGGATATCGCAAGTGACTTTCTGTTCGGGCATAATGTTGTCTCGTCGTTGGATCTAGATGGGACGGCGACGTTATGGACGTCAACTCCTCCCACTTTGGATCCGTGGATATTTGATCAAACATAATTGTGACAGCGGCCACCATCAGCTATCAAGAAAGAAGAAAAGAATCGATGAGCATATTTTTTAATTTATTCTGTTTGAATCTCTTACTCCCCATTGTGTTTCCAAATCTAGAACAGCCTTTAGAGGCCCTTCAGTGGGTCAGGCGGAGCCGGATCACTCCTCAAACTCTTCTCAAATGCCGCTCTCAACTTCATAACAGGCTGCAAAACCCAAGTGTTGTAAGCCAAAATATCCGTCTCCTCCTTTGGGTCTCTCACTACGTTAAACAGATACGGAGATTCCAGCTTTCCAGAGGACTGGTTGACTCTTGGTTCCCAGACAAAATGAAGCTTCCAATCCTTCCACTTCACAGCACGCAGTTCATCCTTGATGTAGAAGAGGAAGCCTTCACGCTGAGATTTAACGGATTCAGGATCCTTGAAGAATGATACCTGGCTGATGCCATCAATGGGTCTGTCGGATGGGACTTCTGCACCCGCAATCTCGAGGATGGTTGTGAAGATATCGGTTACGTGGACTGTCTCGTTGGATGTTACTCCAATGGGAACCTTTTCTGGCCATCTGATGATGAAAGGGACTCTCAAGCTCCCCTCCATGGCAGTATGATACGTCCCAGACCACGGCCCAGCAGTACCCTTGTATGGAGGTCTGAATTCAGGTCCATTGTCAGAGGCAAATATCAGAACCGTGTTCTCGCGAACTCCAAGCTCATCCAGATGGTCAATCAGTTGGCCAACTCGGTAGTCCATCTCAGCCATAGAGTCAGCAAACTCTCCCTGTCCTGTCTTCCCTTCGAAGTTGCGATGCGGCAGAGTCGGGAAATGCAGATGGACGAGCGGATGATACAGGAAGAAGGGCTTCTCTGCCTTGACTTGACGCGACAGCCAATCTTTTGACTGGTCAACTAGCATCTCATCGATCAACCGTCGCTTTTCGAGATCATACACACAAATGTTCTCAGAGTCTTGTCCCGCGACACCTTTCATGATATACGGCAACTCCGCAACTTCAGGTGTATACCCCAAAGCCGAAGTAAACTGACTCTCATCAGTGGTCCTCGGAATCCCAAACCACTCGTCAAATCCCCTGTCAGAAGGATACCGACCAGGAATATCACCAAGATGCCACTTTCCATGATGCGCCGTCGCATAGCCCTTTGGCTTGAGACATTCTGGCAGTGTACGCTCCCAGCTTGTAAGGCCTTGAGGAAACCCAGCTGGGACAGATTGTCGACACCCGGTTCGAATGGGATGTCGACCTGTCATCAAAGCTGAGCGCGTAGGAACGCAGTCACTCTCGACGTTAAAGTTGTGAAGGAGAAGGCCTTCTGTTGCGAGCTTATCGATGCGAGGTGTTGCGGCGCCGCGAAGAATGCCTCCACCGTAGCAGCCGAGCTCACCCCAGCCTAGATTGTCGGCTAGGATGAGCACGATGTTGGGTTTTGATGGATCTTTGGACATTTCGAATTGTTTCAATCTGCAGACGTTGATTTTGGCTCTGGCTTCAAGCTGATCCCTCGAGTCAACTTCATTTAAACTTTGCCGTTAGCTCATTGTCCTCGCCAAAGTCGCAATCGCGTATGTTCAAGGGATCAGCTTGAAGCCATCGGCGAAGCGTCCGAAACCCCACACTTTCGCTCATCGCCGACGCTCACCTCCGACGACTAAATCATCTTCCTTACAATAACCTAGCAAACCTCTTGAATGGTAAAGATACGCGATCAAAGCATTCAATGGCGTGCGCACCGGATCATCTGTGATACCTTATCATGCTTAAGAGCTATTGTAAGTCTTGGGACGGTAATGGATGGGTATAAAGACGTACGTCTTGTAGTCAACGGCTGGAAGATCTTGTATCGATACAGGCTGCTGAGTTACCCAGGATAATTGGACCTAGTATCCACATATCGTTGGATAAGTCTACCAAGATGGATCACAATCAAGATGCTAAAGACAGCCATGATGTTGATGATGCGCCGCAATCAATCATTGCGCAGCCTACTTGGACAGATGACGAAGAAAAAGCAGTCGTTAGAAAGTAAGTTCACGAACCCCATCTCCCAATTGACGCCCCGAGCTCACATCATAGGCTCGACATGATCCTTATGCCTCTTCTCGTCCTCGGTTTCTACGCCCTCCAACTCGACCGCAGCAACATCAGCAACGCCCTAACCGACACGCTCACAACCGATCTAAACATGACCAAAGACGACGTCAATCTTGGCGACCAACTCATGATGGCAGGCATAATCATCGCCGAGATCCCCTCCAACATTATTCTCCAAAAGCTCGGCGCGCCGATATGGCTTACGGGCCAGGTACTCATCTGGGGAACTGTTGCTCTGGCGCAAGCTTGGGTTACGAATGTGCATTCCTTCTTTGCGACGCGATTTCTTTTGGGGTTTTTTGAAGCTGGTTTTATTCCGGGTGGACAGTACATGCTTGCGCTGTTTTATCGCGAGAAGGAGTTGGCGCTGAGAACTTCGATATTCTATTTTGGGAATTATTTTGCTACTGCTACGGGATCCTTGATCGCTGCTGGTGTTTTGCAGATGGGCGGTATAGCTGGTCTGGCTGGTTGGCAGTGGCTCTTCATCAGTTCGTTCCTCATGCAATGCTCCGTAATTGATATTGCTAACATCAAACAGTTGAAGGTATCTTCACCTTAGTGGTCTTCTTCATCTTCATCCTCCTTCTCCCTCGATCGCCAATGCACACGAAACCTATCCACGGCCGTTTCGACCTCTTCACCTCACGCGAGCGTGAAATCATGCACGATAGAATTTACCAAGAAGATATCTCCAAGACCGAAGCCCACGCCAACATCACCTTTCGCGGTGTCATCGCCGCCCTCACCGACTACCGCATATGGATCCACACTGTTCTAAACGTCGTCTCTCTCGCTCCCAAGGGCGGTCTTCAACTCTACGGGCCAACCATCATTCGAAGCCTAGGCTTCAGCAAGATCAACTCCAATCTTTTAAACTCCGTCAGCAGCTTCCTCGTTGTTTTTCTGAGCTTCGCCATCGCCTGGGCGTCTGATAAAACGAAGCAACGAGGGTTATGGTGCGTGGTCGCGTTTCTTTGGAGTATTACATTCGGTGGTGCTCTGTTTGGATCAACTGATAAAGACAAGTGGACCAAATACGCCCTCTTCACCCTCTTGAGCAGCGGCAATGCACTATCTCAAGGCCTTAACGATGCTTGGTTGAGTATTAATACTCGATCTGCTGAGAAGCGCAGTATTGGCTTGGCGTTGGTTGTCATTGGGAGTAATGCTGGTGGATTAGCTGGAAAGCAGCTTTTTCGTGAGAGCGATGCGCCAAAGTATACAAAGGGATTTTTGGCTATTGTTTTGTTGTATGCTGCTGCTCTGCCGATTACTGCTGCGATTATGGGGGTTTATTGGCGACAGAATAAGAAATTGGCCAGGGAGCTTGTTCAGAATGAGGGGGACGTTGATCAGGTTGGTAGAAGCCAGCGCTTTCAGCTGTAGATATTGAGTCACGAAATGATAGTCATTCCTGAGTATGTTTCACTATTTTACAAGCCATAGCCTCTTTATTACTTCAATTTGAGGGATAACAGCTAAAAGCGGCTTATTCCCTGACCCTTAAAGAACCCCAACAACGGTCCAAATTCACCGTTCCTAACCGCAAAAGGCCGCACCAACCTCCAACCTCCAATGAAAAAGCCCCCTCTCCACCGCTGACTCTCAAATGCCGGTCGATCCAGATACGCTACAGTTCACTTTACCCTGCCAGCCCTGTCAAGCTGGGCATCGCACACCGAGACCCAAGATCCCCGGGCCATCATGGACTCACCTCAAAACGCTTCTCTCAACGAGCAAGAACGAAAGTCCGTCCCCTCACCCCCCGCAGCGTTCTCATTCTAACACTCGTAGAAAACTCCGCAATCGCCTATCTCAACGAGCTTTTCGTCGTAGACAGGCAGAATGCATCAGAGAGCTGAAAAACCGCGTGAATGCAGATCAGAGATCTGATAGTGAGCGTGTAGAAGCGCTTCAGAAGGAGAATAGATTGCTGCGACAGCAGTTGATTGATGTTCAGACTAAGATGTCGCGGATGATGGCGTCGGTGCAGTTGTTGAGTGATTCGGTGGCTAAGACACTTGATGATACGGCGGGTGGTGAGAGGGAGAGGGAGAGGAGTGAGCAGGTGAATGGAAAGACTGGGAATGACGAGCAGATTGTTGAAAAGGCATCGTTGCAATCGATTGACTTGGAGGCGTTTGATCCGTCGATTCTGGACTTTGATGCACCGTTTTCATCATCAAACGTCACTGGTAAGTATCGTCATTTCTATACCAAGTCAAGGCTAACAATTAGATGCAGCTCCCTCGACAGATAACGGCCTCACATCAGAACTCATCAATGTCGCTGGCACAAGTCCATTCTACTCTCAGATCCCCAATATCTGGAGCCATGAGTATCAGATGGGAATGCAGCCTTATCTAACTGCCATCAACGCGACAGCCGAATCGAGCATGGTTCTTGGTAAAGATTACTCTTTTACCAATTCACCATTCTCGGATCATATTCAACTGCTCCAGAGAATGTTGAAGAATAAGCTCAATACTCTTGGATTCGTTCCAGAAGGTCATAATCCTGTTCAGAGGTATACATCGTCGCTCTCTATCGCGGGGTATTCTAACATTTCTAGTGTCTACCAACCAGTCCTCATGGTCTTGTCCATGTTCAACAGCATGACTCGTCCAGACGTGATGGCCTGGTACGCCAAAACACGCTTCTATCACATCATCGAGCTCACAGCCTGGCAACTCTACCCATCATCCGCAACCTTCAACAAACTTCATCCCCGGTACCGCCCTACAAAAGCCCAGCTAGAAAATCCTCACCCCGGCATCATCGACTGGATCCCCTTCCCTACAATTCGCGATCGCTTAATCCAACTGCACTCTGCAAACCCTCACATCGACCAGATCTTCTGCGACGCTGTAACAGGCTACGTCGTTGAAGCCCTCATGTCAGATCTTGTCCTCGGAGCCCCGCAGATAACGGTCTACGTTCGTGTAACAGACCTCATCAACACAATGTCCTCCGGGACATCCGAGAGCGAAAACACAATCGCTATGCTCCCCGCACCAGATATTTCAACTTTATTTTCATCGCCTGCGTATGCTCGCGCTGCATTTAATAAATTGAATATGGACAAGGGCGCAGGATACTACAAGATCGACCCCGCATTCTTCGAAAAGTATCCTGAACTCTGGGACCAAGCTAGCGATCTCACAGCAACGGGAATGCCACTGAAGCCAAAGTATCAAAAGATTCTTACGTATCCGAAACCGCTCGACTCCTCAACTGTGGAGACCTATCGAAGCTTCATCGACTTTTCTCTCGATGCAGCGAATACGATATCAATGTCCCCATGATCAACCAACCGGGCCAGTTTCGTTATCTATCAAAAATAAATTCTCACATGATGCAATACACGTGTGAATACGGCATCATTAGCGCATTTGAGTTTGGTAAAGTTTCGGGAAGCGTAATGGAATGTTGAGTAAACGACCCACCACGACGGGTTTGACTAACACGCGAGTTACTAACACCTCGATTCTGTGATTCATCTGTGGATCATCGAGTGGGGATACAATCATCTATATAGAAATGCCAGAATTAGTACAGCACCATCACAAGCCAACATCTACACCAATTTCAATCCCTCCAAAATGCCGTCTCAGATACCAACTTCAATTCCTCGCTATAGTTTCATGGACGATTATAGCGAGGGTGCACATCCTGCTCTTCTCAAGGCGTTAATCACCAGCAACACCACTCAAGAAACTGGCTACGGAGGCGATACGTACTGCGATCTTGCACGACAGCGAATCCGTCGACATCTCGGCCGCAACGATGTCGGCATATTTTTCGTACCGAGTGGAACATCCGCCAATGCCATTTCCATCGCTGCATGTCTTCGACCTCACGAAGCTGTCATCGCTGCTAGCTCGGGTCATATCGTGACAAGAGAAACAGGCGCAGTAGAAGCAAGCGGTCATAAAATCATCAATGCCACACCACAGAATGGAAAGCTTACGCCTGCGACGATCGAGCGTGCACTAGATGATAATTGGCATTTTCCTCACATGGCGAAACCTCGACTGGTGTATATATCCAACGCAACGGAGATCGGCACTATATACTCGAGAGCGGAACTCGCCGCTATAAAACAAGTCTGCGAAAAGAACGGTCTCATTCTCTTCCTCGACGGCGCTCGAATTGGCACAGCCCTCGCATCGAAATCAAACGACATGACATTAGCAGACATTCTCGAACTCACAGATATATTCTGGATAGGCGGTACTAAAAATGGCGCCCTCCTCGGTGAAGCAGTAGTCGTAAAAGACGCCCGCCTCTCCTCCGAATTCGAATTCTACATCAAACAGCACGGCTCACTCCTCGCAAAAGGCCGTGTGATCGGCGCACAATTCGCCGAGCTCTTCGAAGACGATCTCTACTTTGAACTAGCGCGCAAGGCGAATTTAGCTGCTGAGTCGTTATCGAGCGGTATTGCGCAGGGGGGATTTTCTGTTTATGCTGCGACGGAGACGAATCAGGTTTTTGCGGTGTTGCCGTTGGGCTTGATCAAGGTATTGAAGGAGAGTTTTAGTTTTTATGTTTGGGAGAAGTGTGGTGATGATGAGGCTGTTATTAGATTGTTGACGACGTGGGCGACTGAGGGGGGGCAGGTTGAGAGGTTTGTGGAGATGGTTCATGCTTGGACGGGGTAGAAGGCGTTGGAGATTGAAAAGTTATCAATTGGCCCAAACTTTGGGAATAATACATGTATTTATTGAGAATTTCGATCATCTGCTGATAGATAACCAATTAATCCAATCATTGCATTGTGTTTACGTTCCTGGGCAGAGGAAGGGGATTACATGTCGTGTATCAGGCCTCGACAACTTTAGATAATGGAGAGTTTTTATTGACCTTCTATCTTCCGTCTATATGGTAATCTGTGACTCCTTTCCATCATGTCCATGGCAATCATTTGACCATGGGTTCCAAACCTGGAACAGTCAGCTGTGAAGAGCTTCAGCCGACTATTCTCGCTGGACCTCTCATCGAGGAATTCGTCCAGGTTTTACCGGCCCCTTCCCATTTGAATAGATATGGTGCATGTATGCATCTACCCAGCTTCGTAGTTCGTATCGTCAATGAATTTAGAATGTTGTTATCAATCAATACTCCGTCAGGCATCTCTCGGGTTCAGGCCTGCTTAGTCACCAGTAAGCGACGAGAAGGATTCGCACTATTTGACCGCTCAACCGACATTGATCATTGCTCTCCTTGCGAATCCTTTTTGAACGATCATGGCAGCCGTAGATACAGCTTTTGACGGGGAATTCGGGTTTCTGAAGTACCTTGACGATGCTAATCAATGTCAAGACTCGATAGCCGTCAAGCGCTCAGCCTATTGGTGCTACTGCGGTCCTCTCCTCAACCCCTCCACCGATCCGGACTCATCAATACCGGATACTTTCTACGACTTTGAGAGTCAAGTCTTTACAGGCTCTATTCGCCACAGACTTGTTCCTTTTCTGAGTTATATCAAGAGTCTTCTCCTCGCCAAGGGGCTTAAGCATTATTTCCTCACTATTCGCGCCACGACGCCAACTCACGAGTTTGATCAACCAAGATGGCATACCGATGAACTCTTCTTCACCAAGGACATACTCCCCGGTACACGCCTAGGTCTTAAATCACAACATCAAAAGCATCATCGAAACACCGGAACAAACTGGAAGATCTGCACTACCCTCCTCGGCCCCTCAACGCTCTTCATACCTGCATCTCATCAGCCCCACGCTCGCAAAGCTCAAGAATGCGCTCGTAACGCAGCAAGTACGGACCACGAATGTGTTTCAATTCGTTGTGTTGGCTGTGCAGCTGCAGCAGATGCTGTACGCGATGAACTAGCTACTGTACTAAAACCCTTTGGTGCAGAAGCAGCAGAAATAGGTGAATGCTCTGTATTCAAAGTTGGGAGGGAATTTGGAGCAGTACATTCTGAGCCGTGTATGAGTAAGGAGGCCCGTGGTAGAGTTTTTATCAACGTTGTGCCAGGGATGGAGGATGAGCTGAGAGTGTTGATGGGGAAATGGGGCATGAAGTTCCCCAGACAGTGGTGGGTGGGAGGGAGATGAATGCGAGACAGCTAATAATGTGTATCTAGCTCATTTTCGCTTCTTGATACTCTGTTTGAGAGGTTCGTTTTATTCGCTGCTGTTGGCAGCCGGAGATTGTTAGTCTCATGGTCAACACGTGTCTCGTCCATTTGAGGCTTCGCAGCATGGGCTCGGGTAGAACTGCGGGGTAACACATGCACATGACAATTAAAGTTAAATGGACCAGCCTCCGTGTCTTGGTCTCACATCGTAAGTTGTTGACTTAAAAAGTCATGAATTTGTATGTCAGACGATGTCTTGGTACAGAGTTTTACGATGGCTGGAGAGCTACACAGAGAGCTTGAAGAGACACGGTCATCTCGTTCGATTAGAGCCAAGCGATAGTAATCACGAGCATGTGACCAACAGCCTTCTAATTAGGAGCATTTCAACTGAAACGTCTCTACAAGCAAAAAGAAATCCAGTGTCTACTCCAGTTTAGTTAACAACATGTTTACTTATTTATTTACAAAGAATTAATTTACGACATTTCACAGCCACGCCCATTGAATCAATGCGGCTCTACCGTTTCACGTTACAAGCGCTATCGGAATCGTCAGGTCCCCCCCAACCGCCCCCCGCCATCTCCCGACCATCTCGGCCGAGCGCAAAAACACCAATGCCTCTACACCATCACTGCCATTTGACAACTGCGCTTACAATGGTGTAACAAGCCAATCCAGCCACGTTCATTTCCCTCCATCCAAATCGCTGATCTCAATCAAAGCCCAGCGATAACCTTCAAGCACCAAACGTCACAGCAGATTGTGGCTTGCATCTACAGGGTTACATTTCGTCAAAGCTTACGGGAGCACGTCGACGTGGCGCTGCACGCCGTTTTTCACAGCGGGTACACCAGTAAATAATTCCCAACCTCTGTAAGACAAACACGGGATCCGAGTAGTCAATGTCTCGGGACGCGTTAATTCAAGGAGTAGAGCGTCTCCCTCTGTTTCAAACAAATACTGTCCCTGATCGGCGGGATCTGGAAATAACAACCCCGTATTCCTGCGTGAGAGGATACGACGATAGCTAATCTCATAATGGCAAGGCGCTAAGACTGCACCATTGAGGAGCTGACGTGACCCCTAAGAAGGGAACAACGCATAAGGGAGTCTCGTATAACCTTTTCTGCAGATTGATTGACAGCTCAGCTGAAAGTTTAACAAAGGGCGTTTTAAAATACCCACAAAGATATTAAATATTCCTCAATCAAGTGAATTCATTGCTCTCTCTTTATTTCCCTTCTTTTGTTCAGCGTCATCTTAAAAACCCGCTTGTATTTCCTGACCTGGCGCTACACGAGACCCCCTCCTCGAGATTAGCGCCAGGCACAGATCATCCAAGACAAACCAGGGTGAACCCCCCCTTAGCTCTGCATTGGTTTTATATAGAAACAGCCAGCAAAAATTCCCGCCATCTCCATTTTTATTTTGGTTCTTCCAACCTCTCTTCCTCTGTTCTTGAGGTTTCACTCCCATCTTCTTTAATTGTTTCGTTTCCCCGGTCACTCACTACGCCGGGTTAACAAATTCCATCTTATTTCCTTCCCCTGTCTCTTCTTTTTCTTATACCCCGATTGTCTAAACGTCTCGATTGATTGTAGAGATGTTGTCCGCTCTTTTCCTCGCCATCGCGGCCCCCGCGTTGGCACACGCAGCCGCTCCCCAAGATGGCCTTATTCGCTTCCCCCTCAAAGTTTCCACCGGCGCACCCGTCGTAAAAGGCGTTACCAAGCGCCAAAACGAGGTCGCTCTCGAGAGTCAGCAGAACGGTTTCTTCTACAGCATTGACGTTGAGCTCGGTACGCCTGGGCAGAAAGTCACCGTCAATCTGGACACTGGCTCGGCGGAGCTCTGGGTCAATCCTGTTTGCGAAAAGGCGCAGCAGCCCTCATTTTGCCAGTCATTTGGTCATTTTGGCGAGAGTAGTACTTGGGTTAACCTTAACACTACCGGCGGTGTCGTCTACGGCACTGGGTATGCTTATTGGAACTATGGTTATGATCATGTTGTCATTGGATGTGAGACAGCATTCCTTACGGCCGCTGAGACATAATTTTGCTGACAGAATTAGCTGCCAATATTCGTAACCAGGTTTTCGGTGTCGCATACGATAGTTCCTTCACCAGCGTCGGTATCATGGGCGCTGCGCCCGATCTGAATGGTTGGGATGCGCCGTACCCCCTCGTCATTGACAGCATGGTCCGCCAAGGCCTTATCAAGAGTCGCGCATTGAGTCTCGACATTCGCACTCTCGATAGCGATCGCGGCGCCGTTATCTTTGGTGGTCTCGACACCAAGAAGTACACCGGCCATCTTGAGAAGCGTCCCATCATCCCCGCCGAGTCCTCCCCCGATGGTCTCACCCGGTAAGTTCCCCCGCGCTCAATTGACACGCGCGACCGTCTAACAATCGCAGTTACTGGGTTCATCTCGACGGTATTAGCCTCACCCAAGACGACGGTTCCGAAGACGCAATCTTCTCCCAGACAAACGGCCAGCCCGTTCTCCTCGACAGCGGATACACCGTCAGCGCACTCCCCGGCCCCATCTTCAACAAGATCGTTGCCTCGTTCCCCACGGCCCAACGAACCCCCGGCGCTTACGTCGATGTCGATTGCTCCGTCGCCGATCTCAAGGGCACCGTTGACTTCAAGTTCGGCAACACCATCATCAAGGTCCCCTACAAAGACTTCATCTGGCACAACGACGATCGCTGTGTTCTCGGTGTTTTCCAGGACGATGAGTTCCCTGTTCTCGGCGACACCTTCCTCCGCGCTGCTTACGTCGTGTACGATTGGGATAACAGAAATGTCTGGCTCGCTAACAACGAGGATTGCGGTACGAACCTCGTCGCTATCGGTACTGGTCCCAATGCCGTGCCTGACTTGGTTGGTGAGTGCGGCTCCGACTCTACCACTACTTCTGGAGCTCCTACATCCACCGAGACTGCTTCTGAGTCTGTTACCGAGTCTGTTTCTTCTGCCGAGACTACCCTTTCCTTCTCTACTACTCGTTACTCCAACACTACTCTCACATCCACCAAGCCTGGATCAACCTCTACTGGCGGATCTGGCAACACTTATGTTCTCCCTACTGCTTCCGCTCCCTCTACAACCATCACTTCCACCGTCACAACCAGCAAGGTCTACACGGTCACTGCCTGCCCTCCCAGCGTCACCGATTGTCCTGTCGGCCATGTCACCACCGAGATCATCACCTCTCTCACAACATACTGCCCCGGCTCCGACGCTACACCCGTTGCTCCTCAACCTACCAAGGCTCCCATCAAGTCAACCCTCACATCAACACGCGTGTACACCATCACATCCTGCCCCGGCCCCGGCTCCTGCAACAAGGGCGACGTCACCACCGAGATCGTTCACAACACGCAGATCATCAACCCCGAGCAACCGACTGGCGTGTACACCATCCCCGAAGCCATCCAGTGCGGCGCTGGAAACTTTGGCTGCAAGGAGGCTACCACCAAGGGATACCGTACCGTCACCATCACATCGGTCGTCAAGGCTCCCAAGCCTACTCCTGTTCCTGGCTACTGCACTACCTGCGGACCTCCTGGTTCCAACCATCACAACAACGGTACTTTCACAGGTCACTACACCAAGCCTGGCTATGAGCAACCCACCGAGGGCCACGCTACACAGGATTACCCCGAGCCTACGGGTAGCGCCTCCAAGCCAACTGGCAACCCTCTTGAGGAGCTTCACACCTACAAGCCCACTCATGTCTACGCGCAACCCCCCAACACCGTCGCAACCGTCATCAAGCCAACAGGTACACCCATCGACTCAACACCCTCTGAGCCAACGGGCACCAGCCCCGCGATTGTCAACGGCGCGAGCGCGTGGAACGTTCCAGCTCTTGCGGCATTCATCGTCGGTGCTTTTGTTGCTGCTTTGTAAAAGGAAATAATGGATGAGGCATTTAATACTTACTTAATAAGGTGAAGCGTAGATACTTTTTGCGTTGGTAGATATGGGATGATATTTTCCTTTTATTTTGTATCTGCTTCTAGAAGCGTATTATTCTTAGATTGGATATATGCATCGTTTGGATGTATTTATACGATATTGACTTTTTATGACATCCTTGATTGATGGTGATGGTTTGTGGGGCTCTGTAGCATCTGATTGACGCACCTTCTTGCTGGTGATGCACTTTGATGAATTCGTCAAGCTGAATTGAAGATGCGACTCTGAGGCGTCAATGAGTCGACCGAAAATGTCGGCGTGCATTTGTCCGACCATGACAGCAAAAATTACTTGAATTACCTAGGATGCGCATCCTTCATCGAACCATTGCTCTGATTTTATTCCCTCTTTCCATATCAACCCAATCCTCAAAAAACATGGTCAACATGCTCATCAAAATCAGCATCTCAGCCCTCGCCCTCCTCGCAATTCTTTTCCAAATCTATCTCAAAGAAGCAATATGGCTTGGTTTCGGCATAAACAGAACCCTCCAACCCCTCAACTCATTCCCCTACCAATGCCGTAAAATCGTCCATCATCGTCTCGAAGCATGCGAAGACATGTACTTATCCCAATCCACGCGGCAATTATTCCTCGCGTGTTCAGATCCAATTTCTCGAAGACAATGGCAACCAAAGTATGCTGATCTTGAACAAACTTCAGATTACCTTAGACTGTGATTAATAAATGTAGTGTTGGGTATCGCAATGTCTCGGGGCGATCGCAGCGCGACGCTGTCGTTGCATTGGATATCGATAAGCCAATTGATAACGGCTTTGAGTTTCGCGCGTTGACAACACCGGGGTTTGAGGGTACAGCTAGTGATGGACTTATCAACCTTGCTGGCTTTTCAGGTGTTGAACAGGCAAATGGCGATATTGATTTGTTTCTCGTCAACTTGCGACCGTCGGTTGATGCCGAGGGAGGACTTTTAGATCAATATGTTCACGGTGGAAATGACACTATTGAGCACTTTGTCACTGGTCCTGGAGCGGCGGAAATGAAACATATCCGCACTTATTCTCACCCAGGAATCGTTACGCCAAATCGTGTTGCGGCGCTGGATGATGGGACGTTTTATATCAGCAATGATCACGGTCCTCATAAATTCGGCTGGGTAAATACTCCACCTCCCATTTTACAGCTTCTACTAACAAACCAGCGCCATCACCTTTCAATGATTCTAGGCTTCTCCGACGTAACTTTCTGCGATACACAAAGCTGCAGACCCGTTGCATCCAACCTCCAGTTCCCCAACGGTCTCGTCATAAAGGACAATACCCTCTACCTTCCAGATTCTATAACAGGTCGTTTATACATCTACCGCATCCTTCCCAACCGCGATCTCGAAAAGATCGACGAAGTTGATCTCGGCTATGGCGTTGATAACGCATCTATCGATGAGAATGGTGATATCTGGATCGCCGCATTTCCTATCGGCGTTGAGATTTTCAAGGCATACAATGATCCGTATAATGCTCATCCGCCTAGTACTGTGCTGAGAGTTAGGAAAGTTGAAGGAGAGTATGTTGTTGAGAAGATGGTTGAGGATGCGGAGGGGGAGGTTTTGCCGGCTGCGACGACGGTTGTGCATGATGCCAAGACGGGAAGGCTTTTCTTGAGCAGTAAGTTGAGTCACTATCTGTAAGGACTGCTATTAATTCTTTAAGGCGTTATTTCACCATTTATCGCTGTTTGCGAACCAAAGTTGTAGATACAAACTATCGCTGGTCATTGGTTTCCATAGTAAACTCAACTCTCCACCAACGTTCCCTATCGCAGACTCATTTGACTCGACAAAGACGACCATTGTCCTTCTGTTCCCACTTCTCACTTCCAACACAAGGAAAACACCACAAAACATCATCAGGATCAACACCCTTCTTGATCGACAGAAGTTTCTCGTAATTGTTACCCCAAAAGGCATGCTGCCAATCTGGTTCGAAAGGAAGAGCCTAGTACATGTTAACATCAATTCCGTCCAACGATGAGATAGCCTTACCTCGTTAACATAGGCGCCTGTATTTGGCGACAGCTCCCTAAATGGCTCCATGGATGTATTCAACGTCTTGACTGCCTCAGCCTTAGAAGTCTTGTTGAAAGGTTCAAAGGACTCTCCAGAAACTAAGGTTCCGTCAGTAAACTCCAAGCTGACCTCTCAAGTATGGCAAACTTACTCGCATGAATATAACTCTTCCTCCAGCCAGGATTAACAGCTGCACTCCCCCCTCTAGGCTTCGCTTCCCTAACACCTTTCCCAGCGATCAAATGAACCATCAACCCCGCAGCAGACACCAAACTCTCCTCCAACGCCCCTCTCAACTTCTTCTCACCCTCCAACGCCTCCCCACTCACCAACCTCGAAGCAAGATAAAGCGTCACCCCCGCAGCACCCTGATCAAAATAAACATCATACCACTCCAAAAACGAGCCATACACTTCCTTCGTGGCACTAAACTGCACAGCCCCCGGCCAGCGTTTCTGAATACTCTCATTAATCGGCTTGAACAGCTTAATTATGTACTCTGGATCGTTAACGTCCTGTGCCGCAAAAACACCTTGGATCCCTGCTACTTCTTCCGGGCCGCCGGCGGGGTTGGGCGTTTTGGGGCTGAGAGATGTATAGCCTGAAAGACCGGCGTCGGACAAAGAGGGGAATTGGGAGAGGATGTAGGCGAGGAGATCGTATTTGAAGGGGGCGGCTGCGGAAGTTCCGATCGTGAATGCTGATGCGGTGATTTTGGGTGTTTTGTAGACTTTCATTGTGATGGATGTGAGGATGCCAAAGGTTGAACCGCCGCCCTGGATTGTCAGTATAATTAGCTACTTAAATGGTGAAGCACTTACTCCTCGCATGGCCCAAAAGAGGTCAGGATGATTATCTTCATTGATGGTCAAGATCTTTCCAGAAGGTGTAACCATTGTCATCTGGAGAACTTGATCAACTGCAAGGCCATGCTTAGTCGACAAGAGAGAATGGCCGCCGCCGGTAACGTAGCCTCCCAAACCGACAGTCTTTCCACCACCGCCAACAGCTACACGATCATACTTGTCCAACACGGTGTAGAGATCATACATCTGGGTTCCTGCGCCAGCAGTAACGGCATCGCCAGTGATAACAGTCTTGGAGTTATAAAGCTTGAAGGAGCCTTTATGGTAGGTTATGTTTTTGAGATGGTGGGTCCAGAGGGAGAGAGAACCGGGAGCTATGGAACGGCCCATGTAGTCGTGGCCTGTGTTCTTGACAACGAGTCTGACGTTGTTTTTCCGAGCTACCGTTTGTGAGTAAGAGCTCTTGTTGAATCATAAAATACTTACCAAAGTCAACACCAATCTTGATATCCTCCGCCTCGGTAACATTAATAACGTAAGCAGGATATCCAGTTCCACTACACGGATAACTCTCATCCGGAAGACAAGTCCAGTTCGAATACTGATCGTAGATAAGAGAAACAGGATCCTGCGTGTGAAGATCATAATGCTTCCAGGCTTCAGCGACCTTGGGACAAGTATCTTTATCATAAGATGGCCAGCCTTTGTGACAAACAGCTCCAGGAGGAACGGGCGCAAAGAGTCTCCCGTCTAAAGTGTCATTGAGACGGGACCATGCTTTATGAGAGGGCCAGTCTGAAGACCCAGGGTATGCCTTGCAAGTCTTGGGGACAGAATTTCCCAGAACTGAAGGGAGGAGAAAAAGGACGAGATGGTAGAGACGAGTCATTGTGAACTGCGACAAATTGAGCTTGAAATGCAATTTAGGCAATGAATTGTCGGTTTATATAGACAGATTCTGAAATGGCCCCCATCTTGGCATCGCATACATCGTATAAACACGTTCTAAACGAGGGATCATGTTCCGAGACTAAAGCAGACTTTTTGCGGCGTTGATGTCACGGCCCAGTCAAAAACATGCGTATTAGTCGGTTCTGTAGCTCAGCCCTGCCAAGAGGGGTCAAATTGTGGAGGTGGCTTGAATGGGGGATCATGATGCGAGATACGGGGCTTCATTGTCATATTTTGTGGAGGGAACGAGTCTGAGTGATTGGTCCGTGGGTGATTTGATTCAGAGGGTCATTGCCGGTAGACTAACAAGCAAAGTATTCTCTATCAATCTTCCCCAGGTCTCAAATGCTTTGCGACAATCACCTATCCATGACTCGAATAAGCCATCAAGGAATGAGCACCGTCAATAGCTAACTATTGCGCTCATTTGACTCCCGAAATGCCGAGATCGAGAAAAACAACTCATTCCAACCCCTGTCACTCCTCGCCATATCATCCCAAAAACGGCCTAACTCCATGCTCGTAATCAATGCTTAATCTCAATCCAGTAAAGATCAGGGCCAATTTCCTCCCCCAGACCCCTAATACTGCCCGTTTCCTCCTCTCTCGCGTGGCTGTCGCAAAAATGCCTTCAATCACTCATTTCTTGTAAAAGCCTGCCTACGTCAGGCGTCGTCACTCCCTCAAAATGCTGCGGCTCTCGCTGCTCGTCCACTCCCTAGTATCTTTATGTCTCGCGCGCAAAACAGACGGTGGAACGGTTTGGGCGACGCCGCATGATAGTTACTCCTCGTCAATTGGCGTCCCCGGGTGCAAAGTACGCGACATTACTCAATCGATTCATTCAATCGGGCTAACATCACCAGGTCAACACGAATCGCATCGCCTACTGGCCTTACTCCGTTGACTGTAATAACATCTGCATCGCGCTCACCTACCAAGACCGCACCGTACATCTCCTCCGCGTCGATCAATCCCAAGGCGCCTACGACGTAAGCTACGATGCGTGGAATTACCTCTACACAGGCTACTCAGCCACCGACAAACCTACAGCCGGCGGTCCCGTCGAAATGACATACTCCAACGCCGACGCTTCGAAATGCTCCGATTTAATACATACAAAAAAGAGTAGACTGCCCCTCAGCGCAGCGAACAGCATGAACTTTTTGACATCGTGTCTCGACCGGAACGAGAGTACCTGGGTTGGCGACAATTACGTTCTCTACAACATCCTCGACTCAATATGTACGCTTGGACACGATGAGACGTGTGAATTGGATTATCCGGCTGAGAATCAGGCGAAGTGTTCGCATACGATGGGCGTACCGGATGAACTGAAGGGGGAGACGGTTGTTAATATTAGGTATCCTAGTGGTGAGAAGGTTAGCGCTGCTGATGGGAAGCCAGCGGATGAGGATGGTGCGATGGGGTTGGAGAGACCAAGTGGAAAGGCTTTGGCGATTGTTGCTTTGTTTTCGGCGTGTCTTGTTCTTGGGATGTGATGCGTTGATTGATGCGATGCGATGCTGATGATGTTGGAGTTGGTGGAGGATGATAATGTCAAGATACCCTAATGTTTTGTTTCAATACCCATTCAATTGAGCAATTAATTCCACGGCACCAAATTAAACTAAACATGAATTAACTGTGTCTTACAATTTGGTTTCAACGCCGACATAAGAGAGTAGTTCCATCGTCAGGCAAATGGCCTGTTGTCGCCATTTATTTGCCCAGATTCAGCGCGTCTTTGACTTTGCCCATCGCCGACTTCTGCTGTTGTTGTCCACCCTCCTCACTTGGTCCAACATCATCCTGACACAACGCATCTTTTCCATGCATCTACCATTCGTTAGCACATGTAGTCAATTGAACAAGCGACATACCTTTAGTTCTTCCAGCTCGGCCTGGTGGATGACATCGTGAACCTCTTCAGCCGTCTCATCATTGAGACCAGTTGGGGCCTTTGGGCCAGAAGATCTTCTTCTCTCCGACATGATGTTTTGTCTTGCTGTATCGTGTAATATTGTATATGTCTCTTGGTGTTTCTGATCAAACCTGGGAAGGGTGTCAATTGACCGGGAGGCCAGCTTCATATAACTCCAGCTCTCATCTCTCGTGTCGTCATCCCTCCCATACCTCACGATAAAATGATGCTGACCAACGTCATGTTGAACCATCGCGGGGTCGAAATGGTATCGTTGGACGACAATCTCGAGACCCCTCATCATCACAGTGTAAATGGCGCTGCGACAACATGTCACTTGACCATGAGTCTCGTTATTTGAAAGTACAGTTTGCGTTCACATACCGTGACTGACAATCATCATACCACGCTGAGAATATAAACGCTTCGTCCCGATACGTTGAAATGCTTAATATCCGCACGATGACATCGCGAAATGCTTATCTTTGTCTTGTTAGTGTTCAGCTGCTCGTGTGCCATCGTGTGACTTTTGGGGGATTGGATAGAAGTGCCCGGCCATGATATCACTTCGGCATTCTCCATTACTTGAGTTTTGGCAAAGAGCCATGATCTGATCGATTGGTTTTCTTGCTGTTAGATTTGTGCTTTCATCTTGTGATGTGACACTGAATTGGGCCATAGCCTCTTGCATCCTTTCCAGTCACTCCAATCTTTTAATTGGACTCTGTTAGTGGGAATTATTCGGGCTTCAGGATCCAGGTCCATGGCTCCAAGCATAGCGATGGAGCTTGCTAGGCTCCTACGATACAAATCAATGCAGTCTGCAATCGTTTAGACAATTACACACCTTCCCAGTGGTTAGTTCAGTATAGCCCAGCTTAGATCGGTAATCATATAAGGGCCGACATTGATCTGCCGGGACAAGGGCTCCCTACCCTTACCCTGCAACCTGAATACCAGGGAGATCGGCAGGACTAGTAATTATCTACCGGATTCAGAGAACATACATATTTATCAGACGCTTATTGGAGCATAGTTTCAAGATCTTTTACTTCTATCGAAATGTGAGCTTTGTCTCTGGAAGGAATACCGCCTACGTTCATTTACGACGTCTCTCAAACCTCCTACATGCATGTAAAACAACTAATCATCAACATGAACAACTACATAACGACCTGATCAGATGACTTGTTTGTTCTCATTCCTAACTCGAGACGTAACTATGTTCGCGACTTGCCCATTCCTTTTCTCTTGCATGATTCACTATCTTATCAGCGATAAGATAACGACTCGAGGAGCTTCTTGGCTGATGAACGCCAAGTTGTAAGATGACGGCGATAATTATGATGGACAGAACCTGGAATTGTAGATACGAAAATCCTGAGTTTCTATGCAATCAATTCATTAGCAAATCTCCAGCCCTACGACTCCTGTCGATCCAATTTCGATACGCAACAACCAATAAACCGACCCAATTGAAATTACTACATCGTACAAACGAGGCAGTGCAAATCACCCAAAAACTTTATCGCCAAGCAGAATCCGCCAAAACACCAAGATTCTCGTGCCGACTTAGCCGCCCAATCCGGCTCAACATTCTTGGCCAAGTGGACCCAGCTGACGTGTATTGGAGCCCCCAAACGTGTCTTTTCACCTTCATCATCTTTTCTACAATATTATTCACTTCTTTACACAGCCTGGATCGATCTCCGCGGTTGTATTTCAGTGCTATCTGTTGTTCTTGGTATGTTCCGTCGTGCAAGGGGTATTGCTTGACTAGACCGCGACGCCAGACGGAGACACAGGGATCTCATAGGCTGGAAGATGCCGAGTATGGGGTTTGAGGATAAGACGACGTACAATGACAAGTATGTCGTTTTGTACGATTTTGGCGATACGGGTGAGTAAGAGAGTATAGTATGAGCTAAGATGAGGCGCTGATTTTGATAGATCATGATACTGCTATTCAAGAGTTCAAGACCCTAGTCGCAGACCTGGAAGAAACTGGTTTCGACGTCGAAGTCAGAGCTGGTTATGAACAATCCCTTCTTGTATTCGCCAAAGCACCCCGTGAACTCCTCGGGAACGCGGTTTATAAATCAAGGCAAGTTGATATTCCCCCTCAACAGTATGTTTATCTAACAGAGGCAGCAGGGTTAAGGACTGGCTATACGGCATAACGCCAAATCACCCAGGTGGTGATAAAAACACAGTCGTCGACGGAGCTTACGAGGCAGAAGATATCCTCTCGGTCTATCATATCGTCAATTGGTCCAAGGATCTCGGTGGTGCAGGCATCACACCCGGAACAGGAAAATGGGAGAACGTCAAGGCGATATTCCCCATCCATAATTCCAAGGTTAATCAGTCTTTGCTCAAGTATTTGAGCAGAAAGTTTTTCTTGACGAACGAGGACATTGATCAGATTCGAAACCTCCATGGCTCAAAGGTACGCCCCTCTCCCTTTTACTCATCAGAATACTAGCTGATACGCCCAGGTCGCTTTTTACTTCGCCTTCATCCAGGCTTATCTTCTCTTCCTCACATTCCCCGCCATAACAGGCGTTATCGCGTGGCTCTGGCTTCCACGATATTCCCTCGCCTACGGCATTCTCACGAGCGTCTGGTGCACTGTGTTTCTCGAGTACTGGAAGATTCAAGAAATTGATCTTAGTCTGCGCTGGAACGTCAAGGGTATTCATCATGTCAAAGTCAACAGGCCGCAGTTCAAGTATGACTATGAGTATGTTGATGAAGGCGGACGAAAACATTATGTCTTTCCTAGATGGAAGAAGGTCGTGAGACAGCTGTTGCAGATTCCGTTTTTGATAGTGGCGTTTCTGGCACTGGGTATCACTATCATTGCGGTGTTTACTATTGAGATTTTGATCTCCGAGACATACGCCGGCCCATACAAGGATTACTTGGTAGGTCTCTCACTTTCACTAACAACGCCTGGTCTAACATCCGTAGGAATATCTTCCAACAATTCTCCTAGCCGTATCTCTCCCTTACATTACCTCCGCCCTCGAAGACGCAGCCGAATGGATGACCGAGTTCGAAAACCACCGCACCGCCGATCTCCATGAAATGTCACTCACCCAAAAAGTCTTTGTCCTCAACATGTTCACAAACTATCTCCCCATCTTCCTCACGGCATTTATCTACATTCCCTTTGGTGGGACCGTAGTTCCCAAGCTCGAAAATTTCTTATCAGCTGCATTTGCTAGCGTCGGCAAGAAATTCGTTCATCAGCCATTTCATCTTGATGCTGATAGGTTGAGAAACGAAGTCATCGCACTCACCGTCACAGGTCAACTATCAGGCTTCTTTGAAGAGAACATCGTTCCGATGCTGAAGCATAAGTTTTCGGATTGGTATAGAGATTATCGAAGGGCGAGATCAAAGGGCGATATGCTTCTTGCGGTGGTCAAGGATGATCCTGAAGAAACAGCGTTCTTATCACGAGTGCGCAATGAGGCGATTCTTCCAAAGTACAACGTCCAAGATGACATTGCAGAAATCGTTCTCCAATTCGGTTATCTCGCTTTATTTTCACCGGTCTGGCCAATCATCCCAATGGGTTTTCTCATCAACAACTGGATTGAGCTACGATCTGATTTCGCAAAGATTTCATTGGAGCATCAACGCCCCGCGCCAGTTCGCTCAGACGGAATTGGCCCTTGGATCTACTCCCTCGAAGCGTTAACATGGCTCGGAAGTATCTGCACCGCCGCCATCGTGCATCTTTTCAGCGCCGATAAAATCGGTAATACATTGGGAAACTGGGCGACTCTCCCCGTCACGGTCTTTATCAGCGAACACGTTCTTCTCCTCCTTCGATCTTTGGTCCGCTTTACTCTTCAACAGATTGGTTCAGAGCGTATTCGAGAAGATTACAACCAGCGCTATGCAAACCGCGTTAAATACCTTGAAGAACTGGAGACGAAGAAACAGCAATCTGGACTGGCGGTACGTGAAGCGCATCGTGAGCGACGCAAGTCAGTTTTGGTGATGGAGAGGGATCCGTTTTGGACGAAGCAGGTCCATGATGGTGCTAGTGAGTTGGCGGGTGTTACTCTTATTCAACAGGTCAAGAGGAATGAAGAGCCAGGGGATCAGGAGAAGAAGGACTAGGCGCGATACGCAACAGAATCAGTGTATAGATTACAGACCAAATTGTTTCATATGTCATTACAAAATGTATTTTATTAATTATTCACATTCTTTTCAATGCCTCGGTCATCGGTATCTTCCATCGCCAAGACACGGCCGAGACATTCGGCTGTCTCATCCGAAAGAATTTTAACTCTTGTCATCATTCCAGACTTGCCCATCACGCGATTGTTGCAGGCTGGTTGCGGGGTCTGAACCTTAAAATGCCGGATGCGAAAGACTTCTCAGCTCTCATGATGAGCTGACGAATACCTCGTAACTCGTTTCTTGGTGCCTGTGTTGGGAATAGTGATAATGAAGTGCCAAGAAACTCTTTCGTGTAGACAAAGTATAAGGATGCTCTGACCGATCATGTCCATATTCTCCATGATCTGATTGTCAAGCTCAAACTAAGACATCAAGATGAGATTCACTGATATTGTCTCCACGGTTTTCGTGGCTGGTACAGCTTTCGCGTTTTCTCATGATGCGCAGCATCGTCTTCATGACAAGAATAACGTCGCTGGCACCGCAGACAGTAATCCGAAATGTCATCTTCCCGCCCCATTGAACCCCTCCGACGACGGGCTTGACAGTTCGCAGGGCTTGTTTTCCAGCAAGAAAGCACTGCAATTGATGGTCAAGAAACATCAGTCCCTTGTCCGTATCCCATCGATCTGCTATGACGATATGGGAGATTTGGATACGGATGATAGGTGGAAGCCATTCAACGACATTCCAAAAATGCTAAAGAAAGCATATCCCACCGTGTTAGTCCATTCAATCACCCTATATGAATAACAATCTAAATAAAATCAGTCATAAACACATCACCCCAGAAAAAGTCAACAGATTCGGCCTCGTCTACACCCTCCACGGCTCCGATAAATCCCTCCAGCCAATTCTCCTAGCAGGCCATCAAGACGTCGTACCGGTAGCCGCCGGAACACTCCACGAATGGGTCCATCCGCCCTTCGACGCATTCTACAACGAAACCGATGGCTATCTCTGGGGTCGCGGTGCTTCGGATGATAAATCAGCCATCACAGCACAAATGTCTGCCCTAGAAGCACTTTTATCTCAGAAGACTTACAAACCCCGACGCACGGTCATTCTGGCTTTTGGGTTTGATGAAGAATGCTCTGGTCACCGTGGCGCAGGTCATATCTCGAAACATTTAGAGAAGAGATATGGAGAGCATGGCATTGCTGCTATTCTCGATGAAGGCGGTGCTGGTCTTCAGAAGATGGGAGATGTTTTATACGCACTCCCAGCAGTCTACGAAAAGGGTTATCTTGATGTTTGGTTCAACGTCAGTGTTGTCGGTGGCCATAGCTCCGTGCCAACACCGCATACAGCAATCGGCATAATGGCTGAAATCGTTACGACACTGGAACACAATCCCTTCAAGCCCGAAATCGCCAAGGACGGTGCCATTCATCAGTGCCTCGCTTGCTTCGCCGAGCATTCACCCCATGTCTTCCCAGATCTCACTAAGCTTGTCAACGGTGGAGATCTACAAGGTGTTGCGCAATTCTTGACTAAGCTGTCGCGCGATATGCAGTACATGGTTCAAACCTCACAGGCAATTGATGTTATATCTGGAGGTCAAAAGATCAACGCTTTACCCGAGTTTGTGACTCTTGGCGTTAACCATCGGTATGCGCCGCAGGATAGCATTGGGAGCATTCAGCATCGAATTGTCGGGTTGATCAAGGATATTGCTGCGAGTCATAAGCTTCGAGTGGAGGCTTTTGAGGATGATGAGGATTATGATGAGTATCTCGCTGCTAACAACCTCTCGCGCCAATGCAAGAAGGATGATGATCTCTGGCATCAAAATTACAAGGGTACTTTGACCATCACAGCCAAGAAAAAGTCGTACATAACACCTCAATCACCAACAACCGGTCCAGTTTGGGATATTTTCGCAGGAACTGTACGATATTCATTTGCTCAAGAGGCCAAGACAGTCGTTGCAGCTCCAGGAGCCATGACGGGCAATACCGACACTCGACATTATCTCAGTGAGTTTCAAGTCTAGGGTATTTCGTTCCTCTGCTGACCCCAATCAGATCTCTCCAGAAACATCTACAGGTGGAGCCCCGGCAGCCTCAAGTCATTCTCCAACATCCATGGCGTTAATGAACGGCTATTGATGAGTGAGCAAATGAACATGGCAAAGTTTTACTACGATTTTATTCGTAATTTCGATAAGGCCGATGTCTAGGGACAGAAATGGGGAACATCACATGTAAATAGGCCAAGGCCAGAATGTCACGCTTCTTCGTAATTCTTCCGTTCATCTGAACTTGTTCCGTTCCGTTTCTTCGCGCTGAAATGATCTCCACTCACCTGTTACATCCGGCAATGAACCCCCTGTGAGCATCAATTTCCACCAATCACTTCACCTTCACCTCCGCCAAGGCTGTGAGATTGATTCTGGCGATTGAGTTTTGAGAATTAATTACAATCTACGATTGACTTTACATGGGAACCGGTGATATAAAATAGACACTATTTCACTTGTATTCTTCACTTACAGTTATAAACAACCTTATATCGAAACGCCAAGTTGTTTCTCCAAACAGTTTCGCGATTCCCTCGCCCAATCGCCCAAAGCGCTTAGATGTCCGAGATATGAGACGTCTCGCGTAGCTGACAAGACAGGGTATCTCACCAAACTCACCAAATCTCAAACAAAACCCCTTAAACAGTTTCTTCAAGCATTGGCTGATGGCCCAATAATCGTCGCCGGCGTCTAACGTAAGGAACAGTTTCAGTTGGCGCGTATTACCCACCGATATTCCAGCAATGAAGTGCACATCCGAGAAACAAGGGGATCCTCTGCCATGGCTCCAATTTACCTAGATAAAGGCATGGACTTCCCTCCTGTTTCCGTCTCTTCTTTCTTCTCCTCATCCCATTCTTTCCATCCAAAGATCTGATTCTTACTTTCGCAGCTGTTGCTTGCGCCTTTCTTTTCACTTTTTCTCTACGAGATCATTTCATTCTTTGCAGACCCTGGTGGTTTAGCTATTCTTCGTGTCCAACTCTACGAAACTACCACTATAACAATCCTTTTTTAAGCAACATTCAAGATGCGATCCTCTTTCTCTACCGCTCTGGCCATCGTCGCCGCTCTCCCTACCGCTTTCGCGCACTACAACTTCGACGCTCTCATCGTCAACGGCCAGGTCACCGAGCCTTATGAGTACGTCCGCAAGACCACCAACAACAACAGTCCCATCACCGACGTCACCTCCAAGGACATCATCTGCAACGCCGGTGGTCTCGACAAGGATATCCGCGCTGCTACCAAGACTCACAAGGTTTCTCCCGGTGATGAGGTTGGTTTCACCGTCGCCAACGACATGGGTCACCCCGGTCCTCTCGCTGTCTACCTGAGCAAGGCACCTGATGGCACCGAGGCTTCTGACTACCTCGGTGATGGAGACTGGTTCAAGGTCTACGAGATGACCTGGAAGAGCATTGGTGAGCAGGGCATTGAGTGGGCCAACTACATGAACGGTCAATCCAACGGTATCACCAACTTCACCTTTACTCTTCCCAAGGAGACTCCCAAGGGTACTTACCTCATGCGCGCTGAGCACGTTGGTCTTCACGGCGCTGGTGAGAAGAACGGTGCTCAGTTCTACATTGGCTGCGCCCAGCTCACCGTTGACGGTAACGGTGCCGGCAAGCCTTCTCCCGTCGTCTCCCTCCCTGGTGCTTACACTGCCACCGACCCCGGTCTGCTCCTCAGCATCTACTACCCTCCCGTCACCAACTACACTGCTCCTGGCCCCAAGGTCTGGCCCAGCGGCTGTGAGGATCACACTCCCAACTTTGCTGGCCAGGCTAGCGACGGTGACTGCACCAACGACAAGGGTTCCGACTCTGGCAGCGCTGCTCCCGTTGCCAGCGCTGCTCCCGTTGCCAGCGCTGCTCCCGTTGCCAGCGCTCCCGCTACCGACGCTCCTGTTGCCTCTTCTCCTGCTACCGATGCTCCCGCCGCTTCTGCCCCTGCTTCCACAGAGGCTGCCAGCGCTGCTACTCCCACTGAGGCTCCCGTTGAGCAGCCTGCTGAGACCTCTGCTCCCGTCGCTACCAAGGCTCCTTCTACTGGTGGCAAGTGCAAGGCTAAGCGTGCCGCCAAGCGCGCCGCCAAGCGAGCTGCTAAGCGAGCTGCTAAGGCCAAGCGTGCCCTCAAGCACTAAGCTGAGTTTGTGTGAGATGGATGATTGAGATTCTGATCTTTACGTGGATGGAATGATGGATCGTTACTGGATCCCACGTAAAACATATTCTTTGTACATAGTGATTGAGTCACCGTATACATATAGCAATTGACGTGTGAACAAACGAATATCTCTGTATAATGTGATATGTTTCTCATCACTTTGATCTCTGATGGTGACTGTGAATGCTTCATTAATTCCGTTGGCTTTTACCCCGCATGACCTGAGTTTGGCTCTTCCGTGGCTTGTCACATCACCGCCACAAACTGCCTTCTCAGCACAGCCACAATACCCTGTCTCAACTCTCAACACCAGTCATACAATCGAGTTGAGAGGTCATCAAGTTAATGCGCCAACAACATGGTCCCATTTTTTTTAAATGTAAAATTATGCAGTTGAATGACAATATCTTACAGAATTACATAGTATATATCTGCAGTACCGATATGCAAGAGCTAGAATTGACAGTCCAAAATTGTCTTTGAACATTGTTATTTAACCTGACTCTTTTCGCTCCTCTCAGTTATCCATGGCAAACCAGCAGAAAGACTATAGAACAAACCCCAATCAGGCGTTCTGGATCATCGCACTCTCAAATGACTGGCCGAACCCATCGATCAACCACGTTGAAGCAACCTCAGGACCCCTATGGCGTTATCTCAGCTCAAATGTCACCATCAACGCCCCTCTGCACCCTTCAACGCAGTAACATCGCAGCAAGGCTGTAGTCCATGCATGCAAATCTCTGAACTATTGAAGCATCGAAATCTTCTCGAACAAACGTGCCGTGCGCAGAGATCGAAAGTTACTGCATATGCAAGATCCGACTATTGACAACGGGTGCACTCCATCCTTGACGCGCATCCAATGCATCTGTCACAATACTTCAGATGGCGCCATCGATGGATGAATGTCGCAAGGTGAGAAGGTCCAATTAAGCTTACTTTTTGGGTCGGACTATCAGTACATATGCGAGGATATGGCGTGGGGTATCACAGCATATTATCAGAGATAAGAACTGACCTTGATGTTACGCCGTTATCAATAGACATCAAGACTTCATATTTTACCAGATACTCATTCGTATCTGAATTGTTTTCGAAAGAATAGCCATAAAACTCTGAAGAGGGATATAAAGTTTTGGCGGCACTGAGAAGTTACCTCATAGTGTCGATAGTCTCATGCACCTTGTCCGTCTTATTATAACAAGTTGGAGATTTCTCGAAGACTTCTTAAAGGCTGTCTGTCAGTCGTAATATCCGTTACAACTTGAAAAAGCAAAAAAACAATCTTTACAGACTGCAAATCATACATGCATTGGGAGGCAGCCTGTCTTCTGTCTCTACGCCCTTGGTATGTGTATATATGACACCAACTTACATAGCTGTCACCCTATAGATGAGGCACAGATTCGGAGAATTCGACGCGGTCCACTTAAATCTTGCAGATATGAGTGGCGTGCATGTTTATTGAAGTTAATGGGGAAATGGACATGTGCCGCATTCTGGGCTGTTTAAGAAGGATGGTAGGCAGTATGAATAGATATTGATAATAATGAAGCCTAAAACGGGGTCTAAACAATAAATAAACCATATAGATAGTTCGTGGCATCATCACAAGACATTTGTATGATGGCTGTATCTAGGTATCAACGTCGGGAGCTTTGGGTACAAGAAAGAGACGTTGGGGTCGAAGGAAACTGCCTTGCTACAGATCAACAGCACAAGAAGCTAAGGTATTTACATCCAGTACGTTTGTTAGCTAACCAGCGGGCGGGAACGTTGGTAGAAAAAGCTAGCTACGAGGTTAAAGCTGCTTGGACATGCTCTTGGAGGGCTTCAGTCATGAAGTCAGACATTATCCACCGAATGCATAATGCAGAGGGCAATTGTAATCCATCCGACTCGAATAAATGAGAACCCAGAAGAATTTTCCAAGTCAAAGTTGGCCAAGAGCACGAGTTTGGCTGACCTGGGATAAGGCCCGTCAGCAAGCGGAGAAGACGCAAAAGAAGCCATCTCCGCCCGCAAACCTCCATCGTGACCTGTCCAATGGCAAATACCTTTCCGCAAACTCTCATGAATTAAACTTTAGGACTATAGTCACAAGACATCCATAAAAGTCAACTGTTACTAAGGAAAGGTTTAATTCATCTCCATACGGCAATTACCTCCTCAATTCGGTCTCGTATTTCCAAATGGCATGCTGTTGACCCGTTAGCTGGGACGACTGGAATGCGGGAACCGTTAAAAGTCAGAGACCCATGCGCCACCGCGTCTCATTCAAAGACAGCGAGCACTGGCTAGAGGGTTCGGCGCCGTGGCGGATTTTATCTGAGGCGCAATTGCGCTAGGCACAGTGACCAGGAACGCGCTTCTACTGGAATGCTGATCAGTGCGTAAAGCGACGACGTCTCAATTCAGTTACAAAAAGCACATCTGGGGAGTAGCTTGGGATGAAGTGCATTCTTTACGACTGGTGAAGAGCTCGATTGGTGGCCGACTTCTTTTGGGCGTGTTGCAACCAGCATTTAAGGCACGAATTTCAATCAATTGTCCACGTTTTACACCGTAGAAAGATGTTACAGACGGTAGATGAATTTCGTGTCAACTGCCGTATTCATTCAGTGTTACCTGGACGTCATGATCACGAACATTATACGAAGTCCACCTTGGCAAAGAGTTATCGTTCAAGGAAAATCCCATTGAATGACACATGTAGGGTGAACTCCGAGCCTCGTATCGCCAAACTTTAAACCGCAAGGCTCTCAACTGAATCTGCTGAACAAAATCTCGGGGCATAGCTCGATACCCTAATTCTCCAGCCTCAAGTCAATGACGCTGAGGTCCGACAGAATAGAGTATTGAAGGCTTGCTTACCCGATGTCACACAACACTTCCGGCGAATCCGCATTCTGGTGGCTTTTCTCAGCTACCAATGCTGGAAGACTTGGGTCAGCATGCAGAAGGACGGTGAAGAATACATCTACTAATGGCATGCTGTGCTGTATGCATCGGATGTCGGGGGTATAGTGACGGCATCAATATCATTTGTTGGAGGAGTAGCTCAACATGGACGATGGGCTTACGTTAAGACAACACAGTCATTGGACAATGCCGTAAGATGCTTACTGCACGTGGGTCGTGTCGATTTCAGGCAATATGCTGAGAAAGTCTGACTGCAGATCAGGCGTTGTCTGAAGGCATCGACTTAGGTGATTACTCCTATAGCTCTGCTTGACCTATCATGGATGACGGCGGGTAAAGAGTTACACGACGTATCTGCCAGTTAATGATCTGATAGTGCCGTGTCAAAAGAAAACGCCATGTGAAAAAAGCAATATCGAGCTGAAAAGCCAATTGCCACAGATGTTAGTGATAAACACTGCAGCAAACAAGGCTCGCTCGGACCCAAAAGAAACATGCATCATCCTTTGACCTCTACATGGATTACAGCTTCAGCTATTCAGCCGTAAAAAAAAAACAACTCACAATGGCAGTCATCAGCTGACCTGTACAGCCAAGGATTTTACAGTTGTGGCAAAACGACTATTTTCTGCAGGCGTTAATAAAGTTACCAAACATTAGCAACTCCCCCAAAAAGAATTACAGGGAAAAGAGGCAAGTAATCGGGGGGCCAGCCTCTCGTGTTCTGGGACCAATTGAAAGTCATGGAGCCCTGGATCGTCACAAACAGGCGGATAGTGTTTCCTGGTTATTGGAGACTAGACCCCGCAAATAAGCGGCGGAAAACTCTATCACTCGTGCCTTGATAACGATGAGCTTTTCTCTCCTGATGCTAGAGCTGCAGGTGAGATTTGCCAGCCAAGCTTAGCTGTAGCGATTGAAAATGCAATGTCAACCAGGTTTGTTCCCCGTAGCGGCCTGGAAACGTCACGATTATTCAATGATATCTACTCACATCAAGCTTGGCCTGTCCATCGTGAGTGTAATCGATGCTAAAGGAGTAAGACATCACCGTCATGGTAAGAAAAGCGAACTGAGACTACCAAAGTTAAAATTACCCGAGAGAAAAGAACGATGAGAGCTAGATCGCAACGGTTCTAACCGGTAAAGTATTAGTCAAGGAGTTATGCGCGTTGGCAAGAATAGATTTCCCGTGTCTGCACAAGCGTAGCCAATCAGATACGTGATTCGCAGTCTTGAAATCATGATCAACAGCGAGCTAAAGTCAGGCCAAGACTGTCCCCGCGATCGAGCTTAGGGCTCTAAGCTTCTGGAGAACAAGGGTCCCCTGTCAAGAACTTGAACTGTAATTCGCATGAGTTGGCGTCCACTATTGAAGCGACACGATGTTTTTCTTTTCCTTTCTTGCATCGGATCCTCGGGCGGGGTCGATGAAACGAAACGAAACAAGACCAGTGATTCTCTGGGCGAGATCGACAGAGCAGAACAGAACAAACATCCCTTGCATATCGCCATATGCAGTTATTCCAGCATGTTCCGACGTCTGGTTAATGAGTACAACGCTCTCTCGCCCTCCATCGGTTGTCGGAGACGGAACGGTCGGTCACTATCATTTCCCCTCTTTAGGTGGACCACCCAATTCCCAAAAATGTGGCTGCATGCTTCTTCCCCCTCCTGACTGGTACCAACCCCTCGCGGCAGGTCAAAAAAGCAATGGCATGTTTTCCATGTGGCTGCAGCTTGGCTATATTTACCCACAGCTGCTATTCTGTTTCACCCGTGCGTGGCTGCTCTGTCTACCAACCAATCCACTCCTCGTATGTGAATGCCCCCTTTTCTGGGCCTCGTATTTACAAGATCGGGTTTTCCACTTGGCCAATTGACGAGTTACGGATCTATGTACCTCCGCGCGCATACGCTTGTGCCTGGACTCAGCTCCTTGGCAAAATACGGGAAAAATAGTCCTAGATCGCGGCTCCGACACATCCAGGCCCTGACAGGGTGTAAATGCTTGTCTCACGTCCTGGTCATGTTTCTTTCCTTTTCCCCTGGTGAGTTGTCCGTGTGTGAGACCAGGAATAACCCATTCAACCTGCATTAGCCAGCCTTACGGTCACTGTTTAGCTTCTTCTGTGTTTTCTGGCGCGGGGAATGAGCCTCCCCTCCAACGAGATGTTGCAGCTTCAACACCATCTGGAACTGCAAGACTGCATTAAACCTCGTATTCCTTAATCGGTGTGATGCTTCCACCTGTAGCCAGCGCATCTGCCGGGCGTGAAAAACGCCTTGTGCGTCACAGCTGTCATTACTAAATCGTTACACTCACTTATGCTGTGCTACTATCTATGGGAACACCAGAACATGGACCCATCGGCTCGTCGCTCTCCGCTGTGAAATGGATTCAGCTGACCGTCGAATCACGGAGATTATCCACCATGTCACTGAAACCTGGTCTACCGTCCCAAGAAACGCAGACTGGACATAAGATTAGAAATCACGGCACAAAACACTAACTTGAATTGAGTTATCGCTATCAAATCTGTCCGGTATAGAGCCGGTTCTACCTTCACGTTGCAAGTAAGCATAATGTTGGGCCTGATCTATGTCCCGTGCTGCCTCGTGCCCGTGATGGTTTGTCCTCAGCCCAACCTTCTCGTCCCCCTGTCCTGCCGTGTCTTCCCTGTTCCTCGGGCGTGGTATATGCAACCCCCCTGGGGTCCGACAGCTGACATCCACAGTTGAGGCTGGTCTGGCATGCTTGTCACACTGCGAGAGGATGATCCGGTCTAAGAGAGAATTTAGCTTTGGAACTAATGCCTCGGAGCACCATGCTTCCCAAAGTAGCATGAGCTGACTTCCTATCTGGATGCTGGGATCATCTTGGTCAAGGATGGGGACCTAACCATCAAGATCTCGTATTCCCTCTGCAGTCAACATCTCCTACTTAAACCTCATGATCTCCTCACCCAATTCGTTTCTATCTCTTCACTCTCAAGTCAAGAAAGGCACTGGTCTCTCAACTCAACTGACCTCCTCCTTCACTCGATCCCCTTCTTTCGTTTTTACTTCAAACCACTTTCGTTGCTGAAAGGCCTGCAGTTGCCTGTCATGCATATCAAATACCTCCTCATCAATCTTTTCGCCCTGACCGTCTCGGTCAAGGCTCTCCCCGATGCTGACAACGACTTCGGTCTTGAGGCTCGGGATGACTCCGACGCTCTTCAGCAGCGCTGGGACTGTGGCCATGACGCCAAGCAAGTCTACGGCAAGTGCGTCTGCAACGACAAGCAACTCACCTGGGACGGCAAGAAGTGCGTCTGCCCCAAGGGTACAACCTGGGAGTACGGCAAATGCGTGCCTAACAAGCCCTATTGCCACAAGCCTCAGACCTACAACCCTCACACCAAGAAGTGCGAGTGTCCCTACGGCACTGAGTGGAAGTATGGAAAGTGCATCCCCAAGTGTCCTCATGGTCAGTCTTACGACAAGGATCATGGCAAGTGCGTCTGCCCCAAGGGCACTGAGTACAAGTACGGCAAATGTATCCCCAAGTGTCCCCACGGCCAGTACTTCGACAAGCACCAGTGGAAGTGCGTCTGCCCGACGGGTACATCTTGGAAGTACGGCAAATGCGTAAAGGACTGCCCCAAGGGACAATACTACAACCACCACAAGGACAAGTGCGAATGCAACAAGGGCACTGAGTGGAAGTATGGCCAGTGCGTGCCCGTCTGCCCCAAGGGACAGGAGTACAACAAGTGGTCTCACAAGTGCGAATGCCCCAAGGGAACCTCTTGGAAGTACGGCAAATGCGTAAAGGACTGTCCTAAGGGCCAGACCTACAACCATCACTCCCACCAGTGTGAGTGCCCCAAGGGAACTGAGTGGAAGTACGGCAAGTGTATTCCCAAGTGTCCCCACGGCCAGTACTTCGACAAGCACCAGTGGAAGTGCGTCTGCCCCAAGGGCAAGATCTTGGAGTATGGCAAGTGTGTCTGCCCCGAGAACCAGGTCGAGGAGTACGGCAAGTGTGTCTGCAAGGACGGCTTCAAGTTAGAGTACGGAAAGTGTGTTCCCGAGTGTCCCAAGGGCCAGACCTACAAGCACGGCAAGTGTGTCTGCCCCGACGGCAAGATCTACAACAAGTGGCACAAGAAGTGCGAGTGCCCCGACGGCAAGGTCGAGGAGTACGGCAAGTGTGTCTGCCCCAAGGGACAGATCGAGCAGTACGGCAAGTGCTCGTGCCCCAAGGGCAAGTACTACGACCGCTGGAGCAAGTCTTGCAAGAAGGGCGGCTATGGTGGACACTACTAAAAGGTGTTGGTTAGGGGAAGATTCAGGGGATAGCTACTTGGTTGAGGACAGCCTTGAAGAGGCTTTGATGATCTTATGAGATTGGGTTTGAGTTGGACATAACAGGTTTACTTCGCTGGACATCCTCTTTACACTCCTTATATACTTTACTTCATAGTGGATAATACTTAAATCAAGGACATTGCGGATTACATCTTTTGCCTTTGGCCTTCGGTGACTTTACTCCTTTGAAATGGTTGACTTTGAAACTTATGGAGTTGGCCAATAGAATTTAGTGCTCTGCATACACCATACGCAAATGGGTCTTAGTCTCGTAAAAGCTAGGCCTTGTTATCAACCCTTAGGGTGAGACAAGTGATCACATAGCTTCCATAAGACGCCCTCAGTATGAATGCCTGGTAGCAATAGAAGTTGATACTCAATTACTTCCCGGCGATGTCGTTAAATTATGTATGTCCCACGAGTGGCATTTCTACCCGCAAATTCATGCCGACCAATTGAGTACGCTTGCGACTGATAGAAGAGATGTCGCGTCTTCAGACAATAATTCTTCTATTGCGGGTCTTGTTCAATAAATATCGCGAACACCTTTATTCTTTCTGCGCGACGGACAGCTGGCCTGAGGCTTCAAATCATCGCCAGGTTGGAAAGTAAATTTGTATGAAGCCAAAGAAAGAACTTAGACGAGGAGTTGGAATGTTTGAAGCCTTGATGGATGGTAGTAATTATCATTATGTATTGTTCGCCGTTGTGCCGTCTATGCGAAGTGCTCTAATCTGCCTGTATCTGATTGCCCCAACATCAAGTGAATTATTCGAAACCAATATTCCAGCGATGTCCGCATAATCGCGAGACAGAAAAGCTCTAATTCCTATAGAATAGACGCCTGCCGTCAAGAAGATACCAGTAAAGGTCTCAGCTTAATCGACAATACAACAAAAAAGGATCATTAGAATCGAAAACCAGCTCACGCTCTTCCTTAAGAACAGTGAACGACACCATCACTATGAGTGTGACACTCCTTGGGAGCCTCCTTGGTAGCACTAGGCTTAGCCGAATCCGCCTTGGTAGGAGTCTCCTTCTCCTCCGCCTCACCAGTGCATCCCTCGCCAGGAGCAGCAATGTCGTAAGCGTAAACGTCAATGGCGAAGTACTGAAGAGCGTCGCTGTCGATAACACTCTTGGAAGGGTCGGTCTTGGCGAGTTCGAGAGCTTCGGCGTAATCCTCGGCGAAGTGGTCGACGATGCCCTCGCTGATGGTAGGGACGTGGAGGACGCGGTGCAGGAGATCGGTGGCCCAGAATGTGTTGAGCTTGGATTGGGCGACGGTGTAGCCGAGACCGCAGACGGAGTCGAGGTTGCGACGGATCTCGAAGGAGAGAGGGCAGATGACGGTTTCAGTGGTGGCGTTGTCACCTCGCCAGTGGCCAGCCCATTCTGGAATCGTCAGTTTACTATTCATATCGAGCTTCTGTACGAACACTTACTATCCTGAGTAGCGCAGTTCTTGTCAGGATCATCGCAACGGAACAGCATACCCGCCTTATTCGCGTTGATAACACGATCATACCAACCAATAGGCGTAGCAGTAGATCCATTACCGAAATACTTCTGCTTAAACTCAGACTCATTTCCCCATCGGAGGAGATGGTCCTTCGCGTGCTGAGCAAGCTGAACAGTCTCATCCAGAGCATTAACCAACTGACGACGAAGCGTCGCGTTGCAAGACTGATGGATAGGATAGTCCTTGGCCCAGCCCTCAGACCAGTCGTAAACGCTGTTGGTGGCGGTAGTCTGAGGGACAGACTTTGTCTGGCTGGCCTCCTCGCGACCGAAGATGGGAGTGGCTGTTGCTGCTCCGAAGAGGACAATGGCTGCGAAGGTGGACTTGAACATCATCTTGACGGTTGATTGTAGATGGAAAGATGGATGTTTGAGATTGGCAGTTCAGTTAAGATGAGGCTGAGAGGCTGAAGAAACAAGTGTTCATGCAGGAGGTCCTGGATGGTATTTATACAGCTCTCCTACAGGCCATGGTAGCATCCGGGTTCCCAGATTCTGGGAATAGCCAGCCACCTGCTGCTGAAAACCTTTTAGACCCTTGGTTCTCTCGTGGGGGGCTCTGACAAGGTTTGACCGTTCAACCGGTCGATGTATTAGCAAACAAACCTCAACAAGAGATTTCCCAGTGGCGTCATATCCAAACAATCAACAAATCACAGGCCGGCAGTATCTATTAGGCTCACTACTAGCCTCGGTGTATTCTGTCATGTCATGTCTATCAGGGTTCTTGTTCCCACTGCGCGGTAACTATCAAGGTGTCTTGGCATCAAGAGGCAGTGGATCGGGACCCAACGCTTATTCTCAATTAAGGTAAATAATATGCTTAACCAGTTGATGCTCCGCCGTTGCGACCTTGTTGGTCAGCTATGCTTAAATCTCTGCCTATTTTATCCTCTTGCGTGGAGGTAATCCCCCACGGAATATTCGATAATTTGTCTAATGGCGCGTGATCGGTGAGATCGTTTGCATGCATGATGAGGCATTTAACAAAGCCCCGGCTCGTGTTCCCCGATGAGCTTCTGCATGGATGGATGGTTTTTGTGATTTTATACGCTGTTGCCAGTCGACTGACAGCTCTCCATCGGTTTCTTGGTTTGCGACACACTATTGGCCAAACCTTGAGGCTTCCAGGCCTCCAAAAAGGTACTCATCAACCACCTGGTTCCGTTTTGAGACGAACAAACAAGAGGGAAAAGCGAATTCAATGGAGGTTTCAATCAAATAACTTCCCTCTGTTTTGCCTATACTCATCATTCCTGTGATTGAGAAATTGTTGACGTCCGCGTTGAAGTCCCTCCATCGTTTACGTGGGTCTTTGCGCAGTGGTTATGGTCAGTCGAGCCAATTGCACGCTGACCTTTTGCTTAACAATCATTATCCATTCAAAGGTCACTAATCTTATTCCAAGTCACCAGATATCTTTCACGACATCCTCTCTTGTGAGAATTAATCTGCTCCTCTTGCTCTGTACAAAACTCAACGGTTGAAGCTGCATGCCATCCCACTTTCGCACAGCGCTATGCCTTCTCTAAATCACTAGGCCGAGCCCATAATCCCTCAGGTTCAGCGCCTTTCGCAACTCTCAACAACTTCCGCTTCTCCCTCTGCTCGTTATACGTATCCAACCACTCCTTCGAATGCCCATCCAACGGCTCAATATCATCGCTAACAAGACTTGAATTCGCCCAGTCCAATAAATCCCTCACATACATAATCTCTTCACCATCTCCCGCCAAACTATGAAACTTGCGTCCGCGTCCCTTATTAGCAACGCGCTGATCATATTCCTTTCGTAGGGAGTTTTGGTCTGGCAGGGTAGTCTTGCCAGTGAGCACCCGAGCGAGGACTTGCGCTTGGAAGTCGAAGAGTGAGAATGTTGCGGTGTAATAAGGTACGCCGATAAATGAGAGCGTTGGATCTTCGGTGTAGAATATGTCTTTGTGAAGGTTGTGCACCATGTTACCCTCTGAAGTTATGAGAATATCGCGCGTCGCGTTGTCGAAGGATATATCATCGCGGTGATATTGTGCGAGGAAGGGATATGATGTTAGGTATCCTGTCGCTAAAACGACGGCATCGACATTATCAAGAGCCTTCCCATCACTCAAGAGAACACGGCTCCTCATTCCTCCCGTTTCTGGATCCTTCTCCAACACAAACTTCTCAATCCCCCCAACATGCTCAACACTTCCAGGAAACATCGAAGGCGGCAAGTCAAAATCACCGCCCCTGGTACTCTGAATAACCTTCTTCGCCTTCTCACTCGTCTCACGACAAACATCATATGCCGACGCACCGCCACCAACAACCAATACCGTCTTTCCTTCAAACTGCTCCGGACGACGATACTGTTTGGTATGTATAACATCATCTCCAAAGTGAGCTTTCCATTCAGTGAGACCAGGAGTATCTGGAATGCGGGGTAAGTTATAATGACCAGTTGCCACAACGACAGCATCGAATTTCCAATTCCGTTCGATGATTCTCGGATCGCCTCCGCCCTTAAGTAGCGTTATGGTTCGAAGATCCCAGTGGGTTTCATCATCGCTCTTTTTGACATCTTCAACACGTGTATAAAAGACTGTTGCATCGTCGACTCCGAATTCCTTACTTAAACCTTGGAGATAACTTTGGATTGTTTCATGACCGGTAATATCCTCAGTCCCTTCTGGCCATGGACCAAGATTGCTGTAGAGAAGACTTGTAGGGACGTTGTTCCGAAGACCGAAATAAGCGGGGCCCGGAGGAGAGAATGCAACATCAAGAGCGTTGCGATCTTGCGTATCGAGAGGATGAGCAGCGCTTGCTTTGGAAATCTTCTGATTCGAGGAGAATTGTCCTGGGAGCGAAGTCACATAGTCGCCGATAGAGGGCTTCTCGCTGGGGTAGTGCGTTTTCGGGGACCTTGGGTCGTAGTGCCATACACCAGATGTGACGCCAGATCGTTCGAATACAGTGACATCGGCACCTTCTTTGAGGAGATATGCTGCTGCACAAATACCACTAACGCCGGCGCCGATTACAGCGACTTTGATCTCAGGGCCGAACTTGATGGAACCTTCGGGCGAAGGTGATCGATCACTGTTGAGGAAAGGACTCATGTTGACTGTGTCGTTCAGGATACACCTGAGAATCTAGTGGATTACCGATAAAGGACCTTTGGTGTACCAAAAAACTTAGTCTCCTAGAGCGAGTCTGAATGGGAAGGGGGTCATGATATAAAACCCCTCAACGGTAGTGGTTTGATATGGTTTTGTCCGGAATATCCATCAAGTCTTACGATTATCGATACGCTTTGTCCGTTTTTAACTCTCTTATCTCCGTTTCCTAGCTACAGCTCATATCCCTTCCCAATTGTGTGCGTTTCCTGGCAGTTGACAGGCTGATAAGTGCTTGATATGGAACCCTTGAGCACGCCATATCGCGAATTATGTCACAAAGGGTATAGTCCAACTCTGTAACCTTTGACGTCAGACAAAGAGCCTATTGTGCAATTAGATACTGTTGATAGCTTAGTAATTGTAGACTGATTGATAAGACCTGATTTGATAAGTTGAGGCTTAAAATAGGTACCCGATATAATTCAGCCCTCATAAGCAGAGCCTCCATAACCGTCGTTTTCAAGCTTTTCATGTCCTAGTAAGAACAATATTGATATTTGTTAGTATTATTCTCAGACATTAGATCACTAGTTTCAATTGATGCTAAATTGGAGCTAAATTGACAATCCTCTTAGCATTGATACACATGACCAAGCCGATGATGGCTGAGCAAGCAAGAAGGTTATCCGCAAATCAGCTCCATGCTTCAGCTTCAGACAATGTCCCAATTCCCGACAGATGCTTCTGGGCATCTGACATTTGCTGTTGGCCCAATCAAAAGTCCTAGGCCACTATAGTTTATCGCTGCGCCGCAAAGGATTCGCGGAGCCAATTCTGGCAGTACGTAACAGTTGCAACCACAGAACAGCTTTTCCGCTTTATATACTCTACGAAACCTAAGCTGCATCATTTCCTACTATCCATAGCCAATTATGGCTCAGTGGTTACATCACAGGATTTCACAGATGTTACATGAATCCCTGCCTTGTATTCGATGTCAGCTTATATACATTCTCTACTCCATCCAGTATCAGCTTGTATGCATCGCTAACTCCAATCCTTCGTATATCGGATTGTCAATACCAATCGCCATACCTTTACATGCCCAAATCAGATAAGTCTTGCTTTTCAGTTGACGATCTAACCTCAAATTCGGACCTCGGCAAATAGTCTAGCTGTTTCCACGTCCCCCTCATTTATCATGAAGATCGCCCTTATGAGAACCCCAAATCCTCCCTTCTTCCAACATCAACAAATTCTCAAATTCTGCGAAAATGCCGCCGTCAAAGTCTTCTACAGTCGGTCCAAAGGCCTTGGTACTATCAGCCCTCACAGTTGGTCTAGGTATCTTTGTCGCCCGCCCAATTAATCGCTTCACAACCGTTCTCGGCTTCTTCCGAACCCCAACATCCACCATCGTTTCCGATGCAGACTTCATAACCATTGACGACACAATTGTCTGCGAAGACTTGCATCTTCACTCCGGGCTGCTCTACACAGCATGTGAGGATTCCTACGCCCCGCGCTTTTCGTGGTTTCCTGGTCTGGGCGTTCTCCACGATCCCCTCACGGCTAGCAAGTCCCGTGGGTCTATCCACGTCATAGACCCCAAGACGTTCAAATCGAAAAGATTGGAATTTGAGGATTTTGAAGGGCCGTTTGTTACGCATGGTATCGATGTTATCGCTGATCCTAAGGTGAAGGATGGGGTTTATATTTTTGCTGTTAATCATGTCCCCAATCCTGATTATCTGCAGCATGTCGTCGATGGGAAGAAGGATGAGTTTGACGGAAACAAGGCTGCTTCTCAGATTGAGATCTTCCATCATCGCATTGGATCTTCAACTGTTAAGTATGTTCGATCGATCAGTCATGCTTTGATCCAGACTCCAAATGATATTGTTGCTCTGTCTCCGACAAGGTTTTACGTCACGAACGATCATTACTATCGCGAGGGTCTTATGCGACAAGTCGAGGATATGTACTATGGCGCAAAATGGTCCAACACGATCTATGTTGAAGTCACCGACATCAACTCCAAGGATTCGACAGCAGGAATTAAGGCTTCAGTGGCTCTGACAGGGCTTCATAACAACAATGGTCTCGGCCATGGTAGAACGCCCAACGAAATCGCCATCGGCAGCGCAGCCAGCGGAGATATTCACATATCAACCATCAAACCCGACCATACCATCCAAGTCCTGGAAACCATCCCATTCGATGCAGCCGTTGATAACCCCTTCTACTACAGCGATCCATTCGCTAGTGGAGACAACGATAGCAGCGGTTATGTCTCCGCAGGTCTTTCAAAGGCCTGTGAGCTTGCAAAGAACATTGGTATTGATACTGCCACTGAACCAGTAATGGTATGGCTCGCACAGCCAAAGAATGGCCAGTGGGAGAAGAGGCTTCTGTTTGAGGATGATGGAACGAGATTGAGGTCAGCGGCTACAGCTGTGTTGATCGGTATTGACCCAAAGCTTGAAGGGGGAAAGAAGAAGGGTTGGCTGTTTGTTACAGGATTTTATTCACAGCATATGATTGCTGTCAAGGTTGATCTATGATGACGTCCTGTTGGCTGTGGCGATGGACAAGCGCGCCAATAGAAAGTACTAGTCAAGCTCTGATAAAGTAAATGCTTTCTGAAGCAAATCTTTTCATAAGCTATGAATTTGTGGACGGAGAATCGTCGCGGTTTACGGAAATCTCCCAAAGGCCGACAAATACGCAGAAGCGTCATATCAAAAACTCATTACGTCATCCATAATCCAATAGATGATAGATATATATCAGAACCTTTCAAAGAGAACCCATGCTAATTCCAATAATGTTAATTCTTATTTATCTCACTCTTATCACTTATTAACAAGAAAAGATGTCTACAGTCGAAATCGTCTCGATCACCACTGCCTTAATGGCATCAGGCGGCATCTCAACCTTGACATTCTTCGATGTCCCAGAACTTCAATCTCAACCTGCTTCTCGCTCCTTACCCTCAATTCGATGGCTCTTCAGCCGTGGATCACACGTCTTCCCATCAGCCTCGTTGCTTTCAACCATTGGCTTCATATACTCTGCATCTTCCAACAATTTCCCAAGTTCAGGACCACTATACGCTTTCTCAACCAACAATTCCAAAGCCAATACATTCTTAACTGCCGCAGCACTGGCACTTAGTATCGCACCATTCACTCAACTCATGATTCCTACAAACTTCGCGCTTATTAAAGAGAATAATAAACTTGGTGGAGCTAGAAGTGAGAAAGCAGCCAGAGAGGGTGCATCCACGGATCGGAGTGCTTGGGAATCTGTCAAAGGAACAGGTGAGGGTTTCGAGTTTACGGATTTGAGTGGTCCTCAAGAACAAACTGAGAGGGGTTCCATGGCAGAGGAAGATGAGAAGGTTCGTGAGTTGCTGGAGAAATTCCGATGGTTAAATCTTGTAAGGGCTGTTCTTATTGGGGCTGGAGGAGTTGTTGGTCTGTATGCTGCTATCAACTAATGCCTTATGAACTTTGTTAAATCGTATGTCACTTCTTTGGATTTACATCATCTTTTCAAATGATTCTTATTGGTATTGAAAGCTGAAATCAAGATGTAGAATTTCCAGCTACACAGTCTTCCGTTGGCTGGTACCAGCAATACAAAGTTAACAGACATAAATTTACACCACAAAAACCAACCACCAGCTACAAACTGAAACTCAACATGGAAGTGGTTTCATACCACCGATGTTCACATTCCCCAACCAAACCTCATCACTTTGGCAGAACAGCCTTTCCAGCAGCTCGAGCCGCTTCAAGAGCACCATGTAGACCATACTGGGAGTAAACACCATTGATTCGCTGAGTCGAGTTGAGGTTCTTGACAACCACGATCTGGAAGCAAGTAGCGGAACCTTGACGAGACGCAATAGTGGAATAAGCCAAGAAAATCTCCCAGATCTGCTCAAGTCAGCCATATCGTCACAGGTTATGGGTAGTTCAGAATACGTACGCGGAACCATCGCACACCATACTTGGCTTTGACCTTTTCGGCATTTCCAAGCCAGTTTCTGTACCATCGCCAGAGTGTTCCGGAGTAATGGACACCAACAGTGTCAACACTACAGCAAGTTAGTAAATGCTTCAAAGAATCTCGGAATGCTTACCTCTTGACTTCGAACCCAGCGCTCTCGAGACATCCAACGTAAAAGGACAGCGGCGTGGACGCATCAGCGCCGGGGAAGATATACTTATTCAAAAACAGCCCCCAAATAAAATCCTCATACTGCCACGCCTTTCTCAACCCCGACAGTTGAACATACATCGCCCCGTCATCCTCAAGCATCTCATAACACTGTCGAAAAAACCCTGTCAACCGCCTCACACCAACATGCTCCGCCATCTCAAGCTGCGTGATCTTGTCAAACTTCTGCTCCGGAATATCACGATAATCACAGCACAAAAGCCTACTCTGCTCCTCACTCACACCCGCTTTTCTCAACCCATCGTTTCCCCACTCAACCTGATTTCTGGCGAGCGTTACGCCCGTGACGTTCGCACCGTAGTTCAAGCTCGCGAATTTCGCCAACGTGCCCCATCCGCAGCCAATATCGAGAACTCGGTCGCCGGGCTTGATATTAATTTTTTCGCAGACGATGGCGAGTTTGTTGTCTTGCATTTCTTCGAGTGTTTCTTCGCGCGTGGGGTCTGAAATTATGCCAGAGGTGTAGATCATTCGTGGGCCCAGAAACCAAGCGTAATGATCATTTCCGCTGTCGTAATTGGTACGAACTTGCTCTTCATCTTGCGATCGCAAATGAAGAATAACATCGGGAAAGAAATTGAATAAAAGATAATTGAATGTCTCGCTGGTGAAATTAAACGTAGCCCAATCATGTCGATACTCAAACGTTTCGAGGGCGTCAGCATTGAGATCAACTTGGCCAGTGAAATAAAGCTCAAAGAATTTATTCATGGGGATTTTATGGCGGCCTGTGTATCGTGCGCGAAGTTGGTCGGTTTTAAAGGTAAGGTAGAACTCGATCGGTCGGCCGGGTAAATGGACCTTATCGTTAATTCGCGGACTCAATCGTGACATGAATGTCCAAATGACGATTAGTACAGGGACAGTGGTGAAAATGGCGAGGAAAAGAGCAGTTTTGAAACCGCCGCCGAGTTTCCATGAGAGCCATTGGGGAACTCCGTAAAGAGCGGCGCCGAGGAAGATGTTGGACCATTGTTCGTATCCGGGGCCGTCGGCGGGAAGCGGAGCGTTTTTAATAGCGGGAGACTATTGATCAATTAGTAGACATGACACTGTGCGATTCGATGCGACGAGACTTGCGTTGGTCAATGGAACGCCCGGATTCTTGCCAGTCGAGAGTACGTCAGCGGGCGCTTTGGGTGTCGGAATAAAGTCAATATCGCTACTCAAATGAGCGCCTCCATTCTGCTTCAACGCCATGGTCAATGACTCTTATCTGCAGAACGGCGCAGGATAAACAAGAAAAGAAAGAGGAGAGAAGGATGGAAGGATAAACACGAGGTTAAGCGGTCAAGGAACCCTTTTAATCGCACGGCATGCTGAGCTGAGCTGATACATCAAACCACCTTGAAATGATGTGAGGCCCCGCTGCATCCGGGCCTCACAGCGCATCCCTGCCCAAAGCGAATCAATGTAACCGAAATGAAAAGGGATATCATGAAATTGAGACGCGTAATTGGATGCCTCTTGCAGCCTGTTGTGTATTCGGATGCCTATCAAATTTATTCTGTAGCCTAATTTATTGGCATTCAATATGCCACGCATCGCTGCAATTATCCTGATGTGACGTAGGCGGGCGGAAGATGTCCCCGGGCCCGAGACAGTTGGGTCACCCTGCAGCTGTGAGTTCTGAGGAGATTTGCACGTGCTTTTCTGCTGATTTTGGTCAGAAACCTTCACGTGAGGCCGTGTTCCTTTGGCGAAGCCTAGGGAGGGACGTGCCGTGCTGAGAAATACTGAGACCATCAGCTGATGGTATGTGCTGTGCCCCCACGAGCAGACCCAAATGCAATCGGTTTCAGGGAGAGATGGAACCAGGCTGACACGCGGGAGATCGGCGCCAGGCACCATGATTCTGACACGTCGCGCTAAACTCTATCTTGAAACTTTGATATGGAGTCATGAGAACATCTGGCCGTGAGAAGAAAGGGCCATAACAGCACTGCCTAATGTTTAAACAGCATAAATAATAGATCTCTAGATATTAAATTGAACATGATTTAGTTTGCACTTACTAGTTTCTCATTATTAGTAGGTTTTATCACCTCGACCTATCTCTGACATGATGTTCTTGGACCTAGGGTAGGTGTTGTTCAATGAGGCAGATTAGGTGCGTTACATTGAAACTACAGGTGCTGACAAGATCTGTTACACTCGCACTATACGCAATTGATCTTTGAATCCGCTTTGACACTGTATATCGGTCTTTCTGTTTGCTATATTGATAACCAATGTTTCTGTGTGAAAGCTTCCTCTTCATGAATGAAAGCTTTCCTTTCAACTAGCCTATAACAACACTTGGGTAGGAAACCTTATTAAATCAAAATTTAAAACAGCAATTTACGTAGCAGATAAGCTTTCAATAATGCAATCTTTGCTGTTCACAAGAGACTTCACTCCTCACACACTCTATAAAAGTCCCGCATCCCATGCCATTTCTTCATTAGGGTAATCTTTTTACAACATTCATCCTGGCTTCAAAATGGACACGTCCCACCAAAGTCCAACGCAAGCAATGTTCTGCACAGACGAGCAACTCGATTACCTGTTTCATCATTTAATCCTACCCGCCAAGCTACCCGGGCATGATGATACCTTTGCATCAAACGAAGAATTCCTCATCAACTCTACCATACAAACCCTCGCACGCTTCGGGGAATTATCGGACGGAGATGACGAGGTTGTGGTAAGACACTGCATCTCCATGCTGAAGAATACTCGTGATGCTCGAGATTCGCACGGGTGTCTCGATTCTGGAACTGTTCAGAACTCCTTGAAGAGACTCTCGACACAGGGTAAGTTCTTGTCACCGATTATGACAAACCCCGTTACTAATATCAGAACAGCAGATGCCGCCTCACTGTATCATATCACGGAACAAAATGCAGGTCTGATTATTCGAAGATTAGAGAACTCATATTCTTTCCAGACCTTTGAGCTCTCGCCTACTAACAAAGCAGCCATGACGACAAAAGGTCGCCTTATCCGAGAGTTCCCAGCCACCGCGACAGAAATCTCCGCTGAAGACTTCAACAGTCGCTCATTTCAAGACGTCTTAACTAGGACTCTTGTCAAAATGAGTCATCAGGCTGTTGCGGAAATGCAGCCTAAGGTCAGGAAGGCGCAACAGATGCACAATGAGGAGCGCGACACAACAGATCCTCGAATCGTAACAGAGCTCCTCACAAGCTTCCTTCGAGGTGCTGGAACACCTGGTGAGATCAAGACGATTCAGAAGAGGACACGTGAAGAAGTTTCGTGGAACAATGGGAGGGGTCCTTGGACGAGATCTCCGTTATGGCTTCTTCTCCGTGTCGGTCTTCAACTCACCATGACATGTCATCCGCAAGGATCATCAGACCTTTACAAGCGCTTTATGGTGTTCTTGATAGCTCAAGGCCTCAACATTGTTTGTGAAAAGTCGTCTTCTAGTGAGATGATTCACTTGATGATGGCCAAGATTTCGAGGCGGCTTTGTAAGCTTGGAAACATTGACGATGGACAGTGGCTTCACGTAATCAAGGATATCGTTTCATCAGCCTCTCGAAGTTTGAAAGAGAGATGGAGCAATATTCGGCAACGAAACGAACAGCCACTCGATCTTGTCGCGCTTGCCGAGTTCAAGTTCGAAGACCACACGACTTTCTCGTTGCCTGAAGTCGACACCTTTGTCGCCAGCATTTCCCAGCGACAACATGAACCAACAACTACAGAATTCAACGCCAAACCCGTTACTTTAACCTTCGAGCATCTTATCCTTCCTACTGTTAGTGGTTCTGTCAACAATGACAACAAATCTTTCGAACTCGCGGCTGTCGAAACTTGGGTACAGGGTAACCTCGACACATGGCTTGAACATCACTTGAGCAGCGAACATTCATGTCAAGGTTTAAAGACACTGCTTGAGCACTACTATATGTCTGCAGAGAGATGGTATGCAAGCCGCCCCGAGGGCATGTCGAGGATGCTTCTTACCCTTGGTGAGATCTGGGTAGCTATCGACAAGATGGCTGTCCATCATAACCCTTTGATGTTGAAGTATCGACACGAGATTCCTGGAGAGGTTTTCAGTGATCTCCTACTCCATTCAAAGAGCGACATGGAGCGTTTACATCGGTTGGAACACTACCTCGAAGACCCACCCATGGAGAAACTAAAGCTATCGGCACTTTTATCATATGGCCAAAGACTATCGTTCGCCGTTGAATACTTTCGACAATCCCCAAAGCTCCAAGCAAAGAAAAAGGAAATCGAGTGTAGTGCACAACAAGACCGTGATAAGAAAGTGAAGCAGTTTCGGGAACTGAAAGCAAAGTACGACGCTATCATGAAGAAATACGACGAGACAGAATGCGAGCAGATACTTCAAGTTCAACATGATGTGGAGTATTACGTTCATCCCAAGCATAAATGCAAACGCTGTGCTCTCCCCGCTAAAGCGAAGAAGCTCAAAATCAGTCCTCATGAGTGGCCCCTTCCTGCGGACGAGCTTGAGGCTCAAACCTCTGTTTTCGAGATGGACGTCCCCGTCGCTTTTGCGGTATGGAGGGATGCTACAGTTTATTTTCTTGATAACATATTGGCGTTCGAATCTTCCGGTGCTGGAGACTATCCCCGTGCGTCCTATCCTTTGACGACATACAAACCCCTCAGTCCCTGGGTGGAATCACAACGATACAGAGTGCAACTTCTCTCTGAGATTAAACCTCACTCTCAAACACATCGCAACCAGAAATCTATCGAAACCTGTACTGAGGCTGATGTCTGTCTTAACAACGGTCTTCGCTTCCAATATCACGACAACTCCAGAAATACCTTCCTTTCTACCTTTAAAGCAACGACAGAAGTCTCAAAGCGCTGCACCATCAAACTTCCAAGCAGAGCTCATGCTTTGGAGAGATTTATGGCTCGAACATGGCGCTGTGAGAACGGCGAAACACCCAACCAGGCTATCGCGAGTCAGTCTGAGTGTCCTGAATATATGTCACTGGGGGAGTTCAAGGCTCTGGCTGTATTGCCGTATGGATATCGACTCCAGTGGATGGGCATCCTTACACAACTTGCTATGCCAACGGTTGACTTCAATAAGCCCGAGACTGCGATATTCTTACTCCAGATGATTCTCCAAGCTGGTCCGTTTGATAAACATGAGACGACAAGACAAGCGCATACTCGGCTGACAGAAGTGGAATTTGGTTCGCAGATGCTGAAATGTCTGAATCAGTGCGTTTCAAGGGTCCAAGAGAATTGGGAGTCGTACACTTCACTGTGCTCATTCACCTGCTTAGCCACCCGTCTTCTTGCCCTAGCTGACAAGTCTCTGTCAAAGCAAATTCTGGAACTTAGTACGAGATGTCGAAAGATCTCATACAAATGGGTGATTCACATTTTGGCCAAGGTCCAAGACATTGATGATCGTACGCAACGGAAGGAATTCCTCGAGACGGCAGTTAACATCGCCCTCATTTGCATCGAGACGTTCAATTTGGAGGGTGAACACTTTGGGAAGGTATTGGCTGATGAACAGCAAGCGGCTATACTGCTGGAAATTTCGATCATCATCAATAACAACGCTGACTTTCAACATCTGCAAGAGGATGCACTGTATGGCTTTATGCTTGACCGATACGAATACACGATGCATAGAGCCCGGCCTAGCTTGGTTAACGAGATAGCCTGTAACGGAAGTTCCTGTCTTGACTTAGCCATTCAACAGCGTTGGCCAGACTTTTCACGAGAAGGTAAATGGTCCCCAATCTCTCATCAATGGGTTACCACAGTTACCGGAAAACTCCAAGTTCATGTCAACCTCCCCACTGGACAGTTATTGGTCAATGGTTCACCCGTATCACGACTTCCTCGAGAATATGAAATGCACAGCGAGTATCAGAAATTGTTTGGGTCTACGACTATGGAAGTCATGCCGAGTAACCTACCGGGTATGAGCTTCTGCTCGACGAAGTTGATTCAAGGGTATACGGTCCATCTTGGTTTGCAGACAAAGAAGCGTGTAGACGACCTTCTTGTACGTCTTTGTAAAAAAGGCTCGACGTTGGACTTGATTCCCTCGAGAACTCTTGAAGCTCTACTACCTCACGATTTCGTCAAGAACTACGTACATTGGCTTGTCGAAGCATCTGGGGCTATTGAGTTCTGTGGAGTCAATGACCCTTGGCCATGCAACGGTTCAGGGACCTGTAATTTACTAAAGGGCACTGACCAATGGAAGTTATCACTTTGTAAGGAGGGCGTCCTTATTTCTCCATCGAGTGAGCTTGGTCAGCATATCTCCAAGATATTCTCACGTCTCCAACCTGCTTCGGATCTTCATCTGGTTCTCCACCGAGACAGAAAGGAACTTCAGATACAACTACCAAAGCTTCGTCTTGAGTTCGAGATCAAGTCAGGAACATCAACGATCACGTCTCGACAATTTCGCGATATGGAAGTTCATCACGATCAAGCCATTGGCACGCTCATCGGACTAGAGCAAAAACTCGTCCTACGGCATTCTCAAGACTGGGACGTCCGATCTATCATTATACCCGAAGGAAACGTTAGCTGTCGAATTTCTACTGGGCACGGCGTCGAGAACCACCCCGAAGTTTCTGTTGACCTCGAAACAGCTACTCGAGTTCAAATTTACAGAATGGATTCTCTCCTCCGCAGGATTATACCCAACGACAAGGTAGAAAGCAAGTTGTATCTTGCATACCTCCATGCTCTAACATCATACTGCCTCCCGGATCCCTTTGTTCAGCGCACTGGAACTGAAGAGGCCCTCACGATTCTTAGTTCCGCCTCAGTCAGAGCTCCTACGGCTTTCTCCGACAACGCTTTTACAATACTGTCACATATTGCTCAACTATCGCCTAAGCGGTCATGGTATCCAGCTGATCAGCGAGTAATGCAGAACGTCCGGTGGCGGAATGACCTGAGTTACTTATCCCAAGATGACAGATTCGGGAAACATGTTCGAAACATCTTTGAACAATCTCGCGAAGTTCAGTTCCTGTTTCCTAAGCACATTCTCCCGCATTTCGAACACCGTTCGATAGCTGCGTTAGTGGATCGAGCTGTTCTTCGAACATCTGCTAATCGAGTCTCTGGCTTTGGCGCTGAAGACTTCACGACTAGATATGACGCCAAGTACGCATCGAGGGAGAAGAGTACCTCATCTGAAAGATCTACACGCACTGCAGAGATGGCATCTCGAGTATACAGAAACTCAGGCTCCCTTTCGAGGCCTGTATCTGGTAGGCTTGGGCCCCATCTCTATAGGCTCATGACGAGCGAAGAGCGCATCCAGACCAGGGAGATCTTGCCTAAGAACAGAATTGACTACGACTCGTCTTGGCTTGAAGGTCCCGCATCATATTTATCTTCTGTCTGGTGTCAGCTTCACAATTCATGTAAGAAGTCAGCAACCTGGTTCGATAAGTTCGAGCTGATGATATGGATGGCCACAATGTCATATTCATCAGAGTATGACGCACAGGTTGGCCAGGCACTGTTGATGCTCACTCAATCGCGGACAGTAGCTGACTTCAAAGCACCTGCTGCGTCATCATACAACCTATCGGCCGGATGTGACGTTCGGGAACAGGACCTGCGTGCCTTAGTAACACCCCATGTAGTCAGCTTCGCAAGTAGCCCCGATGCTACATCTCCTCGTCGTCTTGACGAGAAGGGCAACGAATTAGCAAAAAGACGAAGAAACGAGTACAAAATCAAGAGCTACAAAGCCGTTGATACGTTTACAAATTACCTGAAACGACAATGGCCTACAGAAACTCCACTCGCTCCGGAAGACCCGCAGTTGAAGTGGTATATTAGGGTTGAACCTGCCATGGAAAGTGCTCTTGGCAAGTGGCACCAGTGGCAGAAGAACCTCGCCTTCAAGACGTATCTGGAAGTGGTTGTTTCTTGCATGAGAGACATAAAGGGTGAGGTAGTGCAAGTGCCACCAGAACTCCCAAGGATGTTAATTTCCACCAAGAGGTCGGTTTCGAGATTTGTGGCTACGTCAGATCTTTTCTCGACATCAGGCGTTGCGCACCACAAGGCTCCTCCAACATTAGATGAACTACTCATCAGAACAAACAGGGATACACAGAGCAACAAGCTCAGTGGCATCATTGATAACCTTGATTCCAAAGCCAAGCTCGACTATGAGCACCGGTATCTAAGGGAGTTACAGGACAGCCTTTCAAGTTTACACGGCCATGTCGAATCTGAGCTGAAGGAGGAACAGCTTCGAGAGCTCCCAGACCTACTCCAGGATCACTTGGAGAGATGCGAATATCACCTAACAAGGCTGCACGAGTCCCTACTTTTTTACCTCTCGTCTCCAAGCACGCTCTCACGCACGACGTGCACTGTTCTTCAAGATGCCAAATTCCTTCCTAGGATATCGCCTACTCAAATCTTACAACAGCTCAGACCAGCTCAGTGGAAATCTCTTTCTGCGGGATGGAAAGAAAGTCTGATCCACTACGGAATTGCTATTACCGCCTTGCAGCGCGCAAAGCGTCTTATTAGATTCCAGTCCAGTCACGTGGATCTAATTCGTGAACTAGAAAATGGTGGCCATCAAAACTGGAGTCCGTATGATCATCCAGAATGGTTGTTGCTGGAATGTGAGAGTGAGATCATGATTCGGGATGTTCAGCAGCAGATTGCGAAACAGATGATCAACCCTCCCGAGAACGAGAACTCAGTGATGCAGCTGAATATGGGCGAAGGGAAGTCAACAGTCATTGTTCCCATCGTCGCCACAGGTCTTGGAGATGGGTCGAAGCTTGTTCGAGTCATTGTTGCAAAGCCACAAGCTAAGCAAATGCATCAGATGTTGAAATCAAAGCTATCGGGGCTTCTTGATCGACCGGTGTACTTGCTACCTTTCTCCCGGGATGTCGACCTGGATCCACGAACCACAGATGTCATTCAACGACTGATGAAACGATGCATGAAGGAAGGTGGTGTCTTGATGGTTCAGCCAGAGCATCTGCTTTCGTTCCAACTGATGGAGGTGGAATCTCGAATCAGCGGAAACATGGAAGTCGCTGGAGCAATGTCACAAATAAGAAATCTCTTTGATCACTCTTCTCGAGATATCGTTGACGAGAGTGATGAGAATTTCAGTGTAAAGTTCGAACTCATCTACACCCTTGGACAGCAGCGACCCATCGAGCACAGTCCTGATAGATGGGTTGTTATTCAGGAAGTGATGAGTCTCATTGCTAAAGTAGGTGCGGAGGTCAAGTCTGAGTTCCCTCATTCCATTGAATTCGACGCTCGACATGTTGGAAGATATCCCCGTTTACGCATTCTACGACCTGATGCTGAAGCCGAAATCTTCAGCCGTGTCACCGAAGCAATATGCGATACTGGCATGACTGGGTTCCCTATTGCCCGTCAGACAAAAGGTATGCGAGCGGCAGTCCGGAGGTATATCTCTCGACGTGAGCCTACAGCTGCCGACATCGAAGCTGTGGAGGGAAGCTCCCTTTGGAACGAAATAACAAGTAGAAATATTCTTCTTCTTCGTGGACTCTTCGCAGGAGGAATTATTTCTTTCGCATTGGGAAGCAAGCGGTGGAGAGTGAATTACGGAGTAGATCACAACAGGGAGAAGATGTCCAAACTGGCTGTACCTTTCCGAGCGAAGGATAATCCTACACCTCGGTCCGAGTTCAGCCATCCTGATGTGGTGATAACTCTCACATGTTTGAGCTACTACTACAGCGGTCTCGACGATGACGCCTTGTTCGCAACGTTTGAGTTACTTAGGCGATCGGACAATGCAACTCTGGAGTACCAGGATTGGGTAAAGACATCACCAGCACTTCCGTCGGCCTTTAGGAACCTGGAAGGAGTCAGCTTGAGGGATCGTGTGCAGTGCACTACGGAGATATTCCCATACATCCGATACTCCAAAGCGGCGATTGACTACTTTCTGTGTCATCTGGTATTCGCAAAGGAGTGCAAGGAATTTCCTCACAAGTTATCTGCTTCTGGCTGGGACCTTGGTAAGAAGAAGGATAATCCGACTACAGGATTCAGTGGAACCAATGACTCGCGATATGTTCTGCCACTCGACGTCAAGCAGCTAGACCTACCGGAACAGAAGCATACAAACGCCCTTGTTTTGGAATACCTACTTCAACCAGAGAATGGCATATCATTGATGCCGCAAGAAGCGAAGGGTACGACGTTCGATAGCAGCCTCCTTTTGCAGATGGTTTCCAACATGAGCCCTAATACTCGAGTCATTCTCGACGTTGGCGCCCAAGTCGTCGACCTTACCAATCAAGCCTTTACAGCTCAGTGGTTGGCTTCTTACCAAGACCAAGAGCGCACCAAAGCTGCCGTGTTCTTCAACGACAACGACGAAATCGTTGTTATCGATCGTTCCGGCAAGATCGAAGACTTCCAGACATCCCCATTCTCTCAGCAGCTGGATCGATGTCTCGTCTTCCTGGATGAGGCACATACCCGCGGAACAGATCTGAAACTTCCTGCCAACTACAGAGCAGTAGTCACACTTGGTGCTGGTCTGACGAAGGATCGGTTGGTTCAAGCTTGTATGCGGATGCGCAAGCTGGGCAAGGGACAGACAGTGGAATTTTGCATTCCCTGGGAGATTGAGCAGAAAATTGTTCAGCTCAAGCATGACGTCGATTCTAAGAGGAATCACATCTCTGTCTCGGATGTCCTTTGCTGGGCTATCACCGAGACATGCCTGGACCTCCGAAGAGCGATGCCACTGTGGCTTACACAGGGTGTTAGGTTCTGTAAGCAAGAAGCCCTCTGGTCACATCTCTCTGACGATCGCCTCATCGAGGATAACAACCCTGTAGGGACGCATGAGTTTCTCGAAGAGGAAGGGCAAAGCTTGAGCGAGAGGTATCGTCCCCAGGAGGGACTGACAAACCTTTCTTCCCTCATGGATGAGCTGAACGACTCCGTCGCGAGAGACTTCAAGTCCAGGTGTGAGGAGTTTGGTCTGCAAAGACTACATACTTTTTCTCTACAGGAAGAGCAGGAACGTGAGTTGTCTCCAGAGACACAGCACGAGCGCCAAGTCGAAAAGGTTCCTGCTTTTAAACCAGACACCCATAGTGTCAATCGGCTTCTGCAGGAGTGGATAACAGACGGCTCATTTCCAGAGCAATCTGGCGCGTTCCGAACTGTCATGAAGCCGGCGTTTCAGAGTCTGAACAAGACCTCGGCAGCAGCCTATTTCGATGTCAAAGAGTTCCCGGAAACGGTATGGGTAACAATGGACTTTGCCCATACCGTAAAAGGTGTATTTAGTGGAAAGAGTTACTCGGACTCTTATCATCGTCCTGTACAATGGGTGTTGAGTGGTAAGAACCAGGAGGGTGCTTGTCGGATGGTGATCATAAGTCCATTTGAGGCCCAACACTTTCTTCCACTTATCGAAGAGTCAGAACATGTGGCGCTACACCTCTACGCACCGAGAATTAATCTTGGCTTTCGACCTCTGGACGACCTTCAACTTTATTCAGTAGGGAAGAAGGTTGTGGAAGAGATACCGAGAGACATCATTGCGTTTCTCAATCTCTTTGCTGGACAGCTATACCTCTCGTCATATGGCGACTACAGGCTCGTCTGTGTCTTGCTTGGTTTGGCGTGGGACGGTGCGGATAATGGTGCGGTGCTTGGGCCTGGCGGCCTTGTTGCTGGTGGGAGTGGGAATAAATCCGGTTTCTCCAAGAGCCCCACGAGGTTTCTGAAGGAGCTTTTGGAAAAGGTCAGGCAGGACTGTGGGGTTATTGACAAGACCGATATGGGAAGGGTTATTGAGGGAATGCGATTGGTGGAGGATGATTTTAATGTGAGGCATGAATGGTAGTTTCTCGCTGTGATATGTGGTTTATTGTATGATTGAGTTCGCTGAAATACATAGGCGACGGGAAAAGGGTTAGAACAGAACGATGAATATCATTTGTGCTTCAAAATTATAGCGTACATATGAGCTCTCATCGGTGCGATTGTATAGCAGGAAACATCATCTTGTGCTCACCGTGCCTCAATGTCAGACGTAGAAATGCTTCCCAAATAGGAAAACAATAGGGCTGAAATAAACTTCAATCTCGGGAAGGAGACCCTGAAACTAAAAGGAAATTAATTACCGAGCAATTTCTGACGAGATCAGCCAATGAGCTACGCCGCACGGTGCACTGGAACGGCTGGTTTAATTGACCCCCACTTTTGGGCTCCGCTCCCTCGTACGCGGTAGCGCCGTCAGGCTGAAATACACAAATCAACAGCAAAAGGTATTAATTATCTGTGTCACGAAGAGCAGCGATGTAGTAACTCTCACGGAAAATCACCCGGTCACTCTATTATCAATTGCTGAGTTGTACAAATACCGCCAGGCGCGCAGTCAATCTTCAAGCATTGCATTCCTTCTGTCACTTTGGCCCCAAGATTATGTGCTTACTGGGTTGTTCAATTAAATGCATCCACCTCTGTATGCTCTGGTCTCCAACTGCATATGCGTCAATATCTCCTGATCGTGTGTCTTCGAAACCGTTCATTGATCCACTATAGATAGTAATTCCGTAAATACGGAGCGTCCAGTTTCAAGGCGACTGCCAAACGCCAACCAGTAGAATTGTTGGTTAACAAAGCCTCGGAGCATCTTGAGCCTCATTAAGAACAGCTGTGCTCATTCAGATGTTCCCTCTAACGAGGGCCTGTTCAATGTTTCATTCAAATGACCGATCGTGGTGAGCTTGATGAAAACACTGAACTCTGCGTTCAAAGCGCAAGAGCGTGGCATGGGTCTCTGAGCGAGCCGTGTACCCAGAAAAAAAACTACTTACAGATGTCTAACCCGTCTTCTATTATTTATATCTGTCATCCCTTTGCATAGGGACCAACATCCCCCAACAGCGTCATTGAAGCAAGCTCATAACCCAAACGTAAGCAACGACAACGGTGAACCTCTCTTTAGTTCTTTAGAAACACGATTGTTTGTATAAGGTTGATCCGTGTGGCTCAGAACAGGACTCATGGGTGCAAAATTGCAAGAGGCTGCAATGCTTTGGGACGAAGGTAGAATCGGAGTGGGTTACATACCGTGGAAGTACAGGATACGCTATTCTGAGAGCAATAATGGGTAGAAGCACAATGGCATAATTGAGACTGCCAGTGCAGGGAACTTCAGAAGGAAAGTTCTCAGGTTATCGAGATCGACTAGTACTTCCAGTGGTTGATATTGGGAGTGCGGATGGTTGAAGGAGAGACCTTATCGCAGCGATTTAAGGAATTCCAACACAGCGCAGAGATTACGTCCTACCTGTTCCTTTTACTGGCGGTAGTCATTAGTGCAAGAGATCATAGACGACTGACCGAGGAAACCCACATGTTGCTGAAAGAGCTGCATCTAGAACTAGCGTAAAAGGCAGCAACTACAAGAACAGACATGAACATCAAAGACAGGAAATCCAGCCGCCAGCTACCGTATAAACTGAATAAATCGAGTAGTGCCTGTAGATCCAAGCTACTGCACTCATTCGACCAATGGTGCTATTTAGCAAAGTGTCAGATCTTTCTCCATCAATAGGCCAATTGGCTGATTGAAAATGCCTAGCGCGGGCCCATAGGCACTACTCAATTTAGTCAGTTTATACGGTACTCTATCAATGCTGTGCTTCCGAGATACCAATTGTAAAAGTTCTCCCCGTATCAAAAACCCAACCCTTTACACAATACCTTCCTGTCTCCCGCATATACAGGGTTTTTATAATTGGCAGCTTCGAAGAAAGTATACTATATCAGTCTCTAGAAGTGGTGAACCTCGCTGATGGTAGGTAACATCATTTGGAGTGAATACGTGAGCGTATGTATGAATATTAAGAGTTTCTGGCCATCTCATAACTCTGATTAAATGGGAAGTAGGTTACATGGGCTAGCGCTTACTTCTGGAGAGGTTAACATGCAGCTATCTGTAGATCCCGAGCGTAGATGCGTCAAAGGCCCTTCATTGGCCATCCCAGAACCAAAAGCGGGCTTCTGATTGAGAGAGCGGCCGCCCGCCGAGTTACATCAATATTCGTTAAATAAGCAGTCAGCAATTAGTCAGCCCCAGGAGTGCAAAACCGTAGCAACAAAGCCTGAACAAGCTCAAAATCTCGAGTTGTATGTATATCTTTACGTCTTTCGGAATTTGTGAGAGAAAATGCGTCTGTCGAATATTTCACTGGTATGGGCGGTAGCGCTGGCCATCTTTGGTCTTTGCATGCACTATATCATCAAAGTGACACTAAAGCCGTCATTCTCGGAGTTGCGACACCTTCCAGGTCCCAAGGTGAGTTCTCCTCAAGACCTCCCCGATTCGCTGATTGCCGTCTCCAGTTAGGATCTCCACACTGACATGAACCTTTCATAAAGAATCACCAGTTTCTAGTAGGGCATGCCTTACACATTATCCGCGGATCAGGACCAAATGATCTATATCTCCAGTGGACGCGGCGTTGGCCGAACGCACCGTTCATACGATCTCTCTCTTGGCTCAACTCGGAGGTCCTTCTTGTTAACAACATAGAGGCATGTCGCGAGGTCCTCCAAACCAATGCTTACCGCTTCGCTAAGCCGGCATTCTTTCATACTCTTGTTGGAGAATTTCTTGGTGTCGGTCTGCTGTTCAGCATCGGTGACCAGCACAAGCGCTTGAGACGCATCATTGCAGGTAGACCTCCCTTTCATAGTGGCTCATGAGCATGACTCCTAACTGTAATAGGGCCTCTATCTCGTCCAAGTATTCGGAAACTATTTCCAACGTTTATGACATACTCTCGGAAGCTGAACAGCGACATTGATGATGCCATACGGCTGAGCAAGGATGGGATTCTTGAAAGTATGTATATACAAGGCGAAAGCGCTCCTTAGGCATGATCTAACAGCCTGGTGGTAGTCGAAGAACTATTTACAAGAGTGACACTCGATATCATCGGTGTCTCGCTACTTGGCAAAGAACTGCGCGACTTCCGCTCACACTCCTCGCCCTTGTCCTTTGAGCAATGCTACAACGCCATATTAGCACAACCACTCGCTGGCCAAATCATAAGCTTCATCAATCCCTTTATCCCACTCCGTTGGCTTCCTATATCCGCGAACCTGAACTTTATCAAGGCCAAATCTGCTCTGAAGGGCATGATGACAGAGCTGATCGAACAGCGGACATCTGAGGTAGCTAAAGCAAAGGAGTTGGATACAGACAGTAGGTTATCGAGCGATTTGTTGACGAGGATGATTGAAGCAAGTTCTGTTGAGAATCAGAAGTTGTCTAAAGATGAGTTGATCGATATCGTGCGTAGTTACCCCGACTTTCATCGGTAGTATCACTGACCAGAGTCGTAGACTATGCAGGTCATCGCGGCAGGACATGAGACTACAGCTAGTGCTATGATCTGGACAACCTACGCACTTTCCAAAGATCAAAAGTCACAAGATCGGTTAAGGACTGAGATCTTGGGCATGAATGTCAACAAAATGACCGCCAAGTCGATAGACGAACTGCCGTACCTCGACAACGTAATTCGAGAAGCCCTTCGCGTATATTCACCTACCCTAACCATCCCATGGGAGGCACTCGAGGATATTGTCATAGCAGGCGTCAAGATCCCAAAAGGCACAACGGTTCAACTCGTTCCAGCAATGACGCAACTGAACCCCGATATTTGGGGTCCCGACGTGGATGCCTTCAACCCCGATCGATGGGATCGTCTCTCTGGCGATGCCTCGAGCCCATATGCCATGGAGACATTCTCGAACGGGCCTCGGATGTGCCCTGGAAAAGCTTTGGCTTTGTTGAATATGAAGGTCCTGTTGGTTGGGTTGATCAGGGAGTTTAGGATCGAGGTCTTGGGAGATGAGGAGTTGGAGTTCAGAAACCCGAGTTTGACGTTGAAGTCGAAGAGGCCACTTCGGTTTAAGGCACAACGCGTTGGTTAAGGACGTTGATCTTATTAAGGACCTGAAATGGCCGAAGGAAGGTCTGTCAGTGGTGAGATGAGGGTGGCGGGTAACAAAAAGGACAACACAGAATTGACGGACCGAAGACATAATACTTCCATGTGCAAGGCTCATACAAGTTGATACTAGACATTGCAATTTTACCATTCATTCGACTGTGTAGGATAAGGCTATGTGTACGAGTCTCGCTGCACCTAAGGTGTTGACGATCAGATCACGAAACGGCACCAATCTTCTTCTAGATCATGCAAGCAACGAAAGCTCCATTTATGCCTTAGGTAATTAGTTCTCCAGGTGAAGTAATGAAGAGAACAATGTTTATGAAAAGCGATAAGCCTCTTGCAGCAAAAGTCCTCAGCCCATAGACTAAAATTAGAAGCTGAAAACCTCAAGTCAGCGTCAGACCGCCAATCATCAGCTGTTGCTGCGATTCCAAACAGACCACTACCAAATCGAGAATCAATTCTCAAGCTTATCTGCGGGACAGACCGCCTTGGCGAATGCTTATGTCAAAGCTTGTCCACAACTGCCAATATTCTCAGCACTAATGCCGGACCATCAGAAGTCCCATCAGCACTAAACATTCAGCTCGAAATATGAAACCCTTTTGGGGAACTTCATTCTTTCTGGTGAAACCCGACTTTTCTATATCTTAAAGCCAACAATTCACCGTCATTAGGTCCCATTCTTCTATCTTTTCTCATCCATCTCAAAGTTCTCCCTTCTTGCTTACAGGCTTCTTTCACGATGTCGGACGCCGGTCGAGAAACTCCCGTGGAATTGAAGCCCCTTCCAGATACCCAGAGCAGGCAGCACCTCTCAGGCCTTGACACTCCCACGAACCAACAGTACCTGCCCTCGCCTTCGCCTCCAGTACATGATGGCATGAACGATAGCAACTACTTCAGCGGTCCCCGTGATCTCCGCGGCCATTCCAAATGGCCACTCATCCTTCAACTCCACGGATCAATCATGCCATCGCTCATCATCCCTCTCTTCCTGGTCGCCTGCTGGTCCACTCTGATCACAGTCATCTCAAAGAAGGTTCACGATCTCAGCGTCAACTCCGTTCTTCTTACCATCCTCGGTTTCGTCGTCGGTCTCAGTCTCTCCTTTCGTTCATCAACTGCCTACGAACGCTATGCCGAGGGTCGCAGATACTGGGGCATGTTAGCCACGGCGTCGCAAACCCTCGGACGAATTATCTGGATTCATGCTTCAGATACCGGTGCTGATGGTCAAGATACTCGTGAGCTGCTTGTAAAGAAGCTTGGGGCTTTGAAGCTCATCGCTGGATTTGCTGTTGCGCTTAAGCATACTCTTCGCTTCGAACATTGTGCAAGTCAACCGGATATGCAGCCATATATCGCCCATCTTGATACATTCTCTGGACGCACTACCACAATGCCAAAGCGAAGACTTACGAACTTCAAACAGGTGGCTGGTGAGTATCTCGGTCTCTCCTTTGCGCAGAGTGATCCACGCAAGCACCTCAAGAGAGCCGAAGAGCATCAGGGCAACCTCCCCCTTGAGATACTGAATCATCTGGCTATTACTATCGACTGCCTCGTCGCAAATAAGCAGCTAGCCGTCGCCATCCACCAAACTGTCGCATATAATCACATTACTATGCTCAACGATGTCGCCGTCGGTTGCGATCGAGTACTTAATACTCCCTTGCCTATTGCATACACCATCGCCATCAGTCAAATCACTTTCGTCTACGTCATGCTATTGCCGTTTCAATTGACGGGACCCCTTGGCTGGATAGCTATCCCGGCTACCATCACTGCAGCCTACATCATCTTCGGTCTGTTGTTCATTGGACAAGAGATCGAGAATCCATTTGGTCGTGATGTCAACGACCTGCCGCTTGAGACCTTCTGCGATCAGATTGCAACCGACCTTGACATCACCGCTTCGTTTGATCGCCGTGGGGCTGACCACTTTTTGCTTAATGGAACGCCGCTGTATCCTGTCAGTGGTGCCTCGGGTAATGCTTGGATGGATAGCAGTGAGGAGAAGATGAGGGAGGCTATCAAGACTAAACCTCATGTTCTTTTCACCTGGAGACGTCAGAGGACTCGTGGCAATACCAGTAAGGAGATGGATGCAAACATTGTGTAGACGTGAGTCAACTAATCAGGTCAACACCAGAAAACAGAAACTTATTTATTTTAGATCAAGCCGATGATCCGCTCACATAGTAACTGTTGAATGCAAAGCGTCTCCTATTCTCCATCTTACAGCAGCGTCTCATGATCGACAGCCAATTTCACCCTCTGGCAGCACCGCTCGTCCTTGCACATAACAGCAAAAGCTTTAGGTTATGCAACTCATACAAAAGTGATTGATGCAGTGACAGCCTTGGAACAACTGATAAGCCCAAGCAATGAATTGCCAGTAGGGAGATATGTATCAACACTCGAGATTCTTAGTCTGCACGTCTCTGACGTTAATGGTAGCATCACTGTCATATAACAACATCTTCGTGCCTCGAATACAAATGCCCGAGATGTCCCTTCAAATACCATTCTCTGACTTCAGCGAGACATTAACATTGCTAACGTCTCTGCCCTTGCTAGTCTTAGTTACGATAAATGGAATAGATAAACTCGTTTCAGCAAATCCTTCCACAATTCTAGGGTGGAAGGTCTCGAAACCTTCGCAAAGGAACCTCTAGTCCAAGGTTACACATTGCTTACAATATCTTTCATCTCCTGATACTTATTCTTCAACCACACGTCCAAATACTCCAATGCTTTTAGGTCACACTTAGTCGACGACTCCTCATAGACAGCGCTTGGTATTCCCTCCCACTCGCCCACTCGTCCACCTTTATCCAATGTGGTCCCAATAGGATGACAAGTATCAAAGTCTAACAAGACAGGTTCCCCCTTGTCCGTGAACATAACATTGAGGGGACTCAAGTCATTGTGCGCAAGCCCTAGTCGGTGGAGGTGTTCCAAAGCAGACTTGACAGCAGTAATGCACTGATCGCGCTGACCTAGGTCAAAGGATGATGCATCATGCGCGAGCTCAAAGAGAGTAGTTTTGTACTTGAAGAGAGCAAGCCCTTCCAAGCGGCCGTCTTGACCAACGACGCAGCCAAGGCTTTGGCCTAGATTTGGATGGGGGTGCTCTCGCAAGATTTCGTAAATCTCAGCCTCGTGCAATAGGCGTTGGGAGATGATATCTTTGCGCTCGGGGGTATAGAGCGCAAGATCAGGGACTTTGATGTAGATTTCGGGGGCACGAGTAAGATTAGAAGGGCATGGCGGGTAGATATTCTCCCGTGGGACTAGGGAGAGCTCGCTGATGATGCTAGCTTTATCAATATCTTCAGGCCTGGATTTGCTGGTCCCTTTGTAGATTTCGTCGTTCTGCATCGCGACGATAGTTGTGTGTGAGAAAACGAGCTCTGAATCGTCCCCCTCACTGGCTTTCCAGACCTCTTTTGCGGAGAAGGGCTTTAGGGAACTTGTACAGTAGTTCATTGTGGGGGTAATCGGGCGATAGATCTTTAGTAAGTCAAGTAAGAGATTCTGAGTCAGAGTGTATCAAGAGACTTGTTTTTGTTTGACTGACGCAGGAATTGTAAAAAATGATGCAGGAGAAAGGAAGTTGCATCGCTCCCAGAATGTGGGGAGGGGAAGAAACCCTGGAAAAAATTGCGGCTTAGCTATCAGAGCCTCATTAATGGCTTGATATTGGGCAGCCAATTAGCTGTCGATGACTTAGCCATGTGACTCAAGTTTTGTGTAACTCGAGCCGTGACCTCTTAGTAAACCCGGGCCGGTTTATGCAGCCGGATGCGTAGTCTAGACCAGGTTAATGGGGTGCTGCTGGAATAGAACGGAAGTGGGAAATGCAACTTACATCTGTTGAGCAGTGGCCTCATCAAGCCTTATCCTCATCTTGTCTGACACACCGGAAGTCACTCTCGCCAACGCTGGCCATTCTGTCTGTCACTTGGATGGCATCCACGTTGCCATTCTCGGCCAATATACTACCCGATTATACTTCAGTACAACCTTGTCAATATCCGTAGTGGCTGCAATTGATGCATGCTTTCTCACTCCAAACCTCGTAGCCCCAAGAGCCAGACGGATTACCAGATTCAGAATTAGTTGCATTTCTATGCATGTTTGATGCCCGCCGGCATAATCTGACTCCGTTGACAAGTATAAGAGCCGTCATTCTGCTCCTCTTGTCGCAGCGCGGTGTGAACTCCTAGAAAATTATTAGCCACTACAGCCTCAAACAAGCTGCCTCCTTTCAGATCAGTAACCGTATCTCATACCAAGATGTAAGTCCGTCCGGAACATATACACTTCTTCAACACTAATTAGTTAATGCCTTAGGCATACCTCTACTGCTAAGCCCCTCAACTCTGCATCTGCAGAATTCGAGGCACCATTGGATAACTGCACGTTTGCAGACGTCTGGCAGACAGGTGAAAATGGGAGAAAGATTTTGGTTAGAATCAGGATCAAGACATGCACTAATAAGAAATGTCCTGACAAATAACAAAAGGCGCTGATTAAGAAGACGATTTCTGGGATTATCATTAGTGCTATGAAAGCAACCACTGTATCACAACATCGGAATCAGTGCTATTTATAAATTGAGAACAGCTTGATAGTTATACTTCGCTGAAACTACCTCAGGGGAGACAAAGGTTTGGGAGGGTGAATTTAGTTAATCTCAGAGTGACTGAAAACACACTGCCGTGTAGCCGGTAGAAGGAAGTTTGCCTTAAAATCAGACCTAGCCAACTTGCGACATAACACGAGATCACCTCATAACAAATCACTCAGCAAAATGTCTAATTAGTTTCTGGCAATGAAGGCTCTTCTGGAAAACTGGGATCAGTTATCATCTAGTAAACTTATAACCTGAAGTCTCCACCGCATTGAATTCATGTTTGATGTTGGCAGTCAGATTTGCTTTACGTTGTAATCTTACGATACCTCAAACAAGTCAAGCATGAGGAAGCCTGACTCAAACCCAAAATAAATATCTAGATGTCGTGAATTACAATTACTACTACCCACTTACTGATTGATTTTGACTATGAGGTACACAGCTCCAGCCTTTCTCAATTTCCAGCTTCGTAGATGCCACCATCTCTTCTCAATCAGTGTCTACCTTGAATCCATAGTCACAGAGCTGATCTGTCCACTCTGGAACAACGGTAGTAAGTTCCCCGGATCTTCTAACATCTTAATCCTATCTTCCAAACTCTCCTCCCCATCCATCATCTCCAATTGTCGATTATACAGTTCCTTGACTTCCTTCCTCGTTGCCATCATCTGCTCACAATACAACTGACAATAATTCTCCAAACTTTTAATCCGCTCCTGTAATGCTTCTATCACCTGCCAAGCAGCCGAACTGTTCTGATACGAAGCCTTCAGCTGACTGGCTGCTTCTTCCTGATTACCCTCCACCTGTTCTTCCAGGTCGCTGATGCGACCGACCAAGTTTTCGAGTTGGTAACTGCCTTTTTGTTGAAGTTGCGTCTCAAGTTCTCGGACTCGTTTCTTGAGAGCTGTGATGTCCTCGCTTGTTTTTAGAGATGTAGATGAATGGAAGCATGAGAAGTGGCCGCAGTAACATGTCGCGCCAGGTAGAGATGTGTTGTGATGAAAGCCCATGCATCCGCAGCGATGGCCTTTTAGTTCTGGTATTGTGAGGATATAACGACATTGGCCTTGCGGTAACTGCGCGGCATTTCCAGGTGGTGCTGAGGCTGATTGAGTGGAGCGATGGAGATCATTTGGATGGGGCATTTTAGAGGCTCGACGAACATCGCAGTCAGACATCTTGATGACAAACGAAACAATAAGACAGGTATAAAAAAGAAGGCAGAGTAACCAAAAAGACTCATCAGGCGGATTATTCCATTAAATGGAGGTCATCAGCCATTGCGCCACCAGAAAGAACACGCGACCCCGCGAACTTGTCGGTTCGGAGTCAAGCCCGAAAGGAGAAGAACGTGGGGGTTACCATATGGAGCCCGACGACATGGATACGGTGTGAGGGGAACCCAAAAGGGAATTCTCTCGAGTCATCAATCGGTACTAAAAGAACATCCCACGATCTGCGGGGAAGTATGGTTGCAATACGGAATTAAGCATTGCCGTAGTTTGCCGATGAGCTGAGCCTTTCGTGATATGGCGGTGCGAAGGCATGTGAGGGGAAGCCAACCTATCACCAAACTAAGCAACACACGAGGGGCATGGGCATTCCATAGAAGAGAAGAGCTATTCATTTGGATTCTATAGCCATCTTTTGCGCTCTATTCAGAGACTACCTCACTTGCTCTGCGCGCTTATGAGCCGCTTGTTAATCGCCAGCAAGATGCTGTACAGAGTCTCAATCGTCGCAACATCAATACCAAGTTCCTTACCCTTCCTAACAGGATATCCCAGAATGACCTCGACTTCCATTGGCTTTCCATTTTCGTAATCCGTTCTCATACTGCTTCCAATAGGCGGCATCACCAAAATCTTCTCCAGAAGCCTGTCAATCAGTTCATACTCCAGAGGAACTCCGAGCGCATTAGCAACATCAATAACTTCTTTCATCAGCTTTCTCGTCATCGGAGTTGACAGGTCTGATGAACTGAGCCATGCATGCGTGTCCATAAGCGTAAGAGCAGTAAGGGAATTCCACGCTGCGTTCCAGACCACTTTCTCCCAACGCTGGACTTGGATGTTAGGGACAATCTGGAAGATGGTCTTTCCAATTGACAGCAGGGACTCAAATTGAGCCAGATGCTGATTATCGCGTGATTCGCTTCCGGTCTTGTTCGGGTACAGCCCCACTTGCATATCCTCGGATGTCGTATGAGTTATGAAACCAGGCTCCGGCTGCCTCGCACCAACCCACGTCTGCAATCTTTAGTAAAGATATGACAGGTCAAGAGAATTTACATACCACGCATGAGATAATAGTTGCGCTCGGGAACCGTTCACGAAAAGCATCCTCATTGCCAACGCCGTTCTGGATGATGACAATTGACGTGTTATCACCAACGCCAGGTTCAATGTCAGCAGCTGTACTGAGCTGGTCCACTGCTTTGTTGGTGCAGACGATAAAGTCAAACTTTTTGCTCGCTTTAGCGACAGTACGACAGACTATGGTCGGGGTTAGATCAACTTCACGGAGATATCGTGCGACACATACCCTTGTGAGGTTCCACATGATGTTTTCCATGGTTCTGGCTGTCAATTGAGATGCCATTAGCAGTGACGGCATCAAAGTTCGAACGAGCGGCCACCGTCAGGTGAACATGCTCACTACGGCTCAGAATGAAGGCATAAAACGAGCCGATTCTCGATGAATGTCAGTCATGATCTGAGTCTGATAGAGGTGAACCTACGCTCCAAGCCCATAGACCAAGACTTCCAACGGTTTGTTACTCATCTTGACAATACTTTTTAAACGCGGGGTAATACAAGAAGGCAGCTTCAGAGATGTAAATACAGGGGGATCTCATGGAGTTCGCGAATGCTTTTCCATTTAAGTTTGACCCCTCATTAGGATTTCCGGGGACTCCATCGCCAAGAGCGTGGGGGTCCAGCGTCCCGACCTGAATTGCCGAGCATGGGCCAAAACTTGCTTACCCCAGATGCGGAGAGCTTAGTGGTGCTCAAGGGAAGAGTCAGCACTGACACTGTGAACAAGAATGGTGCATCTCATCAAGATATTCCGACCGCAGGTGTAGGATCACTGGCATCATAGAGGGACACTAGATCTCTGAGACTGTTTAATAGAGAACGAGCTATTTAAACAACAATACGGTGATGTGATTTACCATTCCCTAATGCTGCCATCCGGACCATGAAACGTTTTACACTGCCACGGGTCCGTCTCCTTCGCAATCCTAGCCACCATCTCTTCATCAATCTCGATTCCCAGGCCATAACCCGTCGGCGCCTTGACATGTCCAGCTTCGAGATCAAAAACACTTGGATCCTTGATATACGTCAAGAGATCAATATCTCCAGCCTCGGTGTTATAGTGCATCCCCAAGCTCATCTCCAAAATGGCAAAGTTGGGTGACGACAGTGCTACTTGAACGGAAGCAGCGAACGCAACAGGTCCAAGCGGACAGTGAGGCGCAATCGCAACATCATATGCCTCCGCCATAGTAGCTATACGCTTCGTCTCTGAGATACCGCCTGCGTGAGCGATGTCAGGTTGGAGAATGTCGACACTTGAATCTTCCAGAAAGCGTTTGATGTCCCAGCGTGTATATAAACGCTCACCGAACGCAATTGGAATAACAGTCTGGTCAGATAGCTTCTTGATAGCTTCAGGATGCTCAACCAGAATAGGCTCCTCAATGAACAAAGGTCTATGAGGTTCAAGAGCTCGTGCGAGTTGCTTAGCCATTGCTTTGTGACAGCGTCCGTGGAAGTCAAGTCCGGCGTCGAGACCTAATGCTTTCACCTGTTTGAGACGTTCGACAGTGCTGTCGAGAGCGGATGGCGAGTCTATCCAGCCTAGATCTTCGGTTGCGTTCATCTTGACGCATGTAAGCCCCTGCTCAAGGCGCTTCTTTCTGTATGTTGTTAGCATAGGTTGGGGATTGGAGTTTTTATCGCTCCTTACGCTGCTGCTTCGATATCTGAAGGTCGATCACCACCGATCCAGCAGTAGACTTGGACCTTGTTGCGGACCTTACCGCCGAGGAGCTCATAGATAGGCACCTTCAAGTTTCGACCTATTCCTGTTAGCTTTAGGATACCAATGGCGTGGTGTCTGTGACCACCTTTCAAGTCCCATAATGCGATGTCGATGCCTGAGATGGCGGACATGAAGACTGGTCCGCCACGGTAGAATCCATGACGCCAGAAGGTTTGCCAGATGTTTTCGATATCGCTGCCAGTGTCTGTTAGATGCTGTTCATCATAGGTCTTTAGGACAACAATGCTTACTTTGCTTCTTGTCCGATGATTCGTGGGATCATCTCATCCAAACATCCCTCGACAGCAAGATCATGCCCCTCCAACGTGGCCTCACCCCATCCATACTGTCCATTCTCATCGACAATCTTAACCATTAGCCATCGCGGCTTGACGCGGTAGTACTTGACAGTTGCGATCTTAGCCATTGTGATTGCTGCAAATATTGACGAGTGAGATTTTACCTCAGACACGAATTTCTCCGACCTTTTTAATCGTCATGACTCGGCTTCCCCGCCGACAACCTCTCGGCTAACACGACATCGTCAGCTGTCCCGGCTTAGGTTTGTACCCCCACGCGAAAACAGGTTCTGTGCCCCCACGAACTAAAGAAACTACGTAAATCTGGGGTAACGAGCCGCACAATGCAGGGTTTATTTCCGTGATGTCCCTCGGTGAAAGCCGTAATTTTCCACCATTGCTGGGGTAGGCAGTTGGTCACGTTGGCATGAGCTCCATCCCGCCCAGAAACTTTGCTCTTCTCCTGAGTCAGTGGCGGTAAGTCCCGTTTTACTAGTTCCGCATGAGAAATGATGCTGGTTTGCGGCGCACCTCTCCCCTAGAGTCTTTGTTGCCACTGCTTAAGCAATATCTCATTCGCTGCTACGCCTTCGTAAAGATGAATTGAAGGTGGACATCTATGAGCATGTCTGTAGATACGCAGTAATTGGTTGTTAACTTAAATCTCAAGAGTGTACAGTAATGCCTTCTCGTTGGACGTTATCGTCCCATCCATCCGCCATCAACCGTAACTAACTCTCCGGAAACGTACAAGCTTCCTCTTCCCGCCAGAAAGACTGTGACTCCCTTGAAGTCCTCAGGACATCCCCATCTCCCCGCCGGAATTCTCGAAAGAATACTCTCAGCCCTCTTTTCATCATTGATCAAAGCCTCATTCATATCCGTAGCAACGTATCCCGGCGCAATAGCATTGACATTAACACCTTGACTCGCCCACTCGTTACTCAAAGCCTTCGTAAGCTGTGCGATCCCGCCCTTCGCTGCTGCATACGCTGGGACTGTAAGACCGCCTTGAAAGCTGACGAGTGACGCGACGTTGATGATGCTTCCGCGATGGCCGCTTGCGTCAGGCTTGCGGGTCAACATATATGAGCCCAGGTCGCGGCATAAAGTCCAGACTGTTCGGAGGTTGACTTGGAGAACTTCATCCCAGTCGCTCATAGGGAATTGATGCGCTGGATGTCGTCGTTGTATTCCAGCGCAGGTCACCAAGATACTAACATCGTGGCCGTCGGCGAGGATGCGTTTGCTCAATTTCTCAACTTGTTCTTGATTGCTCAAGTCTGCTGTGTAAACGAAAACTTGTCGACCAAGCTGCTCGATCGACGTCTTCGTCTCGAGGTTTATTTCATCTCTCTTGATGGTGTCAGCCAGTCCAGCGAGTTACACCGACACGGAGCCCTTACCTGAACCAAAATGATATCTGCACCTGCTTCTGCAAGGGATAAAGCCATAGCCTGACCGATGCCTCTCGTCCCGCCAGTAACAACAGCCTTGCTGCCCTTCAAAGAGAAGAGTGATTCCAAGATATTGGTCATGCCGTCGACTGATCTGGGATGCTGAATGGTGAAGCCTGTAAAGTGGTACTATCATAAGTCTTCTGTCCTCGAACGACGGCCCAGAAACTACACCCCAGATTTAGACGCCGAACCAGTGTTACATCTAACCCCAGCAAAGCATGAGCTCACGAACTTCTCATCTCGTGTGACCCCCACGTCGGCCCGATTTGCTGTCGGCATTCTATCCGTGTTTAAACGATGATCATCTGCGGGGAAGATTCTGGGGTAATCCTCACTCCATGGCATTCTGGACAGATTTGCATGTCGGACAATAAACACGGGGGAGACAATGAACCTGATCAGAACGTGGGGGTTACTTGGACGGGCGCAGGTACGGTTTAATGCCGTCGGTCCGCCATCGTTTTCAGGTTAGCTGAGATTTCGGTCGGAACCGCTAGTTGCTGGCGTTGAAGCGTGGGGGTAAGCCGATTGAGATGATGCATTCCTGCTATGCCATGATGCATGTAAACCAGCAGCTGTCAAAGGCAGGATGTTGATGAACATGGCCCTCCAATCACGAATCTCTTATTCCTGCTGATGTCTGGTTGATCCCCCAATCGATACTTCGGTTGACGGACCAGATTACCCCCAAGCTGCCAAAGACGTGTCTCATTTTGGTTCCTCGTGCGAGTGTCGAAACTTTTAAAACGCGCTACACGCTTCGCTTCCTTGGAATGCCTCCTGGCTACTACTGATGGCGAGTGTTTTTACTGGTAGAATTTGGCGTGCGGGATGTCGAAATGCATCTTATTGCACTTGCAGTGATAGTCTTGGAACTGGAACGTCATGTACTAGGCGTTGCATTTCATAAAATGGCATCCAAAGAGTAATTATCCAGAATTAGTGCAGTGTCTCTATTGTTCCTCTGTTATAACGTTGACAGTAAGCTGAAATTGATCTTCACAGCCTGCATTTGCTTGTAGCCAAGAGTTCAACAACGACCGCTGAAACAACCCTGACTTGTCATTTGCTTCTGTCTACCCTGTATAAGCCTTCTCGTATGTCCACTATCCATTTTCATAGCGACAGGGTAGAGTTGTCTGACGCAACGACGATAGCATCAATTATTGGACCGAAAACTGTTTTACGCACCAGGGTAGTTAGGTATTGCGGTAGCCTCTCGGGTAGACTGAGTACCGCACCTAACAACCAGCCGACGACAAGCCTTTGAGCTGTGCCTAGAGCATTGAGTCGTTCGATTACTCCTAAGTGACAACCATAACAGCTTTCTAGATCAGACGATGAGTGACTGCCCCCAATGCAACATTTCTGATCCGGCCTTTCACATGCAATCAATCTATCTCGCTGCCAACAGTTTCTGCAGGGGATAGAACGTTGGTACGAGAACCTAAAGCCGGGGTGAAGAGCAAAGTTTCTGTTCTAAGCCGCAATTATGCGCAGATGCCATGGCTAGAGCTGGAAGCATGAGGCTTTACAGGTGAATCTGAGACATGCGCCATGCTGGGTCGACAGTCAACCAGACTAAAAGCGGGTCAAAGCTTCAGGCTCAGTTCCGAATGGTTGACGATGAACAGCAGACTAGATCTCAGATAACACCACGGTCTAGATCGTACGAGAACAATATCACAAGGGAATAGTGTTATAGCAGCTGAAGATGAGAAGCGGCTTTTGAACGGGACCCCCACGTCAATTGCCGATGGTAGAGGTCAATTGCCTGAGGAGCTTCGTCAAGAGCTTGATCATAGCGGCGTTTTGACGGTTTAGCTCAGACGCACTAATTCCGCTCAAGCGACAGGGCATGGCATGGCAGTTATTGAACGTTGCCTCGGTCTAGCAGGACCATTGTCAACGCTGCAACGTACAAAGAACCCATGCTCAACAGCCTCGCGATCTGTATGCAATTGCGGCATGAGATCAGATGCAATCAGCCCAGATCTTCCCCCACAGAAAATCTCCTGGCGATGCACATTTCTCAGGTTGACAGTCAACCACACCGCGGTACACTTCCGGCCGTATTCCCCATATCTTCTCCGCATCTTGAACCCCCACGTGCCAATAATGACGTTGATCCTCAAAGCTAAACCTCCTCATTCTCAACACGCTAACTCATTTAGGCTTCGGCACCAGCAACCGCCAGCATCTGTAGCAGAAAGCAAGGTTTCAACCATGACTCGAGCATACAGCGCCTTTGAGGAGTAACGATCGCCATGTGAAATTTCACCGCTCGTCACTACGTTGCAAAGACCCCGCTGCCGTCCACAAATCCCCCAGATTCTCGCTTTCCCCAGACTCGCTTCTACAACGCGTGGGGGGAGCCAAGCCCAAGTTCAGCCTTTAAACTCTATGTCATACACTAACGGTCTTCCCGTCGACCGGTGAAAAAGCTTGAGGATAAGAAGGGCTGTGTTTCTTCTCAATTTGAGATCTGCATTCCTTCATCACTCTCTCCAACATCATCTCACTCCAAAGGTCTCAATATGTCTACGTCAAAGGGTGAAGATGCGCCTTCTCAACATCACGCCGAAGACGTTGAGTCTCAGATCGCAAAACCTGATCTTCAGGCTCACAATGGCGATGCTGTCGCTCAGATGATCGGTGCTCAGCACATTGAAGTCACCGAAGAAGACGTGCGTTCCCTCAATCCTCTTCATTACTCGCAACTAACTCTCGTCTAGAACAAACGTCTCCGCCGAAAAACCGACAAACACGTCCTCTCCATCCTCGTCTGGGTCTACTTCCTCCAAATTCTCGATAAATCCGTCCTCGGCTACGGCGCAGTATGGGGCATGCGCGAAGACACAAACCTCAGCGGAAACGAATACTCAATGGTCTCCTCCATGGCGCCCATCGCACAACTCGTCTGGCTACCTTTTTCTTCGTGGTTGATGGTCAAAATTCCTCATCGCATTTTTATGGCGAGTCTTGTGTTTGGTTGGGGCGCTGCGCAGACTTGTATGGCTGCTTGTACTACCTACCAAGGCCTTCTTGCGACGCGTTTCTTGCTGGGTTTGTTTGAGGCTGCGTGCTTGCCGCTGTTTTCGGTTATTACGTCGCAGTGGTATAGACGTGCTGAACAGCCGATGAGAGTTGCTTGTTGGTATGGAACTAACGGTCTTGCGAATATGTTTGCTGCTGCACTTTCCTTTGGCTTGGGCCAGATCAACGGATCGCTTGCATCGTGGCGCATTCTCTTCCTCTTCGCTGGTCTCATCACCGTTCTTACAGCACCGGTTGTCTATTGGGCTCTTGACAACGACATTCCTTCTGCGCGTTTCTTAACCGAGCACGAGAAGCTTCAGACCATCGAGCGTCTTCGCGCCAATCAGACTGGTACTGGAAGTCGCAACTTCATCTGGAAGCAAGCCTTCGAGGCACTCATTGAACCCAAGACATGGCTTTTCATCAGCATGGCTTTGTGTCTCAATGTCACAGCCGCTGTTACCAACACCTTTGGTCCTATTATCGTTGGCGGTTTCGGCTTCGATAAGGGCGTTACATCGCTTCTCAACATTCCCTTCGGCGCTGTACAACTCCTCGTTATCTTTCCCGCTTCGTACCTCGCACACCGATACCGCGTCAAGTCCGTCTTCCTCATCGCCGTCATGCTCCCCGTCCTCGCAGGAGCAGTCATGCTTCACCAACTCAACCGCGACAACATCCCTCCTCTCCTAGCAGCATACTACATGCTCGCCTTCCTCTTCGGCGGCAATCCGCTCATTGTCTCCTGGATGATCTCCAACATTGCCGGTACGACCAAGAAATCGGTCATCATGTCCTTGTACAACATCGGTGTTTCAGCTGGTAACATCATCGGACCTTTGCTCTTCAGCTCCAAGGATGCGCCATACTACAAGCCTGGTCTTACAAAGACTATGGGTATTACTGGCGCTTTGATTGGTGTTATTCTTTTGCAGTTGGTCAATCTTATGTTCTTGAATAAGATGCAGGAGAGGAAGAGAGTTAAGAATGGTAAGCCTGCTAAGATTAGGGATTTGAGTATGGAGCATCACTATGTGGCGAATGTGCAGGACAATGATGAGGATGGGCTGGGACAGAATGCTTTCATGGATCTTACCGATTCCAAGAACGATGAGTTTGTCTATGTCTACTAAGTGTTAACGAAAAGGATTCAATCATATAGAATTCATTAAGATAGCGCGATGGTTGTTAATTTATTTCTTGAGCATTTCATCATTCACCTTGTCTGCGTGAAGACATTTTCTGGTCCAATACACGCGATGGTGAGGCTCGCCGACAGTACCTTATACTGTATGCGATGCCTCGATTTCGCGTGGCATTGACTCTTCGTTTGGTACACACGTAATTAGGGCTAGTCCAAAAGTAACTCCTTGTCGCAATGCTAAATCCTCTTAGTCGTGTTCCCTTTCTCTGAGTAGCCAATCGCTTATTGCACGTCACTTCGGTTCGTAGGTCGAATTGCTTTGGCCTCATCATCTCTGTGCTGCAGGTTGACCGCGAGCAACAACGAGAAGAAGGCTCAGTAGTGTCAATCTCGGCATTATGCACTTTATTAAGAGCTGGATTTGCTACAAGGCAGAGAAGCGTCAAAGAAGAACACATACATATTGAAGACTAACAATGTACCGAGGGTATACCATTCGACTATATACTCCACAAACCTCATAAAATACTAATCGTGAAACCCGCTCACGAACTGACCAATGTCAATCATGACAAATCATTCCAGCACTAGCACCCATCTTCCTAGACTCAACAGTACACAGTCCTGTACTCATAGACACATTTAAGCTGAGTCAAAGGTCATCTCAGCACGCTCAATGATAGGCGGGGGCTTAACGACACCCTTCTTGCGGAGGATATGTCGCTTGAAGAAGTATGGAAGCCAGACTCTCGTCTCATAAGAGATGAACTGGCTGGTAGGGACAGAAAAGACCTCTGATACATCATTAGCAAGAGTATGACGACACAAGATGCGGGTGGCTTACGGTCAAGTTCCTCAAGGGTGAGTTGCTTGGTCTCACGGACGAAGCAGAAGA